AAATAGGTTTCATTTTGGCACGTGCAAGATAGATAGCAGCAGTATGGCCTATTGTACCCCCCCCCAAAAAAAAAAAAAAAAAGAGAGAGAGAGAAAAAAGGTTATTATAAGGTTATCAGTAATGAGAATTTAACTCTTACCAGCAGGACCAGATCCAATAATAGTTACACGATGACGAATAGAAGCCATTTTTTTTTAATCTTCTTTGTTCGTATACAATATTATGATTTAAAGAATGTTTTTATTTGTAATAATATTAAAGTTGGAAGATCCTTTTTATTTTATTTTCCTGTCCTTTTTATATTCATCATCCAAATTACTGTCTTTTTTTTTTTATTGTTTTATTTTTTAATTCCTCCAATAAAAAAAATATTTGTAATATAAATTCAGGGTTTTATTTTATAACGACGAATCAAAATTAGTTTAGTAATAATAGCAGTATTAGTAAAAAATCATGATTACTTAATTTTATAGTGTTATATTATGTAAACAATTTAAACTTCAATTTTATTTGATGAAGATAATACATTATCTTGACAATTAATTTTTTTTTTGATAATTAATATAATTTTTATTAAGGAACATGAGGACATTATACGTATGCATTAAATATACAGAAAAAAAAAAAAAGTATCGAATAAAATTATACATGTGTATTTCTTTTTAGAAGGGAAGGAGGATTATATGAAACAATAATATATATGTATATGAATATACTTTTTTTTTTTTTTTTTTTTTTTTTTTTTTTTTTTTTTACATGATTTTACAATCATCATTAGAACTTCTTGTTTTCTTTTCAGTAGGTAGTTTCTGTTGTGGAGTTTTATCTTGAAGTCTTTGAATGGCACGTTTATCACCATTGTTTGCAGCCTTTTGATACCATTGAAGGGCAAGAGTGGGATTTTTTTCACATCCGATACCTACTTCAGTAAAATAACCCATTGCATATTCTGCCTTTGGCAAACCAGTATCTGCAGCACGTTTTGCCCAACCATAGGCTTGCTCATCTGATTGGGGTAATACATTGGGTGAGCCAACCAGATACCATGCTGTCAGTGCAAAGCATGCTTCCTTATGTCCCTTCTCAGCTGCAATGGTATAATAATGAATAGAAAGTGCAGCATCGGGTTGACAATTTAATTTTCCATATTCATAGCATTCACCCAGCTTGAATGCAGCAGGAGCGTAACCTAATTCAGCAGCTTGATTTAATAACGAAACAGCGTAATTTAAATCAACATAAACAACGTTAGGTACGCCTGTGATATATAACTCAGCAACATCATAGAGTGCCTCTGGATAATCGGCATTAATAGCTTCAATAGATCGATTATACCATTTAACTCCTTCCTTTGCATTCTTTGTCACTCCTAATTCACCATTAAAATAAGCTGTACCTAAACGTCTCATAGCGCCTGGATGACTCAAAGCAGCTGCTTTTCTAGATAATTATAAATATATATATATATTCATATTAACGTCCATAATATATATATATATATACATATGCATATGTATCAACTTTAGTTGTAGTTATTACTTGTAAAATAAAATAGCTTTTGCACCATTTGCACGACAACCTAAACCATGTTCATAACAATTTGCAGCCCTTAAAAAAAAAAAAAAAAAAAAAAAATTACATAAACATATTTAATAATCGCATTTCTTTTAAGAAAAAAAAATTTTTTTTTATCTTATCAATTTTTTTTTTTTAATATCAACATTTTTTTTTTATTTACCTGTTAGAGGCATCAGCATGTAAATGTTTTGAAGCCTGTACATAGAGTGGGAAAGCTTTATCTAATTCAGGTTTCCCCTTTTTATTTAATAAACCAGCTTCATAAAGTTTACCAAGACTATATTGTGCTTCAGCAAAACCTTTCACTGCCAATTGCTTCAATAATTTTTCTGCCTCTATTAAATATCCCTGTCTATTCACATCATCGTTCGGTAGTTGCTTGGCAGCTTCAATTATAAAGTTGGCAAACTCACATTGAATATTAGGATTATTTGTCTTTTTCGCATTCTCTCTGTACATGTTGATCGTTTGTGGGTATGACAAAAGTGAGGCGTCTCTGCCTGGCTTCAAATGGGAATGGTCTAATAACTGTTCTGAGAAAGCTGAGGTAACACTGGTTCTACTACTGTTCATAGCATAATTCATGACCGTATTATGCGGTATCCCTCCTGAGCTACTATGTGTACTAGAAGAAAAGGATGCATTTGGTGTAGAACTAAAGAAATCATGGACTGAACTTGTTGTCGTCGTAGATGAAGTAGCACTATGAGTGGATGAATGGGTTGACATACCTTCCATTTGGTTAGAAGCTTCTTTATTATTTAAAACCATATCATTTGTTGTTCTTTCAATTTCTTCATGATTCATTGTACCTAAGGATGCTACTTCTGACATTTGTTAAATAAATATTGATATATGTATTTACTATCTAAATAAATATATGTATATTTGTATATATATATATATATATATAAAGGAGGGAAAAAGGGAAAAAGGTCCTTGTTCTTTTTTTTTTTCATATAAAATTGACACATTTCTGAATGATGTTTCATATACTAGAACATTATTTGCTCGGATGCTAGAAAACAAATGTGTATCTTTTTCTTTTTAATCTACGTCACGTTTTTACTTATTATTTTGAATAAATGAATATACAAAAATATCTATTTATATTGAAAGGGAGAAAGAGAGATTCATTCCATTTCATCTTATTTCTTTTTTTAAAATGACAGATGTCTTGGGTTATAGTTATAGCTTGACTGTATTTATCGGTGGCCTCATTGGATACATAAAAGGTAAGAGAAAGCAAAACTGTTCACATGTATTATTATTGTTAAAAAAAAATTATTATTATTATCATATCATTATTGGTTTTAAATAAAAATTAATAAAATGACCATGTGTTTTTTTTTTTTACTCTATTATAGCTGGCAGTACAATGTCACTTTTAGCAGGAACTATTTTTGGTAGTCTAAGTGCCTTAGGAGCACGCCAGGTTTCTAGTGACTCAAAAAATGTGATGCTAGCCTTCATGGTGAGTTTTTTCCTTTTCTTTATTATGGGTCTTCGTTTCTATCGAGGACGTAAATGGATGCCAGCAGGACTTGTTACGTTATTAAGGTAAATAAGAAGAAGAGTTATAAATAAATTTTAGTACTAAAGAAGATATGTTACAGTTTTATCATGTTGGCTCGTTATGGTGCGCGTTTATTTTAATAATTATTATTATTTATTATTGAATATAATAATTTATTCTTTTTTGTAATTCACTACACCTTTATCTGTATCAATGATAATTTTATTTCCAGTAGGTGAAGTGATATATATTAAATTAAGATTATTTTCTGGAGATAAATCAAGGATATGACTTGGTGGTAAGAACATTAAAAATTTACGAATTAGCCATGGTTTTCCTTTAAATAATAATGTAACGCGTTCCAATACTTGAGGGGTATTTATCCTATGAAAGAGAGAGAATCATGAATGAATACATCTTTATATATAAAATGCATATCTATTTGTCTTTTGTTTTTTTTTTTTTTTTACTTTTCAGATTTAAATTCTGTCATGATTTCCAAAAAATGGTGATACGTTTGTGGGGATTCTTCATTTTTAATTTGTTCCAAATACCCCACTGCATCTTTCATTTCTATCGGTTTTGCCTGAATTGTTACTTGTTGTTTATGATTGCTTGTTGTAATCGGCGCTTTATTTTCTCCGTTATTATGACTACTACTACTACTACTACTACTATTACTTAATGCACTTAAAATGGTAGTTAATATCTGTTGTTTATCTTTTCCAAATAATTCTTCAAATACTCGAAGTATCTAAACAACCATAAATAGAATTTAGATTTCATATCATCTCTATGGTAACCCTTTTATTTTATTTGCTTACTTACATCCTCTATATTCTTATCTTCTTTTATTTTCATTGCCATATCTTTTATCATTGTTTGCTGTTGTTGCTGTATTTGTTGTTGATATTCACCTCTTAAAACAGTTCTAACCCACATTAATAGATAATGGGGTTTACCATATTTATCAACTAGTTTTGCCCAACCTGTTAAAATCAACGCTCTTTGGAGGTCTTCATTTTGAGCAAATTTAGCAAGAAGAGCACGTCTCCAGGCTGCTACCTTTCTATTGTCGACCCAATCCCTTCTTGCATCCTCCGATAATTGAATTCTTTGACTTAATGCTTTTATGTAACTCGCTGATTGTTGACTAAGGGAATGACCCGAGTCTAAAAACAATTTAGAGTAAATGTCAGGTTGTTGTAAAATGAGTTTAGAAGCCGTAAGATAATGAACCACGGATGCCCAAGCATGATCATCAAGATGTAATAAAACAAGAGGAGTCGTTATTCCTTCTGACGATGGACTCCTATCGTCCTCACCATCGAATTTCATATTACGCATATATTCATCAGAGAGTAAACGACGCCAATGAGGATACTGAGAATAAAGATAATCATAGCTATTATTTGTAATGTCTTGTAAAGGACATTGTTCTCCTCTTAATGTACCTGGTTGTTTATTGTCTGCACCAATATCTAGAACAAAAATAGTGTCCTCTCGGAAATCATGTGCGATGCCTCCAAACGGTTCACAAATGGAATCGGGAATGGGTGAGTTTAATTCTCCTTGTTCTTCTACTTCTTCTTGATCGTCTACTATAAATTGTTTTGCTAAATGGTCTGTAAGTGAAGCTGCAGTAGTAGAATTAGTTGACATTTCTTTTCTTTATATATATATATCTATATATGTATATATAAAAGAGAATAATAATTATGATAATAATAATAATAATAATAATAATAATAATAATAAAAAAAGTAAATTGTATAATAAAATAAGTTTGGTGAGATTTTTTTTTTCCTAGTAGTGGAGTATAAAATTATGAAAGAGGTCAGGAAGAGAGAGGAATTTCTTAAAGATGTAAAAGAAACGAGTCAATGAAGTGATTGTACATGGAAATGCAACTAAGAATAACTCAAAATTGAAGTTTAGTATGTAAATAGAATATGAAGAAAAAGAAAAAGTTGTAGTGTATGTCACTCTTTTTATTAGAAATAAATAAAGGATGTTTATAAGCGTTGTCTTTTTTTTTTTTTCCTTTCTTTTTTTTTAATACTATAAAAGCATAGCATGGCTCAGTTAATATATAATAAGTGGAGAATCTTTGTCATTTAATCAAATCATATAGTGATTCATGAGTAAAGAGAGAAAAAGAATAGACACATGTTATCATTTTATATCCAGTTTGACAGCACGTAGTACAATAGGTAATTAAAATAAAAGTAGATTATTATTATTCTCTTTTACTTTTTTTTTATCAAAAAAAAAAAAAAAAAAAAGAACATTGATTACATAATCATAATCTTGATATATAGACTATGATGATTCTCTGTAGTACTTTATTACGAATAAGGAGTTAAAATAAATTATAAACAGGTTATTATAAATCACAATTTTCATTTCCTCTTACGTTAAACTAAAAGGGGAGGGGGTGAAGGAGAAATAAATAAAGGAGAGAAGATCAGAAAATAATCATTATGTCTCAACACTGTACATATTACGTGATTTATAAAAACTATTTCTTTTTCTTGATCACAACAAAAAAAAATTCGGCGTATAAGACCGTTTATTGATATGTACACCTATATATACAACCTTTGCAGTAGTATTAGCAGAAGAATATTTTATTGGTTTATACTTTGCTCTGTATTTATTAGATCAAAAAAATACCCCTTTTATGTTAAATCGCATAAATCATCTTTTTTTTAATTCTATTTTTAGTTGATATTTTATGCTTTTTTTTTGTGTTATATATACAACAAATAAAAAAAAAAAAAGGTCGTTTCATAATATATTAGAGTAGAAAAGAAAATTCTAAATTATTCAAATGATTTAAAATAATAATAATACTACTGCTGAGTAACTTTTTTTTATTATATCAAAAAAAAAAAAAAACTTGTTCTGATCTAACCATCAATTTATGTACGGTACTTTGTTTTATTGTCCTTTTTTTTTTTTTTTAGTTTAAATAATCAAGTAGCACGATTAAAGAAGATATGCAAAGTGAAATGATCTGGCTAAAATGATCCCGGATAATAATAGCTGCTTGATAACAAGTATGACTTCGGAATGTCGGGGATACCTTAACCTGGGCCAATATAATTTGATCAAGACTATAACAAAAGGATATTACCATCTTTATACAACATAAATAATGAAACAAACATAAAAAAGAGAGAACTGAAACAAATAATAATAATAATAAAAAGACTTTCTAGACAAAGGACAATTTTTAAATGAATAGTAACAATGACTAAAAATATTTTGATCTGTAATCATTTCTTCTAATAAATACAATTAACACAAAAACAGACTATCTTTATACACACACGTTATTTTCTAAACGACATTTGTTGAGTTACGGACCCATAATTATTATTCCCAAAAAAAAAAATCTTTTCCCGAACCAAAAAAAAAAAAAAAAAAAAAAAAAAAAAAAAAAAAAAAGAGAGAGAAAGGTGATGAAAGTAGTTCCGCCTTATTAGTTTATTCTAGAAAGAAAATATTAAAATACGTTATAGCTTTTTTAGTTTTGTTATTTTATTTCATATATAGAATTTCTATTGAACTTTAAAGGAGATCATAATATTATGACACTTGTTTACCTAAAATATATCTGTATGTGTGTATGTATATAAATGATGACTACGTACTACGACTCCGATCTTTTTTTTTTTTTTTTTTTTTTTTTTTTGAGCCATGATATAATCATCATGTTGTGCGTGTGGAAAATGGAAGATATTTAGCCGTAATTTCATAAAATTCCTTTTATATGATTTGTTGATAAACGGCGCTGAACCCTTCTATTAACACCGGGCATGAACTTTTCCGGAATAAGCTGATTTGAAGAAAAGAAGTAGGAGGTGGAAAATAATAAATTAGTATTATTTCCTTGATCTGTTTTATATATCTTCTTTCTATATATTTCATTTCTCTTTCCTTTTTCTTTTTCCTATTCTTTTTCTTTTTCTTTTTCTTTTTTCTTTTTTTGTTATAAAAATTATTCTATATTATCACTAGTAAATACAGATATTAACATTTACTCGCTCTCTTTCTGTTATCTACTATTTCTTTCTTTCTTTCTTTCTAAATAGATATATTATATATTCCTGTAAGTAAATAATATACACGATTCTATTTATTTATTTTCGGGGGGGGAGGAGGAGAGAGGCTTATATCGTATATCTCATGTATATATATCAACACTATTTTTTCTTTTTTTTTATTATTATTATTATTTGAATAAAATAAATTCATTTTATATTCATACAAACATACATACATTTATTTATACATACAGACAGACACACATACACACACACATATATATACATATATTTATACACCGTACAACATATAAAAATATTTATAAAATGGATATCTCAGCTTTAAATGCACCTGCAACGCCACCTTATGATTATCAAAATCATACAAGTCTGCATCATGAAAACAATAATAATAATAATAATAATAATAATACAAGCGATAAAAATCAGAGTTTATTTTTTGATTCCTCTGATCCTATGACGAGTACAACTCTATCAGATAATGAAACTATGGCTAGTCATAGTAGTCGTCGTATTTCACCCATGTCTATGCTATCTCCACCTGAACTTTTACTTGATTCTTCTGAAGAAGATGAAGAAGAAGAAGAAGAAGAAAATGATACAAATTCATCTTCGTTTTCTTCTTTTATACCCAACACCATTCATCATAATAATAAAAGAAAATCTGTACCTCATCGTTCTCCTTCAAATTTAACCGATCATAAAAATATTATTTTTCAACTTGATAAACATTCAACTCCTAAAATTATTGGTGCTGATCATGGTCTTCTTTGGTCTCTTCGTCAACGAGTTTCTATGGCAAGGCAACCTACTACTACAGCAACTGCTACTGCTGCTGCTGCTGCTGCTGCTGCTGCTGCTGCTGTTGCTACTACTACTACTACTACTACTACTACTACTACTACAAAAATTCATAAAAATAGAATCTCCGTGACTCGTCCAGAACGACGCGTGAGAGCGATGCGAATTCAGATACCCCGACCTCACTGGTCCATTACGAAAGAAATGTACGATGATCATCCTCTTGTCCCACCTACTATCTGGTCAAATAAGAGTACTACGAAACCTATCATGTTTGTTCCAACTATTCCTACTGATCACATAACTACTACTACTAAAAATTCTTTTACTCTTAAAAATCATCTTCCATTCTCTAAACTGATTCATACTCATCCTGAACCATCTCAACAACGTAAAAAATCTTCTTCTACCTCAGTAGTAACATCGATTCCACCTCGTAGAAAAACCTCTCATGCTTCTTCAGGTCGTCCCTCTCGTGTCAAGGGCCCTTGCCAAGCTTGTCATGAAACCTCTGATGGTTGTATGCGTAAAGCATTTAACTGGCCTTTTTCTACTAGTACCATTTTTAACGATAAAGGAAAACCATTTGTTTATCTTTGTAACAAATGTGGTCTCAGGTAAAGCATATACATACACACATATATATATATATAAGAGAGAGAGAGAGAGAATTAGTTATAAAAATATATATACACATGAAAATAATGATTTACTTTATAAATATATAGATATAATAAAAGTGGTGGATGTGTTTGTCGCCATTGTCGTTGGGTTCTTTGTAAAGAAGAAAAACGAAAAGCAATGCAATTTATAGATCATATGCGTCGTTCTCGACCTGAGGGTCGAATTGATCCTGACGAAGATATTGAAAATTTTGTATGTTCACCTAAATATTGGAGTTGTGGCCATCCTTGGAAAGTGGGATGGATTTTGCATAGTCAACATGATGAAGATGATGAAGATGTCGATACCTTAGGTGATCATAATTCACCTTCTTTAAGTGAAGCCACTCTTTAAGAATCCCTCTTTTTTTTGGGGAGGAGAGGGAGGGAGATTATTTATTTTATTCTGTCTTTCTTCTTCTCTCTCTCTTTTGAACAAACTTGTTTATATGCCATTCATCATTCATTTTCTTCTTCTTCTCTATCACTATTTCTTTCTCTTTCCTCTCCTCTTTTCCCCCTCCCTCTCACTCCACCCCCTCTTTTATTCTTAATTTACCTTTCTGTACATACTAAAATAAAATACAGTATTTCCATTTCAAAGGATAAAAAAAAAAAATCCTTATAAAAATTTATTTATTATGACAAAACGTGATTGAATATATTTCAAGTCAAGTAATGTAGCCTAACATAAATATTGAATTCAACAAGTATTAAATCTTACTAAAAATCGCTAGAATTGTTTTTTTTTTTAAAAAAAAAAAGAAAAACCTCTTCTTCCTCCCCTTCTTTTCTCCTTATTTTGATCTTACACCTGAAGAAAAAAAAATTGATATGAATCATTTATTTTGCGGATTTTTAAAAATGTAAGCAGCAGTAACCCAAAACGGTCCTTTATACAAATAGACATATACATTTAAGAGAAAAAAGAAAACAGTTGGTAGTCTCTTGTGAATTTCTTTAATAATGTAGAGAAATCTGACATTCCAACAAAATAACAAGAGTGTTCTAAATAATGATATGTGAAAAACTTTTTTTTTTTTTTTTTCGGACAGGCATTATTTTCATAAGAAATTCTCTGTCTGTACAATTTTAATAAAAGAAGAGATTTGTGGTAGTAATTTGATTTGGGCCATACAATGTCCATGAGGAGGAGGAGAAAAATAAATAAATGTAACTCTTTAAATAAATTATATAAAAATATCATCAAGTAATTTCCTGTTAAACACAAACTAGTACTACTGAAACTTGTTAATTCCTTGTTACTAAATATCCTCTTATAGTAATAATAATAATAATAAAAAGCACTCATCTTTTCTTTGCTTTCTTTATTATCATTCAAAAAAAAAAAAAAAAATAAATAAATAAAATAAAATAAAATAAAATAAAATAAAATAAAATAAAATAAAATAAAATAAATTAAAGTGGTGGCAAACTTTATTAGGCGTTAGATATCTTCACTGTAGTGGGACCATCGATACCTTTAACATCAACTATCTTGTTTCCTTTATCATCAGTTGAAATTTCAAAAGTAGCATGATCACTACCCATAATATGGACCTTGACTTTAGAAAACATTTTACTAGAGACTAACCATTGACATTCTCCTGAGCCATCCAGATTAGCACTATATTCTCGCTCAGCATGTTCAAATTCTTCTCTTTTAAACTCTGCTGAACATTCCTTGGTGAGGGGTGGGAACCCATACTTTGTAATGTATTGAACAACGGTACCTGCACAGAGAGCTACCTGTTGTTGAACATTCTTCATGAAAGCAGTAGGGATTGATCCTGCTAAATCAATTTGTGTAATATACGTGATGGCAATACCTGCTTCTGTCTTGATAATCTTCCAACCTGAAATTAAAAGATTAGAACGTACACAATTCGAGACAGGAGGGATAGCTTCGTCCTCTACTGAGGTCATGACAACATAACACTCATCGTCAGACATTTCACGTAAAGATGTAGCGGACATATCACGAGGACTAATAGGCCATGGTGTCTTGACTTTACTCCAAAACAAGGATTCATACTTGTTATACATTTTCTTAATATCAGATGTATCGAATTTTTCGTCCCCTTTTATAGTACATGAATATTTTTATCAATAAATACATATATATATATAAAGAAAGAGAGAAACTTACAGATAGCTCTACAACCAGGTAAAGTAGCAACAGAAGCTACTTGGGCTGCAGTAAATTCATGTCCTTTTAAAAGAGTATCACCACGAACAATCACAAAAGGAGAATCTCCCTCTGACTTGTGATAAAGCTTTACATTATTTTTTTCTTGTATATACTTCCATTCATCAGAGCTTTCTCCTGCAAGTCTCTTTAAACGAGCTAAAGCATTTCTAGCGGTTTCTGCATGAGGGCTTGTAATAGTCATCGATTTATATATGTATATGGATTAAAGGTAAGGAAATAATAATAATAAAAAAAAAAAAAACTGTAAAAGAAAAAAAAGTATTATTTATATATTAACATTTTTATAAATTTTTCATATTCTCATTCTTCTTGAGTAGTAGAAATACACTCTTTATTAAATCACATGCCGCACTCTTTTTTTTTTTTTTCATGGCACACAATCTTAATCGAGTATGGCACAGTTTTTTTTTTTTTTTTTTTTTTTTTTTTTTTTTTTTTGCAAGACAAGTAATATTAATAGAAGTGTGATTTGGATAAGCGAATACTGATATAATAAAGCATTATATGTAAATATTGTATCCGAACAATTCTGCTTGTAATAAGATGTATTTTTATCTTCATTCCCCCTGAGCTGTCGCTGTTACAAAAAAATATAACCAATAATTATTACTGGGGTAAGCAATGCGTTCATATTAATTCTCGGTGAATATTCTAGCTATAACAATAATGCCATTTATTTATATGCTACTGTTATTATTAGCATCCTCTAAGATATTATTGCATAACAATATTCAACGTTACAAATGTATATAAATAATTATGTGATAATCCTATTGAATTCTTATTATTACATAATACAATGTATATAATTTTTTTAGCGCTCGAATATTCTGACAATGACTGTTATTAAGCCTGAATGTACAATGAATATATCATGCTGCAAAGTACAATATACTAGATTTATTTGAATAGACTCTTTCTTATTTAATAAATGACAATTTATTTCTATTAACTTAGTTGTAAAGACGACTACAATCATAACAAAGGTGAATCCCATATCATCTTTAATAAACTCATGAACTGCTGATTTCCCTCAGCCTTCAAGTAGTCAAACTTAGTAGTTAGCTGCTGCAAGGCTTGTTCAATGTTGATTGAAGGATTCTCGTCTAACAAGTCAGTTAGAAAAGCTTGGTGCTCTTTGTGAAGCTTCTTGCGATTGCCTCTAGCTTTTGGCAAGAAAAAATGTATCCGGATCGGTTTTTTTTTTCTTTTTTGTATTGATTCCATCAACGTTGACCAGTGCGTTCATTAATGTTATGCTTTCTAGCTACAGGAGCAATTTTCTTGGAAGCGTTAGTCAACATACGAAGAATAAAATTCATTTTGCCCTATTCAGAATAAACTGTGTATTTCTTTTTTCTTCTTTTTTTTAGATCAGTATTCACGGCAGGCTTCTCTTCGCTCTCTAACGTCTCAACTTTGATATCTAACCGCTGATTCAAACAATATTCCATGGTAACTATTTTCCTCGCTTGTACATCAAGTTCGTCCACCTTCCATTAGTTCAATACCTTCTTCATCTCTTATTGCTCCTTTTCCGTCCTCAAATAATACTCGATTGAAAAATTACCCATTTAAAATGCTAAAACGACAAGCAAAAAAAAAATGCAACAAATCGATCTGAAAATCTTTTTTGTAAACTTGTCATACTAATGATGGGATATAATTTCATGTGAAAATTCGATATACGCCCTTTTCTTTTATAAAATAGGTATATCAAATTTCCTTTCTTCTATCTTCTTATATAACTTAAAGATGTTTTATTTTTGTTCAATATATATCTTATAGATAATAAATCGATTCAAGTAAAAAGAGTCCCTTTCTTTTGAATATGTATATGTATAAATATATATACATATACATATATATGTGTGTATATAGATGTATATTACGTGGGAACTAGAAGTGGTCTATATTAATTTTATTTTATCAAAACTAGGTAACTTTCATATGATAGAATTTCACATGATATACATGTATTTATATAAAATATTTTTTTTTTCTAAAAAAAAAAAATAAAAAAAAAATCAATTATCATATACATATATAGAAAAACCTAGAAAAAGGGTATTTATTATTATTATTATTATTATTATTATTATTGCTATTGCTGAATAATCTGTGGTTCTTCACACATTATCTCATTCTTCACAATAGTTGCAGGTGAACCAAAGGTATTCCATATTCTTGAATACATACTAGAACGCTTACTACTGTTATATGTACTACTGGTTAAAGAAGTAGTTGAAGAAGCATAACTCTCTGTTGATTCACGACGTTCATGTGGGGAAGTAGGTGTGCTCACTCGATTCGCTAACATGGATAAGGAGGCTGTTGAATTACGTTTGTTATTGTTATTCAGAACCGAACTACGACGTACACACAAGGGAGTTGACGAACATTCTAGTTCAGCCAATCTCACCTTAGCCTCGGCTAAATACTTTTCTAACTCTCGACATCGCAATTCACTTTCAACATATTTGGATTTATATTCATCTCCATTTTCAATTAAAGGTGTTTTACCTAGTTGCATCGTGTGGCGTCGATGGTCGGTCCTTTTTGGTGACCCAAATAAGATGGCATGGGCGGCAAAGACCTCCTCTGAGAAGGACCCCCTTGGCATAAAGAAATTCTCTTTCTCCTCTTGTAATACCTTCATTTGCCCTTCAAGGCCCTCTAGTTCTTTCGCCAATGCCATCTTCTCAAGTTGAAGCTCAGCTGCTGTCCTCTTAGCTACCATGGCCGTCGCTAATACCTCCTCTTGATCAGCATAGATTTGATCCCGCTCTGTTTGAACATCTTCGAGTTCACTTTCAAGATACATGATCTTTTGGGTAAGGGAGGTATGGGACTCCTGTAAGGATTGTAATTGTTGGGTCATATCTTGACAATGTCGATAGAGGGATTCATATCGTTGTTGAATTTCAAAGTGATCGAGCTTAACCGCTACAAGTTCTGAGGTCACATTTTGCAATGCAGCATCAAGTCTTTGCTTATTAGTGATCTTTTCTTCTTCATCATCATCTTCTTCTTCTTCAGACGATTCTATGACTTTTTGTTGTTGTTGTTTCTCAAGATTAAAATTAGGTGCAAGAGCACCTGCAATAAGTGCCCCAAATTCGCCTGCTTCTCGTAATGAAGCCACAAGTTTACTATACTGACGACTGGATTTACCTACTACTAATTTTTCTTTTTCTTCTTTTCCTTGCTCTTCCTCTTCTTTTTCTTTATGTATCATATGACTCGGGGCTGGTGATGATAAGTGAATATTAGTAGTACTAGTAGCATTAGCTAACTTGACCTTATATTTCTTAACTCGTTTCTCAAGTATAGCAATACGTTTAGCAAGCTTGACTTGAATGGCTTCATAATCCATTATTTCATGCATCTTCATTCTCTTATTTTCTTCAGCAAGGATTGCATTCTCTTTACGTAATTGTGCAATAATCCATGTAGCTTCTTCTTCTTCTTCTACTTCTTCTTCCTCAGATGACGATGGTTCAAGTAGAACCTTGTTCAAATCTTGTATGAATGTATCATCTCCTCCATCATCTGAATAGACGTATGTATAGAGTTGACCTGAAGTCGTAAGGAGAGAGAGGGGATCGGCTTGTGACATGAGATAGTTTTCTGCCTTTTGTAAGAGTACAAGAGCAGCTCGAAGGACGGTTTCCTTTGCTCCTTCTAAAAGGATGATATCGTAGAGACGTATGGCAACCGGTAAAGGGACCTGTTCCATGAAGAGTGTAAGGAACCATGTCTCTGCATACATGGTAGTATCAATATTCAAATTATTTAGATAAGCTTCAAGATGAGGCATATTTTTTGAAAATAAAGTTTGAAATTCCTGGAAACTCTTTTTGTCTTGTATATTATTTATTTCAAATAACCTATGTGTGTCTCTTTAGTTTACTCTCTCTTATATATATAAATATATGTATATATATATTATGCCTATTTCTTTATTCACCTGACAAGTAGACTAAATGTTTCGTTTTCTGGTAACTATCATTAAATAATATAGTTAAATAATATATATATATATATATATATGTATTTATTTATTTATAAACTTACATTCATTAAAAGAGGAGCCACTAAATACGACATACCCTGATAATAACCTACATGTGGTTGATAAACACTATAAGCCTTTAAAACCCGAATGATAGATTCCTGAATCTCAACAGTCAAGTCATTTCGTTGTCTTGTGTCCCTTTCAATAGTATCAGCATAAGGACTTGTTCCTTTCAAAAGATCCTGATAGAGATCTATCGTTTGATGAGATGATATTTGGACAAGTCCTTTCCAAACAAGACCTCTTACTGTCCTTGGAATACCACCTGTCATTTGTCTCTTTAATATCTCCTTTCGTGCATTCAACGTGGAGATGTCTTGAATCAACTCTGTCCATCCTTCTTCATTCACAATAGGTGTAACTTTAGACTCGTCTTCTTCTTCTTTTGTTTTCTTTAATAATAACTTTTGTTGCCTTTCAAGGTTTCTCATAATAAGTTTGTCCGAAATCTGTTTAAGAAAAAAAAGAAAGAAAGAAAGAAAGAAAGAGAATAAAGGAGAGGAGAGAGAGAAATGGAAAGAAAGAAAAAAAATGGTATTAGTTATAGATAAAGAATATATAAGGAGGAAGGGAAAATAAACGCACATCTATTAAAAGATTTCCCTCACCAATTTTTTTTTTTTTTTTGAGTTGTTATATTTATATATAAAAGGAGGAAGGAAGAAAAGGGGAGTTCCGAAGAAAGAGAGAGAGAGAGAGAGAAAAAAACTTACTTGAAGTATGGAATGTTTATTTTCAAAAGGCTTTTGAATTTGAAGAGATGTATTTTTACGCCGTTTAGCTAGATTTAAAGAAGTTGGTTTTTCCAGTTCCATTTGAATATCATCTGTTGATTTGGAAGGTGTTGTTGGACATAAAACTGTCGTACGTGTTTGCATCTCTAATTTTTGAGATGTCAATAATAAACATGGTTTTTGAGTTGTAGCTATTGAATCCATATTACTTTCTATAACAGTTGCCATTTCAAATTTTGTTCGACTTTAAAAAGAAAAGAAAAAAAAAAGAGAGAGAGAAATAAATTTTGTTTTAATATATTTTATTATTAAACTTTTGTTACACTGTCGTAATACAAGAGAGAAAACGAGGCAAAAAAAAAAAGAAAGAAAAAAAAAAGAAACTGAAGTTTTATATTATGTATAGATGCATGTCTAAATTATAACATGAAGCAATAAACTATGCTTTCAAATCAGATGATACAATGTTCTCCCTTCTCTTCTCTTCCTTTCCTTTCCCCTTGACTTTTATTATGTACTGAATTATAAAAGGAGAACGGATTATATAATGATAAACTATTAGAACAGCCTACAACAAATATATAAAAGCACAGTAAATGATCTCCAACATTACAGACTTTCTATAATACATTACATTTCTATTTACACATTTTACAAAATGTAGCTTACATGTATATTATTAAATAAACTAAATTCATTGAAAGCTATTCTTGTAATAAATAATTGAAATAGAGATTCTTTTTAAATTATTATTTTCACCTTTATCTTTTCTTAATAATGTCATTCAATGTAGGACAATGAGGCCCAAAAAAGCCTTTTATTTTCTCGGGTGATTCACCGTTGCTTCTACATAGTGTAACAAAACGTGAACTAATCAAAATTATACATGTAGAAAAAGAAAAAGATTACGATAGACCTAGAAATAAGAAATTTGTATATTTATATGTCACATCCCTTCTTTCTCTCTCTTTCTCTCTCTCTCTCTTTTTTTTTTTTTTTTTTTTTTTTTCTTTGTTGTAGTTGTCGATACCCTTATTTTCTCCTTGATGTCTAGAAGCTATTAAATCTGTCAGTTAATTATGAAATTCTCATTCATACCTTATACATTTATATACATACTCACGAAGGAAGATGCATTAATAAAGGATACAAGTATATATATATGTATCTATACTACCTTACAGCACATCCAAGATCAGTCAGATACCATGACTTTCTTTTCAGGATAAATAAATAAATACTCTTCCTTTAATTAAGAAATACACACATACATATGTATATGTACTTTTACTTGATGCATGAAGATAATTACTGTTCAAATAAATATAAGATGTATCTCTATTTATTTGATGACATAATACATATTATGCCTCTTATATGTATGCGTGTGTGTGTCTTTAAAATATCATATACAAATATAAATATACATATTTGCTTGTGTACTGAACAAGGAAAACAGAGAAAGGGTTAAGTTTAGTAGTAAGAGAGAGAGAGAAAGAGAGAGAGAAAAAAAGGGGAGAGAGAGAGAGAGAAGGAGAAGGAATAGGAGTAGGAAGGGGAGAGTCCACTCTCTTTTTTTTTTTTTTTTTTCATCTTTTGCTGCATTAACCTTGTGAAATTGCATTAGTTTCATTTTAGTTTATGAATAAACTCTTTTCTTATTTTCTCCCTTTCAGAGTATTAATAATTATGCTCGATCTTTATGACTTTTTTTTTCTTTTCTATTGTTTACAACACTTGTTATATTTCTCCTCATTTTTAATTCTACACTGTATATACTAATCCACAAATATACATTTCTATATGTATTTATATATTTTACTGATAGATAGAATAAAGGGATACAGGGAAAATGGGCGTAGATATGGTAATGAACATATTGCTAATATTATATACTATCTTTTGTCTAACTATTCAAAAAAATAATACACTTTATTCTGTCTTTCTTGCACGAACTAAAAAAGAGAGAGAATAAGATTATATATAAAGATACGTCAAGCATCCATTTTTTTTATATTACTTACCATCATTACGAATAGGAATCTTTAGACCTTGTTTTGCAAAAGTTTTAGATAATTCAGTAGATTCTAAAAAATAAAATAAGAAATAAATAAATAAATAAATACAATTTCTAGTATACAAGCATGTATTTATTACCTGTCATTCCCGGGAACTAGCAAAAAAATAAATAAAAATATTACAATAAAGTTCATGTATAAAAATATATTTTTTATTTAGTATACAAACCTTCTTTGCCGAATAGACTGTAAATGGATCAGAGAATACCTGAGCTACAATTTTCGATTTTGCATTCTCTTGAAAATCAGAGCTAAAAAAAAAAAATTAAAAATTAAGATAAATGTATAAAAATAGAAAAATTCAAATTTACTTGACTAGTTTCATTAAACTGAAACGCAATGTGTAACGGCCTTCCGTACGAATACTCAAGTCAGGAAAAGCAAAATAAAGTCCTTGTTCACCCTGTGGATTTTTTAATAGACTTGGTGAACTAACAAGTGAACCCATCAAGACTCTCGTACACTTTGGTGGATTCGAAATGATATTACGTTCTTCTGAACGATCATCCGACCATAGAGTGACATGAAGTACGAAAAAGGGTATTTGAAGAGTTCTAAAGTATAGACTTAGATACTATTTATGACATGTGTGTAAGCATACATACTGTACATCCACAGGCATATCTTGTCCTTCCTGTCTAACAATTAATTGAACAATAGGTGGTGGATCGATAGGTCTTCTATCTTTTTCACCAAATCCACACATACGAGCATGAAGTGGTTGCTGACAAACGATAAGTTCATAAGTTCTATTATTACATTAACTTTGTTTAATTTTATTTTATTTTATTTTTTTTTTTTAATTGAAGGAAAATAAAATAAAATAAAAAAAGTTTAATCTTTTACCTCTTTTCACGTTCATCATAACCAATTGAACTGAATTTTGTATTGGTATAATTTGTTGTTTTATTATTGTCTTGAACGAAATGTGGGAATCTATCTGAATGCATTGATTGCTGATAAGAATCTGTCATGTAATGAGTATTATAATTCGATTGATCTTGGTTCATGATGGTTTTATAATCGTATATAAAAATATATATGTATTTTTTTTAAAGAAAAAAAAAACGAAGAAAAGGGAAGGGAATAGAAATAAGACTGAAATTTTAATATTTTACATAATTATTCAAACTCTGTGTCTTAAAAAAAAAAAAAGGAGAGTCATACATATTGTTTTAAGGAAGGACCAAAGAGTAATTATGCGTTTATTTATTTCATTCTAGTTTACCAATTAATCCTTTACCCCAATTCTGAATTACTCTTGAACACTGTTGTCTAATATGTGCCGACTTTTTTGTTTCCCATAAATTTAATGCATCCAGTTGTCTTCCTTGAAAAACACATTGTTCCCAATAAAATTTTGCATATAATCTTTTTTCAATTACCTTCTACACATATACAAAGTAAGTAATTTATGTTTTTATGTTTTATGGAAATTTACGTCTAAATAGGATATCGCAGTCATTTGTTCATGCTCTGGCTTTTGAATTGCAAAATCGTTAGGTAGAACGAAGAAATTATTTCCTGCAAAATAACTGGGAAGAAGACATGCTGATTTTTTGTATACAAATCGTTCAGAGCACCTAAAAAAAAAGGATCCCGGAAAGAAAGATATTTAACTATATAGAATACATACATACATGCATACACATTCTTCTCTATATTACCATGATTGAGTATCTTTACTTTGAATTACAATAGGTTCATAATCCATTCTATATTGAGTTACTTTATAGATATCTTGAGCTTCTTTCCATTTTTCAATTTCTGTAGGTCCATCATTTAATTCAAAGTGAGTGTAATGCAAAGCGATATTATTATCTGCTAATAGTTCGTTTTTAATTGTTGGTGGTATCTTACTATCATTCATCATTTTAAATAAAGGTATTACAAGCATATCGCCTTGACTTAATAAATGGGTATATTCCTTTTTGTTTTGTATCCAGTTTTGATGAAAGTCAGAATTCAAAAAGACATTTGTAGGTATCTCAGCTATATAACGTGTTCTAGCGTAGATGCGTGCTAAATTTCTTTCTACATTAAGAGGCACTATGATTGAAGCTCCTTTTTCGATTCTCTCTGGTGTTTCAATTAAATGAATATCAACATGACGAAATAACTCAGGCTTAGTCTTGTACTCATATTCCATTTTGCTTTTTATTGTCTCTTTTTCATTTGTCGATACGTGTAAAGTGGCAGAAATGGGACCTTCATATCTAAAGTGAGACCTTTTTTTCGATTTTTTTTATTTTTTTGTGTTATACCTTCCCAATTATTGGCTAATTCAGCTAAATCTCTCCATGTATTAGGCGTAACTGTAGTATAGAAAGTGACATCCATCGGATTAGGTACTTGATTTGCTTTTAACCAATATGGTTCAATATTTGTAAGTGCATTATAATGACCTTGTGAAAACATTTTTGACATTTTTAGTCCATGTGACATGTTACTGATTAAAGAATAAGGTTCATCTAGTGAATGACGAATGAATTATTTGTATACGTTTGATTTTTTTTTTGTTAAAATACATATACATATATGTATATGTGTATATTTCTTTTTCTTTTACCAGAATCATAGGTACGTTGGTATTGCCATTTTGTTTCTGCTGATAATAACCAAGACAAAAAATGAGCTGAAGTCAAAAAGATTGAAAATAAGACATAAAAAATAATGAACAATCTAAACCAAAATGATTCCAAGACAACATATTTTAAACCCTTCTTTGGCTGTGGTTGAGAAGTAGGAATTACAGTAGAAACTTTACTGGTCAATAGTTGATCAAACCAACTGTTTATTTGATTTATCCTTTTTTCATAATCTTTCTTTGTCTTTAATGATTCCATCTAATTTAAATTAAAATGTTGAAGAAAGAAAGGAAAAACAAAAAAAAAAAGGACAAGTAAAGCCCCTTCTTCTTTCCCCTGCCCCTTGGTACAGAATGATGCTTATAGTTGATGTAGCACTAATATACTTGCTAATCTACTATAGCGCTATTTAAATAATATTAGCACATAATGTAATACGCTTATTTAAGGCACAAATTATCGAATATATCAAAATTGTTCTAGTCAAATTAGCAATCAAAAGAAAGGTTATTAATAAGAAAAAACCTCTTTAAAATGAAGAGTAAAAAAGAAAGAGCCCTTTTAGGATAAAAGATAAAACATTAAAAAGAAAGAAAGAAAATATCAGGATGAGGATTTGGATAGCTAGTTAATTAGGAATAAACTTGGACTAGGGAGAGAAGGAAGAGTGAAATTGGAAGCTAATATGGAACATATAAAAGGCTAACATACAAACCATGAAGTAGTTGAAATTATAGCAGAAAGTGTGTGTGTGTGTGTGTGTGTGTGTGTGTGTGTTTTTGATAGAAGCTTATTGAGGAAAAAGGAACCATTTGTGACATATGTAGACAATATATTGAAAAAGTTCTGTTAAATAGTTATTACTATAACTTTTTTTTTAAGTTCAAAAATAAGTCTCTATTATATACCAATTATAGTAATTCTTGTTAATCATGATATTCAACTCTTGTGCAATTGCTTAGACACATCTTAACTAAACATCTTTGAAAGGTCTAAGGAATTCTTTTCTCATACGCGAGTCTACAAAATTAGAATAAGCGACAATCCCCTCTTTATTCTTCTATTGGAATAAGTATTGGTACAGGAGATCAAGTTTAGAAATTTAAGATTGTAATCCTTACCTCTCTCAAGTTTTGACTCCTAATAACTCTGTAGTGTGAAAGAAAGAGGGATGATAGTCTTTCTTTGTACATCATCTTTCTAAACAATATAATACATACACAGAATGAAGTGAGATTTTCTTCTGTTCAAGAATAAAAATGGCATACATCTGATGCATACGATGATTATGTATACACTACGAAACAATTTAGTATTATACAGATCCTAGCAAGCTGCTTTAAATGTATTCTATGCCTATTTTAGGGCGAAGTAAGCAGATGGGTAATTAACTTTAAAATGATTGTTATTAAACTACTTTTAGTAATATCAATTAATATAAAAGTCTGAGATAGATAGAGCCAGAGCCAGATTCTCATTGAATACGGAAAGGAAAATAATAAATACTTTATTAGTTTTACTCTTTCCCATAAGGCGATCAAAATTATGTAATCAAACAGAAGAATGAGAATCAAGTGTGATGATCAAACCAATTTGGAGATGAAATTAAAAAGCCGCAATCATATACTTTTCAAACTCAAGTGTCAAGTAAATAAAAAAGGCCGCTTACTTTTTTTTTTTCCTTCAAAATTGTCAAACAGAGTAATAAAACCTGAAGTTCGGAAATCTGTTTTTTTTTTTGGAGAAATGAGTTACTGTTGTATTACTATATGATCGAAGTAGAATTAATAGGACAAGTATTACTATAATTTATACTGTCATTATGACAGCTTGAGTTAAATTAAAGTGCAAAATAGATATAAGTTGATTGGTTGCTATCCAATAATATATAGCATATCCATATTATGCGGTATAGAGTATTGACAGTTACCAAGACTACACATTAGAAATAAGTTTTAAGTAAGAATACTGTGTTATTATTCGCTTGTGTAGTTTCAGGAACACTTAAGACTTCATGAATCATCTTTTTTTTTGTTTTTTTCCGAACAACTACTACTACAGTTAGCAAAATTTAGATCATCATCACAACTGAATTTGGGTATATAAAATACAATAAAATTTATTAACATGTATCCTAGTGAATTTATATCTAAATATGATTTACAAATCATGCTTACTATACTTTCTAGGAGTTTTGGTTTTACTAGGTAGTAACGTTATAAATAGCTTACACCACTTTACTATTTAAGATAGCTGTTAATCTGAAACAGAAAATTTTTTTTTAGCATTGTTCAGTTTTATTACTTACTATCTCTGTCTTTCTCTTCTTTTTTTTCTCTTTCTTAATTTACACTTTACATTAGGATAATGTCATATCCACAAAATCCATCTCAACAACAATATTATCCTCCTCCTCCACCACCACCTAATGGCTACTATCAACAGCCTCAACAGGGATATTATCCTCCACAACAGCCTAACGGTTATTACCAGCCTCAGTAAGTTTTATTTTTATTTTATTTTATTTTATTTTTGAAAAAGGATGAATGGATCGATTATTTAATACATATTTTATTAAAATGTATAACCAGGCCACCACCACAAACAGTAATTGTTCAACAACCAAATCAACAACAATCTGGAGATGACTGTTGTTGCGCCTGGTAAAATCTAATTAAACATTTATTATGTGTGTATATATTATTAACATTTATCATAGTTTATCTGGTTTACTTTGTTGCTGCTTAATGGAAGATTTGATGAGTTAATCACACCTTCTCTCTTCTTTTTTGGATTTACGTTATATAATACATAATAAGAATACTTTTTTAGATACATACACTTAATAAAGAAAAAAAAGATTGTTTACTAATACATTATAACCTTTTAACTTGATTTCGCAATTTAAAACAGAGACTACGCAAAGAATTTGAACAGGTGTTAAAAATCGTATTCTTTTTTTTTTTTATGTAAATAACTAAGGATTATTATTACTTTAAAGGATCATAAAGATTAACAGTAAGTATTATCTTCTTTAAACTATATCCTTAGGTTGTTCATAGTCTTGTGTTTCTCTAAATTTGAAAACTTACATTCAGGGCATAAGCTCGATGTTTTGAATTTATTCAATAATAAAAAGTCTTTTAAAACCTGCCCTCCCCTTCCCTTTGCCAAGTCTTCGTCTCACTCCTTTGCCGGCAATTGTCACCATGAGACTTTAAAATCCTATAGTAGTAGACTCATCATCTAAAATTCGCATAGTATTGTCTCCAAAGCTTTCCTTTAAAATTCCCAGCTAAACATTCATCTGATTTCTGTTAATATATTCTATTTTGGAGACTCATCTTTTAGAATATCAATAATAACAGTTTGCTTGATTCTTTTTTTAAATTACCTTGTATTCTTTCTTAAAGATTACTTCAGATGTATCCAAACACTCAATAATTTCCTTAACAGTGCTATCTAGTCTTTACTTTTCATTTTCTGTAAATTTAAAACAACTCCTTTTTTTTTGTTCTGGAGGGCATTTTCAAATTATCGGCAAGAAATTTGGAACTGCTTTTGTTTCGAAAAAAAAAATGCAGTAACAGCATCGACATAAGCAATTCTTGTCTTCATTTTTACTTGTCTCAGTTTCTACAGGGCCCTCCTGCTGTTAATTTCCCATCATATTCTTCCAGGAGCATATTACCTTCATTGTAGTAGTAACCCTTCAAAGCTTTAGAAAAACGAGTCTTCATTTTGCTATATATACATGTATACATCTATTAGATTTTTACTGTCAAAATGGGCATTGTACAATGATTATTTCCAAGAATTTATACTATGTGATGTTTTTTTGAATTTGCTAAAGCTTTCGAAATTACTCCAACTTGGTTTCTTTTGCTCGCTGTTTTCTTTGAATACCAAGAATAAGGAATATTTAGATTTTGCTGCCTGCAAGAAGGATACAAATTTATCTACTAGTAACTTATTTGTATTACTTATTCGACAGCCCTACTATTTTTTTTTTGAAAATATAGCAATAAAGTCAATTAAAAAGGAATAAAATAATACTGTAGTAAGTCTAACTTTACAGGAATAATAATAAATACCTAATTAATTTTGGGGGTGTATAAAAAGAAATATTAATCTTGGAAGATTATAGAAATTATAACATAACATATAAATGTATGCTGATCTATTTAGTAATAACAAATCGTTATATATGCAACTTTTGCTCCTCTTAAAATTGACTTTTTAGTAGCACGTTTGAATTTTTACTATTTCATATATCATAAATATTCCGCTCAGGGTCTGTTCTGAATTCTTCCCGCAAGCAGACTTGATTTCGTTCTCAAAAAAAAGGCTTAATTTTTAGATAGTAGTATAAAAATTATGCTTTTCAGATATTCATAAGTAGTATAACTATTATTATCTTACACTACTGCATCAGCTAAAGAGTTTCTCTTCTATTAGTTTCTTAGATATATGCAATTATTCTACCCTTGAAGTTTTTTTTTTTTTTTTTTTTTTTTTTTTTTTTTTTTTTTTTTTTTTTTTTTTTTTTGTTTCCCTCAGAATCTAAGCCAATTAGAACAAGCTATATATCCCCTTTTTACTCCGTTAAACAAATCAAATTTTTTGATATTAAATTCATTTCCTCCTTCAGTAATATATTATATAATTTTATCACCACATGTCTTTAAAAATATGCTATGAATATTGCTCATGCCTATAATATATATGTATGTATAAAGAATGCTGTTTGTTGGCAATGCAAGTCTGTTGTTTAGGTTTCAGAAATTCGCTTAAAAAATTTGTTATTTTGAATGTTATGTTAGAGTCCGTCCATTTGGGAAACAATTGTAGAAAATCAAAGGATAGAAGAAATAACACGTGACACAAACTAGATAGATGGATATTAGAAAATTAAAAAATATGGTTTCCTCCCCCCCTTTTTTTTTTTAATTGTATCGGTAATTTCAGCATAGGATACACAAAATAGATGTACCTGTGTATTTAATACTTTATATCCCTTTTAACATTCAAATAAATGGGGGTTTTACGAACTAGAAACTGGGTAAGCTTAATCACATTAGTTCTTGTTACGATTTATTTGATTTGTTCTTGGACTGCAGCTTCATCATCATCATCATCATCATCATCATCAAAAGATGTCTTGATAAACCAACAAAATATTCCAAATGATCGTCTAACATCGAGTCGATTAAAAATACTTTTATCAGCATTGGCACATATTCGTCTTGGCTATGTCGCTAATAGAACACCCTATTATTCTATTCCGCCTCTATTAATAGTATATAGTTGTAAAAGAAATCAAACATGTGGATCGTTCGATAAACGCATGTTAGATGTCGTTAATAGTTATTACTTTTCCATGTTACAGCAAGGATCAGCATTTGCATATGACATGACATGGCCAGTTAAATGGGAATGGTATTTTGAATCATCGCCTTCTTACATGGCTATGAATTCAGATCAAGCAAAATATTACATTGAAAAAATTGAATCAAGCCATCAACTATTACAAGAGAATACCTTGACACAACTTGAACTCCAACAACGATCCTTTCTCGAAGACTACAAACGTAATCAGGTATCCATTGTCAACGTGAGACAGTGGCAGGGTGATTGGATCCATCTTGCTCAAAACCCATCCATGAAGCCGCTTCGAGACAAATATCGACTGAATCATCTTCAACAAAAATCAGATTGGTTTTGGCTTGCAAGTCGAATACTCTTTAGTAGGCCTACTGAGAGATTTGCAAAGTTATTAGAGCCTTATCGTGATTTATTAGGGGAAAGAGTAGATATGTCGATCAAGGATATACCTGCATTAGACAACTATGGACAAGTAATACGAACATCTTTAACTCACAAAAGGGGCTGGTTTCGTATTGGACTTCGTGTTAATGAAAAAAAACATGTCACTTGCCTTGTCAATCATATCATTCACATATGTCGAAAGCGACAGCACTGCCATATCTTTATCTCTGCTGATAGTAGGGATCAATTAAACCTTCTACGCGCTCACTTCCGTCGTTCTTCCACGGTAGCTGTTCATGTTATAGCTGAAGGCTATGAATTTATTAATTTGGATCATTTATCAGTAGATCAAAATGAAGATCAAACTCGACTTGTTAAAAAATTTGCTCGACCCTTTATGGATTGGACTATTTTATCTCGACTGGATTATTTAGTGGGATTTGAAAATGATCAATTCTTAAAGACAGCTGCATGGGCTTCTCAGGTTCATACAGATGTGATTAGTAGCTCCTTTAATCATTGTAAAATAGCACCAATGACTGATTGGTAACCTTTATTATTATACTACAACTTATAATCTGTTAATAATAAAGACCTATTTATTGTAAATAAATAGAAAAAGAAAAAAAAGAAAAAGAAAAAGAAAAGAGAGAGAGGGAAGGAAGGAAGGGAAGAAGATAATAAAGAGATTATGTAGCATTAAGGAAGAATTGGTCTAAACGGTAATAATAACGAGACTGACAACGACGAAGACTGGAAGAATGGTTGCTGGTTATTACAGCAGTGTTATCGCATTTTAGCATTTGAGATAGAAGGGAGATAGGTTTTGATAATAAATTGTTGCCTCTTTCGTTTTGCTCAAATTCGTGATGAATATAAAACTTTTTATTCTTCTTCTTTTGTTGTTGTTGTACAAGAAGATCTTTATGAACAGCAGGCATATAACGAGTTTTGGTGTTGTCAATAATAATCGACACGTTTTGCTTCTTTACTAAAAGATTAATATCATCCATGATTTTTGGCACATTTGTCTTTTGTAAAATAAACTGTCTATACCATAATCGCCATGAAAAGTTCTCCAGTCTAAATCCATCAGTTAGATTGCTTTTATATTTTGTGAATACTATTTAAAAGAAAAAGACGCTTAATATACTTTATTACTACTTTTAGTCTTTTTTTTTTATTTTATACCTATCCATAAGCTTATTAATTGATTTATACTGCTATATGATTTGTATTCAGTCAACTTGGACGTCATTATTCTTGGTAAATAAGTATAATCCAAATCAATGTAATCCATTATTATTCAAGAGAAAATAATAAAATAAAATTTAAGAAGAAAATGATATTGAAATTCAGAAAAAGTCTTTTTTTTTTTATATATGTATTTATACACACATCATTCGCATTATTATTCCAACTCTATTAGAAACTTTATTATGTAATTCGAATCATAATTTATATTTTTTCTTTTTTAGATTTGTTTATTTAATAAATGCATAAAATAATAACATTAAAATAAAATAAAATAGTTGTATACAGGGATAATTTTTTTTTCTCTAAGAGAGCTGAAAAGGCAAGTTAATATCTGAATGATATGCAGAGAAGGATGATTAAATCAAAAAAAAAAAAAAAAAAAAAAAGACCTAATTTAGGAGGATTTGTCTTTTTTCTTTGAAAGCTCCAACTTGGCTTCTTCTAGAATGAACTCAAATTCTTCAACAAATCTTTGACAGATCCCTTCAGTTAGGTTAGGATATTGACTGTGTACATCTGCCAAGGCACCAATGCTGACCTTACCACAGTAAGAAAGGAGGGCAATACCAATTGATCCCTTCCCATTTTGAGGAGGGAAGGTTTTATATTCTTCAATTTCTTCACCTGCATAAGTAATGCGAGTTTGTGGTCCAGGTACGTTAGTAAAGACACCATGGCCAATATCACAGTAATGATTATAGACTGATAAAGGAAGTGATAATCCAGGTAATGAGCCAAAAATGTATTCAAACCATATATAAAGTAGAAGGGACAAGCGTGAAGATTTGATAGCCGTCATTTCTGTTCTTACTTGTTTTAATAATTGTTTTGTTTCTAAATCCTTCATGGAAAAGAAGCCCCATGCTCCACTTACCACATTTTTAAGTCTATAAAATATTACAAATTAGAAAGAAAAAAAAAAGGGAGGGGAGAAAGGAGGGAAGAAAGCGAAGTGTATGCTATTATATAGATATACCTCCAGTCACTTGGTTTACGTAAAGATATAGGAATAAGTAATGTAATATAGTTATCACGTCTCTTTCCAATGCTTTCTAAATAGTTCTTGATACATCTTGTAACAACTGTCAGCATCACATCATTCAAAGTACCACCAAATGCCTGTCGAATAATCTTAATATCTGAAAGCTTGATATCATCCGACCATGCCATTTCTTTTTTAGTGGATTGTAAACCCTTATAGTAAAAGTCCTTACGCATCACAGGTATCATAGTCAAAAATGACTCATATAAATCATGACATATAGTAATATAGTAGATATATATTTTCCAAAATAGCATATAGAAAAATGACAAGATGGTAATTATGAAACTTGGAAATGTTTCTAATAACTTCTTTGGTACTTTGTTCTCTAAGTTTAATACTTGGTTTTTTGGAGACTTGGTACGATGAGAAATAACAGCTTGTTGTTTTTCCATATTTTTCATTGTGTCTTTTAAAGATGTCGTACTCAAAATACCTCGAACAAGTCCCTCACCATCTGAGATGGCATGACTTACTTTGAAAAATACGGCGCAACGATTACCTTCTAGTCCATAAATCGTATGAAGCTCCCAAAGTGGTTTAGTGTAGTTAAATGGGGTTTGAACCTATACATATATAATTAGAATATATCCAAATATTTATAAGCTTTATATATATATATATATATATATATTTGACATACCTGTTGTGCACAATATTTTTGAAGTGCTTTGCGAGTAGGCTCTTCCAACGTATGTTTAATAATATTATCTTCAGGTTTCCAATCTAAAGGTGTAGCCCAGATAGGTTTTCGAAAAAAGCTTTCATTTTTGGGGACTCTAGCGAAACGAGGTGCATTCTTACAATAGTCGGTCATGACAGTATATATACGATTTATATCTACAGGATTTTTGAATATCCATAAAGAAGTGACAGCCATAGTACGACGAGGGTGCTCTATCTTTAAGAATATATTATCCATGCCTCCCAAGCGTACATCACTGGGTTGTTCTGTTTTTGACATGTTGTAAACAAAATTAAGGAAAACAAGCCGATAATAATAAAATAGTATATCTAATGTACCTTTATATTACTTTTTTTCCTTGTCCTATGTATATTTATATGTAAAATAAATAGAATCATATGTTTCACATTACATGATTTTTTTAAGATTTTTTATAGAAGATTTGCTGCTGATTTCCAAAATAAACCCTTTTTTTTATATAAATATATTTCAGCGGATAAACCTATTCTTATAATAGATAGACAGACGAAGTTATTATTCTATTTAAATAGTTTGTATAACAAATTTCAGAATTAATTAAAAAAAACACACATTCATACAAGACACTATCCCCAGTTGTATATAAATCAATTATAAAAGAGTTTTTGTTGACATAGAAGTAAATCTACTAAACAAGTAAGAAATACTTTCTATTTTATGCAAAAAAAAAAAAAAAAAAAAAAAAAAGTTCTTTTATTTAGACAAATATCCCATAGACATATATCTAGAAAATCATAAGCTTTTTTTCTTTGAAAGTTCCAACTTGGCTTCTTCCAGGATGAACTCAAATTCTTCAACAAATCTTTGACAGATCCCTTCAGCAAGACCAGGATAATGACGGTGTACATCTGCCAAGGCGCCAATGCTGACCTTATCACAGTAGGAAATAAGGGCAATGCCCATTGTACCTTTACCTAGTTGAGGAGAAAATATACGCTGTTCTTGAATCTCTTCTCCTGCAAAAGAGATAGGAAAAGTTGGACCGGAGATGTTTGTAAAGGCGCCATGTGCAAGGTCACAGAAATGACGAATAAAACAAAGTGGGGGTGGTAATCCAGGTACCGTTCTACTAGATCTTTCAATGCCTTCATACAACAGAGATGGAAAGTTAGATGATTTAATAGCAAATGTTTCCATTCTAACTTGATTTATTAATTGCTGTGTTCCCAAATCCTTCATTGAAAAGAAGCCCCAAGCACCACCAATTCGGTTCTGAAGACTGACAGACAGACAGACAGACAGATAGATAGATAAATAGAATTGTTATGATTAGCATAAAAATAGAATTAAAACAACATATACCTGTCATCATCTGGATCACGTAAAGATAAAGGAATAAAGAGTTTAAGATAATTATCATGTCTCCTTCCAATGCTTTCTAAATAGTTTTTGATACATCTTGTAACAACTGTCAGCATCACATCATTCAAAGTACCACCAAATGCTTGTCGAACTATTTTGATATCTGATATATCAATATTCTCTGACCATGCCACCTCCTTTTCATGTGATTGTAACTCCTGATAGTACAAGTCCTTGCGAGCAATGTAAGGTGTCAAAATTAAGATAACTTGATATAAATCATGACAGAATGTAAAACTGTATATGTATATGTATAAAAAGGCCATATAAATATAAGTTAGCATCTTGACTACTGAATAATACTGCGAAGTCTTCTTCAACAGCATCTTTCTTTCCATAGTAGAATTAAACGATAAATGTAGATGACTTTTCTTCATTGGATGATGTAGGATAGTGGGTCGTTCTTTTTTGATTGTGTCTCCTCCCCAGGACGTTATGGTCATGAGAGTCTTCATAAGACCTTCTCCATCAGAAATTGAATGATGCACTTTAAAAAATGTTGCACAACCATTATTCTCGAGTCCATAAATAATATGGAACTGCCAAAGAGGTTTATTGTAATCGAACGGTGTTCCAACCTGTATCAGTTTGTAATTTTTATATCTTTAATCTTTCCCCTTTTTTAATGTAAATATTTATATATATAAATATATTATACCTGTTTTGCACAATACTTTTGAAGTGCTCTTTGATCACTAGGCTCTTTTAAATGATGCACAACAACATTATCCTTCGGATACCATCCAATAGGTATCGTTAAAGCTGGAGTTTTAAAGAATCCTCCATGACATGGAACTCTAGCAAATCGTGGATTGTCCAAACATAATCTGTCCAAAACTTTATACACTTGATTTAAATCTAAAGGACGTTTGAATGTCCAAAGTGTAGTTATCGTCATAGATCGACGAGGGTTGTCTAATTGCAAATAGGCAGCGTCCATACCACCTAACCGCATATCCTTTGGTATACTTAAATTCTTCATTTGATATGTATGTAATTACAATTAAGAAAAAGAAGTTTTATAAATAAAATAAGACGTATATATATATATATAGAGAGAGAGAGAGAGAGGCAGAGAGAGAAGGAGAGAGAGAATATATATACCCTTGTTAAATTATTAATATTCATCTCGTAAGCATATATTTCTAATGATTTGTGATATGCATTATGTGAATAACGAAAGAATCTGTTTTTCTATTTTGTGCATAAAATGTATTTGAGGATATGCAATGTAAACTTTATTTCATAAGGCTCTATACGATACAGACTTTTAATTAAAAAAAAACAAAAGAAGAAAGAGATATTTCGTAAACTAGTGGAGTCATTAGCCATCAATATCTAAGTTGAAATACATTGTTAATAATAATAATAATGACTTGTGAATAGAGAAGGGAATTAATTGGGCTATTAGATGATTTCAGAGCATAGAATTTGAAAGTATACATAATTAATAATAGCACTATTATAGTGCTATATTTAGATGTTGTATTTTTTTTTTCTTTTATACATATTTTATATATGCATATGAAATGACTTATAAAAGAGAAGTCATATACACTATCAATGTCAACACAAGCTAAATAAGGGACAAGTAAAATACATACCGAAATAGACGCATTCAAATATTATTATTGAACCAATGCAAGAACGAATAATGCTTTATATATCCATATATAGTATCACAGTGTTTATACAGGTCTTTAATCGTGGTATTAAAAACATTACTTTTGCATACATTGTGTATATAAGTTTTTTTTTCCCTGAATTTTCGAAAAAAAAAAAAGAAAAGAAAAAGAAAGAAAACACTAATAAAGTTTATGATCTACTGTGTTATGCTATTATTCTTTTTGAAAAGTATTTACAAAGTATTTACAAGAGCTGATGTGAAAATGGAAGATAGCGTAATAAAGCATAAAAGCCATCTAGTGCAGTTGTAATTAAGCAAGAAGAAATAATTTTTTTTTAAAAAAAAGACTGCAAAGTCATATTCAACTCTTTTTACCCTTTTTTATTCCTTTATAAATGTTTATATACACTCTGACCTTTTCTTTTCATAAGTTAAATATTTAATCATGTCTGAAAATATATATTCTTATTATATACCAAATAGTATTGAATAAAGCCCCCCCTTTCTTTTTGTATGAATCTATTTGTTTAAAAAGCCGTATTCACTTATATAAATTAACTTCGGCAACAAGGTTTTCTTTATGAGTTTATTATGAATAATATAATTGGAATAATAAAAAAAAACTATAGCGTCTATTTCTTTCCAGACTTTTTGATACCACCGCTAACTATAAAAATGAAATAAAATAAACATCGCTTAATCAACAGCTTTCAAATTTTAGATGTAACTTACGTAAGGGACCCTTTCCAGCAGCCTTTTGTTGTAATTCCTTCAACTTCTTGGCTTCTTCGGCCTTCTTCTTCTTGAAGGCAAGATCCTCCTATGAATAAACAAATGATTAACATTAAATAATTAAAATTTTCATCCATATACATGTATATACATGTATATATTTTTACCTCATCTTCTTCGTGTTGAGCCTTCTTTGGTTTCTTAAGAGGCTTGAGTTTACCACCTATAATATTATTACGTTTGTTTTAAAATAATTGATTCTTTTTTTTTTGTGGAAATTGTTCTTGATTTTACCTTGTCTACCAGACATCTTTAGAGTTTATAACAAATGTGTGTTTTTTTTTCATTTTCTCTTCGAGTTTGTATAATGATAAAAAAAAAAAAAACTTTTTTTGCTAATTAAAATTCCGAATATAGTCACAATGTTTGAATCAGATTTGGCTAATTTACTGAAATTTTCACGTTGATATAGCGGGAAAAGTTTACAATAAATGACAGTTTTTTAATTTGACAGACTTTTTAATCTTAAGTTTGTAGTAGCTTACACAGATTATTGACGAAATCTTACACGTATTCCACACTTCTTTTTTTTTTTTCTGTTCTTTAATTGTAATGGATATCTAATGAATGACCTTTAAATTATAACTATTCATCACTTTGATCTTCAAGCTTGTAGTCCTTGACAAATACCTTATAATATGTTCAGTCAGTGTTTAACAAACATTAAATTTATACAACTAAATGAATAATGCATAAAGTTCAAACTTTACACTAGGCATAAAAGTAGCTTTCTATGTTCAAACTGCGCGTCTTTGGAAGGTTGTTACTAGGATGGTCAAAGCTCACAAAATTATTTACCAGCCAAATAGAATAGCAGCATATATATGCTTAAGAGACATCTTCTCTTTGATTCTAATTTTAGGCTTGTCTCTTTATTTAGATTAAATGAGATGGATATCAATAGTGGATAATTTTCTGTGAGAGTTAGACATAGCATTATGCCACAAAAAAAAATTGTTTTTTCTTTTGCAATAATATCAAGAGCCTTCTTCAACCATATCTGAAAAAATTATTCCTAAGCACTTTAAAAATGCCGTAGTTTCATTCTTGATTGAAAGGCTTTTTCATTTACCATTCCAACTGAATATTGTGTGTCATATGTGATCGAAGCTCTATAACTGACAATATAATCTTTGTCATGTGATATCTAAACAAGCAAACTCCTATCTTTTCAACTGTCATGCAAAAGTAATAACAATGTCCTAACTATTTTAAAGAATTTGACTGTCTGCTTTAAAATAAAACTAAGCCTATGGTATTTAAGCTCATAGTCAGTTTTGCCATGAAAATAAAAGAAAAACCATGTATATATAATAATAATGTTGAAATCAAAAATATACTTTTTTTAAAAAAAAAATCATTAACAATAGTATTGAGATAATTAATACAGCTATTGCAAAGACTGGAATGGTATTCATTAAATACAATCAGACTGATGAATATTGACTGTTTTTTATTATTGTAGACACAAATGCTTTATCTTTTATTTATAAGTCGATGATTAGAACTGAGAAATCATAAATCTATATTTTTCTTCTTTTTTTTAGTTACTATTAATAAATATCTATTATAATTTTCTTTAAATATTTGTACATATGATACGACTTAGGAATAAGGCTAATTACGATATTAACTGCTGGTAAACAATACGTACTAATGTGCGATGTGTTTTCGTATCTTAAAAAAAAAAAGAATTCATTGCAGTGCAAGTTAACTTCAATATTGGGTTGAGCAGGCGAATAACGGGAGAAAATCAGAATGTCAAAGAAAAAAAAAATAAGCGCAAATTTAGACGAGCTTTGTGGGTAGTTGATAAGCAATTAACAGGTAGTTATAACTATATTACATAGGCTTTATGTTTTAACAGTGTATCCTGTAATATTTATAACAAATACTTCTGACTTGGTTAGGGCTTATTGGAAATATGTAAATATATACATATATATATATTTAAAAAAAAATAGATAACAAATACATAACAGTTGGATATACATATAAATCACCAACTAATGAAACAAAAGAGTCAAAAATACATTTATTACAATTAATGATGAACAAATTATACTTTGGTAGAAAATGTAAAGAAGTATTCGCCAGTCTAATATGCAAACGCAGATCAATCAAAGTAGATTAATTTATGGATGCATTTAAAAGAATCACGTGATAATATTTCAGGAACATTAGTATAACTATAAACTTGGCTGTACGCATTTATTTCAGTCCAAAGCCTTGGCTGTACGCATTTATTTCAGTCAAAAGCCTTTCCACCTTGTCATTATTGACTACGCCAAGCTTTCAACATCACTAAATGATATTATGATTTTTCTTTAAAGTAAGTCATAAACAAAATAACGTGTAGCAAGTAAGTTATTTCATGCTAATTGATTTAAATACTAGAACAATGCAGCAATATTAAAGAAATGACCATAGCTTTTCGTTTGAAGATTTTATCACATTTTGATCTTTTGAAACAATAATGATTTAGAAAAAAAATGCAAATGTTGATATGCCAACGTTAAACAATCAAAGTATTTTTTTTTTGTGCTAATACATTATCTAATAAAATTAATAAAAGAAATTATTGGATTACTAAGCTTCCAATATTGATTATTATTAATGTTTTATCAAGACCAAATTAACCAGATGCTATAATAATTCAGACTTTTTGTTTCAAAATCACTTGTTATTTTTCTAATTTGAATATTTTATGCTTGAAAAAAGACATTTTTTTTTGTCTGTAATGTACAAGAAGGTTAATTCTGTTGAATATATAGAACAATATTGAACTAGAGAAAAAAGAAATGGTTACGTATCTTCAAAATATTTATTGATTTGTACACTCTACAAATGACAACCGATCAGTCTATTATTACAATATAGTTTTGAGAAAAGAAAAGAAAACATAGACAATAGTGGATTGTCTACTGTAAAATAATTCCTTAACAAAGTCCATAAATACGTATAGTCTAATATGTTAAAATATCTACTGATATAAGCTCAGAGAAAGAAAGGATACTTTGAAAAAAAAAAAAGAGAATGTATATTAATAAAATATATAGTGAATATATTCTGTACTATCTTCCGATATTATTTACTATAGTAATAAATTTTATAATAATATATAGTCATACGATATAAGCTCCTTCTATTGTTATAGAATATAGAAGATAATGTTTCAAAATAAAATACATACATTGTTCTTTTCTTATTATTCTTAATCTCTTTGTTTCTATTGTATCTATTGTAAACTTGATTTATATTATGTTTTTACTTTGTTATCATCATAGGACCCTGAAGCCGATCTACATAAAATATTGAATGTGTCAAATTCATAGCTGATTTTTAATTTAAAAAGTATAACACGCAGAACAAAATTTAAATTTATTACTATTTTATGAAATACTCTGGAGTAGATTGATTTTGAAACGTATGTCAAAAAAACTCTAATAAGATTATCTGCTTTAAGATCCCCCCCTTTTTTTTTCGATAGAGTTACATGTGAAGTAAAATTATGTATTAATAATTAAAATTTATTCTCTATAAACCAGAAAAAAGAAGGAAAATACTATATTATCTTCTTCTTTACATACACACATACATACACACATACACACACACATATGTATATATATTTGTATCATATAAATAACAGATAAGCAAATCAAGTAAAGTATACAGATAAGCTCCATATAATTATACATGCTTCCTAAATTATCATTAAATAATGATCTGTTTACCTTTTTACTATCAAACACAACTCCGACTGAATATAGCTTAAAACGGATATTGTGGCAGACTTGATGATGATGGTAATATGAATGAAAGACATATAAATATATGCTTGAGAGCATATCATTATTATTATTTTTATTTTTTTTTCCCTTTCTGTTTTTTTTTCTAAAGGACTTTTCTCTCTTTTTTTTTTTATTTTTTTAAAAAAAAAACTGAACTAATATAATCTAATCAATATGGCTCCTACAGCAATTCCTGTCACTAATTCTGAACAAGAACTTATTCATAGAAAAGATAACTCTTTAAAGAAAAGCCTAGTTAATATGGACTCTAATGAAAATGTCAAGACAGTGTCAACAAATCATGCAGAAGATATTGCCCTTGCTCGTGCATTACATGGTAATAATGTCAAAACAGGCCTTTTTAATAACTTGGGTTCAAAGAATCATGATGTCTATAACATGACCTCCGAGACTTATTTTGAGATGTGGGGAAAAAATGCCGAAGAGGATGATTCTGGGGAGAAGGCCAAGACTCGTGCCTCTCGTTATAGTACTTTAGTCAATGCCTATTATAATTTGGCTACTGATTTTTATGAATATGGTTGGGGTAAGAGTTTCCATTTCTGTAGATTTTATCCTGGTGAAGAGTTTAATTGTGCAATGAAGCGTCATGAGCATTATTTGGCTCACAAGTTAGATATTCAACCTGGTATGAAGGTGTTAGATACGGGTTGTGGTGTTGGTGGTCCTGCCAGAGCTATTGCTCATTTAACGGGTGCTAACATCATTGGCTTAAATAACAATGCTTACCAAGTTGAAAAGGCAAAACAATATGCTATTCAAGAAGATTTAAGCGATAAATTAGATTTCATTAAGGTAAAGTATATATATATCTGAAGGTCATATAAAATAACTTGTTTAATTTAATGCAATGTCATATATATATAGGGTGACTTTATGCAAATTCCTTTTGACGATAACACATTTGATCGTGTATATGCTGTTGAAGCTACATGTCATGCTCCTACATTTGAAGGTGTCTATGCAGAAATTTTCCGTGTTTTAAAACCTGGAGGCAAATTTGGTTGTTATGAATGGTGTACAACTGATAAGTTTGACTCTTCAAATCCCGTGCACAAAGAAATTGCACACCGTATCGCGTTAGGAAACAGTCTTCCTGATGTACGTTCTATTACAGATTCCCTTGAAGCGCTTGAAAGAGTTGGTTTTGAGCTTGAATTTCATGTTGATTTAGCAAATGTTGGAGATCGTATTCATTGGTATTATCCTTTAGAAGGTAATTTACTTCAATGCCAAACTTTCCGTGATGTGCTCACAACATTGTGTATGACCTCTGCTGGTCGATTCACGACAACCACCCTTTGTCGAGTCTTGGAGAAGCTGGGTATTGCACCAAAGGGTACTGTTCAAACTCAAGAAATGCTTGAAACTGCTGGTGATTCCTTGGTAGATGGTGGTCGTGCAGGTATCTTTACTCCTATGTTCTTCTTTGTTGCTAAAAAACCCATGACATCTCAATAATAACCTTTTGTAAATTTCCCTCCTCCTCCTCCTCCTCCTTTTTTTTTTTATATATATATACACAACTCTATCTATAATATATATCTATATACATATCTAAATACAAATATATAAATTTATGTAAATTCATTACTTTTACCCTTTTTATTTTTGTATACAAAATACAATATAATTTCTTGCAAATTTTTATATAATTGAATTCATTATACTTTATAATAATAATACATAGTATGACAGAAAAGGCTAAATAAAAAATCTGATGATAAAACTGCAACAAAAAAAAAAAAAAGAAAAAATTGGAAGGGGATTTAGATTATAAGGGATAATAATGTATAAGGAGAAGTATAATACATATATGAATTTCCCCTCTTTCTCTCTCTATTCGTCTCTCTCTCTCTCTCCCATTTATTATCATATAGTTCAATCCATTAAACTTTTTATTGATAAGGGATGATATATTCTCCTTTCAACTAAGAAAATGAAAATTATTATTGTAGATCAAAATAAACACGTTTTTTTTTATATGACATAAATAGGATCATAAAATTTATTGAATACTGCCAATATATTGCTTAAGATAATGAAAAAAAAAGGGTCAAATCATATATAAATAACTGCCTATAATATATCTAATCAAATAATAATAATAATAAAAAAAAAGTCATAAAGTGCATATATAAAAAATAGACGAATAAATAAAAGTAAAAAAAAAAAAAAGAAAAAAAAATAAATAAATTAAGTATTGAAGACGAAGCCCATATCAGATAAATAAGGAGGATCAACATAAGAAGCATAAATGGATTGATAATTATCATTCATCGTTTCCATATCATAGAGATTATTAAATTGTTCAGTATTCATTGTTTGTAATTGCATCCAATTTTCCTCTTGTTGAATAGGTTTAAAAGGTGATAGTAAAGTCAAAGGTGTTGACATTACCTTTTCACTATACGTGGGCGATGATGCATTGGAAGATGAAAAATCATCCTCAATTGTCATATTATTCATCCTTTGACAGCATTCCTTTTTTATGAAAAATGTACTGTTTGATGATGAGGAAGAAAGTTCATTCATTATAGTAAAATTAGATTGTGTTGTAGTTGTGTAAGGACTTGCTAAGTTTTTGATCGTAGAGGATCTATCCTCTTCTTGCTCCGTCATTTGTTGTATATCAGATATTTCGAAATCAAGATCAGTCATGGGACTCAACGTACTACATTGACTACTGCAACTAGCAGTTCTCGTTATACCGATCGATAAACCTGACGAACGCGAGTCTTCAAAGGATGGATGAGGTGATGAAAAGAATCGATTCTCATTTTGATTCATAAACTGTTGTTGGTTAGGCTGATAAGTGGTAGTTGTGCTATTAAAGCGTCGGTTATTTTGATGACCAGTTGAACCTCCATCATGATTATCATCCCCATCATGACTTAAAGATCTGGAGGGGTCATATTGGTGAAGACCATGCTCAAGTCGATGGTGTTGTGTAAGGTTCTCGGGTGAATGAAATTGTTTACCACAGAGTGTGCAGAGAAACATATGAAGTGATTGAATATGTCGTTCAAGATAATCCTGTCTCTTAAATAAATGTCCACATTCAGGAATAGGACAGTAATATTCTTGTTGTTGTTGTTGTGTCCAATCAAAGGTAGTGGTGGTAGTCGTTGTAGACATTAAGGTCGGTATGAGTGAAGACGATGATGTTGATGATGGTGGTGGTGGTGGTGGTGGTAGTGGTGGTGGTAATGGTGGTGGAACTGGATTCGTAGTAAATCCAAATCCCGCTTTTGTCGCAGCCAATGCAAGTCGACTACTACCGTTGTTCATCAATATAGCAGCTTGTTGCGGAGGCAAATGATGATTGGAAGAGGATGCAGTACGGATATGACATTTATCCTGACGACGAACACGTTCAGGCCCACCACCATAGATTCCACTTTGTGAATTCAATAATGAAGTTGAAACAGAGGCTGCGCGACGTCTACGTTGCTTATAGGTAGGTGCGCCATCAAATAAGGGCAAGTTACCAAAAATCGTTTTTGTTTTCTTCATGGCATTTACATCTACTGACTGTGAGGGCATGATCGTATGTGATAATATAGGATGACTATCCGTATTATGACTCAAATTGGATAATGAAGACGTAATCTCCAATTGATGAACACCATGTGAGATGGGATCTATATAATCGACTTCATTTTTTGAACTTTTATTAGTCGAAGTTGAAGACAAGTTGGGCTTTGATATATCTGTCAAAGTAGTCGTCGTACTAGCATCATCTTGGAAAAAGGAGACTTCATCATTAAAAGAAGGGGAAGATAATAAGGAAGAAGCTGAGCTCGAAAGATGACGGCTTGTTGTGGAACGAGGACGGCTTGTGGAATTGCTGCCAGTAAAATAGGAATGATGGCTCATTCGATGGTGTCTATGCTGTAAAAGCTGTAATTGATGTTGCTGACCTAGGCTTGCAGGAACTGAGTTGACACGAGATCTCTTTTCCTGTAAAGCAGCCGCACGTTCAAGTCTTGATTGTGATGAATGCCATGAAGCGCGATTAGGGTTCGGAGTAGAAGGTGAAGTCGACCAATTTTGATCTTTCTTTAAAAAAGAATTATTGGTTACTACTATGAAAATAAAAAGTTTAAATTAAATTATTAGAAAAAAAAAAAAAAGTAAGGAGAAAAGAATTTTTTTTTTTTTTTACCCTGATTGAGAGATAGGCTGCTATTAGGTACAGGCGATTTTTTCTTTTGTTTATTTTCAATAGAAGATGGTTGAACAGTAGAATGATTAGCCATATTCTTTCTTAATTGATCAAATAGTTCTTGAGTAGAGTCAATAGAAAGAGAGCTTGCAGGTTCAGCAACAGACTTCGTTGTAGGTTCTAATCCTACCTTTTCACGCTTAAGATCACGTTCTAGAGCATCCAGAAAGAGTCTATCATGAGGTACAGAATACCAATAAAATACTTTTTGCTTCTTTTGAGTTCTAATACAATTATTTTTATAGAGCATATCCAATAATTCAGATTTAGGTTCCTCTAATCTAGCGTCTTGTCCAGGTTTTAAGTTACGTAAATCAGAAAAGATACCTTCCTCAAATTTTTTTGCATTCGTAATGGGTCTTCCAAATGCATGAAAACGAAAAGTTAATGAACGAACAATATCAGTGCCTGTAATATAAAATACATCATTCCAAAGTACGCATGATATACTTTCGCCACCAGGCAACTCAAACCTTTTTATTGATTTTGTGTGATCCCATTGCTCAGCAGCAGTAGCAAAGAAGTATTTCATATCATCAATTTGTGATAATCGAGTTGCAGTGTTTTTGTTAGTAGGTGGAGGTAGCATACCATAGACTGACGCGATAGTTGAATCCGTTCTCTCGATCGTATTCCTCTTACTATAAGTATGCGCTTTCATCATAGTTGATCGTTGCATTGTTAATATATAATTTTTTTTTAATATTTTGTTTTTTGTTTTTTGTTTTTTTTTAATATATATGTAGGTTATAATAATATAATATAATACAAAAAAGAAAATAGATTTAAGAAGAAGAAAATGTCCGTTAACTCTTCTAATTTATGTATAAAAAATATAAAATAGATAAAAATAAAAAATAAAAATGAAGAAAAGGGAAAAAAAGGGGTTAAAAAGGTAAGTAAAGAAAGAAACCATATAAAAATAATCAAACGGGGAAATATAATAAACCTTAGAAGACTTTTATTGAAAAAAAAAAGGGGGGAAGGCAAAGGGAGATGAGGATATACATGTAAAAATAAGAAATAACAAGTCGTGATGTCCAAAAAAAAAAAAAAAAAAAAAAAAATAAAAAATAAAAAAATAAAAATAAAAATAAGGGAGAAAAAAATTGAGGGGACGCAAAATAGGGGTGATGAGAGGCAGAAGGGAGAGACAAAGTTAAGAAAGACGAAGAGAGAGGGAAAAACAAAGTTAATAGTTGCATATATTTTAAACAAACAAATCTGCTAGTTCTTGCATTACTTTATCCAAGCTGACTACTGACTAATTTCATACAAGGGGATTTTTACCAGTAACTTTTATTATTATTATTATTTATGTATATATGTGCATACATTTACATATATCATGTTAATGTTCGATATAAAGCCCTTAATCAAAGGATATACAATTAAATACATCACGTGTAACCATACAAAGATAATTTAAACAAATGGTACAAACTATTTCGTTATAACAAATACGTAAATCTTCAATAATATTAAAAAAATATAACAATTGCCAAGTCCGATTAAGTATTTATTTTTATTGAAAAAGAAAATATTTAAAATCCATTTGAATAATCTTGTATTGTCTGGGCTAGATCAGAAAATGAGAACAAAAAAAAAAAAATAATATAAAATAAAATAAAATAATAAAATCTTTTCATAGTCAAAAGGGAAAAAGGTAAAGAAAGGAAAAGACTAAAATGGGCTGTATCTTCAGATACTAAATTAATTATTTCATAGCCACTTGACCAAGTTAATACCAAGCATGATGAGATCTTAAGAGATATTTTACCATGATGGAGATAATGAAGTTCAAAGAGTATGCTGCATATTATAAGTCAACGAGTTTTTCTACGAAAATTAGTTAAACTGTTTCGACAGATACGTTGCTTTCTATACTTACTGGAAAGTTGCTTTAATAAAAGAGGGAAAGGATCAACCACAATGCTATTAGCTGTAGTACAGTCGGTATAGAAAAATATAGCCGTTTTTAGATATACTATTTACCGCTTTTGAAGAAATAAATTATCGTTTTCATTTTATTGTTGGAGTCTATATTCGTTTTTATTGTAACATAATAGCAAATGTTTTTTTTTTATTATAAAAATGCTCAGAACTATCCTTTTAACGATCAGGGGGTCGAAGTGGCCGGAATTACTTATACAAGCGTTATCCTTGAAACATTGTCTGATAAAAAGAGCTATTTTTAAACATAGAATTGCTTAAAAAAATTGTAGATAGAGCGATCCAAGCTGTCAAATCAGACAAATTCTCTAAAGCTTTTCCAATATACAGAAATTATAGCTGTAGAGAAGAAAGAAATGCATTTATAGAATGAGTGTGTATGTGTAAGAGAACGAAATGGCGAAAAAAGATTAGACGTAGTATGGAACAAACTTCTGAAAATGAAGAACTATTTTTCTTTTTAAAAAAAAGTGCTGCTACAGTTATACTTAAAAAAGAGGAAAGAAGGAAACCCAACAATAAAGGGAAAAATAGAGCTGCTTCATTTACACTAGAAGGCCAAATTAATATTACCAAAGGCACCACTATTGCTCATTTTGTCGAGTTTATGAATGAAATCCTAGATGTAACAAATTTAGACGAGAACCTGAAAGGATATTATTTGGTGCTAGAGAACGCATCAATCCATAAAACATAGCCAAAGAAAAAGAAAATCAAAAAAGAGAATGTAGATTACTGCATTTATCAGTTTGTTCTTTGATTGTTATATTTATTCGCTTTTGCTGTTTAAGTTCATATTCCAGCTGTTCACGATGACTACCCTATACTATATTCTAGATTACTAACTAATTAAGTAGGTAAGTTTATCTGACTACTATTATGACTAAAAACAATAGTAACTTCCTTCAAAATATTACCCCAGTGTCAGCAAATTAAGCATCTATAAACTACTTACGCATTCGCTTACAAGAAACATACACTAAACTACTTAATCATGGTTCAAATAAGTAATCGATAACTATAGGGGGGGTTAATCACTAATGTTGTTAACAGTCGCATTAAAATATTTTATAATAGCTTCATCCCTACAAAGTAAACATGTAAAACTGTCTATCTTTTATGAAGAAGAACTGTTTGCCTAACTGTTCCTTTTTATAGGTTCAAGGAAAAGGAAATATTAGAAAACATCTGGTTATAATGAAAGTGAAGAACAAGAGAAAGACGGAGATGAAGAGAAAAGTAAAGAGAAGGAGTGGAGAGAGAAAAAGATAAATTCGCAATTTTTTTTATAATAAATATCAATTATGCTTGCTAATTATAAATAAAAGGACAAAAAAATATGAAAATATTGCTGACAAATACCCTTTTTTTTTGGTTTTCTGTTAATTAATGGAATAGCGTTTCTAAAACATTTTACAGTTATGGAAACGAGGTCATTGATTGGTTTGAGAGAACTTAGTTCGAACCGAAGCTTGTACAAGAGCTGTAAGTACGTAAGAAGTGGCAATACTAATATCTAATATACTGTTCTATACCACTAGGATTCTTAATGGTATTATGTAACTAAATGACAGAAATTGGCTTTTATATAATATGAAACCAGATGTATAGGCTTAAACTATTTCATTTATAACATGAAGGTACGAAGATCCAAATAAAGCTATTGAGCATGATTAGGGTTATATAAGTTCTAAGATAATATAAGTTCTATTCTTGTTGTCGTATTTAGCTTTATTTTTGCGTTGTATCGAGTTAGATTACTTTTCAATTCAGTGTGCAAGTATCTAAAGCAGACTATAATGGATACTTATTGATAGTAGCAATAGTTGCTTACATGTTATGTTCATAGACATTGCTTAGATTGATATACCCTTAATAGTATCTAATTGGATAGATTAACGTCTATAATTTCATTCGTTTTCTTTTTTCTTTTCACGATATAAATAATGAAAATCATTTTTGATCTATTATTTTTTTTGATATTAACAAAGGATCTTATGGAGACCCATTTCGTATTATTCGTCTTATTCTCTAAATATTACCAAATTTATATGATAAATATTAAACTTGTTACATATCAGCTATCAATGTATTTTTATAAATTAAATTGTACTGTGTACATAAAGTCTATGGCTAAAGATATTCCTAATATTGAAAAAAAAAAAATAGGATAAGAAATGGTATACAAACTCAAATAATATAAACGATTAGGAAGCTGAAGGCAAATCAAAGCTATTATTGGAGTTGTAAGTTTGATATATGCGATACAGTAATTACTTTTGACGGCATTGATAATACATAAAAAAAAACATTATTTATTTATACTTTTGCTAATTTATATTCTTTAAAGGTCATAAATAAGGATTTGATTGAAACATCAGTAATTTTAATAGATAAGTCCTCTTCTATCACTATACACTTTTGCTTGAGTTTTTTCCTTTATCAAAGTCCAAAATTGTTCTATAGAGTTTAACTTGAGAGACTAAGTTGGTAAATGCATCAATCTGTATATGCCCATTAATCAATTTTTTTTTATATCAGCAATGTTTTTACATGAAAATAATTATTCTTTAATTGTTAATAATAAAGGTGACTTCAAGTTTTCTACTGCAAAGAGTTTGTAAAGTTATATCAATATACATAATATATTTTAGTAATAAAATCAAAAGTTTTATTTTGGTTTATTTTTATTTTTTTATTCCCAAGCTGAAATGTATACTATAATTAAAGAAGGGTAGCATTCATTTGCTGATCGACACATGAACAATTTAATAGTAGCAATAAATATAAATGTATATAAAGTAAATTAAAATGACTAATTATAAATTTACATTTGAAAGAAATCTTTGATTAAAAAGAATATATATAATAAAGGACTTTGGGAGAAACAATTAGATTGTACGAGAAAGAAAGAAAGAAAGAAAGAAAAAAAAATTTGATATATTATTAGAAAGATGACTTTGAGTTTTTCTTTGAGAAATATTGTGACTAGGTCTTATGTCTACTACTTAATGAAGAATAACAGCGCTGAAAGAGTCATTTGATATAATACTCAAGAAAAAGTCGACAGTTTGATCAAATTTAATAAATAAGACTCTACTTTTAACATGTTATATTGGGGTCAATTATTCATAAAAGAAAAAGAGGAATATTAGGAAACAGACTATCATTTGATTGCTTCACGCTATTAGCGTACTAAAGTCAAAAGACATTTTCATTGAAGATCAAACACGTGAGAAAAAGGAGGAGGACTAATATTCCGGGAATTGTTCCGACAAAAGAAGTTTACTGACAACATCAAGTTAAGTTCCTTCATGACAACCATCCCTTGATTGTTTATTATCATAACAACCGTTTCTATCACAACTTGAGAAGCTATTATTAGTAAAGTTATTTAACTTTATGAATTACAGGCACTCTTCTTGATGTAATAAAAGAGTTTATTATAATATTTTTATTGTATAAGTTTTATTTATAAATTTCGAGTCCTTTCAAATTACACTATATACATGTTCTTTATTATTTATACATGCACAAATATAAGGAATAATAATAATAATGAATTATTTAGTCTAATTTTTACTAGTTGCATATACCCCCCCTCTTTTTTTTTCTTTTTTTTTTTTTTTTTTTTTTTTTTTTTTTTTTAAGAAGAAAAAATATATCTGTAGGCTTATCTCTTACTCTTATCCCCTTTATTTCAAAGCATCTATCGTTCTTCTCTCTTTTCTTTTCTTTTCTTTTTTTTTTCACTTTTCATATTGTTACTATATAACTCATGGCGGAGATCAAAAAAGATGGCCAACTTTTAGTTAAAGAAGATGGTCTACGAGCTTGGATTTGGTCCAGACGATACGTTGTTCTACGTGAACAAACTCTTACTTTTCATCGCCACGAGGTATAACTTACTGATATTTTAAAATACAAAAAAAATATATAAATATATATATATATATCTATATATTTATACGTTATATATTAGCAAACCAGTCAATGTGTTGCTCTTATTTTTTTAAAAGAAATTATAGGTGTAGCAAGATCTGAACTGAAATCTCATTGTTTCGAATTGAGGACAAAGGCAAAATCACATTACATGGCTTGTCGTAATGATGAAGAACTCTATTCTTGGATGGACGAAATATATAATGTAAGTATATAATCAAATTATATGCACATCTATTTTCATTTTACCAAAAAAAAAGGGTAACACTATAAGAATTTTTCTTTTGTTAGCGATCTCCTTTAGGTACTTCAGGCCCAACTAATTTTGTTCATAAGATTCATGTTGGATTTGACCCTATTACAGGTGCATTTACGGTATGTTGGATAATGCTTCTTGGAAAGGACATATACATAAGAAATAATAATAATAATGGGAATATATTGTTTATAGGGTTTGCCTGAGCAATGGAATGCATTATTAAAGGGGTCCAAGATTACAGCGGAAGATGCAGCTAAAAACCCCCAGGCTGTATTGGAAGCACTTGAATTTTATACTGAACAAACCATAGGAGGTAAAGGTACATATAATGAAAGAGACAGGACTATTGATCACGATATCAATCATGATAACAAGAATATAACATCATCGTCATCATCAAATCCAAAACCAAGTATATCAACACCTGCAATGCACCATATTCGTGAAATGCCTGCAAAACCCATCATATTGAAACCCATTATGCAGCAAAACGAAGTAATTATGTCCAAGTCCGGCTTCAAACAAATTAATAATACAAATAATGCTCAAGTCAGATTAATGGAAAAATTGAACCCAAAAACAGATTATGTAGAAGAACAACAAGAATCAAAAAAAGTAAAATTGGATTTTTTTTTTTTATTTTATTTTATGTTATAGGTTAATAATCCTTGTGATCATTATTTTATAACTAGAATCCAACTTCCAAATTTAAAACAACAACAGCAACAACAAAAAGAGATAATGAAAGACAGGTAAAGCCAATAGTTACCAAAAATGGGTATAATACACATTACAATAAGCCAGTTTCACCTATTCCCAATACTACAATAAATGGACCTATTCTACCACGTAAATACAATTATGCCAGTCCTCCTATCAAATATCAACCAGAGGATACGCGAAATATGTCTTTTGCTGAACGTATCACACGCTTTGAACAGGAAAAAGAAAGATTAAAAATGGCAGCTGCTGAACTAGATCGTTATAAAAACTTGAAGAAGCGAACTAAGGATTTAGAAGCCAAAAAGCTAATACCAGAAGTTATAATCAAGAAAAAGCCCCTGGTATCTGTAGATTCATTAGTAAAGGAATCTATTAAAAAATCATCTATTATACCCGATCTACAACCCCAAATATCGACTCCTGTACCATCATCCAATCTAGAAAATGATAAGACTAAAAAAGGAACTGGATCAAATAAGAAGAAAGGCGAGAAGAGAATTAGTACAATGAGCGATAGTCAAATTATGGAACGACTTCTTTCTGTGGTTACAACTGGAGACCCTAATCTTCTTTATAAACGCGTAAAATGCATAGGGCAAGGGTATGTAAACTACATATAATAAGTGAATTTTTTTTTATTCTTTTCTAATTTTTTTTTATATATATGTTTATAGCGCTTCTGGGTCTGTTTACTTATCAAGTCATATTGCAAATAATGCTAAAGTAGCTGTTAAGCAAATGGAATTATCTAAACAGTCTCGACTTGATTTAATCGTGAATGAAATTATGATCATGAAAGAATCACGTCATGAGAACATAGTTAATTTTCTGGATGCATTCTTGGTGCGTGGTGATTTATGGGTTATCATGGAATTCATGGAAGGTGGTGCCTTAACAGATGTTATTGAAAATAATACTATGAATGAACAGCAAATAGCAACTATCTGTTTAGAAGTAATTATTAATAGATATATGAATACTTTATTGTAATAATAATATTAATACTTCATTTTCTTCTTGTTTATAGACTACAAAAGGATTAGACCATCTGCATTCGCAAAATATCATCCATAGAGATATCAAGTCTGATAATGTATTACTAAATTTTCAAGGTCAAGTAAAAATTAGCGATTTTGGTTATTGTGCTAAACTTACTGATCAGAGAAATAAGCGGGCAACTATGGTTGGAACCCCTTACTGGGTAAGAGAAATATATATATATATATATCTATCCATATATAAAATATTTATATTCATCAAAAAAAAAAAAAAAAAAAATGTACAGATGGCTCCAGAAATTGTAAAGCAAAAAGAATATGGTGCTAAAGTGGATATTTGGTCACTAGGAATTATGGCAATCGAAATGATAGAAAATGAACCACCTTATCTTGATGAAGAACCTTTAAAAGCACTTTATTTAATTGCAACGAACGGTACACCTTCACTAAAAAGACCAGAAACGCTATCAAAGGAATTGAAAAACTATTTAGCAGTTTGCCTATGTGTTGATGTGAAGTCTAGAGCTAGCGCTGCTGAATTGCTTAATGTAAACTTTCTATTTTCATATCATACTAAGCATTAACTTTTTTTTTATTTATAGCATGAGTTCCTTAAGAAAGCTGGACCAATTGATGTGCTATTGCCATCTCTTTTAAAGTTTAAAAAAAAGTAAAGAAAAATGATTGTACTAAAGAAAAATACATTATGAAAGAAAAAAAAAGGGGGGAAGAGAGGGATGGGAAACTATACTATACATTATCCTATAAATAATTAAAAAAGAAACACTGTAAATTATGAGGACTTGTGTTTGAGTTATACTAATCAAAGAGAGAGGGAGAGAGAATGTGTGTGTGTGAAGGGAGATGAACATGTGTAGAATAAACAATGTATTCACTAAATTAGTTTATAAAAAAAATACTTATGTTAATATCCTTATAAATACTTTTAAAATAGGAAGAATGGACTGTATAGTATATTGTTATTTCTCAGATAACTATAGAATATAGTTTAGACTAATCAATTAACACATACATTTAGTACAGGATCTACATTATATCGAGCTATAAAATATCTCTCCTTGCAAGCTTCCGATAACAAAGACCGAGACTTATAGACCAATTTATTGTAATTCTTATTTTTTTTTCTTTCAAATCACAATGCCAGTAAATTTGTGAAGAGCAAACATCAGCTTCTGTGATTTATATTAAATTACAGTTGTTGACTGTTGTCGCTTAAAGACTATATCAAGATAACTAAGCCTAAATGGAGAATGGAGATTAACTTTTATTTTTATTTATTTTTTTCTGTACAAAGATAAATATGTATGTATATAGAAAGAATTATCTTAGAAATACATTGTGTATTTCATTATGACTATTTATCTAATTAAATTAAGTTACGAATATAACAGCTATGGCTTGGGATTTAATAAACAGTGTTTATTGATAGTACGTTGATGTCCTTCTAGTCCATAATGCTTGCAAATAGGAATGGGAGATGCAATAGGGGATTTCAAAACAACTTGTAAATGTTAGTGATAGAAGTGAGGCTAGAGTAAGTAGAGTTAGCTTGAGATTTGATTCAAAGTCATATATGAAAGTGTAGGCAGGTGGTAATGGAGAGAAGTTGTCTGAAGAGTTATTGGCTAAAGGCTTATCTGGTTGACAATTGGAAGTTAAGTTTTCAGCTGTTGTTGTGCATGTAGCCGTAAAAGAAGAAAAAAAATACTCGTCATGTGAGTAATCCATGTTTGATTAGTATCAGACATAATCGCCTCGTTTACGGGCCTGTTTACTTGTCAGATGACTTATATCGAAGACAATGGTGGGAGATATACTTTGTATCATTACAATTGTAGCAGACCAAGGAGTGCTTGTAAGTATTTTGGAGACAACAGGTAAGGAAACATTTTTTTTTTGAAAAGAAGAAAGCGTAAAATCATCCTCCTGGCATACAATCGATTGCATGTGAGAGTATAAAAGGAATTCATTTTGAGCTAAAATATATTACACTTTGAGCTTGGGGATACAGTAGCAGTAGACGATAAGTGTAAGTGTAGGTGTGTTAATTTGCATTCATACTGATAGGATTAAAAAAAAAATCTTCAACTCTAAGGAAAGGTTAATTGCTACATACTGTATCCCAAGTATTGTTATTTGTATTCATACTAAAAAAAAAAAGTATATTTATCTCAACTTTTATAGCCTCTGTCTATCATTATTCAGTCCTTCATAATATGGATAAGCATATAAATATAAACCAGTTAAATTAAGCCTACTTCTTTATATACAATAATATAATAAACAAATTTATGACATTATTTATAATGAACTATAAGCAATCGTTGTGGTATGTTTATCTTGTTATGACAGCATGTCCACTTTACTATACTATACAAAAAATGCATTTATTATACTTTTCAGCAATTCTACTTTAATAATTAATCTATTGTATCGAACTTGATCTATGAAAAGCCTTCCTTAAAAAAAAAAGATAGATCGATGAAAAAAAAATTATATATAGTAAAAAGTTGAATAATCTTGTTTATTCTTCTATGTGCTACTTCTAACATACACTACATTATTTTATTCATTTGCAAATGTAACCAAGCTTTTGTTTTCTGCTACCAAATCTCCAACAGAATATAAAATTTGATCGATTTTACCAGAAGCAGGTGCTTTAATAACATGTTCCATCTTCATAGCTTCTAAAACGACCAATGTATCTCCTTTTTCAATTGTTTGCCCTGGTTTAACAAGGACTTGAGAAATTTTGCATGGCATAGGAGTTTTAATGGATCCCATACTATGACTATCGCTTTCATTCAATAAATAAGCAGGCATCGGTAACTTGAATGTTGTACGACCAGACTATGACATATACACATATAAAAGAGTCAACTTTTGTTAATTAACATAATTTTTGTTATTCCAATAAGATTCACAAACATATACCTCATCAAAAACAACGACCTCTTGATTATGTAGCACTGCATTACATTTTATCTTTTTGTTATCAATTGAAGAGACTAATAAACCATCTTCTTGATCTATATAACTTTCAACACCGGTAAATTTTTTGATAGATTCATTTGTAGTTGCATCAATAATATTCATATCAACTAAATCTGCTTTTAATGGGTTTGTAGATAAGACTACTTTATAAGGATGATCATTTTGAGTGAAATTAAACTCTCTGTGATGAACATCGTTGACACGGAAACTATTTGTATTTGTACTCCAAGGGCTATAAGGATCTATGAATGGAAATGGAAGTTTTAATTTATACTATATATTTATATAAATTTTGTATCTATTACCATTCAAATTCTTTCTAACTTGTTCAAGCTCTTTTAAACGAAGAGCGCTAGCAGTTAAGGCTAAAGTAGTTGGATCAGGGGACTCTGTTTCCTTGAAAAGATCTTTTTCGTACTGTTGAATAAAACCAGTTTCAACTTCGCCTTTAATAAATTCAGGATGCTCGGTTACTGTCTTAATGAAACCAATATTCGTATTAAGGCCTACAATTTGGTACTGTTCTAAAGCACGACGGAAGCGACGAAGTGCATCATTACGATTTTCACCATGAACAACAAGTTTGGATATCATGGGATCATAATGAACACTAATAGTATCACCTTGAATAAAGCCTGTTTCTAAGCGTAAATCTTTGCTGGGAGTAGGAGTACGAACACTGAAAAGTGGTCCAGTATCAGGAAGGAAGTGACTATGAAATAGAAAAAAAATTAGTATACAAGTTAGTATGTATTATATTTTTTTCTAAAAAAAAAAAAAAAAAAAAAAAAAAAAAAAAAAAAAAAAAAAAAAAAAAAAAGAGGTACTTTGAAGGATTTTCGGCATAGACACGAGCTTCAAAAGCATGGCCAGATAATTTAAGCTCATCTTGAGTCATAGGTAAGGGATTACCGGCAGCAACTTCTAGTTGCCAACGCACTAAATCGGTGTTTGTAACCATTTCTGTTACAGGATGTTCTACTTGTAAACGTGTATTCATTTCCATAAAATAAAATTTCTTGTCTATATTATCCATGATGAATTCAACAGTACCAGCATTTTCATAACCTACAGCACGAGCAGCTGCAACTGCTTTAGCACCCAAGTCATAACGTAAAACATCTGATAAACCTGGGGCAGGAGCCTCTTCGATGACTTTTTGGTGACGTCTTTGAACTGAACAATCCCGTTCAAAAAGATGAACGACATTATCGTATTTATCTGCAAAGACCTGAACTTCAATATGACGAGGGCGCTCTAAATACTTTTCAACAAGAACTTTATCATCACCAAAAGACTTGATTGATTCTCTTTTAGAAGATTCAAGCATTTCTTCAAATTCAGAAGGTGATCTTACAATACGCATGCCTTTACCTCCACCTCCCTTCACTGCTTTAATCAAAACGGGATATCCAATTTTATCTGCTTGCTCTTTTAAGAATTTAACATCTTGATTTTCACCATGATATCCTGGAACTACAGGCACACCTGCATTTTCCATAATATATTTTGACTCACTTTTTTTTTAAAAAAAATAAAAAAAAATAAAAAAATGGGTATGTTTTCTTTTTTTTTAATTAAGTGCGAGAAATTTTTTTACTTATGACATACCTTTTTGAACCCATTGAACGCATAGCATCACCTGAAGGGCCAATAAAAGCAATATTAGAAGCCTTGACAGTATCAGCAAAATCAGCATTTTCAGATAAAAATCCATAACCAGGATGAATGGCTTGAGCACCTGTCATTTTAGCGATGTTTAAAATTTTATCAATACGAAGATAACTTTCACTAGAAGCAGCAGGACCAATTAAAAAGGCTTCATCTGCCTATATTATTTATAAGAATTAATATAAATATTCGATTTTTAACTTGTAAAAAAAAATAAAATAAAATGTACCATTTTAACATGCTGAGCATTTGCATCAGGTTCACTATACACAGCAACAGTTTTGATACCCAAATCTCTTGCTGTACGCATAACACGAAGAGCTATCTCACCTCTTTATAAAGACAATTCAATTAATTTTTTTTTTAAAAAAAAAAATAAAAGTAAAAAAAAATAAAACGCGTTACCTATTTGCAATTAAAATTTTATCAAATAATGGCTTATGATCTATTAAATATGGTTATTTACTTGAAACGATATAAATGCAGAATATACAAACCATTTAATGAATGAATACTTCTAACAGCGGAGTCGGGAAATCTTGAACGAAGCAATCCAGGCACAACTGAAGAAAATGCTGGTATTCTTGCTATTCCTTTATGAAAATGAATCATTTTATGAACAAGTGAATTAGAGAAGAAGAAGAAGAAGAGGAAGAAAAGAAAAGAAAAGAAAAGAAAAGAGAAAGACGATGAAATATTTAATGATTATTACTGCAATGAAATCGTGGGAAAAATGAACTCAAAGCAAGGCATTAGAGAATTTACAAAAAAAGAAAAATTGTCAGTCACGATTACACACACACACAAAAAAAAAAAGATTTAGCATTTGTAAAAGTAAGCATCACAGATGTGTGAGGAGAGTTAAAAGAAGTCTGGAAAATTGAAATAAATCAAGTAAAATAATTATCAGTAAATAAGATGACAGAACTGAATTGTAAACTTTTTAAATAGCTGAATCTTATAATATATCTCTTGTACTTGTAGATTCATATAGTCAGTCTATTATAGCATATACTTTTGTATCTTCATTATAGAGCTCTAAATCATATAATGGCACTATCCAAATGCAAAGCATGTATAAACATGTAAAGTTTATAATAAAATTATACTCTAATCTAACTAGAAGCATCGACTATGATTTCTACATACTTTATATCCCTTTGAATGCAATAATTCAAGATTTTTTGTAATAAGCTTAAATATACTTCTATCTATTATAAATATAAGCTCAAAACATATAATTGTATTTAATGATCTATACAGCATTATTGTTAGTTATTATATAAATAAATGATATATTCCTTTATAAAAGTAATAAAAAAAAATAAAAAAAAAAAGAAAAGAAAAGAAAAAAAAGAAAAGAAAAAGAAAGGAAAACTCTACATCTTTTTTAAAGCGCCTGTCATGTCTTCGTATTGCTTCATGATTAACCCAGAGAATTGTTGTGCTTCATCTGATATACGTGTAAAAACATCTAGTATCGATAAGAATTGATTGACTTTCTTAACTATCGTTGACTTTTCAACTTCAAATCTTTGTGTAATTTCACTCAATCTGATTATCAAAAAAATGGTTAGTAGTTCATAAAGAAGAGAGACTTTATATTTATTTACTTTTTATCTACATCATATTGACGATTTCTTGCTTCAAGCATTGATTCTCTTGCTCTGGACCTTTTTTCTTCAAGATCTCTATCATGCTTATCAATCAGTAAATTGTATTGTTCGTTTTCACTTAAAAATTGCTGAAATAGACATTATTTTAATAAGTAACAAAAGATTAGAAACATTTATATTGAACTTACAGTATGTTGAGTTTCATAGCTTTCTATTATTTTGTTCACCTGCTTTTCCAGCATCTTGAATTCCTCCTCTTTCTCTTTAACTGCAATTTTTAAATTTTCTAGACTATCTCTTAGAGGCCTTGTATTGTCTTGGATGTCTTGAAATTCAGCTTTAGCCGCTTTATCGAATGATTCAAGTACAGACTATTAATATAAAATAAAATGAATAACCATTTTTTGTATGTTTAAACTTTATTCACATACTAAGGTCTTGTCAATAGAAGCTTGGGTTATATCATTGAGTGTTGTTTCATCAGAATCATAATTTATTGTGATATCTTCGTTACTTGAGGGTATATTTTTTGCTTTTGAATTATATTCATGAATATCTGCTTTAGTCTATTACAAAGGTAAAAAAAAAAAGGAGCTATTAGTAAATGGCTTCTATAATTGTGCTTATTTAACTCATTACTTGTTCGGTTAATTGCGTCAATTTATTTAATTTTTCATTATATGATTTTTGAAGTTCTTCTAGTTTGGCAGAAGTAGTCGCACAATCTTTTTGAAGACGATTACGCTCTTTAACATTTTTAATGAGTTCCTTTTCGGAAATATTGAGTTGCTTTACTTTGCTGTCAGCTTCTTCTAAATTCCTTTGTAGTTCTGCTAATTGCTGTTTTAACACACTTTCCTCCGCTTCAGCACGTTTACATCGATAATCATAGTTTTGGGCCCTTCTTTTTTGATGTGCTATATTTACATCGTATTTATGAGAATCTCTAACATATCTCTCATTTTCTACTTTCAAGGCATTTAAATTTGACTATTTACACAGTAGTGTTAAATCAAATTGTGAATGTTCATGAGTAGACATGGTTTATTACCTTGTCTGAATTAATAGTATTGATCTTTTCTCTTAACGTAGTATTTTTAACAGAATAATCCTCGACTGTCTTTATATTTTCCATATTTAATCTTTCTATAGTTTGTAAAAATAGAATTAGTAAACGTATCCTTTTTCACTATTTCTCTTCTTCTTCTTCTTCTTCTTCCTACACACATTACCAAAAATCGTTTTTAAATTGTTTCTTGATATCTTTGGGTCATTCATTCCTTCCATATGATGTTGATATGATTCCATAGTATAATCATGAAATAATTTACATAATCCATTCCTATCAAATTTTGCTTTGTGTTCAGGACTTGGCAATTCGTCCTCCTCTACCAAATCAGCAGCCTTACAACACTCTACAAGATAATGTAGTAAGCCAAAGAAGGTAGGAGTCGAGTGCAGAGCACCGACAGACATCAATGTCTTAGCATTAATTGTATCCACCATAGGATAATTGAACTTTCGAAGTAATACCAAGACCTCCTCTTCAAACTTTTTATTAAATATATAGTTGGGTAATAATCGACGAGTTAAATGTTTGAAAATCGCTTGAAAGTCTTTGGATCCAAGACTACGAATATTACGTGGTGGGGGTGGCCCTTCATAACGAGTTTTCTTTAAATATTCAATAATAGCACGTAGATAACGTCTTTGTACATCGCCATCTTTGATGTTGCGTGGATCTGTTATAAACTTTTTAGGTACTGATTTATCTCCCGTATTAAATTTTATTAAAAGTTCTGACTGTCTAAATGGTCGAAGCAGTAAGCTTGCTCTAGATTGTGCAATATGTATATATATATATATGTATGTATGTATATATATATATGTATATAAGCATTGTTTACTATCTATCTATAATCTTACATGTCATATTACCTTGGATTTGAAGACTGTGAATCATTTACAAGTGACATCAAGGAATCTCGATCTCTATTTCTTTGTAAAGTTGACTCTGTATACTGTGTTGCTTCAAATTGTAACCCTGACATGAATTCTTCATCCATCATTCGTTGATCTTGACCAGTTAGTTCTTGTTGATCTTGTTCCTGGTTTTGATCTTGTTCTATAAGATCATGATTGAATAGAGGTGTCTGCCCTTCAAATATCTTTTGTTGATCTTGTAATTGCCAATCTACAATGCTACTACTCATCCTTCTTTGTGGTCCAACAGAATTATCACCATGTAAACTTAATCTTTCTGTATTAAACGACAAACGCTGACTTTTTTTGGAAGGATAATATGAATCAGGTGTAGAGACTGGGACTCTCTTTCCATTCACATTGAAAGGTGATCCTATTGACATTCTTTGGTTGGCATTCTCTGAATCCCCCAAAGTAGTTGAGCTAGACATCGTTTATTTTAAATATGTCCAAAAAAAGTAAACATATTTTTTTTTTCCCTTAAAATTCAATCAAGAAATAATACTACAAAGAACGCGTGACTTCCTGTAAAATTCACGAAAAAAAAAAAAATATAACACCATTTCACCATTTATATTTCGAGCACGAGAATAATAAATTTAATCGCGAAAAAAAAAAGATATTAAATAAACAGCAGCAGCAGCAATAAATAGGATATCTTCTTTATGATAAATAATAACATCATTATTTTAGACAATGTGAGACAAGAGTTTATTCCTTGTATTCTTTATGCAGTTCACCTATTATATTTTGTTAGAAAAAAAAGAAAAAAAAAATAGGAATGTTATCAAAGTTGTACACTATAAAGGATACATTGTTAACTATGTGCGTAAAATCCATTTATTATTTTCAATATCTTCAAATGTAATAGGAGTAAAGATGTCTTTGGTTTGATTTATATTACGTAAACATTGACCTAAAAGAAGAGTTGATTGAGCCAATGTCTCTATATCATCATCTAGTTTTCTATGTGACTCATCATAACCACAACATATGACAGCAAGTGTAACTGGATCTAAATAGCTGATATGAAATAGCCATGAATTGAGTTTATTGCCTTCGAAGCTTATATCAATCTGATTAATAATAAACAAGTCAGTAATAAATCTTTTGTGTCTATACTTTTTTTTTTCTTTTTCTTTTACCTTCTTTTCTTCATTTAAGAATTCTAATTTCGAAAGATCTAATGATAATCCAAGACCAACTGCCTTTGTATAACTCTCTTTACATCCCCAAAATTGATAAAAAGTCTCAAGTCGACTATCTTCGTTATCATGATTTATAATTAGCTGCATTTCATTTTGTGTAAACTTTTTTTTTTAGGATAGTTAGTTAAAATATATAATGCTTTTCTTTTTTTCATTCTTTACTTGTGGAGAGAAGCTCTTTATAAAAGAGTCAATTGAACCACTTTTTGGTTTATCAATCACTACAGCGTCAACACCAATCTTCATATCTTTTGTGCATCCAAAAATAACCCAATCACCTTCATGTGAAGTGTTAAAATCATAATTTTTTGACTTTGCGTTTTTCTATGCAAAAGGAAATTATTTTATTTATTTCTTTTGGCTTGCATAATTTTATTAAAGCTTCTTACCAAAATAGGTTTTCCTGCTGGTAAACGATCAAACTCCAAGTCAAACCAGCTTATATTTAGTTCATTTGAAAAGTAATGTCGACGCAGTAGTCGATTAGCTAAAGCTAAATGTCGATCTTTATCGAATTTGTATCTTAAAATAGAGGCATGTTCATTCTTTGGTAACCAATTTAATGCTTTTTCAAACTTTTATATATATATATATATATATATACATGAGCTTAAAAAGGTCAATAGCAGTTTTTATGGGTTCCTAACCTTTTCACCTTCAAAGCTATTTTTAACATTGAATGCCAGTAAATCTAATTTAGACATTAAAGAATTTTTTCAAAAAAAAAAAAAAAGAAAAAGAAAAACGGAGCATTATAAAGAGTAGTTTTGGAAGAATTATCTTTTTATTTATTTATTTTCTAACAGACAAGTTGTTTATCCAAGAAAATATTTTATCTGGAAGCTAGACTTTATTGTTTTTAACATGCTTAAAGGAAAACACATTTTTATTAAAAAAAGAAAATTAAGCTATAGTGGTTCTATTTTATTTGAATTGAGATAACAAATAGAAATGATAGCTTCAAATTCACATAATTAGACATTTATCACTATAATCGGTAAATAGATCATCCATTTTTCGAGGATTCATAAAAGTGGGTGTATTAACATAGACTTTTTCTTTTTCCGTTGAGTATAAAGCTTTACTGAAAGCAGCAGCATCATCTGCATCATCAAACACCATACTGATGGTAGCTAATAAAAGAGAGAATTAAGTAATTTACAATAGAGTAAATAAATAAATGAAATTTACTTTGTTTTGTATTAACTTCTTTCGCTAAGGGTGAAGTTTCGGGATGCTTCAAATCAAGCGCGTCTTTATATGTATGCTCTTGGTCATTATAAGGATACATTTTATAAATTTATGTCAAGGAAAATAAAAGTGAGTAAAGAATATATTTCAGTTTAAATAGTATAATGGATTCATTGTACTTTTTGGAATTTTAAAATATTGGACAAGCGTCCCCTTATTAGGAAGTAACTATACACATTTGGCAAAGAATGCATTTAATTGTTTTTGTATTTGAGTAAGCATTCACTTAAAGTGTAAATGCTTTAAATATAACAATATCAATAGGTTATGTGAAGAACAAAAAAAAAATTCAGCCGATTTTTATTTCAACTACAATAAGCTTTAGTATTATTAAAAAATGTTTATATGTATACACATATCGTTCGTCTTTTTTTTATTATTTTTTCTTTTACATATATAGATACACTATCATATACATTCATTATTAACAAAAAAAAAAAAAACAGAAAAAAAAAAGGAATGCTTAGTTGAATGGATAATATTAAGAAACCGAAATTAACAGTAAGCCGTAAATTATCACTTAAACGTAATCCTTTAACATCATCAATACAAAGGAAAAGGAAACAACGTTCAGAGATACTTCGAAGGACATCAGTCGATATTAGCAAACATGATCAAGATATTGCTTGCGAATTGCCAGTGACTAAAACGTCATTGATATCCATATCTACATTAGATAAAGGATATCAGATGGATCAAAAAATGACTAATACAAGTCAGAATCTTCTATCTCCTGTCCAAGAGGAGTCATTTAAAGGAAACTTCGCTTCAAGTCCAAATAGAGAACAACATCAAGACGTTAGAATTCTTATGAAAGATATGAATATTAGACTTAACCCTATTAGCCTATTCCCATATACAAATAAAAGTGATCGTAAAAAAAAGAAATCGGCTGAGGAAGAAATAAATGAATGGGAATCTCTCTTTGACCCGCAGTTTACCTTTGGATCCTTTCATCAAGGTATTTTCAACTCTACAGGGATAGCCTTTACATCTACAGATGACTATTTTTATAAAGGAAAATGGCCATTAGCATATGAGGACATGATTGGTATGATACCATCCACAACTAAAATAACGACACATGAAAAAGAGGACAGTCATGGTCCGATTCATGGACAGTCTAATTTAAACTTGTTTTTATTTTCGCATGCATCAGATCCTATCCTTCCTGATATTACACAATTGGAAAAAATGATGATGAATAAAGAAACCTATCTCGACTCAACAAGCCGAAATAAGGAAGAAAACAATACGAAAGAACGACACAATCAAAACTGCCTTTCTCCCTCTGCTGAGACATCATCCTATAACAAAAATAAAAACTCAAAAGATGAATTACAATTATGGAATGAACGTCTTGAATTACTCAATACAATACGTAATCAAGTATTCTGCGAGAAATGGAATGGTACAGTACAAAAGAGGCAGACTCATAGTAACCGTAAAGGGTTTACAACAGCAAAATTTCAACAGCAATTGAAGCAGAAGGCAGAAAAGATGAGGCATGAAATTCTTATGGAGTCTCATAATGATAAAAAAAGGCAACTATCTATACTAATACGCAATAATAACAATTTATGTGACAAAAGAGTTCATCATCGAACTGATTATAATGAACAAAAAAGTATTAAATTGTCATCATCGTTCATGTTTGAACAAGTAAGTTCTATCAAGTTAGATAATGAATGTAAGAAAATAGCATTCAATGTACCCGAAGAAGATATTGAGCAATCAAAGTTAAAAGAAGAAAACCAGTTTTTCGAAATGTCTAGGAAAAGAAGTCGACCTACATTTTTGTTATTTGTGTGTGGATTCTTATTTCCACCTTTATGGATCATGAATGCCCTTTATGTTCCTCATTCATCTAAAGAAAGAAGTTTAGATAGTAAAAGGATTGACAGAAAGTGGCAGAGATACTCAAGAAATGCATTTATTGTTTTTTTTATATTCGCTATCTTAATCATCCTATTGATAGTAGTTTTTAAGCCTGCGCTAATAGGGTTTAGAAAAATGAATGAAAAAGTAAATCAAGAAGGAAAAATAGTTTTTGATTAAAAGCAACAGAATTATTTAGAAAAGACTTTATTTACGCTTGTAAATCATTTATCGATAAAGGGAAAATATTTTATTAACAACTAGTAGTTGAATATTTCTTTTCTTTTCTTTTTTTTAAAGAAAAAAAATACATGTCTTTATGAAAAGTATTTCAAAAGAATTGCTTATTAAGACATATACACATATATCAATATATGTATATATGTTTTATGTATGTATGAAAATAAATGATCTAGAAAAATGAATTCCAAAATAGAAATGAAAAGTACTTTAAAGTAATATAGCCAGTCAATCTGTGTATTGATGTCACCAAGTAGTTCAGTAAGTAAGTATAAGCACTTTGAACTTTGGAACTGATGGTATGACTCCTATTATCTCGCAAGTCGTAATAGACTTCAATTAATTCATTCACTGTCATTTTTTCTAAGGGTTTGATGTAATCTTGACTATTCTCACAATTTTTAAATAACTTCTTTAATTCTTTTTTATCATAATTTTGTTCTATTTGAATGTGAAGTGAGTCTTTAATTATAGAAGAATAAAACTTGATATACATATATTTACCTGCAACTCCTGTAGTATAAGGTAAAATATGAGTATATATAATCTTCGGCTTTAAAGTATCTGAGATAGTGTCAACAAATCCCAATAAAAGACAATACTTGTTATTGGTTACTAAATCTTCTATATAAAGAAATATGAAGAAATTGACATAGGTTTCATTATCATAATATATTAACAAAAAAAAAATTATACTTATATATATTATACCTTGTTCACATATTTGTTCTTCTGAATATGAGTCACTCGGAGAAGGTACCTTGCAGTCTTTTTCGAGAAATCGATGCGCATTCAATGATTTATGGATCCTATCGAGTTCTTCTATATCCAGTAATAGTGTAGCCTGTACTCTTATAGTTTTCGTATTTTCTATCATAGCCGTCGTTGTTGGTTTTGCTGAAGCTGCTGTTAGAAATTTGCATTGATTAAGTATTAATAAAAATGAAATAATTGGAACAATTACAATATTAAGGAAATTCATAGTTGATATAAAATATAGTCCATAAATAAGAGTGAAAAATATTACTAATATAAACTAAAACCAAGACTAGTTTAAATACTGTATTTTTATTGTTGATAATGTTTATATATGTACATAGATAGACAGATAGGTCTCTTTGTAGATAGTATTATTCATTGTAATTAGGCATTAAACCAAGTTCACTTACTCGTCCCCTTTTTTTTTTTGCATTTTTTTTTTTTTTTTTTGTAAAAATAAAATTAAATAAAAGAGCTTATAGACAAAATCAAGTGATTAGCGATAAGTTGTATTTCCAGAATCTAGAGCTCTCCCTCCCTTCCCCTGAAATTATGTTTCAATTGAGACAATGCTTTGAGGTTATTAACTGGAAATTAATTGTTATTATACTTCTTATTGTTATCGATTTCATAAATGATTAAGTAGAGGTGTGTAATGTAGATTATTGCTTTAATATCACTCTTCCTTGGTCTATTGTAATGAATAAAATGATGATATATGCATCAATCTTATTTAAGATGAATGTAGTGAGTTAAAAATAACTACTACTTTAAGTAGGATATAGTTTCTATTCCATTATATCAGTATATTCTTCTCTAGAACTTATATATACATATATATACGTTTATCTTCTTTGGCTGCATGCTAACATTAGTTTATTTATGCGTTTAAATATATGATAGTATATCTATTATATACATATATATTTATATGAGAGCACGATTAATGCATTTTTTATTTTAAAACAATAGGTCAATAAAAAATTGATCTGAGTTATTCTTCTATAACTTTCCTTTATTTCAGTTTTAGAAAGGATGTTATAAACATGATGCAGTAAAATCAGGTTGGACTATTCAATTATGAATAGCTATCTTCAGCTAGTATTTTAGATCTTACATTGTAGATATACCATTTCGACAAAAGATATCAACAATATAATAGCTTGCTAGGCATTGCATAACTCAAGACATATGTTATCTATGGAATGCCTTTATTAATGACCCATACAATGGCGCCACTACATTATTGTTAACAGCAAAGTCAAAATAAGTTATGACTCCTTTAAGAAATGCGCTAATATGGTAGTTTGAAGCAAGTCATTATCCAATAAGATGGAGTTTTTATTATTACAAATCGTATGTATAAGAAATGTTACACGATCTATGTCTTAATATTATATGATAGATTCAAACATTTACTGTTGTAGCTAGGATAGTGATACTAAAACATTCTACAAATCTACTTGTTGTATTTTATAGGTTTTCGTAACCATCATCCATAATATACAGGGATTTCGAAAAAATAAAATAAAATAATCTTTTGTGATATGATCAATTGCAGAAGAGTCAACCCATAATGATCAGTCAATATTAAAGGTGGTAAATACACATCAAAAGTTTCTATATCTGTATAGGATGTTTATAGTCAGTGATACAACATAATATGTCCGTTACCTACACAAGTTCATTTATATATAGAAAAAAGAAAAGGGCATAATCAAATATCCTTTATAGAATCTTAAGCTCTTACTTCAATACGTAATTGTATTTATTTATATATACTGAATATCTCAACATTCAGAATACTTTTGATGCATATAATAGTAGTAAGTTTCCTTTTTGTAAATAAAGAATCTAGGTGAACAAGGAGAAGAAGAAAATAAAAATAAAAATAAAGCCAATAATAAGCTTCATACAACTCCTTTTTATTAAAAGCTTGTATAAAATTAAGGAGTAAAGTAGTATAAAGTTTATTTTACGGTATTTTGTTCAACAACAAACAAAGAATATTAGTTAGTAAAAGGATTTGTTAAAGTAACCTGTTTATGCACGAATAAACTTGGATATTATGGAATAATAATAATAATAAAAAAAAAAACTCCCTTTTTTTTGGCATATAAAAATCTGTTTTATCTTGTGTTGTTTCTTTTAGAACCGTTTTTATTTTTGTCAATTTTTTTTTATCTAACATGTTATCTTCCCAAAGTCCAATTAAAGAGAGTAATTTCATATCCACTTCTTCTAAGCAAATTCAAACTGTCCTACCTTATGGTAAACACATACCGGATCAATCAGAAACTACGCAAAAATCACAAGAAGATGTAAGTTTATAAATATTTATGTAGCATGTCTATACTGAATCTATACTAAATCTATTCTAGATTCTTTTGGAACCATTTCATTATCTTTGCTCAAATCCTGGTAAAGACATTCGTTCCAAGATGATTGAAGCATTTGATGCCTGGTTGCAAGTACCTAAAGACGATTTGATTGTTATAACTCGTGTCATTGAAATGCTTCATAGTGCCAGTTTATTGTAAGTGTATCAGAAAAGTAGAAATACATCAATTAGTGTAAAAATATTACATATTTATGTTCTTTTTCTTTCGCAGGATTGATGATGTTGAAGATGATTCAGTACTTCGTCGTGGTGCACCTGCTGCTCATCATATTTATGGTATTCCTCAAACTATAAATTGTGCCAACTATGTATATTTTCTTGCATTGAATGAAATAACGAAATTAAAGAATCCAAATATGATTTCTATTTATACTGGTAAATATTCTATATAAAGCATATGTATTTATATGGTGTATTAATTTTTTTTTTTTGAATATCGTTAGATGAATTAATAAATTTACATCGTGGTCAAGGTATACAAATAATTAAGCAATTATTTTGTCACATTCTAACCTTTTTCTTTAAAAAAAAAATACATATATGTATTAAGGTATGGAGTTATTTTGGCGGGATACATTAACTTGTCCTACAGAGCAAGAATTTCTTGAAATGGTGAATGATAGTAAGTAGTAAGGTATAAAAGCTATTTTGGAGTAAAGTGTTCACTTGTCTTTTTTTTTCTTTAAGAAACGGGTGGTTTGTTGAGATTAGCAGTCAAACTGATGCAGGAAGCAAGTCAGTCTAAAATGTAAGACAATAATTAATACAGTGTTTTATCCCCTTTTCAAATACTAATATGTAAGTTGTTTTAGTGATTGTACAGGATTGGTTAGTAAAATTGGTATTCATTTTCAAGTCCGTGATGACTATATGAATTTACAATCGAAGAAGGTATGTAACTTGTATCCCTCTTCCCCACCAATATGAAGTTTACTTAATTGATCTTAATAATAGTATTCTGATAACAAAGGCTTTTGTGAAGACTTGACGGAAGGGAAATTCTCGTTTCCAATCATTCATTCAATTCGTGCAGATCCAACAAATCGTCAACTTTTAAATATCTTGAAGCAACGTAGTAATTCAGTCGAACTTAAGCAACATGCCTTACATATACTAGAAAGAACAAATACTTTTAGTTATTGTCGTCAATTCTTACAAGTATTAGAGAAAGAGGCCAGAAATGAAATTAAGATATTGGGAGGAAATCGTATGCTTGAAAAAATAATGGATGCTTTAAGCATTAACGAGGATACCGTATAAAACAAAATATTCTATATGCTTTATTTATTGACAAACTATCGTGATCTATTTTTTTATTTATTCTGTTAAATACACAAATCTGAACTTGAAGTCCACGGACAAAAAAAAAAAAAAAAAAAAAAAAAAAAAAAAAAAAAAAAAAAAAAAAAAAAAAAATTACATACATTCATACATTAAAGTGATCTTTATTTATTCATTTTATTACTTTTCTTATAACAATTAGCCATTTTTGTACTGAGTGGGTAATATTGTATAAAGGGCATAATGTAATCAAGCAATTACAAAATATCAAAGTCATATTTTTTTTATTTTCAGAATAATGTAATAGTTTTACTTTAAAGAGCTCATTGTTAAGCAAATTAATGGATACAATGAGAGCTAAATATCATAAATAAAAACATTCAACATTCACAAAAAAAAAATAAAAATAAAAATAAAACCCTTATTTTTATTTAATATATAATTTTTTTTTCTTCACAAATGCTATTACTGAACCCATTTTCAACATTAGCTATTAAATCAAGGAATTTAGTATTAAAAATAAAACAGTATAAAAAGAGAAAAGAATACCAAACTAAATCCACTGTATCGAGCTTTAATTCAGAGTTTGAATTTAATGCATCAGCAAAGAATCTATTTGAAAAGGGAACAGAGTACCTCTTTGGTAGAACAGCACCTGAGTTTGCTGTATCTCATTTTCTACAAGCAGATAAGTTGGGAGATATGAAAGCAAAAGGCGCAATTGGCTTCTGTTATGAATTTGGTTTGGGTGTTAAAAAAAATTATAAACAAGCAGAAAGATACTATCGTGATGGAGCAGGACAAAACGATAGCTTTAGTATGCTTCGCTTAAGATTCCTGAACGAGTATGGTGCTCCTAATATCAAAATGAGTCTTTTAGAATCGCTCTTCTGGAAGAATCAGTTAAAGAATAAATACGATGCTATTCAATGGATCTTTTATGGTGCTGCTGTTCATAATCATCCTGCCGCTCAATATGTTCTGGCGAGTTGTTATATGGATGGAATATGCGTTGCACATGATGAATCTTTGGCCTTTCACTGGTACAAGGCTTCTGCAAAGCAACTGAATCCTCAGGCTCAATGTATGGTCGCATACTGTTATCATGATGGAGTGGGGACCAAAAGGGAATTAAAGAAGGCGATCACATGGTTCTTTAAGGCTGCTGAACAAAATGACTTGGTTGCCATGTTAAATCTTGGGCACTGTTACGAGAGTGGGAATGGTGTTATTAAGGATTTAAATGAAGCTATCAACTGGTTCAAGAGATCTGGTCATTCTGGCAACAGACTTGCTCAATTCGCTGTTGGTCGATTCTATGAAAAAGGAATTGCTGTACAAGCCGATATAGATAAAGCATTAAAGTGGTATACACTATCAGCTAAACTAGGCTGTCCATATGCTGCAACTAGACTGGGTTATTTCTATCAAAATGGTATTGGTGTCAAAAAAGATAGTTATCATGCCTTTGATTGGTATTTACAGGCTTCCCTTCAGGGCTATGCAGAGGCGCAATATATATTAGGAATTTTCTATGAAAATGGCATAGGCATTCAATGTAGTTTAGAGAGAGCTTCTAAATGGTACAAACTGGCCGCTAAACATGGCTATGATGGAAGCACACATATCACTGTGAAAAAAAGCGATAATAGGATATTAAAGGAGAAGGAAGCTACAATCTAGAGAGTTTTTTATTTTTTTTATTGAAGAAACTAAAAAAGGGGACTTCATCATTATCTTTGATCTGTTTTACTTTTAAAAAAAAACATTATTATATTTATGGTTTTGATATGCACATTAATAGATTAAAGGTTTTTATTGTTTTAATTATCATTTTGTAAATTTCTAGAGAGTAAATGTATAATTATCTTTTTTCCTTTGAAAAGGACAAAATAGCTCAAAATTATTATTAAAATAGTGAATTTGTTAAAATACATCATCTTTACGTTGTTAAATAATAATCAGCATAACTCATTGCTTGTAGATCAATAAACTATTTTTCTTTAATAAGCTTTATATATTGATATTAAAAAAAAAAAGGAGGGGCAGCGGGAAGTAAATTAATAATAGTAAATACAAGCTACTGAAGGAAAATTTTTACATATTACATGAATAATGCATATCATTAAAAAAAAAGTAAGTATTAGATGTTTATATTAGTGTATGATAACTAGAATTAAAAGAGAAAGTAAATAATGTAACAATTAGGTGACATAATCTATATTGGGTATAAGATAGATTTTGTTTAAAATACACAATTTAAGACATGCATTCATTCATATTTTTTCTTTTCTCTCTAAATTTAATAATAGCATGATGGATATAGACAAATAGAGACATCAGACTTATAATGCAGTGGCCAACACCTAAAAGCAAAAAGGGAGCACCTTTCATCCATTTATCAAAAAGGAGTCCTCCAAGTTTCGATAGAATAATAATGCCAATAGCACCAATAAAAGAATATGTAGCAGAAACAGCGGCATGATCATTTGGATCACAATAGTCACCAGCCACCATGGCCATTCCAGAAATGATCATACCATATTGACCAATAGCAATCAAGATAACAAAGACAAGGGATAGTTTAGTAGTAGGATCTATGGAAAATGAGAATGGAAAATTGCCACAAGCACCAATAACACCAGCAATTAAAACAGCCCATTCCTTTGGAAGGTATTCAGAAGCCAGTGTAAAAAATACGGTAGAAGCTAATGCGATTAACTGAGCATAGCCTGACAGACTAGCCGATGAAGCTAATGAATAAAGACAAGTTTTACCAACCTCGCAACTTCCCTTTTCAATGTAATACTGTGTTATCCAAAGGCCTATGAAGTTTGTGATGATAATTTCATCAGCACGAGCAAAGAAACTAGATGCATAACCTAAAGCAATACGTGAATCCTTAGCAGCTTTGATACCACGATATAATTTGGTAAAAAATCCTTTTATATGATTTACAGAAGGTCGTTTGCGAGCATCTTTAGGCATACAAAAGAAAAGGATTATACTAAGGGCCATTGCTGTACCACCTATAGCACTATGGGCATAGATTAAACCCCTATTTTGACCTTTATATCTTATAGTAAGATAAGCAGGGACAAGAAATAGACAAAGAGAAGCAAATGTTGCACCAAGACCTGAAGCAATACCAATACATCCAGACACTAAACCACCTTTGCCATGTGCGATTTCTAGCATCATTGCAACCATCATAGCTGTGGCACCAGATGATCCAATACTGAAGAGCAATCTTATCAACAACATATCAGGATAAACATTTTTTACATGAGGATAACTTATAATAGCAGTCCCCATAATAAAAATAGAAGCAGACATAACACCTCGTCTACCAACTTGATCTGCAGCCATTGACCAAATAACGACAGCAAAGACAGAGATAATTTCAGAATACAAAGAAAGAGAACCTGTAATATCACCTGGATTTGAATAGATAGATAAAACACCCATAATGATTTGACTTTGAGTACCAGCAATATACACAATTAATGCAAGAGATGTAAAGACTGCAAAAATAAAAGCAAAAAACTGTAATGGATGGACATGATTCTGTAAAGGTATCCACCATAAGAATTTTCGAGGTTTTTCCTCGCATTGATGTATAGAAGAAGAATAAGTATCAAGAATAATTGATCCATTTGCTCTATTTATTTCTATTTTTTCATCCAAATTGTAAGCTGGTTTTGATTCCATTTTCTCCTAAAATAAATAGATAAATAATAGCAGTATTACTTCACTCACAAAGTAAAAAAGTTCAAATAAATGAAAAAAATACACCGTCAATCAAATTATATATAAGTATATTTAATTTTTTTTTATATATAAAATAATAGTTAAGTTTAAATTACTTGAAAGGCATACATAGAAGAAAAAAAAATATTGAAAAAGAAAAAAAAAATACACAGCAACGCAAAAGAATGTTAGTTTGTTCTATGGAAGTACAAATTAGATTTTTTATCAGATGTAAATGATATAAACTATATCTCCGATTATTATTTTTTGCTGTACACGATATTTTGGATAAAAAAAAAGTACTTCGAGTTGTTAAGAAAATTCTTGTTGTTCCATTAATATTCGACGCTAGTTAAGATAACAAACTTGTGTCATCTTCGCGGAAATATCAATATGTTTATGTGATTAGTTTTACCACATCCTTTAACGATGAACTATGTTTATGTATTAAAGCAGTCATGACAGCAATATGTGTATCTTCTAAATATATTTTTATGCTGTTTTATATCTCTTCAAATAAACTAGTCATATTATTTTCTCATAAATGGAAAATATCGAACAAGGTTTAATATGTAAGGAAATAAAACAGGGTATAAACATTTTTTTTTCTGTATTTCAAAGAATCTGATAAACTGTACGTTACACGGATTTCTCTGTTACATTGTGTTTTCACATAAATAATTGCCTACCTGCTTTTTTAACTTGAGGGTTAAAGTTATAATCTTCATAAATAAATAGAAAAAGAAGTTTTCATATTGATCTTTCATTCTAAATATGAGAAAATACTTCTGATTTTATTTGAATAAGTTAATTTTTTTTTTTTTTAAAAAAAAAAAAAAAAAAAAAAAAAAAAAAAAAAAAAAAAAAAAAAAAAAAAAGAAAGAAAAACTGAGGTTCAATTATGGTAATACTGTAAAATAAAAGATCAATTTGAATAAATTTGGTTCCAAATGTTTCTTATAAAAGTGGTAGCTTTTTTTTTTTTTTGTTTTATTTTTTAAACCAAATTAAAAAAATATGCGTCTCTCAGTTACTCTCGCATTGGCTACTGCTGTTGCTGTTTCGGCCCAAAACTGTAATCCTACATATAACGTTGCTTCTTCTGGCGAATGCTTTACCAACTGCAATATTGTAAGTTCAGTACATTTCAAAAAATAAAATAAAATAAATGAATGAATAAGAATAAGAATAAACTAAAAAAGAAATAACTTTGATAGAAAACTGGTCAAAAATACTTATCTGGTTGGACTATGGATCATACTTCTCCATTATTTATTGATTCTCTAAATCTTATGTGTACAAAAGGTACTGCTGAATACTTAGCCTTTATGTCTGAAGCCGGTATATGCATGTCCCGCTGCCCTGATAATCCTGCACTGTTTGCTGATGAATTTGCTGGTGCTTGTGCTTGGTATGCACAACATAAGAACGATACTTGTACAGATTCTCCAAATACCACGAATACAACCATTGCATCATCGAGTACTACTAACTCATCCCCTTCCAATTCTTCTGATATAAAACCTACTATATCCTCAGATGTAAAGGTTTCTAATAATAATAGTACCAGTGCTGCGAACAAATTGCAGTTTAGTACCTTTGCTATTGCATTGATTGCTGGCGCTAGTTATTTGACTCTTTAACTTTTTTTTATTATAATAACTTTTATTCTATGTACTAACACAATATTATTTATATTAACCATAATTTGATGTATTTTATTTATATAAAAAATAATTACTAAACTATATAATTTAAATTTATTATTTTACAAATATTCATTCTACTGAAGGTGTGTATGTAGATTTATCCATCTCTTCAGGTGCACAATTAATGTATGTTACATAATTTTTCTTTTTATATACTATTATAAACATTTCCCTCTATCTGTTTTGAAAATGTAATCTTATGTAAAATGAAATAATGCATATATCTATTTTAAGCCTTAAGCAAAAAAAAAAAAAAAAAAAAAAAAAAAAAAAAAAAAAAAAAAAAAAAAAAAAATTCAATTATATACATATTTATACTGAAGGTTTTATAGGTCATTAGAATCAAATTTTGTTCAATATAATATTTTGGTATTTAGATAGTTGCTCTTGTAATTGGTTATTTTTGTGTATTAATAAAGTGGCAATATTTCGAATAGAATAATGAATGTTTAAGATATAAACATGAATAATATTGAGTTTTTGAAGATGTATTTATATCTGCCTAACTAGTATACAAGCTTTGGCTGGCCATAATTTACAATGAAGGTATTAAGTAGTTAACGATGTTCGGTAATCCTGTACACTTGCAGTTTAGGATAATTTATTCGGATTTGGAAGTATTTTTTTTTGTCATGATAGTGATATAAAGAAGCTGCTCAAATAAGATAATAGAAATTTTATGCCATTCTTTTTTATTCACTATGAAATTTGTGCTATAGCATTGAGGCTTATTATATAAAATCAAGAGCAAAATCTACGGTGTGACTAACAATTAATTTGGGAGCAGTCTGGTAATGGTTTTCCTATTCAAGTTTGCTCTTTGTTTGTATAAGCTCATCAATAACTTGAATAAGTTGCTCGGTAACATAATTATACACTTCATCTTTCTGAAAACATTGTCTATAATAAGAAAAACAAATTATTAATTTTATTAAGCTTCATTAAGACTTTCTAAACCTCCGTTTTCTAGCTGTTAGTCAATCAATCATATTACTAAAGGAAGATTTGATAGCTTTTGTCATAAAATTTAAAGTAGTACAACAATACAGATGATACTGAGAAGATTTTAGCAAGATATGTCCTGGATAAAAAGAAAAAAAAAGTATTTTACGTGAAGCACAAACGATGATAGTAGATTGCGAGATGATTCTCATATAAATGATCTTTTGTATATTTTCAATTTCTATAAATCATGTGGTTATTAATAGACTTTAGTGGAAAAGCTATATGAACTAAGATTTTAGAAACTGGAGGTTCATGGATATGAAATCTATATTATTTATTAATTTTGAAGTAAATAATACATAATAATGTGTTTTTTCTTAGCAAGAAGGAAAATTTAAATATAGATAGCTCCTCTTTATCTCCCATTGTTATACTATATTTTTATTTTTGTATTACAATCGATATAAGCCTAGAATAGAAGCAATCTAATGTTGTATTATGACATGAACTAAGCCTTCAGTATCATTGAATATATTATAGTTTGATGATGCTAATTTTTATATATTTCTTTACTAGAAGAATCAAGTATATATATAATATTCTTTCTTTAAAATATAAATGAAAGGAAAATTCAATATTTTAGCCTCATTGCTATTGTGTAGTATCCAAATAAAGTAACATAGTGTGGCTTGAAGTATTATTATTATTGAAAAATAAATAAATAAATAGCTCAGCCCAATGCATATTTAATTCATATTTTTTTCTTGAATCATTTTTTCTTCTTTTTTTTTTAACTTACAAAATAAACACTTTCACTTTACTATGTCATTATTTTTAGCAAAAAAACAAGAAGAAGTTAACCAAAAGTAAATTCAACATATTTCTTTTTTGCTTGAACTAATAGTAAATGTTGATTGTTTATTTTCTGATATTTTATAGAAAAGTTAGGGACTTGCTCCGTTTAAAAGAGAACAAGAAATGTTTTGATTGCCCTACAAAGGTTTTTATCTATAAACTTTTTACTTTAATATCTATTGTTTGTTTAAAAATGTTTTTTTTCTTTCATCTTAGAGTCCAACATTCGTCAATATGACAATACAAACATTTGTTTGTTCTAGATGTTCTGGATTAATGTAAGCATTTCTCATTTTTAATCGAGCATTTTTGCTCAAAAATAAAAAAAAAAAAAGGAACAAATAAATATGTATTTAAAAAATAGTCGGGAAGTGGGTCATCGTGTAAAAGCTATTTCTGCCAGCAAATTTTCTGGTGCAGAAGTTTTAGCTCTTAAATATGGTGGTAATGGTATTGCTCTCAAAATTTGGCTTAGCAACTATAGCACACATGATTCACCTGAACCTGAATCTGACAATGATATTCGGGCTTTTATGAGACAAAAATATTATGAAAACAAATGGCTTGATCATGCGTTACTTCAGAAGCATAAAGAAGAAGTTCGTGCTATTATTTCAAAATCATTTACCGAAGACGGTCTTCCTATTATCACAAAATCAAAAGGAAAAATTGGTACAACTGGTTTTGCTCGTATTCCATTAATTGCTGATAGTGAAATGAATATCATGCATGATGACAATAATGAGGAAAGCATAGATGTAGGTCACCCTACCACTACTCAAACAAGTTCAAATATAACATATCCTGTTTCTTATAATCATAATAACTTCCCTCTTCCTCCTGTTTCACCTACAAGCTCCACTGCTATTACCACCACCACCCCTACTATGTTTGATGTGGGTAGAACATCAATCGATAGTATTCACTCCTCTAGTTCTGCATCTTCTTACTATACAAGTGCTTCATCTACTTATAGTTATCATCACAATACTCAAAATCTGTATGGAAAGGGACTTTCATCCTTTGTTGACAGTACTTATTCAAATATAGACAGCTCAAATTGTCTTCCAATTGACATTGCGTCTAATAAAATCTTATGCGAAGAAGAAATAATAGTTAGTTGCAAGAGCCCTGAAGTAAAATGCTTAAAGAATGCAAGTATCTCTCAAAATAATGTTCAGCAATCCTTATATAACACAGAAAAAGCGTTTGTTAAAAGGGTCTGTCCAGAATTACAAATAGATGTGGCACAAGCTAATAGGCATTTGACACAGCGACAATATTTATCAGATCAGTTTATAAATGTAATTTTTTTTTTAAAAAAATAAGTATTATATACATATTGTATGTACATTTAACTGAATAACAGATCTTCTTCTAATAGCCTCCCACATTAGTTAATCCCGATCTTAATGTTTCTGTATCTTGTGAGTATCTTTTTTTTTTTAATAGACGCAATTTGACTCATTCGTTTTTTTTTTTTGTTTTTTTTAAAAAAAAAAGGCTCAACACCCATTTTAGGTAATAAGCCTGCTTCAGCCTCATGTGTAGTTACACCAAATACCTTCAAAGCTACTAAATCAGATACAGCAAATACATTTAATAGTATTATCTCAGAGCTTGCAGGTCTTAAATTAGAAAAGACAATACAAAAAGCGACTTATGGTGGCGGAATGTTATCACCCACTACTACCTTAGAACAAAAGTCTTTAACTCCATCTTCTTCAACTGATAACAAGGAAAATTCCGTTGCATCTAAGATTGAATCAAACTTTTTTTCACAACTAGAAAAGATGAAAGAGAAGCAAGTTCCAGAAAATGATCCCTACGCAGCTCTAAGAGGTATTTATACTTCTACTTATACACAGTGTATAAATATGAAGGAAAATGAAAAACAATGCCCTTTTTCTGAGGATGATGATGATGATGATAACGATGATCAATGGCAAGGTAAATCACCATGTTTATTTCTTTTCTTTTTTTTTTAAAAAAAAAAATGATCTAACTTCTTTTTATTTTATTTTTTTTTTCTAAAAAGAATTCTGCTCTTCATCTTCAGTTGACGATGATGACTTCTTCGAACCAAAACAAATCGTTAACCCCGTTGTTGAAAATATAAAGTCTAATACAACTAATATGATTGCAGTCGATTTATTTAGTGGTTTAGATCCTCGGTCAATGCTTAGACGTTTTTGAAGTTAACATTTCAAAATATACATACTATAAAAAAACAAAAGATAATTAACTATATTTATACACGAATAACATCAGATTCAATTTCCTTTTTTTTTTTTTTTCTCCTCATCATTATATTTATAAGCCATTTTGTTATTATCATTATTATATTTTATAAAATAAAGCCAAAAAATTATTTTATTTTATTTTTTACATCATATTTAATAATTATGCTAAATTACAGATATTTTTATACAACTAAATGCTATGCGTTTTTTTTTCTTTTTAATTAAATTTGATAGTGAAAGTTTGAGTCAAGTCAATAGAGAAACCTTCAAAGACGACAGAATTTCCAGTATGTTTAGATTTATATGTCTTCTTGGCACGGGTATTACCAACTGTAGCAGTCTTTAATTGACTAGCCTTTTCACCAATGATAGTAACTGAACTGAGCTTTTCAGGTTTTGAGTAACCAAATTTACCTGATGCTTGGAGTTGACCGTTTTCATAGACAAAGTTAATATCAGAATAAGAGGCAACATTAAGAGATTCACCATCATCGATATAAAGTCTACCTGAAGCTGAGCCAGTATTGTCAAGAGCAATAATCAAGTTATAGTCAGTAGCATATGTCTCACCAACAGTGTATTTGGGTGTCTTAGCGGGTATAATACTACCACCACGAATATGAAGAGGAATATGTGCCAAGGGTGCATCTAATGTAACTTTTGTAACAGCGTCGTTGTTAACTGTAACTTCATGAGTGTACCAGTCATACCAGATACCGATAGGGAATTGAGCATCAACGGTTGTTGCGTTTTCATAAAGAACAGGTGAAATTAAAATATCTGAACCAAGAAGGACTTGGACATCGTTGGAAGAAAGTTCCTCATAGTTAGGATATTCAAAGAAGAGTGGTCTCCAGACACCAGTACCCAAACGATTAGATTCTTCAAAGAGAGTGTAGTAATAAGGAAGTAAAGTGTAACGGATATTAAGGGCAATACGACTGGCTTCAGCTGTGCTCTTCCAAAGATAAGGTTCTTGATCAATTTGTCCTTTGTTGTTGTGGTTACGAGCAAATGGATAGAAAGAACCAAGTTCCATCCAACGTGTACAAAGTTGTTCAGTGGTGTTTTCAAGGAAACCACAAACATCAGAGCCAGAATAGGTGATACCAAACATTTGCATATTCAAAACATTAGCAATGGAAGTCTTAAGATAAGACCATAAAGAGTGATTATCACCTATTTGTATAGGAAAAAAAAATAAGTTCATTAGTTTTTTTATGTAAATAATGAGTTAATCAAAAGATTTTTTTACCTGTCCAATGACCAGCATATTTACCAGAACCAGCAAAGGAAGATCTGGTCAAGATAAATGGTCTAATACTATCATTATGCTTAATAAGAGCCTATTTTTTAAAAGGAAAAAAAATTATTTTTAATTAATATTTTTTTTAAAAAAAAAAAAATATTCTTATGTATACTTACATTGCGAGTGTGATAACTTTCGGCATAACCATAAAGATTATGGATATCATAGTGAGGTACATTACCATAATGGACAGCGGTTGTAGCGACAGTATGTTCAGATAAGTTTCCAGCACCATTATTAATAGCATACTTGGGATATAATAGATTACGTGTTTCTCCCTTAGGGTTACCCATAGCATTTAATGCAGCTTCTTGAGCAGCATGTTCTTTATCTAGCACCTTTTGAGATTGAAGACCAGCATTAATTTTGCCTGAACCACAAGAGCCAAGACAGAAACTAGAGGGCTCATTCATATCAATCCATAAACCGTCCACGCCAAGAAGATTGACCCAATCAATAATCTCCTTCTCCCAGTAGGCAGTAGCATTGGGATGCCACCAATCAGGGAAAACAGTATAGCCTGGCCAGACAGCACCAATATAGTCAGTTCCATCAGGATTCTTGATAAATACACTCATGTCAACACCTCGTGTGTAAGGCTCATAGGTTGAATTAGCACTAATGGCGGGATCAACCATAACTACATAGCTTTGTCCGTCCTCATGAAGTGTTTTACCAAAGTCAACCATTCGGTTAATAGGAAAGTTTACTGGGTCACTAGTGAAATCCTTATATTGATCCATATAATCAATATCAATCCAAGCGGTTTGAACTATACAAATAGAACAAAAAAAAAGTTAATAATTTTTATGTATATAGTAGTGAAAAGGAACTTACGAGGAATGTTAGCTTCCTTATATTTCTTAACTACTGTTTCAACAGCATCAATGTCGTGATAACCATAACGGCAGTGATGCCAACCAAGCATCCAATGTGCTAAAAGATATAAAAAAAATTAGATAGGAATACAAATATAGATAGAACTTAATTTACCAGGCATCATAGGTTTGCCAATCAAATCGGTATATGCTATGCTGAGATCACCAGCAGTACCAGATTTAGGAACAAAGAAATAAAAGTCAAGGATACCACCAATGACCTTATATGTAATTCTACCATCGACGGTAATAACATCCATACCATGACTAGAAAGTAAGAACACGCCATGAGATTTACCATCACGAACTTCACTATAATAAGGATGGGAACCATAAATATTGCCGTAGAATCTATAGGAAGAAAAATATATTAGGCGTGTTCTTAATATACAGTACCAAAAAAAAAAAGAAAACTTACGGGTCAGGTTTATCACGAGCCCAGATAGTAGTAACATTCTTAAAAAAAAAAAGAGAAAATTTAGTTTTATAAGTATATAAAATATATATAACATCACTTACAGAAGTACGCTTGAATGGAGCAGTGACTTCACCGAAACCATAAATGTTAGCATCTTTAGGAATGGAGGTGGATAATTCAAGATATTGATCTTCAAAGACGAGAGGCATGTTTGTAGTATCAAAAACAATGGTCTTATCACTATTACGAATCACCCTGAAACCAAAAGGTTTGGCAGTATATTCGAAATCATAATTCCTATTCTCAAAAGCATAAGAGGTAATGTTTGGACGTATTAAACCTAAGGGTGAATTGGGAACAACAGGCTGCTTATTTTGAGCGTCTGAAATCTACACAGAAAAGGGAAAAATGGTATGAATATCAAACATTATATACAAAAATAGAAATAATTTTTTTCTTTTACCTTCACATGTAATCTTTCTTCAGTTTCATACTCCACATTTACAATAAGATTATCGATAGTTTTACCATATAGATTAGTAGCAGCGTTTTTTTGGTTGGAATTAAGAGTTAAAGGAATACGAAGACCAGCGTTAGTATTTTCAACTTGGCCATTGATCATATATCCAGCGGCATTAGAGCTAATTTCTATAAGTACAATAGATTTTTAATAAATATACAAGTTTTAATAATAAAGAAAAAAGAAGTGTTTACCATAAGTTTCCTTAGTTAGACCAAGCACACTTGCGGAAAAACTAAGGGCTATAGCAACAAATATGTAAGATACTTTTGCCATTACAATAAATAAGATGATTTGTTAAAAAATAAAATAGAAATGAATAAATGACCCTTTTCTCTTCTCCTTTTATATCCTATGTTTTTATGAAAAAAAAAAATCCGAATAAAATGCGTATATACATTATAGCTTAAAGTATTACTTAAAAAAAAAAAAAAAAAAAAAAAAAAAAAAAAAAAAAAAAAAAAAAAACTGATGCTTAAAGTGATTTGTTTGTCAGTAAACAAAGAATAGTGAAACATTGGTAAAATTTACCATTATTTACCAGTTTTTTCATTTCTATACTATCAATTTCTGAATTTTTCTAAAAAGGTATTTTTTATATGTTCGGTTGACTTCGTACATTACGCGTATACACTTATAAATGAATCGTTTTTTATATTTAGGAAATCATACATATAAAATCATTCTTGTATAATGAAGTTAATATTATTAAAATACTGTATGAGCAAGTTTTTCAATTGAATAAAACGATGAATTCATCATTTTTATAAGAATGCATTTGACAACACAAAGTTAAATTTCAGAATTTTTTGTAAGTCTTTCATTTTAGGTTTTGTTTAAAAATTCTGGGAAAATTACATTACAATTCAGCAGAAAAGAAATAATTCGGAAGCGTAAATTGTCATCTTATTCAACAAAATTCATCCATTCGTAAATGTTTAATAAGTAAAGGTTTATCCGCCCAAAATTGACACATAAGATAAGAATTAAAAAAAAAAAAAGACTTATTTGGGGAATAAGAAAACGCTTTGTTTTTTTTTTTTTTATTATTTTAAAGAAAAGAAGATAAAAATTAATGGAAAGGTTAAACAGTATTCTGTTTTAGTAAAGAAATAAAGAGAAGGAAAGGGAGAATTTTTTTTTAATGTTATACAGAATATAAGGTATTCTAGGGTAAATAGGTGAAGCAAAGTTGCTGTACACAACTTTAATTACGTAGATCTTTATGAACTATTTTTTCAGTATATTTGTAATGAATCCGCTGACCCGCTTCAGTTCAAGGGATATATTACATATTTCAGTATCCAATTGGAATCTAGCAAAACCATTTTCTTCGGGTACCCTTCCTTTCTAACTAATTCTTCTAACTTTTAATAAATATTCAACTGTAAAACCATTACCGTCTCTTTTATAAACGTGGGTTTCAGAGCTTTTCTTTCAACTTAGTTTGTCTAATCTAAGCAGAAGTTCCTTAAACTTTAAACTTTATATAAATCTCATTATAGCAAATATGTTTCATAGAAAGATTGAAGATACTTGAGGTGAATACAAGCAAATGTACATAACAAGAGAACTTTACAGTTGTGTAAATAGAAGAGATATATAAATTAATTTTCATTAAAATGGCTTAATTTTTAGTGTAACTTCATAGCATTACAACTAAGTATACGTATCATTATTTGAAAAGTCAAATAGTATTGTTTAAGTTTAAATTTCAAATTAAGCAGAAGGTAAAGTATGCATGATTGTTGATTTGCTACTTTCTGAAGTACAGTATAATAGAAATTTAATATCTAGTAAAAACTACGGTCATAATTTGATTACTATTGAATTTTATTCTCATTAATATTAAGGGTTGTGTGAATATGTATAAGACAAAAAAGCTTTCATAGTAGTAATGTATGGGCTTATATGATTTAGCTTTCTGGCAGCATTAAGTGATTATGCTATCCTCTTTTATAATAGCATATGACACATAGTCTTGCTGTTTTTCTTTTTTATTTAGTATCTTGATTCATTACTATTGACTTTTTTTTCTGTCTATTTTTATTGAATAATAGGTTGGTTGCTCCTTTTCTTCTTTATCGCTAATCTAGATATGATGCGAGATATAAAATGGTAGAATATTGCAAGAATACTGTGGGCTCCAAAATATATTTTGAATGCCATGTCAAGGATTTCATTAAGCAGTTATAGAGTTTCACTAAACAAAGTTCTAATTTAAAAAATAAAGTTAAAAAACTTGCTATATTTTACAACAGTAGATGGGATAACCCAACCCACAACAAAAACAATGAAAGAAAGGGGCAAGAACAAGTGCCTTTCATTATACAGGTTATTAAAAATATGTTGTATAATATTATCTTACAAAGATAACGTATTTCTGATCGAATTGCTTTCAACATTGTAGACTGTGCATTTATCATATGTTTAGCTTAAACCGTTAAAAATACCGATATATGTCAAACATATTTTATACCGTTTCTGAAAAATATTAAAAAAAAAAAGAAAAAAAATCCAGCTAAATCTATAGATCTTAATTAAAATTACAACGGCTACTTTTATTATATTAAACTTCTCTTTATCCGTAGAAAACTCTATCCTATGAAATCTCATATTTAATTAGGAACGTATTCATTTTTCCACTTGTGTCTTGGATAGTTTGCTCTGCTCTAAAACCTTGCTTTTGCCTTCCGCTTCATGTTTCTCCCCCAAGTAATACATTATAACAATGAATAGTATCTACTTTTCAAACTATATTCTTAGCTTACCTCGTCTTTAACTGGACTTTTGTATTATCTGTATGTATTTCTTTCCTGTTATGTATAAGAACTATCCTATTCTTTCTTTCTTTTTTTTTTTCTAGATCACATCATACATGTTAACAATACACTAGTCAGAGCGGACAGACAATTTCTATCTGAGCTCCCACAAGAAGTGTCTTATAATAATCTCATGAGAAAAAAATTCGGTACGCTTTCCATACTAACAATCATTTAAAAAAAATGGGAACTTCGTAAAAATCCAGAGGTAAGATTTCACAATATTGTTGTACATCAAAATATACTTTTTTTTTTGTTCCTGGTAATTATAAAAGTTATTTAGAAATAAGGAAAGAGTGATCAGGAAGAATACAGTGTCTTGCTTATGAAAATACAATTGCTACCAGTATAAATTTTGGGTGACCAGCGTATATGTAAGGTAGTAGCATGCGTATTATCATCATCGAGGAAAGGAATTTTTTTTTTATTTAATCTCCTTTTATTTGCGGTGAACAACATGTCTCCTATTATAATCATAGCAAATGCTATTTTCTTGTGGTTGACGAAAAGATAATAATTTTTTTTCTGATATTAGTTTGGGATGAGACTTGTTTGATAAAAATATAGCAAAGTGCTTTTGTTCTATCTGAAGGGTTTGAAAAGGTAAAAAGTTCTAGCACGTCCTTGCTTTAATAAAATGCCTTGATAGCATTACTACTTATGATATTAATACCTACAGGTCCTCTTGCTTGATAGTGCCATCTACTTTTATTTGCTTTTTGAATGATTTTTATTTAACTTACATCCAAGTCTTATTGTGCATGACGGCTGTATCAAGAGCCTTTTTTTTTTTTTTCTTTTTTTTTTTTGTTAGCTGAAAGTAAATATACAATTAAAATTATCTTTTAAAACAACCTTGTTAACTGAAGTTATTAGTGTAATAAGGTTAATTTCAAGTAGTCATAATTACTACTTCTACTTACTGTTCTTTATTTGGTACGTCTATCTTATTTGATTACCGATTATCTATGTAATAAATGGCTGAATGGAATAAATTCTATAAATACACTATAACGCATTAGTCACTCTTGTTAGTTATAATCATATTTTTGGTTGTGTGTATGCAGCAATGAATCTCCAATACTTGGTATTAACTAAATGTTAATCTTTAATAATTTCAATAACTGAAATATCTTTCCATATATTTTCTGATTTACTTGAAAATTAAAAATGAGTCGTTTAAATAATACCTCTTTTACTTTAAGAGATTAGTTTCCATGAGGATACAAATGAAAGAGATTGATAGATAAAATAAAAGTGCACCCGTTTGCAACTCATAAGCCAAATGTACTGTGTGAATCTTCTACATATCATTTTGGAAGAAAAACCTTATCCGAAATGTCAAGAGAATTGCAAGCCATAATGTTGTTTGTATAACCAACGTATCCTTATAATAAACTTTTATGTTAGATCCTTTCTGTCTCTTCTACTTTTCTCAAATCATAATGTGAATTAAATAGAATTAAGAAAACTTCTATCTCAATGGCAATTCAAATATACTAATTAACTGACTTATCCAATTTGCAAAAGGTCATTAATAACAAAAAAAAAAAAAAAAAAAAAAAAAAAAAAAAAAAAAAAAAACCGTTACTGAGAACGCAAAAGGGATATCCTTCTGTGTTAATAATAATGTTAACAGGCCAATGTATGTATTCGTTGTATTTTTTCTTTTCCTAATCCCCCTTCCATTGGCTTATGCCGTCATTTAGCCTCATTTTTGCAATGTATTGAATTAGAAATGCATGTATTTTAATGTATAAATATCTAAAGATTATGATAGATATGCGTTAATAGTAGCAATAGTTGCTTACCTGTTGTGTAATGGACTGCTTTACCTTAATAGCTATTTAATTGAATAGATTGATATCTATAAACTTATTTTAGTTTATGTATGTTTTTAATAAAAATAATGAAAATCATCTTTGACCGCAATATTAGTTTATTATTATTATTTGATATGGAAACTCATTTCTTATTCTCTAAATATAACTAGATTCATACATTAAATATTACAGCTTAGATACTAATAATTAACATTTTTTTTTTTTATTGTGACGATGGACAAGAGTAACAGTAAAGTACAAAACGTGTATAATGGCAGCATTAAAGGCTAATAATGGTACGGTATTTGGTGATGTAATCACAAATGAAAGTAACAAATCAATCAACAAAGAAGCAAAAGATTAATCCTATTAATGAGGGGTCTAGTACTTGGAATATCAACTAGCAAAAAGATTTATGGGAGGCCTTGCTCTAATAAGCTTCAGTTAGCCAAAGCCTTCCTTTAGAAAATTTCTATATAATCAGTTATAGTTATTATTTTATCAACTATTATTCTTTAATTGTAATCAAGTTATCAGTTCATTTCAGGGATGATAATTGTATTCATATTAATTCCCTTTAAAAACATATGGTCAATATACCGAATAGTAATATTTTAGATTATTAACCATTTGACTGTTATTATTAATCTAAATAATATATCTATTGATGTTTGATCTAACTGATTGTTTTTTTTTTTTTTTAAGCCAAATTATAAAGTATTATATTGTTCATGCTTGTAAATGATATAGGGAAGGCACTACAATGTATATTTGTATTTTTAAGCATTTCCTTATGCTATATTTATTCGTCAATGTATTACTTGAATGAATCTTATTATACATTTAACAGTGTCTATTCAATCAAAATAGAGTTATTATAGACAGTATATGATTATATTAGTATATTGAATAAGAATGATAGTAATAATGTATATAGAGCCTGTAAAGTGCATACTTATCATTAGTAACTTGTTCTATATTTGATTCAGCACTACTTCATAACATTGGTATTTATTGTTATGTTATTTTCATTACTCATAAAACAAGAATGTCTTAAAAATAATACTGTATATGCATAAAGTGCACAACTAATAATATTGATTCTGATCTGTGATATATCGTCCTATGCAGTATTAGTTTATATCTTGCTTTTCGATCTTTCTATTATCGTCTTATTGATAATTCTAATATTTAGTTATATTGTGATATTTTTTATTAAAATGTCAGAATAAAGGTAAGTTATATATATATATAAAAAACTAGTAAAGTCAACAAAACTGAACAATAGTTCTATACGCCAATTCCTTTAATTTATAATTTTAAATGATGGGCTATTTATATAAAAGATAGTTGAGGTCAGGAGAGGTATAACGAACCATATTTAGTATTGTACAATGTCCTTAATAAATTTATATATCATGAAGGAAAATTATACATAAATAAGTTATTAAAATCCCTTCTTCTTTGAGAATATTTGCTCAGGTACTTTTTAATAAAAGAGTAATCAATTCTGAATACACTTATATTTTGATAATCGTCGAATTATTATCAAAATTTATATGATATCATATCATGGCACCTTTTATTCCGCATATGTTACTTATAACTAGACCTTACTAAAAGCCTACTACGAAATCTTTCAAAAAAAAAAAAAAAAAAAAAAAAAAAAAAAAAAAAGATCAGTTCAACTATCCACAACTTCATTGTAACTAAAGCAGATAATGAAGACAGCAGAGAATAAACATAAACTTATATAAACTTTATTCCATTAAATCTGCATCGAATACAAAAAGAGTTGATGAACTAAGAAATGATATTAAAGAACAACAACATGACAATTACTGGAATTTCAATTCATGACAAACTCTTTAAACGGTATTATTTTTATAGGCCTTAATTGCAAGAACAATATAAATCTACAAACAATGCTTATCAATTCATTTTTTTTTAATTGTTCATCCTGCCGAGAGTAATACCGCATTGGTTGTCGAAGATGAGTCAACGGGTATTAAATTATGCACAGTAATTAATGCTACTTTAGTTGAGACAAAAAATATACTATATACATAGTACTCCGTCCCGTCCCGTCATGGCTACAGTTATTGGGTTTTCGCAGAAGATGCCATTGATACGATAATATCCTTTGTTTATTATCAAATTTACTATTCATTTCATCATATTATTGTTTGCTTGTTTTTATATTATATAGATAATTGAGTTTATTGCTCCCTCTCTCTCTCTCTTTCTATCATTAGACAAAAAAAAATGAATATTGTAAGCTTAACTCGCTTGAAAGATATGAGAGAGAGGGGAAAAAAAATTATGTATATAAAATGTCGGGAAATAAAACAACATACCAAGAAAGATGTATACCATATTTTTCTTCTGTCCCTCAGGATTGCCAGAACTGAGGTCATTTCAAAAAACGCAAAACACTGGAAACGATGAAGATGATGATGATTATAATAGAGAGTTGAGTTGTTTATTTCGTCATTAAATCCTCTCCGACCATTTACTATAACTACTGGAATCTGAATATTGTTGTATTTAAATTTCGGAAAGGAAGGACTGGAGTACCTTTTACTAAAAGTAAAAGACGCGTACTTTTTTCTCCTCCTTTCCTATTTTTATACAAACAGCTAAACTCAAGAGAAATTATGACAATATAACTTATATATATATATATATATATAAAGGTATTAAATGGTTTATGTAGTTATTACTAAAAAGCATCCGTAAGAAAAGGAAGAATCTTAAAAAAAAAAAAAAAAAAAAAGTCGTGTGCTTTTTCTTGGTAAAATTTGAATGTCTAATGTCAGATCTTATTCAATATATATTTTTTTCTTGGGAGGGAAGATGAAGAGTATATTATCTTGTTCAAGAGACTTTCTTAATATAATAAGGCCATTGATAGTATTTTTAATTTTCACAATGAATTTATCAAATTATAAGAAATATTTTCCAAAAAAATCAATATTAGATTTTTCCTTCTAGTATGTGGAGTTTTAAATAGTGTTTGTCCTTGTGTGATGTTTGAGTTAGCACTTATTTTTCTTTTGAAGCTGAAAGAGACAAATTCAAAAAAATCATGAGAGAGCGCAAATCATCACTATAAAAAAGAAAAGTCAAAGTTTAAAAGCAGTAGTAGTCATTACACAAAATGAACGTTCACAAAACCTGAAACAAAAACAACTTTATTAACTCTGCTTCTTCAGTTCAAAGATGCTTATGCAACAAAAAACCAGTTATTGGGGAGAAGGCCTACAGTAATTTTATAAATTACGTACAATTCATCTTGTATTCGCGCAAGTAAATCGTTACTTAAATTATAATAGTTGTGTTCAATGTATAAACCATGTAACAAATAATAAAAGAACCATTGAAAAAGATATACTTTTCGAATTTATTTTATTGTAAAATTAAACTTCCAAGATATTAAAATGTTCATGAACTTCTCCGACGGTATGCATCCGTTCTTTTATACTTTTTTTTAGTTATCTACGCTGATAGTTTTTCACTTTTGCACCAGGAAAAAGTGCTAACTCAATCATCACACAAAGACAAACAATATTTAAAACTCCACATATTAAAAGTAATAATAATAAATAAAGAACTCTATTGTCTTCTCCTCTTTTTTTTTTTTTTTTTTTTTTTTTTTTTTAATTGTATAATTTTTATGTATTTGCTTTATTTTACATTCACTTTATATTTCTTTACATAATTAATGGTTCATCACTATCTGAAAGTCGATTTAAATGAAGATACGCGTCAGTACCATAACTAAAAAAAAAAAAAAAAAAAAAGAGTCAATTAATTGACACTTTGTAATTCGAAATACATATAAAAATTACCCTTCCATTGATATTAACTTCAAGTCACCACCAAAGTACCTTGCATACTATTGTTAGATATTAAATTAATGAAATTTCATCTTTAGCTACTATTTTATCTTAATATGCTTTACTAATCTAGAAATAGGTAACCCATAACCAAAGCCAGCCATGGGTGCCTTGAATTCTGATTTATTAAATTCTGGCTCTAATTCCTGTGCCGTTGCCGTCGTATACTGTACATAAAATTGAGTTAAATAAATAAATAAATAAATAAAAAAGTTATAAATATCGTTTATTTACCATATATGTCCAAATAACAGGAACTCCAGATCTTGGTAATCCGCCTCCCTCGTCTGAAATTTTTATTGTAATATCCTATTATATATATCTATTTATTTATATTCAAGTATATACCTTTATCTACTCTATTACCTCTTTTCCGTGTGCTATAATAAGCTTAATAGGTGGATATTCATCTTCATAGTCAGATCCAAATCTTTCTACTACAGCACGTAACGAATTTTTCAATAACTCAAAAACCATATGATTTAAATGAGAGGGAACATACATAAATTCAATATCTCCGGGACAAAACATTTGTACTTCTGGTGCTTTAAACAGACCATAATGATCTTCACATATAAATCTCGCATTAGCAATAGCATCTAAAGCAATTTCTCTAATATTTGTCCTTGTACAAATGACGCCGACATAATTCCGCATAAACGGACCACGATAAAGCGCCGAATGTTGACCAATCAGCATTCGGATTCCAATTCTCGACATATAAAACCGATCAAGAAATTGTTGCACATCGGAATCAATCATACTTGCTTTACGATGTTGTTTATATTCCATAATACCCTGTGCCATCGTTGTTACTACAGGATCATGTCTTCTTTTAATATTTTCAATTGTTTTCACAAATTCGTTTGTATAGGATAATATGGAAGGTGTACATTCAATATTTTCAAAGTTATTATAATATCTAGATTTTGATTTGATTAAACGATATGTCAAACAAACTAAAAGCAGGACATTGTTTACCTATGACCTAACATATTTTGATATCTGCCAGTAGGCTTCTTTTGTGGAATAGCCAAATTGGGTGTACTTTGAGGTAATTCTTCAGAGTTTTTTATTGCCTTTCGAAAAGTTGCCTTCATTTGGGAGCTTAATTCTGGTCGTGATAATTCTATTAATTCCTACACATCACATCACATTCATTATTTACTATTTTTTTTGTTGTTGTTTTTTTTTTGTTTTGTTTTTTTATTACCTGAAATGACTGTGCATACCAATCTTTTACTTTAAGAATTGAAGGCATTTCACCAAGGCCTCGAGGAAGTTCATCCAATTCTTTTACTCGATGAGCTAATCGAATAGGTAATTCCTCTAATCGTAATCATTTTTTTTTCTTTAGTAAACATTGAACTTTAACCATGTTTAAAATTACCATGTAAAAATTGACTTGCTTTAAAAAATGTTGCTGGTGCAGGCCTCTGTCCTAGTTAAGTTTATATATTTAATTTTATTTTCTCTCTCTTTTTTTTTATAAAAAAAACACATAAAATGATATATATTAAAGATGAATGTAAATTAGTGTCATACCGAACATGACCATCTGCTTTAAAGAAACGCCTGTCTGTGGAAATTGAGCAAAATATTTAATCTTTTCATATAGTTGATTTGTAATTTTGAACATGTTAAAGAAGAACAGAAAAAAAAAATATAAATATACAAAAAAAAAAAAGAGAGAGAGAGATTATGTGTAATAATAAAGATGTATTATTTTATGTGGATATTATTATCACTTTTTTTAGTAGTAGTTGAAAAAAAAAATCACTTTAAACTTCAGCTACCCCACACACATACACGCACACACATCATATACTTTTTTTTTCACACTCTATGTTTCAAATTAATTATTTTTGACCGACACACACTGAAAAGGACCATGTAGCATCAGGCTGTTTTTGTAATTCTTTGTAAAGAATATCTAGGAATTGATGATAGTTATTTTGAGTATATCCTAAAGGCGTTTGTATTGCCATTTGAGCTGCTTTAAATATATTGCATACGTCCCAAAGAAATTCTCTACTAAGTGGATCGGGTTTACCTTTTACACAAGTTATTTAAATAACAGTAAGTTATTTATAAGTAGGGATGATATATGACATACCTAAATATATATCTTTCCTTTCGAAATGATAAATATAAAAATGATTACTTTCTAGTAATGATTCCAACTTGTACATAATATAAGGATCTTGTCCACGATTATCTATAACATCTTCAACTATATTTATAATAAATAACTGTACTCTCTATTGCTATTATCATTATTATTATTCTACTTTACAGATTCTACTACAATATTTTACAAATTCATTCCCTCTTTCCTATGTATGAAGAACTTGATAGTTAGAGTAATATAATATATGAATGAGATAAGGACTTTACAAGCATACCACATTCAATCATTTGTACAAAGCCTCCTGGTTTTAATACTCTATATATCTCTTTAATCACAGTTGACCATTCATATTTCATAAGCGCAAGAATAAATAATCTTACGTTGACAAGGTCAAACGTATTATCTGGAAATGGTAACCGTTCTAGGGCATTACCAGTTTGGAAACTCACGTTAGGAGGTCTAATGTTACTTGGAAATATGTCGCACATATCTACTCCAATAAATTGACTTGTTGGATATTCTGTTGCAACATCCTAAGAGCGTATAAACATATATATAAAATACATTTGTATATGCATGTATATAGAGTTCAGATTATTATTATTTTTTTTTTTTGAGATAATTATACATATAAGAAAAGAGAGAAAAAATGACTTACCATTAACCAAGTACCAGGTCCACAGCCTAAATCTAATACTATATTGTTCTTATATTCTATCTCAATTGATTCTGATATGCAATTCATGATATTACTGTTCATATTATAATAAATTAGCATCTATCTATCTATCTCTATTTATCTATATCCATTATTACACACTAAATATAATTTACCCGCCAAATAATGACTTTATTGCAAAATGTTGCTATTTAAATTCGATAATTTAGTATATTAAAGGACGATACGTTAAATTATTCTTCTTACACCAACTAGTCTATCCATTTCTTCATTATCATTTGGCAGCCAATATGCAGAATTAGATACATGATGAAATGATCTTCCAGCTGTATTTATACTTGATTCTGATAAACAACTTTCATTATCATGACTATGCTTTGAATTAGGTAAAGGCTGTTTATGAATTTCGTCGTTATGTTTAAATGATTTTTTAGTAGTTGTAGACAAATTACTATTTGAGCTTGCCATACTATGTCTTGATTTTTTTGATAATGTTGATAATTTAGTACCCATTTAGCTGTAAAATAAATAATAATATATAAAGGAAGGAAGAAAGAGAAATCGAAATAACAGATATAAAGAAGAAGTCTCGCCTTTTTTTTTTGTTAAAATACGATAAACACACACACACACACACAAATTAAAAAAAAAAGCTAGTGTAACAAAGTTTTAGCAGTTATTGTTGTCTAATAAACCTTTTTATTTATTATATGAAGCTTATATTTATCAAGTAGATATCACAAAGAGATAATTTAAATTTATTCATTTGTGGAAGGTAAAAAAAAAAATCATCCCTTTTCTTTTTTTTTTCACATCAGAAAAAGAAAGAATATTGTTCTATTTCCATTATTCTTTAAGGTATCACAACTTGTTTAGATTCTATTTTCTGATTTATCACGTTTTTCATTTATTCATTTCACTCATTTTCGGAGAAATCACGATCCAATTTGACGCGTATTACTGAGTTGTGCTTGATTTCAGCAGGCATCAAATTAAAATAGTCAGGCATGTGAACTTGCTGAAGGTATTTCTCCATGTAGGTAAATTCTAGATCTTCTTTGAAGTTTGTTGCTATTTCTTTGATATCTCTATTAGCTTTTTCAAAGCTGTATAACCAGGTTGAATATATACGGCCAAAGTCACGAATTGTTGGACACAAATGTAAATGCAGATGCATATTGGAAGTAATAAAATCAGCACCATATCATTTTACATTGAACTTTACAAATTCTACGAGCAGATCAAGGGCACCATTGATTTCATCAAAAGTTATAGAAAGCGAGGAGAATATTTGATTTATTTCAACAAATCGTAGCCAGTTAACCATTTGCACACCTACTATTCTTCCTTTTTAACAGTATTGACGAGTATGCTAATGTCCAGGAGCGAAATTCATCACCTTTCAAATTAGAAAAATCGGAAGAAATTTTGGAACCTAATATTGAGAATTGTGGAGAGACGATAAGATTTTTGACCTGTTACGCTATTTTGATAAGGTCTTTACTGGTTAAAAAGTTGTTTGTAGAATTTAATTTTTTTTTTTTTTTTTTTTTTTTTTTTTTTTTTTTTGTAACCGACAATATTCACCAGCCGGACTGTATTATAAAAGTTTACATATTTTAGGTTAAAAGATAATGATGAACTTACTTGTTGTAAAATTAGTTTGCACGCTAACTGTTGGTCTTTTTCTTTTTTATATTAAAAAAAAATAATTTTATTTTAATATATAAACTAACTTCTTTATCAGTTTTGGCTACTAATAAAATTACAAAAGTTTGAAAAACTTGTTTTATATACTACATGTTGTGATTATCATAATCTGATATAAATACATATAACCTTTTCTTGCCAAAGCAATTACAACAAGTATAGTTTACAGTTTTTTTTTTCTTTTTATAGAAATATGCTATTATAGTTACGCCTTACACTTCTTTTCCAAATATGGTAATCATAAATAGGTTGCTATGACAAAAAAAATAGAGATAGGGCCACAAAGGTAATATGCGTAATTTTATTTATTTATTTGTTACTTAATTCATCTACGACTAATTGACCTGTTTTTACGCCTGATTAAAGTAATTTAAATTAAAATGTTTGATTACTTGATTCATCTATTTTATTTACTTACTTTCACTTAATGCATGAGCTTCTAAGGGTTGATTTTTATTAGTCTTCTTCTTTTTCTTTTGTCTACGAATAACTGCTACTGGAACAGGTGACTTGTGTACAAGATAAGTTGACACAGATCCCATCAATAGCCTATCATATTTTGTTATTATTATTATCATCATCATATTATTATTGTTATTATTTTAACTTACTTTCTCATTGAACTTCTACCTCGACTACCACAAATTAACATTGTAAATTCATGTTCTCTTGTCTAAATGAAAATCATTAAATACTTGTTCCCCTCTCCCTTCTCTTGAAAAAAAAAAAAATCCCATTCACTTCACTACTTACTAAAGATTTTAAACAATCCTTCACATGTCCAATCAAGACATGTGTGACTAGTTTAACATTAAATAACATCATTTGTCCCATCAACTTTTTTGCTTCCTTGATTAAAGCATTGGATGTTGCATGTAGCTATTATTAAAGAAAATATATATATGAATACATTTACATTGATAATAAAACTCGTCATATATATTTACCTCTCCTTTTGGATCTAATCCTGTTGCCTTTACTATATCTGGATTGTCTTCTCTATTCGAAATAGTGGCAATATGAAGTTCATCACCATCTCGCATCATAGTTCCCATTGTCCATTCAATAGCATAGATACTTTCTTTACTAAAATCACATGCCACCAAATAGGATTTAGTTTTACGTTTTATACGATATTTCATGGGCAGGATACCATTTTTACCCGCACCATAATAATGAATGACAGATAATTTATTGGTATCTTCGATTACAGCAGGATTATCTGCAAAGACAAGTAGTTCTTGTTGTATAGGATCGTTTGAGAGACTATGGATATTGCTACTTGTATCCTTGGGCTGTGACATACTTGCTTCATCATAAGGGATATATCGATTACTTTCTGTTCTACGTAATAGTTCAGGATCTGCTTCTAATATATCTTCTTCTGTTTCAGCTTCAGCTACTCGTTGTTCATAAGCAGCTGATTCACCTTCTTGCCGTTCTTGATATTCCATCAATTCTCGTTGTAAATAAGCCATAATATCTTTTGGTTGAGAACTATCATCATTCTTTCTCTTCATTTCTTCTTCTTCTTCGTTTTTCTTATTTGATTCCTCCTCCTCTTCTTTTTTTCTGCGTTGATATTTTTAATTTTGTTTTGACCTATCATTGAATCCTCTTCATCACTGTCCTCTGATGAGGATTCTGATGAGGATGATTCATCTTCGTAACCTTCATTATTCTCGTCTTTATTAATATCTTCTAATTCTGATCTTAACCATTTTCTACGAATGGGCTCTTCTGTCGTTAATGGGATCAAATTATTAATTGGTTGATTATTTAAAGTAACTACTGGTATATCTTTATTTGTTACTTCTTTATTCATTCGATATTTAATTAAAAAAAAAAAAAAAAAGAAAAGAAAAAGAGAGAGAAAAAGAAAAAGAAAACAAAATAAAAGAAGAGACAATAATAGATTTAATGAGCGGAGAAGAAATGATGATAATAATAAAAACAGTATTATTTCATTGTAGTATGTAAACTGTATCTTTTCTTCAATAACCCATGCAAAATTTAAATTTTACTACTACTATTTCATGGCATTACTTTTTTTTTTTTTTTTTTTTTTTTTTTTTCGTGGCAAAGATATTTTGCTTCTTTTTACATAATCTTAATGTGCTATAATTTATGCCAGCTCATGCTTTTTCTTTCCTTTTGTTTCTGCTCAAACTAATAATGCGAACCTTTACCAAAGGCTTTACCTTTCATTTGTGTATGAAGCTACACGTCTATATTTCACTCCTTTTTCAAAGGTTAATTAAAAGAAAATAATACAATATGAATGTGTTAACAACATCTTTTATCGAATTTGATTTATATGGAAGGGAGGAATGATTTGTTGATCATTGAAAACTCCGTTATAATAAAAGTCCTGCCGCTGCTGCTGCATCAATTAAATGATTTACCTTTAATAAATAATCATCATTTAAGATTGACACTTGTTTCTTTTTTTTTTTAACTGGTATTTCTGGAAACAAAGTCTTTGGATAATTAAATTCAGATTACAATGGAGCTATCCTATTGTGTTAAACAAGACATTTTTTCCCCTCTACTACTACTACTACTACTACTACTACTACTACTACTACTACTACTACTACTACTAACTACTACTACTATTTTTGAATATTTTAGCAGCAACCAGCAACATTGCTATACCTTCTACTAACAATAGAGGATGTATATATATATCGAATTGCCACGAAATTAAGGATGGATTTACGCTTGTTAGAGAATACATGGTGGGGAACCATAGTCAATAGAACGCTTTAATCAAAACTACAACAAGGTATACACATACTATATACGCTAATTCAATCATTTCATTGAAAGGCAGATGAATATTTATATATTTATTTTTTAAATAGATTACTATAAGATAGAGGGAACTCCTTCCCACCCCCCCCCACAAATAATAATTGACTAGTAAATGCCCAATTATGCATAGTTTGGTATCTATGAATAATAACTCTTTATTCTTTTTTTTTTCTAATAACAAAAGAAATTATTATTTACAACAAAAAAGAAGAAGAAAAAAAAAGATTGGGATTAATTCTATGCTTGTCTTATGTGTGTGTGTGTGTGTATGTATGGGTGAGTGAAGGGTGGGTGTTATTACTGTCTAAACCAGAAATCAATTTCAGGATCTTCATCTTCAGGATGAATACCAAGACGATGAGTTCCTAATTTAACTAGATTCGTTTCTTCACGAACATAACTAAATCCTTTAAATTTGGATTGATCCGCAATAGGCAAGTTTGTAGAGGACGATGATGAGTTGGATTCCATTTTAGTCATTGGAATACCAATAGCAGAGGCAGTTGCAATAGCCTCTTCATTTAATTGTTCTTCTACTTCAGGAGTAAAAGGAAGTTGCATCTGTTTTTCGTAAACCAGATCCCAACGGACATCCTTAAAGAAAGGATGTGCCTTCACCTCTGCAGCATCTCCTTGTGAACCTAAACGTTTTTTTGGGTCACGTTCAAGTAATCGATAAACAAAGTCCTTGGCTTCTTCAGAGATACAACCACCAGAGGGGAACTTGACGGGTGCCTCAAGGATTTGTTGATGAAGTTCATTTGAATCCATGGAATGGAAAGGAGGGGATCCTGTTAAGAGTTCAAACATCAAGATACCTAAACTCCACCAATCAGCAGCCATACCATAGGGTTTCTTCATTATTATTTCAGGTGATACATATTCTGGTGTCATCTTACTGAGTACACTACTACTATTACTGCTATCATCTTCTTGCACTAAATCTGTTCTCGTCTTCAATATCTTACAGAGTCCAAAATCAGTCAAGGCAAGATGACCATGAGCATCTAACAAGATGCTTTCAGGTTTCAAATTGCGATACACGATATGATTAGCATGAATATGTTCAAGGGCACATACAATTTCAGCTGCAAAGAAATGGCATCGCTTTTCACTTAAACAACCTTCACGTTCTAAAAAGTCAAATAATTCTCCACCACGGAAATAATCCATAATAAGGAAAAGATGATGTGTTGTTTGGAAACTATATTTAAGGTTGGCAATAAATGGATTAGAAAGAGATTGGACGAGAACATTACGTTCATTGAAGGCTGTATCCACTTCATCCTCTGCTAACAAAAGACGCTTGGATAAGACCTTCATAGCATATGTACAACCAGAATCTCGCTTCACTACTTCATATACCTTCCCTAATGAGCCTTGTCCAATCATACGAACAATACGAAAATCTTCGGGTTTAAGGTAGACCTAACAAAAAAAAAAAATCAATTTAAAGCCCTTTACCTTCTCTCTCTTTCCCTCACCCCCTCCCTCCCTCTCTCTTTCTTCTTACCTTTGCATTGTTTGTGTATGTGACTTGAAGACGAACATCGCCTGTCACTTCTTGGTCATCATCAGGACGAGCGCAAAGAGGGAAAATCAATTCAACTGTCTTCTTGTTCTTCAAGTTGGGTTTAATACTAGACATACCCAAGAAACGATCTTCACCATTAGGCAATTTATTACCACGATCATATACAAAGACTTGAATTTCCTTATCACCGCCGCTAACATCACTATAAAAAAAAAGAACAACAACATCTATTTAGTTACAATTTCATAAAATATATATATATATATATATATATATTTATCCTTTACAAGTTAACACGATGCATCCATTTTGGAGAGCTTGCCTTCATCATAATTTCAAATGCTTTAAAGGCCCCACTTTCTACATCATCATTAAAAATTAAAGGTGTATTTGGTAAAATGCCATCCTCACTTTGATCAAGAGTTGAAGTTACATTCCCTTCATAATGAACTATACAATAGGTATCTGACTTGCGAGCATCCGTAATTGTCAAGTTACGAGCTTCAACAATATTAATTTCAAGCTGGCCTGTTGCTTTTTCAGTAGCAGGAAGAGGTACATTAGTAATAGTAGTAGTAGTATTAGTAGTGGTAGTAGTAGTAGTAGTATTAGTAGCAGCAGCAGCAGAAGAGGAAGACTTTTTAGATAAAGCTTGAGATAAAGAAGCAATTGTTGATGTACGTGCTTGACGAAGCTTTTCTCCTAATTGTCCCATATTCATCGATGCCATCATAGGTTTAGATGAATGTGCACCTATATTTTTAATAAGAGAATCTGTAAAATCAGCCATAATGACTTTCTTTAATCTGTAATAAAGTTAGAAATAATAAGAATAATAATAATAAAAAAAAGGGAATATAAAAATTGATTTTATTTCATATAATTAAAGTATTTAAAACAGGTTTCTTCTTTTTTTTTTTTTAAAGTCCAGTCTAAAGCCACTGTTTTTGGGGACTGAAGCAAATCGGATATTTAATTAACAAGTACTTCTTTATAAAAAAGACACAATGCAAGTTTTAAATAAAATGGAAAGAAAGGGTGCAAAAAAAAAAAAAAAAAAAAGATAAAAATAAAAATAAAAAGGAAAAAAAAAAGTCTTTATTTTATTCATTTACTTACAATTCCAAAAGTATTTATTTTAGCTTTGAAATATAATATCTCATCTTTCCCTCTCTCTCCCCCCCTTCTTTCTAAGTTTTAATTGATTTTTTTTTTTAAATCAATTAAATGCTGGTTTCATAATTCTTTACTCTATTTATTTCGGTTTATTTTTTTAGAGAAAAAAAAAAGGAGAGATAGAGAAAATGAAATCTGTCAAAATTCATGATATTGTGTTCATGTCTAACAAATGTGTAACATGAAAGCGGCATAATTGAATGATGATGATCTTTTTTTTTTTTTTTTTTTTTTTTTTTTTTTTTTTTTGCTTTCTACATTGTCAAAAAAAAAAAAAGCCTAGACCCAAAATGAAAGTTGACGGTATAATTTGATTGGCCGTTGGGGGAATGGACTGCAAAATAATAACCGGAATAGTTGGATGTATCATACGATGAAAAAAAAAAAAAGGGGGGATCGTTTTGTTTTGTTACATAATAATAATAGTATAGACATACGCTATTATACGAATAGTTGATCTATAATAATACTAATAAGGTCTTTTAATTGTCTTGTATCATTACACCTCTGATTATATAATTATCAGTGATATTGGGAATATATATATATATACATATATATAATATGATGTTTGAACGGTTTTGGTTGCAGATGCTATTACTTGATTTAGAAAAAATAAAATAAAATAGTGTCTATTATATGACTTATTTTTCCCTTATATCTGAAAGTCTTTTTTTTATATATATAGTGTTGAACAGTAAAATAGTTTACCACTTGAATGATATGATAAAAACAGTAGTAGTCTATTATTATTCTTTTGGTGGAGGGAAATGGAGAGAGAAAGGAAGAGAAGAGAGACAAATAATAATTATTTGCTATTTTAATAAGCTTTCTCATTTTTTTTTTTTTTATTTATGAAACAGAAAAAAAAAGTCTTATTCTTCTTCTGTAGACAGCTGCTTGACGACGACGACGACATTTAAACATAAAACACTAGTCTTTTAACAGACATAATATATGCATACATGACTTGACAAGTAACAGGCTACTATCACTTTATAAATTAAGTTTGCCAAGTAGCTCATTCTAATGAGTGGTTCTATTTAATGAACACCTCTAATCTGACGAAAGAGAGCCATTGTTAGTACACATTTTCTAACAACAACAAGTTTCTACTCATCAAGTAATACCAAATCATTGTATAGTAGTAGATATTATTCTTTTAGGGAAATTGTATGTATAGATAATAAGTAGAAAGGCACATCACTACTAACTTTCAGGAATATATTCATATCTCTAAAATATGTATTTTTATTATTACAAAAAAAAATTACAAACAGTCGTCCTTTTTGCTTTATCATTTTAGTGAAATTCATAAAAGAATAAAAAAAAAAAATAGTGAAAATAACATTTTTAATAATTGTGGTAATTGTTCAATGTGTGAATATGAGATATAAAACTTTTAAATTTGCGGAGTGTAAATTATATTTGAAAATCCAAAAGACTTCATATAATTAAATATGTTTATTTTTTAAATGCCGTCAGATCTTCAATAACCAAAAATTTGAAAGTAAAAAGAAAAAAAAAAATAGATGATTTTAAATGCCGTAGTAGTAAATTAGATAATAAAAACTGTAAAGCTTATGGAAGAAGGTAGTAGAAACTTACAATAGTAATGTTTAAGCTTTTTTTTCTATATAGCAACTATCTCTTCTTTCTTATTATGGAAATATACAGTTAAATTACATAATGAAACAATAAAAAACCATCATATTACAATTACAATAAACAAAGGTCTTTTATTATTAAAAGCAAATATATAATTTCTTTGAAAGTCAAAGGTAAAATGCTCCATTTTCTTACCCTCCCTTTTTTTTTGTTTGTTGTTGGGATGAGGACTGTATTTCTTATTCAAACAATCATACAAGTAACACGAGCATTGTTGCATATATTCATATAAACAACTTTTGTGTTTTACCCATGAATGCTATTCGGACTTTCAATTGTTTTTTTTATGACAGGTCTATCTTCATTTCTAATAATTGGTTTGATTTTGTTACACATGCGAAAAAAAAAGGTTTTTCTTTTATCTTTTTTTTTTTTTTTTTTTTTTTTTCCTTTCCTTTCCATTTTATATTTATTATACATACAAACATATATATTTATATCTTTTGTTATTACTCAAGAATGACAAATAGGCTTTTATTAAAATCAGATCCAAGAAGAGGGAAATTAGCAAAGTTCTTTAATAGGCATCAGATTGGTAAAATGGTGATATGTATGAATAATTTTTTTTTTTTTAATATAATAAATTTAATTAGACTTGCCAATGAAGTTTGTAATTCCTGTTATCCTTGGTCATTTCCTTCATGTCGAGATATGTGATAGATTTATTTTTATATCAGGTCAACTTCCAAATGGACTTTACAGGAAGAGTATTTGGGATTTTACATTTTTATTTTTCTATTTCTGCGTCTTTACTTTTTTACGTGCTGCAACAATGGAATTCGTTCTGAAACCATTCTCAGTTTTTATGAAAATCCCTAAAAGTAAAAAGCTTCGATTTGCAGAACAAAGCTGGTTAGTTATTTATTATACAATCAGTTTCACGAGTGGTCTTGTAAATAGATAAGAATAATTGATAGAAGCTGGGAAAAGGGGGGGGACATAGATTGTAGATATATATATATCTGTATTCATTTTATTCGTTTTTTTTTTCTTTGATACAATAGATCTTGTTTTATAATTCACCTACATGGAATGACACTTCTTATTTTTGGAGACATTATCCAGTTTGGGAACTTGAAAGGCATTTGAAATATTATTATTTACTTCAATTCGCTTTTTGGATTCAACAACCTTTTGTTCTTCAAATTGAAGCACCCCGAAAGGACTATGTGGAATACATGATACATCATATTAATACTTTATTACTTGTTGGATTAAGTTATGCCTGTAACTTTACTCGAGTTGGATTAGCTGTATTTGTTAGTATGGATTTACCTGATGTTTTACTTTGTGTAAGTATTTACTAGACCCAAGGGAAGAAGAAGGGAGATAGATAGATAGAGATAGATAGATAGAGAGGTTATAGTTATTTACTTGTTTTATATATATATATATTCTACATATACATATACAGCTTGCAAAGACATTACATTATCTTCAATATGGGTTTATTTGTGATTTGACGTTTATTTTAATGGTCTTTTCTTGGATGTATACTCGTGTTTATTATTATGGATGTATCATTTGGTCAACTTTTACAGAACCTGAACTTTATGTACCCGAATTCAAATTGGATCCTTTGAATGGGAATTGGTTCCCTCATTTCACTAAATATATCATTTTAGGCCTCATGTTGGGATTATATACTCTTATCATATTTTGGACACTGATGATATTTAAAGTGGTTATTAAACTATTTACAACAACTGGTATTACGGATGTACGTTCAGATGATGAAATAACAGAAATAGAAGAGGATAGCAACTCTCCTTCAGCGACCACGACTCTCAATGGTTATTTAGCTCCACCTGACGCTATTAAAGGAAAAAAGAGGTAAAAAAAAAAGGGGAAAGAGAAAAGGAAAAGAAAGAGAAAGAGAAAGAGAAAGAACAAAGTTATTAATGGCTTTATTTATAGACGCCTTAGTCGAACAGAGCAAATTAAAAACTATGCTGCTCGAAGATAGATAGATAGAAATACAGATTTATATACCACCATGTTAATAAAATAATTATTATTAAATAAAAAAAAAAGTCAGTTTATATTATTCTTTTTACATGATAAAATAGTCCATCTATCTTTGATAGACCAAGTTAATGTATTCTTAATAATATCTTGAATCTCTTTAGACAATCGTTCTTCATCCATAACCTGCTGTAATGACTTTCTATATTCTTCTTTTGTACCAATTTCTTCTTCATCTGTTGTAAAAAAGAAATTCAGCTTATTTATATCTGGATAGCTTGACATTTCCTACAAGGATTAAGCATGAATATATCTTTTTATTTTATCTTATTTTATTTTATCTTATTTTATTTTACATTATTTTGTACTTTGTTTGATGGAATTCCTAGTCTAAAGACAATTTTACCAATTTGCTCAATATCTGTTTCACCAGCAAAGATAGGGTATCCGATAAGTATCTCTAAAAATATGACTCCTAAAGACCAAATATCTGTGGAGGGAGCATATTTTTTTGATCCAAATAAATGCTCTGGTGCTTTATAATATCTAATCATTTTTTTTTATGTTAAGTGACTCTATTACTCATTTCGTGAATCCTATATCACCTTTTACCAACGACAACAACAACATCATCATCATCATTTATTCCAAGATCTCTCTTTTTGTCGTCTTCTTTTGACATGAAGGAATGATGTGCACAACCAAAATCACTAATAAACATGTGAATATATCCTAATGAATCATCAATCAAGATATTACTTGGACTAAGGTCACAATGAATAATGTCATGTTGATGCATATATTCGAGTCCCTCTGATATTTGATACAAAAATGCATTGGCTAATTCTTTTGAATTCTTTTTTTGATTGTTCAAGAGAGACTGTAGGTCTTGCTTGTATAATGGGAATATCAAGTGGTGAGCTTCTGCTGTGTCAAGGTGTCCCATAAAATAAATAATCTAAGAAATCATATGAGCATTGTTCTCAAGATGATCTCTTTCTCTCTCTCTCTCTTTTTCTCAAAAAGAGAGGGGGGAGTGGAGGAAAGGATTGCATAATAATTACATGATGTTGTCTTGAATCTTTTTCACTCTGAATATCAAATTGTTTCAATGCCATTAATTCCCTTTTCAAATGTTGAAGAACGAGCTTCCCATGCAATTTACTATATGTCTTGTAAACTACTTGATCCCCATTTATCCATTTTTTATGAATGGTTGCAAATGTTCCTCGCATTCTTCAATTAATTGTTATTAAAATAAGTTGAAAAAAAAAAAAAAAAAAAAAAAAAAAAAAAAAAAATACACTATTCGCACTTCAAATTCGAACTATGTTAGTTTTTTTTTTTTTTTTTTTTTTTTTTGGATGAATTAAAATTAATTTTTAGACATTTGGCTTACCTTTTTTGGAAGAATGGATAGATCAATTCAGACACACAACAGTTAGTTTTCGCGTATATATATATATATATATATTTAATACCCCACGAAAATGTATAAATCTATAATTCTTAACAAGATTGAAGCAGTAAAAGAAAGCAGAGCGTTAGGTATAGAGTATGAGATAGTTTAAAGCTGCTTTGTTTCTCATAAGCACTATATCTACTTCGGAGAGAAATCACAGCCAACATGCAAGGATTGTAAACCAACCGGACATGATAATAAAAACCATTATAAATGTAGACTTTATAAAAAAGACAAAGCAGATGACGGTGAGTAAAGACAAACTGATAAGTTTTATGCATTCTAACCCTTTTTTTTTTTTTTTTGATAGTCGGTATAAGCCGGAAACGACAAAGTTCAGAGACCAAGAATATCAAGAGACAAGCAAAGCGGCAGCAGAAAGAAGTGGACTCAAACAAAAAAAAAAATGTAGATCTTGTGGTAGCAGCAGTCATAAATCAAAACATTCTCCTGATTGCCCTCAACTTATACTTGGTAAACTAGAGGCTCTTACCGAAAACTTGGGAACAGGGTTTCAAACGTTCATCAGGAAACTTCCAGTTGATACCTGTGTAAATGATCGGTACAGAAGTGTATTTCAAAAAAAAAAAAAAAAAAAAAAAAATACAATACTATTAAATATAAAGTAAAGCTGGCTAGCGGCAACACTCAATGTCTAACAGAAGCATGTGTTGAAGTGTCTGTTGCATACATGAATGCGGTTGTAGAAATGTTTGAAAAGAGAGTGTTGTACTACTTGTATTTCTTGATTCAAAATATGTGCCCAGTAAGTCATTAGTACTATAAACTTTATTCCATTAAATTTCACACTATTTATTCATAGTCCATGAAACCTGATGATGCCAGACTTATTGTCAAAAAAATATGGCTATTAATATGCCTGTAAAGGTGAACCAGAATGGCCGGTTAGTCTTACTTTGTCGGATGATTTGAAGCTGAAAATCAGAGAACAATACGATCCCTTGCACAGGCTCCATTAATGAACCAGTATCTTTGAAAAGCCTTTCAAAATCGCCAGGAAACTATATTCGGTGTTTTTTCACATATCATTTCTGTTTTTGAAAAGGAACATCAAGATCGAAAAGAGTTTCCATTTCATGCGTGGCGGCTCCCATTACCCAGATTGCTCGATCTCTCACCAAAAAAACCATCGTTTCAGTGTAGATTTGTTAACATTACCGTAAATTCTTTATCTTGTTTTGTCAAGGAGAGGCTACCACAAAATTATGAACAGAAACTAGAATTTTTCTATCGTGTTTTTGATTTTAGTAAATTGCGCTTCAGAGAGTAAGTTTTGTTAAAAAAAAAATATCTTTATAAAAAAAACATGCTAATAGTAAATTGTTGACAAACTATAGTATATCATAACTAATGCCAAACGGAGAGAATACAATCTTGTTCAATAATTATGTAAGATCAGACAAGTTTGCAATCGACTTTATGTTCAACAGACGACGCAAAGATAGTATCGTTGGATCACATAACTTGACGCTCCAAGATTTTACTTATAGTGAAGTTGAGAGTACTCCTAGGCCTGTCTTTGTCGACCCTGGTAGGAAGTCTGTATTTACTGCGGCTGTTGGGTTAGGGGACGCCCCACAAATAAGAAGATGTAGTACGAAAGAATGTTATACTATGACTGGATCCACAAACTATCAGAAAAAGATGTAAAGGCTGAAAAATGAGGGAGGTATCACGTCTATTGAATCAGAAATGCCTACGGCCAAGACAAATCAATCTGAATTATACAACATGTATGTAGAGTATATGCTACGCCACAGACAAGTCTTGTTCAATTTCTATGACTTTCAAAGAGCAGAAGATCGGTTTTACTTATATCAACAAAAGCAAAAAGCGGCGCAGATCATGGTCAATATGATAATAAACGGTGGCAAGAAGTATGACTGAAAACAAAGGAAAAAAAAAGAGAGAAGAAGAAAGGAAAAAAATAGCTCATGTGTTCCCGGAATGACTGTGGCCAAGTAAGCCAACAGACTTTATTTTTTTTTCACGTTAATTGACGTATTTCATAATATAGAGTAAAACGGAGGCCCGCAAAGTTTAGTCAAGATGTCGCCAAGGTCCCGCTAATAGTTTTTGGAGCAGGAATGTTTGGAAAAGATGGTGTAAATCTTAAAGGAGACAAATGCAGAGCTACTGGTGTTCTTTGGAGGGCGATTAAGAGGAGGGAGAAAGAAGGTGATCTTTTGGTGATAACTATTGATGAGTTCACGACATCAAAAATATGCTACAAATGCTACGATGATTCGCTCAAAAAAGTAGAAAATATGAAAGGTTCCAGTGTTCTTGCTTGCAAAAACTGTCGCACACTGTGGCAAAGGGATCATAATGCTGCTAAGAATATGTCGCTCATATCGTCATACATCTGGAATGGCTACGGTCGTCCTTCCATGATCCTCCCCACTAGATCAGCTTGATCTTTTTTTTTTTTATTTTCATCAATCGCCGTAGTAAACACGGCTTCCCTTTTAGGGTTTTAGATTTTTACAGGTAAGCATCTGAAAAGCACTGTTTTTTTCGTCCAAAACCAATTTTTTTTTGTCTAAAAATTAATTTTAATTCATCCATGCTTTATGTTTCTGTCTGGTTCTATCGCTGGCCAGTTATGTGCACCATTCTTCAGGAAATAGATTACCTGATGCACGATAAACTACCTCCTCCACTTCTTGACCCAGGCAGGAAATTACTCAACTGGTTGTCCCTTTAAAATTGTTAGCAATATTTCCCCCCCCTTTCTTTCTCACCTTATCTTCTTCTTCCTTTCCTTTACCTTTTTACCTCTTGTCTCGCAAGAGGGTTTTTAGATACTTTTTTTTTCACATAATTTGAACTGACCTGGGTAATCCAATATAACAAAGATATTATATGCTCATAGGTCACTTTATAAATTTTAATTGATATTTAATCGTAAGCCATGCTTTATTCTTTCTCTGCTGAGATTCAAATAATTATGTAATAAAAATACAAATGGGTACTTCGGTTATAGAATTAAAACCCCTTTAGGGACAAAAGATACAAACATTTAAAAGTAAAACTAAACGATTATATATTTATATGTATATATATAAAAAGAAACGAACTGTTATTAGGAAGAGGAGATTTGGATAACCAGTCTATTAGGTTGTGAGCTAAATAATCCATCTTATGTAAATTATTGAGGGTCAGCATACAACACACTATAAGGAGACAGACATTATAGTAGAATAAAGCAAATTCAGTATGCCTTGTAGACCCAGTGTCAGATACTCCAAGAATTCGAACTTATTAGCATCCTAAATCCCTCCCCCATTCCATCTATACACCCATTCTCATACAGTCTACACTACACCCTCTTAGCTTGATCCTATCAAAAAATAAAAAGGAATATTATCTTCCATTTGTTATTAAAATAATGGGGTTTAAATATTTGTATTTATTTATTTGTTTCCACTACCCGATGATGAAGAAGAAGAAAAAGAAGAATTTTCCAACAAAGTTGCTTAATATAGAAGTCGAAACAGCCCAATGTTTTTATTTAATTTATTTGAAACTGATTTACTTCAAAAATTATTACTACTAATAGTAATTCTCGAAAATTCGATACCATGGATAGAGTTTGTTATGCAAGTTATTTTTTTTTAATAATAGTGCCGAGTAACTTTATAAAAAAAAAAAAAGGCAAACAAATTATATGAATCAAGTTCTATATGACTTATTAAATAAAGATAATTGAGTGCATATCATAATAGAACATGATGTTGTTTCCTTTCATTTCCTTTCTTTTATAGACTCTTACTCTGTAATTCTATTTCCTCTATAAGCACATGTATTCATAAAAAAAAAAGAAAATGAGTGAAAAAAAACAAGACAGACTATTTCACTATTATCAAAATCGCTTTCCTTATATAACAGGCTTAGTTTCACAAAAAAAACTCAGACAATTCAAGCACTTTAAAACATACAAACAAATATTAAAAAAAAAAAAAAAAAAGAAAAATTTCGAACTTCCTTTTTATTTATTTATTTATTTATTCATTTATTTATTTTAATGTTTAGAAAAGCTAAAAAGCTATCAAAAAATTACGATTAAATAGAGAGAGTGATGGTAGCTCTTCTGATGACTATTCTTCTTTTTCAGACGAAGATCGACAACAACAACAACAATTACCCTCTATCCTTATTGATAATGTAAGTACACATAAAAGTATTTCATCACCACCAACAACAACAACAACTGCTACTACTACTACGGCACCAACAAATGATGCTCCAGAATTTATGTTGGTAGAAGATGATGAATCAAGTAGTATAGAGAGTGATGACTATAAACTATCACTTCAACAAAGAAATTTACCTAGTTTATCAAAATGTTATACTGCGCCCGATAGGAGTAGCAGTAATAATAATAATTCATCTCGCCATTATGATATTCATCAAAAATTAAATACGCTCGAGAGCAGTAATCTTGAACTTTTACTTTCACTAGAAACACAGACTAGATTAGATGCCCAGGAAAAGGAAAAAGAACGTCAAGAGAGGGAAGAGCAGATGACACCACCACCACCGCCTCGTCCAACTCGTATTAAATTTGAATTACCTGTTACACCCTCTCGATCTAGATCTCCATCTTCTAGATTAGCTTATCCAAAGGCAAGACCAGTACGTTCATTACCTGAAGAAGGTTTAACAGCAAATGCGCTTCGGCATCCTATAAATCCAAAAAAGCCGAGGAGAGCAGGATGGCGTTATTTATTTGGTGATCGAAAAGAGGAAGAGAATATGGATACACCTTTACCTATTACTTTAGATTCAAGAGTGAGATTAAAGATGAGACCATTACCTACCTTTGGTTATGTACGATATATTGGTGGTGTAGAATTTGGCAAAGGAGAATATATTGGAGTTGAACTTGATCATGGTGGTAAAATGTTTAAAATCTATATATAGGATGTATAAACTTGCTTCTTTTACTCATCATATATATTTATATATATATATTTGTTACATATAGTTGGAAATTGTGATGGTAGCATAGAAGGCAAAAGATATTTTGATACAGATCCTAATCGTGGTGTATTTCTTAAACGACGTGAATTAGAAGCTGTACCAGATGATTAAATGCATATACATAAATCAAAATGAAACAAACAAACCAAAAAAAAAAAAAAAGATACCCTTTTCTTTTCTTTATTCAATAATTTTAGAATCCATTATTAATTAAATAAAACTTAATTCTCTTCTTCTCTCTTCTTTTTATTTGTGAGAATATTAAATATATAAAAGTAATAGTTTAGTTATTTAAAGCAGTAGTCTATTTTATCACGAGCCTTTTATGAAAGAAGAAGCAGGGGTGTCGGAATAGTCTTCAGATGATTCAGTTGAAAATACACTACTACTATTATTACGAGGTGGTAAACCTAATCGCTTACGTAATTCGTTATTCTCTTGTTGTAAACTTTCAATATATTCAATTGAATAGAGTAACACTTTAGCTCAATGACATTTTTCTCCTTTACTCTTTTCTACCGCTGTTCTTGGTACCAAGCCAGATAGTCGATTCACTAATACATTCTATTATCATTACAAAAAAATAATAGATGAGTAAATGCATATAAGAAAACTAAGATGGTGAAATATAATTAAAAATAAATTATAGTAGTCAAATTTGAATGAACTACTTTTTATTTATTTATTTATTTATTTCTTCTTCTTCCTTCTACTCGGTTATGAGTCTCTCTTCGTTGTTTAATTGTAGTCATAGCTGTATCACTATCGATACTGATCTTATTTAAAATATGAATGTCATGTAACACTAATTTGGTAGGTGTCTGATTTTTTAATTTTCGGGCCATCCTATTCGGGTTATATATTTTTATTCGCTCTTGTAGAGAATAAGTGGCTCGTCTTTCTGAAATAGTCATTTTGGAAGTTTGTTCAATAGCAATACTAGTTGAATATGCCATTTCCGTTTTTTTTTTAAAAAAAATAAATAAATAGAAAAAGAGAAGTAGAATTAATATGGAAATATATATAGATATATATTTGTATATATGTATTTATAAAGAAGTAGAAATAAGAGAAAAGGAAATTATATATCTTGTGCTAGTGTGGCTGATATAGAATGAGGAGAAGTATATATCCAATGTAGGCAAAATTGCCTCAAAATTGTCTCCATTTGAGCTTTTTTTTTTTTTTTTTTTTTTTTTTTTTTTTTTTTTTTTTTAAATATGCACACGGAATTTTAATTGCTACAAAAATAAATTTTTTTGTGGTAGCAGTGGAATAATGGGGTAAAAAGATTTAGAAAAAAAAAAAAAAAAAAAAAAAAAAAAAAAAAAAAAAAAAAAAAAAAAAACTACCTTTCGAAGCTGAAATAAGGAATTCCTTAAAGACCATGGATAAAAGATTCGAATAGTTTATGAAATGAAAAGACACAGACCTGGATTATACCACGAACTGTGTGTTTATTGATGAAGTTGGCTTTAATATATCAATATGGGAAAAAATTGAGTCAGATCAGCAAGTGGAACTCTTGCCGTAGTAACAATATTGAAAAAAAAAAAGAGGGCTATATCCCACACTATAGTTGGCAGCATTTATTCATCTAGTATTCTTTATGTTGTATTTTTTTTTTAAAAAAAAAAAAAAAAAAAAAAAGCCGCTACCCAAAGCCAAAATGGAAGCTGCAAAAAAAAAAAGAACTTTTTTACGCGCCATTTATACAATGTGTTTCTAAACCATGATGATAACGCTGACATTTGCAAAATTGTAACTATTAAATTTTTTGAGGATTTACTGTAGTTTGTCTTTCCCACCCAGTCGACAGAACCCACAAGCCTGACTGTATCAATCTATTGTTATGTTAATTGCTATAGTAACACTATTAAAACTTGTTGTAAAACATAAACCTGACAACAGCCTATTCACATCTTATATTGTTGCATCATAAATCATCCTCATTATCATCATACAGTTATGTTAGTGAACGAAAAAAAAACTTTGTAGTAGTATTCAATTTTTTCTGGCATTTGGAACTATTTGATTGATTACGTAAACTGTCTATAAGGGTTCACATTACTTTATGTCGTGTTACATAAATATAATTGGTTTATTTGAAACGTTAGGATTCATCAAAAGCACTTTGCCTTTACCACAAAATTCATCACTCATCTTAGGCATAAAAGTACCGATGGTTTCAGTCAGTTAACTTATTTTAGCTAGTTGGGTGGGTGGATAATAAATAATAAGAAAAGCCTACTACTGATTCTTTAATAATGATATTACTTGTACATCATCATTTTAATTTATTTTTTTTTTTTTTGAAATAAATAGTTCATTGGTGATGGATTATTTTATTTTTCAACATTCTCCACTACAATTAATTTTATGCACTCGTATTCAACTTTTTTTTTTCAGATTGGTTTAAAAAAAAAAGAAATCTTATTAATGGACTAGTTTAAAAAAAGAGATAGAGAGAGAAGAAGAAGCCTGTAATTATGATAATATAAATAAATAAGCACGTGGACTCACAATTTGATATTTTATTTGTTAAAGGGAGCTTGTCCTTATACTACGACGAAACATTATTTATTTTTGTAGAAAACTATTTTTTTTCTTTTTTTTTTCCTTTTTTTTTTTTTTTTTTTTTTTTTTTTTTTTTTTAATTTAGACTTTTTAGAAACATGAAGGCAATTAATTTATTCTATTTGCCTGCGTTCTTATCGTTGGTGGGGTCCATCATAGCCCTACCAGAATATCAACAACAACAGCAACAAGTATTCTCAATAGATCATGATAATAGAAAATTACATGGAAGATATTTACATATTACAGACATTCATGTAAACAAAAACAAAAAAACCAAAACCAAAAAAAAAACAATGACTAAGCATTATTTTATTTTGATATAGATGGATAAAAATTACGTTGTAGGAGCAACGATCAAATCAGATTGTCATAGAAAACCAAAGAAACATAGAAATAGAAAGAAGAAGGAAGGCTTATTAGCAGGCTATTGGGGTGCGCCTGTCACTGATTGTGATTCTCCACCAAGACTTGTTTATCATTCAATAAATACAATTGCAAAAGAATGGAAGGATAAAATTGATTTTATTATATGGACAGGGGATAATGCAAGGTATATTCATATCTATACACATATATATATATATATAAATATTTTAATGTATTTTATTGATCCGTTTATTGTTAATGATTAGACATGATGGTGATGCTTTTATCACTAGGACAAAAAAGGAAATTATTGGATACAATGTAAAAGTAACTGAGCTTTTAAAACAAGCTTTTAAATTAGACCACAGTAATAACCAAACCATTCCTATTATACCTTGCATTGGTAATAATGATATCCATCCTCATAATGAATTAAGAGGAATGAAAAAGAATCCTCAATTGTTGGAGTTTAGTGAAATTTGGCATGATTTTATCCCAGCTGAACATGTAAAGGCCTTTAAGAGAGGAGGTTACTTTGCTGTAGATGTCGTACCAGGTTTACTTCGAGTGATTTCCTTAAATACGCTCTACTTTTTTGGTTCGAACGATGTTGTAAATGCTTGTAGTGATCCTAAATCAGCTGGTGCACAACATATGCGTTGGTTACGTTCTCAGTTAAAGAAAGCTCGTAAAGAAGATATGAAGGTGATCTTGATCGGACATGTCCCTCCCACCGTCAAGACCTTCAAGGATAGTTGTCTTGATGATTATATTCAACTTTCAACAAAGTACGCTGATATCATCACAGCTCACATGTATGGACATTCGAATATAGATCATTTTCAAATCATTGGCAAGGATTTCATGGAATCTACAGTTTATAGTTTACAAGAAGAAGAAGATGATGATAAATCCATTGTGGAAATCCAAAAGGATGCAGGTCGTTTTATTTCTACTTTGCATGAACAATACAAACGAGCTCAAATGACAAAGAATCGTAAGGACCTGGTTGCGATTCATGTTGCACCACCTATGCTCCCTCTCTTTTACCCTAGTTTCCGCATAAATGAATATGACACAAAGACCGGTCATTGGCTTAAATATTCCCAATGGTATACAAACTTAACTTACTGGAACGAACAGCAGGAGAAGAAGGAGGAGGAGGAGGAGGAGGTCCTGCCTGGGTTTGAAAAATTATATGCGACGGATGAGACATATAACATGACAGATTTGACAGTTGATAGTTGGCTGAATTTTGCTGAATATATAAGTTCGAAAGAAGGTAAAGAACTATGGAAGACTTATTCATCTAATATGTTTGTCAAGACGAATAATGAATGGTATGGTCAAAGTGTACCTACTGCTGATATCAATCCTCCTTCTCATTGGTGGAATTGGTTTTAGTTGAATATATTACTTAATATACAAATATATAAAAAATTATTAATATTATTGTCTCTCTTTTTTTTTTTTTTTTTTTTTTTTTTTTTTTTTTTTTTTTTTTTTTTTTTTTTTTTTTTTTTTTTTCTCATTGTTATTATTATTATTATTCGCTATATTACCGATAAAGAAAAATGGGTTGTTGCAATTCAAAAAATGACATTAATCAAGATGAAGGACGTATTCCTCGAAATGCAATAAATCAAACTAATAATGAAAACAATATAAACATTACGGAAAATAATAGTAATAACGTACATCAACAACATCCAAGTTAGTAATAGTCATTATATATTATCTCTGTTAATAAAATGTATAATTATATAATTATTGTATAGCTCCTCCTATTGTTGTTACAAAAGCTAATTCAATAAAGTCAACTGATTCATCTTTATTGCCACCATCTACTTCAACTCAACCTATTAATCAGGATGTGAAAATACAACAACATGGACAGGAAGAAGATAACAAAGAGATAGAAAAATCTGTAGCAGAGGTAACTGAAGATAATGAACCACCTGCCTTTGTAACAACAGAAGAAGAAGAAGAAAAGGAAAGGATTCAAGAAATCCAACCTACTCAAAGTATATCATCATCAGAATTGAATAACACAACAACAGAGATTCATAATACCACTTCAGAAGAAGAGCCTTGGACGATATTCATCAGACGAACAAATGCACCTACAAATGATATCAAGATTCATATTCCAACAAAAGAACCTTTCATGACCGTCTCTGACTTGAAAAAGAGTGATAAAATACCTTTAGAACCTGATCAACGCATCAAATTTATTTATCTTGGTCGTATCTTGGAAGATCAGTTTGCCTTTATTCCTGCTTCTTCTTCTTCTTTTACATCAACAAAAAATTCGATTAAAATTGCAAATCATGGTGTTATTCAAGCTATGATTTACAAGAAATAACAAATGTATCATAAAACATGTACGTAACAAGGGTTTCATTTTAATAGAACAGAACTTGTATTAATAAAACCAATAAAATGCCATTTTATTTATATGGTTTTTTTTTTTTTTTTTTTTTTTTTTTTTTTTTTTTTTTCCTTTCTTTATTTCCATGTATAAATTAACTGTTCATGAATTTTTAAGTAGTATAAACTCTCATAGGGAAGTAAGAACCTTTAAAGAATATATGAGAAAAAAAACAAAAACGAATAGTTTATACTTGTATATTTTGATTTTACCATCATTAGGAGGAATAAAATCTTCTGATACTTTCCATTTAACTTGTTGGCCAAATCTAGGAGCAGGTGCAAGCTTTTCTGTTGTATAAAGTATTTGAGAATTTAAAATTTCGTTAAGAGGTTTAGTCTCGACTGTAGTAGTAGTTGTTTGTTTAACTGCTGTTTCAGCGGAAAGTCTATCCAAATATGAATTAATTTTTTTTTTTAACAAGTGATTTTTTTTTTTTTTTTTTTTTTTTTTTTTTTTTTTCAATGTTTCGATATTTACTCGGGCTTAACAGGTGCACCTTCAAGTAAAAGAGCAACATCTTGTTGAGTATAGACAGCTAATCTAGGATAATTTCTACGAGTATCTCTTTGGAAATAATAGTTGTTACTCAAATTTGAAGCTGATGATTTAGGATATGTGTATTTTTCAGGGCGAGAACTGTATACATTTGTAAAAAAAAAAAAAAAAAAAAAAAAAGTAAGCATTATGTAAGAAAAAAAAAGGTTATATTTACCCTACAGCAGGTGTACGGAATTTGCCAACAACTGGCATACCGTCAGTAGATAAAGGATTCTATTATAATAATGAAAAGAAGTTATATACATGTCGACGTTTTTTTCTGATTCAAAATCATTAATTAAAAAAGAAGAGAGCTTACAACAGAAAAGTATTTTTTAACCCAAGCCCAAGTCTTTGAATTCCAAGACATGTTAATTTAATATAAGAACTTTATCTATTTTTTTTAATTGACAATTAATTCATGAGGAATGCACTTATAACTGAATGTATAATTTATACCTTCTTTGAAAGGTTAGAAAAAAAATGAACAAACAATAAACTTAGACATTCTACATATATTGCGGGGGGACTTTTGCCACTGTGATAATTCTACAAAATTATTTGATTGGATATATTAAAGTGATGACGAAGTTAAATTCGGGAAGAAGAATATGCCGAATTAAAGTGTGTGTGTATGTGTGTGCTTTCCTGCATTACAGTCTGGGAAACTAGGTTGGGCCAATAAAAAAATAATTGGGTCATCCAAAAATTAAAGTGGGACAGAAATACGAAAATGGGACACCCAAATGAAAATGAGAAACAAAACAGTTAAAAAAATATTGGTTGAAATAGAATTTGTTTAGACAGATTGAAAAAAAAAAATTAGATACAGCATACCTGTAAATATCTAAATTCTGGTTACCCATGACATACAGTGAGCGTAGTCGAACTATTCGATGGCGTCTTGGTTGGTTACCCGGAGGAATACCTAAAGCCTGCCCATATCATCCTCATGTACACTTTAGTCGGTCACACGCCACTAAATGCTTGCATATGCACACCCGTTTATTCTTGCCACGATCAATTTCCTTTCTTTTAAATCATCTCCCTCAGCATAAGTACCAAAACTCTCAGGATATTTCTGCCTGGCTCTATTGCTGGCCAGTTATGTGCACCATTATTCAGGAAATGGATTACCTAATACACGATAAACTACCCCCTCCACTTCTTGACCTAGACAAGAAATTACTCAACGGGTTGTTTCTTTAAACCTGTTAGCAATATTTCCCCCCTTTCTTTCTCACCTTATCTTCCTCTTCCTTTCCTTTACCTTTTTAACTCTTGTCCCGTAAGAGGGTTTTTAGATACTATTTTTCCACATAATTTGAACTGACCTGGGCAATCCAATATAATAAATATATTATGTGACCATAGGTCGCTTTATAAATTTTAATTTATAAAAATAATAAAAAAAAATGTTTAATCGTAAATATCTAAATCTCTTTAATAAGAGAAACCATGTACGAGACGGCGATATAAAAAAAACAAGACCTATTGTTCTCTCGTGAACTCCCGTGGACGCCCATGACCACCAATCACTTATCTTGAGATCTTGAATATATTTTTCGACACGTTAACGTCGCGTTGCCACATTATTCCGCAACTTTGGCAAGTTTGAACACTGTAAGCATCAGTAAAGCATGTTTGAAGACATGCATAACAGGTCTATATTTACAGTATTAATAAATTATTCTGTGACCAGTTTTGGTAAATCTTGTTGTACCTTTGAAGTCTTGAGCTCATCTACAGAAGCAAGTAAAAGTTTTCCTGATTTCTGTCTTATTTTGAGTTGTTTGTAAAGAACTCCTGTCACTCCTACCCTGAGACCCTTCAAATGTACACTGTCTTTCCCGAACATGCCATTTCCGAAAGCTATAACAGGCAATTTACTCTTGTCGTATTTGAAGGATTGGGATTTCCAAAGCTTCTTGGTATTCCTGAAATAATAATTAATGAATATAGTGTTTGTCTCTCTGCTTTGATGCTAGTATACTCACTTTATCTGCTGGGGGACTTCTTTGTCTTTCTTTCTCGCTTCTCTGTCCCTCCTCTTCTTTCTTTTCTTCCTCTTCTTCTTTGTGTTCTTTCTTTTGGCCTTATTGTATTTTTTTTTCACCATTAATAGTGACATTGGCCATTTCTTGTCTGGCCTTTTGAATTCCCTGGTATAGGTGAAAGCGACTTTCAGCAGTTGAAAAATTGTTAAATGCTAGTATTCTGTTTAGATGTAAGAGGGTATAAGTTATGTATTGCAAATAGTTTGAAAGAACAGCTGTCTTGGTTGTAGCAATGTTGAGAAGTATATCCTCTATATTTTCTCGAGACATTCTTTTTGTTTCTCTCTTTGAGTGTCTTATAGACCCTGTTAAGGTATAGTACTCTTTAGTAGAGCATCATCTGATTTGATGGGATTCATCACCCTCCCCATAAGCAGCAGCAAAAACCTGATGTCGATTGGGATCCAACCCGCAAAGAGAAGCATCAGCCAAGTTTTCATTCTTCATAGCATCTCCCAATTGGAAAATTTCTACGTCTTCGCTAGATATGCATCTGTATTCATCTGTACTATTTGTAATTTTTTGCAATAGAACCACATCAGCTGAAAATCCATCGGTTTTAATGACATTTGAGAATTCGACCTTTTTTTTTGTCTATCCGGATTTCGGAGGTCTTGGAAGCTGTGTATTTTAAATTGTGAGTCATCATCATTAGAAGCAATATATAGTTATTACTATTTTTGCCACAATCGCTGCACTTTTGTTTATCTAAATAAGGTTTCATAAAGCGAGTTAAGTCAGGAGAGCATACCAATATTTCATTTTATAAGTCTCACTTTGTTCTTCTAATCCCTTCTTGCGATTCCAAACTCTCTGAAGTATCGTATGTATTTTTTGCTTAAACATCAGTCAATGAAGATAAAAAACGATGCTGAACCATTCAATTTTGAACAAAGTGATGTTAACTAGAACTCACGGTCACTAAGAGTACAGTCACTTATTACAGGAACTATACTTATTTCTCGTTGTAGTGTAGTGGTAGTTCTACTACGTAAACAATTCTTATTACAATAAAACACTTTAAGACACCACCACAGATTTGAGGGAGATAAAAAGGACTACTCTACTTTACAGTCGACTGGTAAAATGCTCTGGAGCATGTTGTTGCAAATATTTCTGACAGATCATATGTTTGATTTGAATATACACATACTAATAAAGTATCAAATTTCAGCAAACTCTACCATTTATGGAAAACGCTCTAAAGTGACAAAGCTGTCGATCTGTCTGAATTATACTTTTAGAGCATTTTTCTCGGTTAAAGTCAGACTCAGTCTTTATTTTGAATATTAGCATAGCATGACTTACAATTATTTCTGATCCAAAATAATTATATGTCGACGGTAACTTGTTGACTCCCCAGTGGCAAGCCGCAACGTTGTGTCTTCCACTCAGACTCGAGGCTTACTTGGGATCATGCTATTATCTGCTTCGACATGCATAGCCACTTTCAAATGCCACACACCATCCCTGACCCTCTTTCCTTCGTCCTGAACAGGCTCCCTTCTAAAAAAAAAAAAAAAAAAAAAAAAAAAAAAAAAAAAAAAAAAAAAAAAAAAACCTCCTCCGCCGTCCCAAAGTTTCCTGCATTTGGTCCGTTCATTAGTCGGTAGTATGCCCAAATATTCCACGAATTGGACTATATCGTCCACAACGAACCGCCTCCTGAACTCATCATTTCTGGTGTTAAACTAGTGAATTGGTTAAATCAATCATAGTAGTAGTAGTAGTAGTTCAAATATTTCTTTTACTGATTTTGTTTCTCTTTACTTTTATACATTTTCCTCTTTTCTTGCAAGAGGGTTTTTTTTTTTCATACAAAATAACACTCAAAACTGGCCAGGGCAAGACAATGTATTCACAGCCCACTACGTGCGCAATGGTCTTTACTTTAATTAAATTACTCTTTAATCACATCTCTGTCCCATTTTTGTAATTCTGTCCCAATTCTATATCCGTATCCCAATTTAATTTTTGAATGACCCAATAATTTTTTTATTGGCCCAACCTAGTTTCCCAGACTGTAACAAAGCTACCTTATAATAAAAAAAAATAGAAATGTGATTATGTAACTATTGATATGAACAGCTTTAATGTAAAGAAAATCAAAGTTAAGTAATGATATATGACATTATACAAATAATATTAATCTATGATTTCTATTGTATTTTTTTTTTTTTTTTTTTTTTTTTTTTTTTTTTTTTTTTTTAGTATTGCTGTTATTACTAGTCTCTTTAAACTCTGTCAAATCAGTAAATACTTTTTCTTTTAAGAATTATTATCTCTCTTTAAAGAGAAAAGAAAAAAAATAATTGGTTAGATGAGTTGATCTTTTTTTTCCGCTTAATTTTGACTGCATATTCTGTAGAAAAAAAAAAAAAAAAAGGTTTCATTTAATTTTTATCTTTCCTTTTTTTTTTTTTTTTTTTTTTTTTTTTGTGGTAGTAATATTTATTATGGAAACTGCAGTTCGTAAAGCTACTCGACTCGAATATAGACCTCCTAAAGTTAAACATCTTATAAGTAGGTTCTAAATAATAGCATGGATTTGACATATTGTTAACTTATATATATATATTTGTAATAGCTTTAAGAGATTGGACATATGATAATCCAGAAAGTATAGACCGTATGCTAGTATGTCTCGAAAAGAGATTAAAAGAACGTTCATGGATTGTAAGATGATATAAGTAAATTAAAGGTTGTATGTTTAACTAACACCTAAATATTAAAGATTACTTATAAAGTATTCGCTATCTTACATTATTTAATGCGTGAAGGCAATTGTACACAAGTTGTAGACTCAGTTATTAGACGTCCATCTGTACTTGATGCTAGTCAAATTAAAAATAAATCTTCAAGTAAGAAGTCTAACTTTTATATTGAAATAGAATAATAAACCTTATTGCTTTCTATCTTTAGTCCCTGCCAATATCCAAAATATCTATTTGTATAGAGCTTATTTAGATGAACGTATTATTGCTTTTCGAAATTTAAAAAGAGATTATATAAAGGAGACATCTTCGAAAAAAGAAGGTCGACTTCGACATTTACGTATAGAGGATGGTCTATTAAAAGACACAACTGCCTTACAAAGACAAATGGAATCCGTATTAAAATGCAAGGTAAATTATAGAGTAACGAATTATGAGTACAAAAGATTGTATTTTAATGAGTAGATCAGTTTTATCTTGGGGAAAAAGATCCTTCCATAACTCTTTTTGCATATAGAATGGTAATTGAAGATCTATTATCATTGTTTCAAGCAGTAAATGAAGGTGTAGTTAATATTTTAGGTAATTTATTTTGTTTTTTTTTTGTTTTTGTTTTTTTTTCATATCGGATATTTAAATGAATCGACATATGATGATGATGTACTACTATTATCACTATAGAGCATTATTTTGAAATGAATAAAGCACATGCAACTACCGCATTAACTATCTACAAGACATTTGCACATCAAACAGAGCTAACAATAGACTATTTAAATAACGCTAAAAGAATGGAGATTGACTTGGAAATGAATATTCCTTCTATTAAACATGTAAAGTTCACATTGAAACATCCATACAAAGTGACCAAAAATAGAATATAAACTAACAAAACTATCTTTTTTTTTTTATCCATACATAGGCTCCGCTGTCACTTGCTTCTGCTTTGGAAGAATATCTTAATGATGTAGGGAAAAAGACCGGTAAATATATAAATACATAAATGTATACAAATATATATATCTGTATATGTTTATTCATATATATATATATTAATCACGAATATAAAAATAATAATGTCAATTAATCATCATAAAAAAAAAGGACTAAAACAAGCAGAGAAGGCACCAACTCTCGTTACTCAGCAACAAACTACTACTACTACTACTGCCTCTACTCAACAACCACAACAGTCCTTAGTTCAAACACCATTCATGCCTTTATCAGCTACACAACAGACGACAAATTATCAAATACAGAATACACCTTTTAATAATAATAATAATAATAACCATAATCAATCAATCATGGATGCTGCATTCTCTACACTTAATAGACACTCTACCTTACCTATTCAGCAACAGTCAACTAGGATGACACCCTCTTTAATAACTCGTTCTTCTACCATTACTAATTCTACAAACCCATTTTTGAATATGACAGCCTTATCACAGCCGACTCCTCATTTTACTACCAGTAATAGTAATCACTTTCATTCTCCTTTTGCTACAATTGGGCATGCTCCACAACGACCTACTTCCAGCAGTACTCTTACCACGGCTAGTCTTATTGGAGATTCTTATTTCAGGTCATTAAGTATGAATGCAGTGAATACCAACAATCAAATCCAATTAAACAACACTAATATTGATTTCAGCAACAACAGCACTAGTAATAATAATAATAATAATCAACAACAAATACCTGTTGCTAAGCCTATTCTACCTCAAGCAACAGGCATGACTAGTAGTAGCTATAATCCTTTTTCACCTGTAACACCTCCTTTAACTCCTAATCAACCTATGAACCTCTTTTCGTCATCCTCTCCAATGTCAACTGTATCACGTAATCCATTTTCACAACAAAATTTTAATTTTAATAATAATAATAATAATACAACAAATATGAATCCACAATTTCAATCATCTTCAGCATTTTAATCATGTGATGTGTATATATAAGTAAAGAAAAATAAAAAAAAATAAAAATAAAGTTGTATATGATACGATATACACATACATGTATATATTTTTAGACAGTCTTTTTGCTTTATCTAAATAAGCCTGTATTTGTATAATATGGATTCATAATAATAAAAAAGCGGATAATAAAGGAAGATATGGTAAAAAAAAAATAAAGGTTTATATTTGACACATAATCCATAAGAAGAAGTTGTAGAAAATGAATCCATATAATGAAGGCTTTACTCATATAAATAAATATACTTTTTCTTATTAGCTTCATTCCCTAATTAAAATTTAATAAACTATTTCCTAGAAGAATTACCAACAAACGAATAACCAATTCAGGGTCTAATTTATATCTCCCTTCCATCCCCTCCCCCACAAAATGGTCTAATACCAAACAAAAGAGTACATTACATATACCTTAGTTCATAATAATAATTTTTTTTTGTTTCTTAGATAGACAGACAGACAGATGTTTGCGTAATAAATAATTCTATTTGCGATACTCTAATAATCACCTGCTAATAAACCAGTTAAACCATCATGCATTTCTGTAGATCAATCCAACAAATTATCATGAAATAAAAAAAAATCGTATGATTTATTTTCAAACTGAGAACTATAGAAGGAAAAAAAAAATGGTGACTATTAAAGATAAAATATACAAAATTATTATGATAAAGCGGTGGCAGCATAATTATCGAATGTAGTAGTAAGATAATACATAATGATAGACTGTCTTATTATAAAAAGGAATACATTTTATTTTGCTATATATATATATAAATATATATTGTTTATCTAATATATTACAAAAAAGAAAAGAAACGTATTATATGGTATTATTATTATTATATGAATATGTATACAGATATTTTTAATTCTTTTCGAAAAAACATTTACGTTTTCGTAAACGTCGTAGTTTCTTTTTCGTCGACAACTGTGGCTTTCTTCTTATCCTTTCATCATAAAGTAGATCTAGTTTTTCTTGCATAGCTGTTAAATAATCGGCTATTTCATCATGATTATTATTATGATTCAAGAAATAAGATGGATCCACTTCAACTGTCAGTGTCGTTGTTGAACTCTTTTCTTCACACATATTTCTAGTATTCAATCCTGGAGGTTCAAATGGACGAAGACTTGTCATGTATTGCATAAAAGCTTCTTCATCATCTATAAACAACAACAACAACAACTCTCCTTTATTAACTCTAATTCTCTTTTTATCCCCTATCCCACCCAAAAAAAAAAAAAAACTACTCACAATTATTATTGTTATTATTATTATTATCGTTGTCTTCTTTTTCTATTTGACCCATCATTTTACCGGCCAAAAAAGGTTTTGGTATTGAAAGGCCAAGTAATGGACGATGTAAGGAATAAAATGCATTATGAGCAAGTTCTGTGACTGGAATATTGATCACTGGCATAAATGAAGGTATGTCGGGTGCACGATTCTTCTTCTGTATCGTTGATTTTCTTACACTCTTTTCTTCCTCTTGTTGTTGTTGCTGTTGCTGCTGCTGCTGCTGCTTATTATTTTCTTTATTCTTAGTATATGAGGATGAATATCTTTTTGCTTGTCTCGTATTATCAGAAGAATAGTTCGTTATTTTCTTTTCGGCTGTTGCTCGCTTCCATATTGTTTTTAGACTCGTACGAGCAATCATACTATATATATATATAAAATAAAATGGCGACGGAGAAAGAGAAGAAAAAGTAGAAACAGTTGAATTATTAATTTTTTTTTTTTAAAAAAAATGTTCGAAGTTTTTGGGGAGTTTCTTTTCTTTTTTTTTTTTTTTTTTTTTTTTTTTTTTTTTTCGATTTGCTATATCACACTATTTTTTTTTTATTTTTAATTTTTTTTTTTTTTTTTAAAAAAAAAAAGCAAATCTGTTCATTTATGAAAATAATTTATTAAGAAATAGAGATAAAAAATGCCACTTATTTTTTTTTTTAATTTTTTTTTCTTTTTTTTTTTTAAAAGCCTCCAAACTGTTGACTAGGAGAGTGATTAAATGATGTACCAGTCATCATAGGTGATTGTTGTGACATCATAGTATTAGGCGCTGTTAACATAAGTGGGTTTCCCATTGAACTACCTAAAGGTGTAGCAGATCCTATTATAGAATTATCAATTAATAAACTCATGTTATCCCAAATTAAATTAAACACGAACCATTTCCATTATCGGTTTCTTGTTTGGCAATCTTTTCTTTAAGTTCATTCACTTCCTTATCCAATACAGAGATCTAAATATTTATATACATTCATATAAATGAAATATGAAAATTTATCCAATAATACTTTCACAAATTTACCTTATTGAATTGTTCCCTCATAATATTAATCATGTAAGGCATAGCAAAGTCATTTAATCCATGTCTCCATGCTAACTCCATAACATAATCGGGTCTCATTAAATCATAACATGTATAAAGCATAGCAGAAAAGCATTCACGTTTACCAACTTCAATAAAGTATTGCAAAAGCTCTTCAGCCACTTCACGGTCCTTGGATTCAGCCGCTGTCTCCATAGCATCTTTGAATAAGCGATCTTCTTTAGAGAGTGCAATAGATTGTCTCCATCTTCTGTTCTTTTTATAGAGGTGGGCAGCGATACGACGGAATTCTAACAATTCATGCTTCTCTAAACGTTTTGCAAGATCAATAGGGTCAATATTGTCATGATGGTCAATGGAATCACGTAACGCTTCATAATCTTCTTCTTCAATATAGAGTTCATTAAGGGCAGTGTTGACTTCCTTATTGTTGGTATCCTGAACAGAGATCAAGTATTGTTTGATCAAGGGAATGTTATCTGACTTTTCAAATATTTGTACGACACGTGTATGTTTAAGACGAGGTACCATAACAGATAGCAAATCATTCAACAATAAAGGTTGTTCAGCAAGATAGAACTTGAGCGCCTTATAGTATAATTCAGTATTAGATACTTTGACAATAATCTCCTTGAATGCACTATGTTCCCAAGCATCGACAGAGTGCTCCATCATCGCGCTCACTGCATTATCAAATTCATCATAGTTAACATACAAGAATACCAATTCACGCCAGAGGTGAGCATCATTACAAGCACGAATAGCCTTGGGTACATTAATACGTGAGACATAGAGTTTAAGGTGTTCCATCAACATATCAGGTGCATACTTGGAATAAAGAATAGCGAGTTCAGTAAACATACCCATATGGGCTCTTTCTAAACCTAAACCTGCTTCTAATAATTTGATAATTTCTTCAAAGTAACCATTCTTTTCATATGTCTTTACAAGTTCGTCCAATTCTTCAGCATGAACAATAATATGAAGACCACAGATTTGTGCTAAACGGAATTCACGTTGTCTAATACATTCCGCATTCACTTCCTTCCACACTTTAGTTGAATTTGCCTTTCGAGCACAGTCAACAGCACCTTGATAGTCCTTCAAGTGTACCAAGGTTTGTGCCAAACTAGCATGATTGGAGATACTGCTGTACAAGATCTTGGCTGCTTCAAACATACCTGAACGGAAACAACGATCACCTACTTCTTGAATTTGTGCAATATTAGGACTAGCTAAGAAATCTTCCATATCAACTAAACGGTCTGTCTTTGCATAAGCATATAATAATTCAGTTTCAATAAAGGGTTCACGCGATTGCTTACGAGCCATTTGCAAGTAACGAACAAGATCATCATATTTATTGTCCATAGAGGCACAACGAGTGACTTCCATATAGTTGGATGTATCATTAGCACGAATATAAGAATCAATGGCTTCCTTAACATGCATTTGGTCGAGTTGGGCTTTAGCAAGTTTGCTCCAAACTTCTGGTTTATCAGAACGTTCAGCAAATTCATATGCACGATCAAGATCACAAATCTTTTCAATCAAAACATCAATAGCATTTGCATCCACATTATGCTTTTTATAAATTACAAAAGCTTCTTCGAACAAGTTTTCACCAATACAGACTTCAGCAACATCAGGTGCATCAAAATTATCCAGACGGTTGATGTAGTCCATAACACGAGATGGATCAGCCTTGACAGCAGTGAAGATTAACAAGTTTTGAAGTGTCTTGTTATCACTAAAGGCACTATTCTCTAAAACAATCTTTTCTAATAATTCGATCAATTCATTAGGCAAGTTAGCATTCATGAATGCCTTAACAGTGGCGGAGACATCATCAGGATCAGTACATTCAGGCAAAGCAGTAGCAACAATTTGATCAATTAATTCACGGCGGTGTTGATTATCTTCAACAAGCACAGAGCTCCAAAGGGATTGATCACGACGGTGAACAAGGTAGCGAGCTTGATGCTTAAACATTGAGTTTTCAGTAGTAATATGAACTAATTCATAATCACATTGACCCTTTTCATAACAAATAAAAGCCAAATAAGGATCTCTCTTCTCACAGTATTTACCAATAATACGAGGATTATAATACTCATTCTCTTTCAGGAAAGGTTCAGGATTATTATTCGTATCAATATAGATCTTAGCTAATGCATTGTATACTTCAGGGTCGGTACTTCCAGCAGTAACACGCATGTTCAACCAAGGTAATAATAATTTAAGACGGTTTCGTTGTTCTACTTCTTCACATAACTTCTCAACGGGGAGTTCGCCTTGAACGGAAAGAAGTAAATTCTTGATCGTGTCCTCATCACATCCAACATCTAAAAGTCCACCAATAACTTCAGGAGTACGGGAGGGGTTGACCTTTTGTACATAAGTCTCAATAAAGTTTTGTAAATGATTGTGATACAAATAGAGAACAAGATCATGAACAAAATTGAAACGATCACAGACGATAATAAGGGGAAGTTGATCGCTTAATTTAGCTTCTTTCAAAAAGTTTTTGACCTTTTCAGGATCATAGAAAGTACTTTCGCGACAAATACGTTCCGCTTCACGAACATTACCTGTACGACAAGCAGCTTGAATATATTTGAAGTGAACTAAGCCATCTTGACTCACATTAACAATGGATCCAAGATAATAGTAAAGGCCTTCATTACTCTTGAAAGATTCAAAAAGATCAATAAGATTATGAGGTTGGAGTTGTTCAGAATATTTGATAGCAATTTGAACAACGATTTGAAGGTTTTGACGAAGGTTATTGGAAAGCATTTCTTTTAAGCAATCTAAAGTTTGATCCACTGAGAGATTACCGAAATAGTTAACAAGCCATTCAGCATTCATTTGATGAGTATAAGGAATAATACGTTTAATATCATGAATATCAGTGTAATGCTCGAGGGCACGTTGATATAAACCAGCCTTTTCACACAAATTGCCAATAACAACTCTGTCATAATGAGTGAGCATACCAGTACCCAAGATAGCATCAGCAACTTGAGGGGCATGAATTAAATTCATTTCTAAAACACGAGTTTGAAGTGCGGCATCTTCTTCTCGATTACTCTTCAAATAATCCAGAAGGAAGGAAGTTGCTTGAGGAATCATATTTTGAGATTGGAAAACATCAACTACTTTTTCGGGTTCAATTAGAGGACCATTTTCATCATTAGCGAGAGAAGTAGCAAATTCGGCAGCCTTTTCAGGATCAGTACGAGCAATGTTATAGAGTAATGAAGCATAATCAGGGGTATAGCCGACTGTCTTTGCATAAGCTAAAATCTTATCATATTGACGGTTTTCAGCCATACATAGCACAACTTTGTTAGGAACTTCAGCTCTCAAATAAACAGATAAAGCTAAAAGAGAATCATACTGCTTGACAAAATCACCAAGCTCCTCACTACACTGCAATTTATCTTCCTTCAACCATTTCTCTAAAAGAGGCTTACGATTTTGAGTGAGGATAGGTTTAGCAAGTTCAAGAGACTCGTATTTGTTGAGAACACCTTTTTCAAGTAATGTGCCAAAATATTGTAAGATAGGTGGTAGTGTATTAGGAGCTGCAGGAATTTGACGGAATTTTTCAATTGTGTCAGTAGTACGAAGAATACCCTAAGTTAAATGATAAATGATTAGTTTGTTGAATCTATATTTAATAGTTGATAGATAAATTTACTCTAGGAGAGTTAGCAGCAACTTTAGCAGCTTCACCAAAATTTCCAGTTGCAAATAATTGGTTAAATCGAGCGACATATAAATCATCAGCACCAGGAAAGCCACCGCGAGAAGCTAATTTAAGAGCCAATTCAGTATTATTCAAAGTATTAATAATATAAGGAATAATATTGTTTTCATCAAGAGAAACTGAAAGTACCTATAAAGAAAAGCGTAAAAATATATATGTATATACCTTTTTTAGTGATGACTTTCATCTTTTAGACCGAAATTAATACTTACTTGTCCTTTCTTATTAACACCAATAATACCAGAAGTAGGTTCAAATTCAGCAGTAACAAATATTGTCTCACTACTTATTCTGTTCATATAAATGCAAGTTCCAGATTCAAGATCATAAAGATGGATAAAACCCATTTTGGTGACTAAGTAAATGACACCATATTTGTGACTCACTTGCATTGCAACGGGGAAGTCAGTAGCAGCTTCAGGAGGGAAAAAACTTCAACAGCTTTCTTTTGGAAAGGGGGATTGCCTTCATGATGATCAACTTCAATAATTTGAAGCTTTTCATTTTTTTTTTTGGAGAAAAGAAAATCATTAAAAAAAATAAACGGGCAAATGATTAATGTCTTTACTTACCTTTGCACTTCCATTAGCAGAACGAACAGCAAAAGTGAAAAGTTTAGTTGGAAGAGGGGCATCAGCAATATTAAGCTCTGCAAAAGCAGCAGCATGACCTTCGATAGGTTGACTGACACCACGATCCTTGGAATAAAGTTGCATAGAACCAACAACACGACCCTCTTTAGCTGAGATACCAACAAGCACATACCATTTTTCATCAGATGAAACACGAAGATTGATAATTTGACAACCTGCTAAAGTTCCAAGTCTCTCAAAGACTCTTTGGGGTGCGGAATCACCTTCAATAGACCAGCGATATACATACTGTTCTGTAACGAGACCAATTGTCTTAAGGTCTAACCATTTCCAGAAAACAATATCTTCCGACATTATATAAGACTTGAGTTTAGATTTTAATTCAAGGTTAAATACTTGAAGTTGTCTTTGGGCTAAATTATCATTTTAATTAATCTATTACTCAAGAGAACAGCTATACTATTATATACCTTTAAGGGCCATAACTTTAACCTTGGGATGCATAATTACAGAATCGGCAGTGATGGGTCGACGAGTAATTTCATTATTATTAGACAAGTCAATAATGACAACTTGGTTTTGATTATTAACTTGCTCACGAACACAAATGAATCTGTCAGACTCCATAGTTAAAGTATTAAAGCCAATACTGGCAGCATTGACGCCAAGATTTTGCAACTAAGATGAAAAAAAAAAAAAAGAAGATATTTTAGCGCTCTTTATGCTGGCCATTTTATTTTTCAATATTTCTTGTAAAAGTGTTACTCAAATGAAGCTTACCTGTGCATGCTCTTGGAACTTAATAGGCAGTTGGTCACTCATCTTTATATAAATAAATAAATAAATAAATATGGATATTTATATAAAAGAAAAAATAGAAAAAAAAAAAAAAAGCAATTAGAAAGATGGCCAAATTAAGTTACAGCCAATATAATATTAATAACAATAATAAAAAAAGGTTTTCAGTGTACATTTAATGGCAAGAGTTCTTTACTTACTATAGATGCCTTTTATGTATATGTATATGTATATGAATATGTTTATATGATTGTTTATTATATAAAAATATATATCGATATAAATATATGTGGTAAAAAGGAAAATAAAGATAAAAAAGTATACAATTAAAAAGACACGAGAGAAAAATAGAAAGCAGCCAACAGACGTCACCCTCGAAGAAGCGGTTCTTCAAACGCGTAATAATGTTGTCGCAATACAAAAAAGGACAACACAACATTAACAACAATAACAACAAGGCATGAAATATTACTACTGCAAAGCCATTTTAAACTAACTTGACTTAAAAAAAACAAAAAATCTATTTCTACATAAACTATACATAAAAGCAAAACGTTAAGAATTTTTATTTTTTTTTTTTTTTTTACTTTTTACTTTTTATTTTTTTATTTTTTTTTATTTATAATTGGCAGAAACCAATTTAGCAATTGTCTGAAGCTGAATATTACTGGTTCCTTCATAAATAGCACCAATCTTAGCATCTCTATAAAACTTTTCAACACCTAGCTCACGAGTAAAACCAACTCCACCACACCATTCAATTGCCTTACTGGCAGCATGTTCAGCTACTTGAGAAGAATATAGTTTGGCCATAGCAGCTTCTTTAACAAACGTTCTACCTTCCTCTTTCATACGAGCAGCATTATAGGTCAAAAGCCGAGCAGCTTCAATTTCAACAGCAATCTGAGCATATTGATGTTGCATAGCTTGGAAATCACCAATAAACTGACCAAATTGTTTTCTTTGAAAAAGATAAGGGAGAGCAATATCATAAGCTCCCTGAGCAGTACCAATCATTTGAGCAGCAATACCAATACGACCTTCATTTAAAATCTCAATAGCATATTTATACCCTTTACCTATTTCTCCCAAAATATTTTCTTTAGGTACACGAATTTCATCAAAATTCAAAACACAGGTGGACGATGCACGAATACCCAACTTGCTTTCTTTCTTAGCTACTTGTACACCCATCTTCTTCTCCACAATAAAGCAAGTAATACCCTTATAACCCTTAGAAGGATCACTACAATGATAACAATTAGTATATATATATATATTCTTTTTCATTCTGTTATATATATATTTACACATTAGCAAATACTAAAAAGATATCAGCTTCAGCAGAATTTGTAATCCACATCTTTGTGCCATTAAGAACATAATGATCATCCTTCTCAATAGCTCGTGTTTGAAGAGCAAATGCATCTGAGCCAGAACCTGATTCAGATAAACAAAAGCATCCCACAGATTCGGTGGCTAACTTGGGAAGGTAAGTTTTTTTAATATGATCAGTACCATATTTACGAACAAGAGTTCCAACTAAAGTATTCTTTAAAGAAAAAAAAAAGAATTCAGGAACAAAATCATATATTAGAAATATTATAATTATTTATACCTGAACATCACAAAGAACACTAATAGCAGGATCTACTTTGGCAAGTTCTAACAAAAAAAAAAAAAAGGTACATTGAATCTTCTTATCTTTTAAGATACGGGTAAATGTTAAATACCTTCAATAGTAATAATAGCGGAAGTAAATGAACAATTAGCACCTTCATAATCCGCCTCTGTTTCAATACCCATAAGCTATCTCATACAATTAGGATAAACTTTTTTTTTCCTATTAATAAATTTAAACTTACGCCTTGCTCAAAGAGGCCTTTCAAGACAGATAAATCAAGTTGCTCAGTTTCATCCATTTGTGATACTTTTGGTTTAATAACCTCTTGAGCAAATCTGGCGACTATCCTGTATATTTAGCGCACATTTTGAAATAAAATATTTTCATTAAAAAAAAATTACCCGTATCTTTAAGCATCATTTCTTCTTCAGTAAAGGATTGAAGAGAGGTAGGCAAACCTACTGCATTTCGAGCAATGACAGATTGTGTGAATGACCTAAATAAGTTGAATATATTAATACATATTTAATAATAATAATAATAATAAAATACCTTTTTAAAATAAGACTACGAGACAAATTAGTAGTAAAATGAATTGTATTTCTTAACATTTTTTTTTTCTTTCGAAATGTGGGGTAAAGGAGAAAGAAAATATTTATAAAAAAAAAAAAAAGTTCACATGCTTTACAAAACTTTATAATACCGGATTTCACGCATTCTACATAAATCATCAATAATACTAATTACATTAATTCTCCGCATAACAAGAATGAGATGGATCCTAGCATAGTTCTTCATTTTAATGCACTACTACTTTATTTACAATTACTTATAAAAGGTACTAAAAAATGCTCTTGATATCGATATCTTCAATATTTACTGAATTTATGTTTAATATTAAGAAGTATTGTATGAAAATAACAAAAATTAAAAAAAAAACAAAACAAAACAAAAACCAAACAAGTTTAGACTGCAGAAATCATGAGCATACATTCATACGCTTAAACGATATATGTATACATGTTTATATTTATTTTCATAAATCGGATATTTATTACCCGGGTTAAATCATCAATAGTAAAAGATACCTTTAGGATTAAATGAACATACATAGTGTGTTCGCATATTAAAACATCGATTTCGAATACTTTACTTGTTTTCAATTTGTTCAATTTAGCCTATCTTTATTTAAAATCCTCTTGACCTACCTACCCCTTTTTTTTCGTATTGCCTAATGTCTTTTGTCATAACATGAAGACGCAAACAGCAATCAAACAAAACTTTGCAGGATCTGGGGGGGGAGTGGATGTTTAAAAAGATAAAGGAACGCTTTTTATTTTATTTTTTTTTTAAAAAAAAAAAGAATTCTACCTAAATAGTCTGTGTATCAAAAATTGAACCTTTCATGAACTTAATACAATCAATAGCATCGTACTCTGTTTTATTGAAAATAGAAAATGAGACAAGTTCTTATTACATCTTTGAGACAGCAAAATTCAGTTCATATAAACGTATCATTTATGGCAAACTATCATAGACTTTATCGCTCTCCATAAATTACTTATAGGAAAGAACATGCAATTGAATTTCATTTTATATTCAAGGACAGCTGTAAAAAAAACAAAACAAAAAGGGGAGACGGAGAAATGACTGACACTTTTTATCTTTTAGTGACTATTTATTTGCAGAGAGTGTGATGACAAGTTTCTATGTCCCAGCTCCAGTGTATCTAAAATTGTATACGAATGTTGATACTTTGAATAAGCACACTATTAGAGGGGGGGTATAGTTATTGTAGCGCAAATGTGGCTAACCAAGAGCAAATTGATAGTGACGATTTAAAGACCATTAAAGTCCGTAAAAAAAGCAAAATCTCAGCTGTAAACTGCAACAGCGCATTAGCATGAACCAAGATGTGATATCTCTATTCAAATATTGGAATCAATATAAAGAAAAAAAAATTATAAAAAATTAAAAGCTTAATAAAATCAACTAGTTTTAAACGCCCTTCATTTTACAGATCATAAAGAAGTATATTTATTTACATAAATAAGTTACTGAATTCCCTTCTTCTTTGACATTGTTTGTCCAAATAATGCTTAAAAAGTTAAATTTTATACCCAGATTGTCAGTGTGTATATAGTGAATATAATGCCAAGTCTTCTGAAAAGCATTTCTTTTTTCTTTATTTTTTTTTTTATCATTAATAAGAAAGAAAGAAAAAAAAAATGAAAAGACTTTTTGGTTCGACAAAAAGACAAACAAAGCCAACACTTAATGATGCGATATCTAATGTAAATTTATAAATACATATATAGATAACATGTTTTCAATTTCCTTTACTTTCCTTTTATTAATCAATGTGAATTAGACTGAAGTACGAGTTGATGCTATTGAAGTTAAGATAAAAAAATTAGATGCAGAACTTACAAGATATCGCGATCAGTTAAAGAAAATGAGAGATGGACCAGCAAAAGTAATCAAAGGAAATATCCTCTATTTTATGTTTATTAATTAATTATCATAGAAAAATGTTCAACAAAAAGCTTTACGAGTATTGAAACAAAAGAAACTGTGAGTTAAAGTAGATTACACATCTTAGTATAAATATATCCATTTGAATTTACATTTGTTAACTTTTTAGATATGAAGCACAACGTGATAACCTGCAACAACAGTCTTTTAACATGGAGCAAGCCCAAATGACAACTGAAAACTTACGAAATGTAATGGCAACAGTGGACGCAATGCAAATTGCAAATAAGGAAATGAAGAAACAATACAAAAATGTGAATTTAGATAAAATTGATGTAAGTTATGAAATCTTAATATTATACTTGTATTAAAGTACCTTTTCTCTATCTACTTAGCAATTGCAAGATGAAATGGAGGATTTGTTGGAACAAGCTAATGAATTACAAGAAACTGTGGGTAGATCATACAATTTACCTGATGATATTGATGAAGAAGATCTTGAAGCAGGTTTGTTTCATTTTTTTTTAATAAGAATGAATAAACATATTTTGACGTTTACATTATAGAATTGGATGCACTTGGAGATGAGTTAGAATTCGAAGAAGAAGAAGTACCTTCGTATTTACAAGAAGATATAGAACTGCCAAAGACGGCTGAAACTGATCCCAATTCGGTAAGCTTCTTTAATTGAATAATTCGAATACCATCTAACTTTCTTTTATGTTAGGCACAGGATGTAAAACTAGATGAATTTGGTTTACCAGTAGCTGCAGAAACACCTATGAAAGCATAAATTTTCCTCAAGCTTTCATTTGTTATGTTTTTTACAATAAAGATGAGTCTTGATATCCAATCATATTGTACATTTTATTTTATTTCTTGAATAAATAAATAAAAAAATAAATAAATGTTGTTTGGCATATTCTTTTTTATTCAAGTTAATCATGTCTCAATCGTCAAGTTCATTGGTAAAAAAAAAAAAAAACATAACATTTTTACTATATGGAAACAAATGACTCATATAGTAGAATTTAGTTTAACGACTTGATACATTCAGATGAACAACAATTATCAACAGACTCATCACACACTGTAAAAACCAATACACCTTCAGTACCCATCAATAGTGCTCATCTTTACCCTCGATTGGCAGGTTCTAACTGGACAAGTTATTTAAGTCAGTTTTCTGTTATCTTGGGTCGTTCCGGTACTGTGTTAAACAACGATCCAAATCAAGATCAAAGAAGACCACGAAAACTAAAGTTAGTCGATATCGATCTAGGTAATTCAAAAGCTATTTCACGTAGACATTGTGAGATTCGTTATAGTGCAAGACGTGACCGATGGGAACTATACGTGTATGGTAGAAATGGAGTAAAAATAAATCATGTTATTAAAAGGCCCGGCGATAAACCATCGATATTAAAGTCAAGCGATTTAATTGAAATTGATGGTACAAGCTTTGTCTTTGTTTTACCTAATAATGACAACTATTTAAAGCCTGGTATGGATCCAGACCAGTTATCAAGAGTACTACAAAACAATGATCAACAACAGAATGAGGAAACTGAATCAGAAATTAATACGCCCAAGGATGAAGACAACACGCTTAATCATGAATTGGAGTTGGCAGTAGTTAAAGTGCTTGAAAGATATAATTCTCTAAATACTGAAGAGATTTTAAATTATTTAGAGCCAGAAATAGATAAGGTATTACATAATTTAATAATTACGATACATGTATAAACCTCCCCTTTTTTTTTTAAAAAAAATAGGAAAATTTGCTTCATTTACTAGTATTAAATCCAAGATTTCATTTAGTTCCTAACTCCTCAAAAGAATCAGATTCTGCTAAATGGATGCTTATACCCCAAACTATCACTAAAGACCTCGATACAGCACCTGTCAAGATTGTGAACGACAATAACGAGGTCTTTCATCAAAAAAATAAAGAGAATTTACTTGATACTAGTACATCACTAAACAAAGTAACCTTCATACAGACCCAGTCAGAGGCAGAAAAAATGAATAATAGTCAAAGTCGATCTACATCATCCTTTCCAAAATTATTTAGTGATGATTGGTCTATATTCACGCCGAACACACCAGAAACAACTGTTGTTGGCAATGCAATACCTGAACCACGGTTAGAAGCAGAGACAGTAACGATACAGGAAGAAAGAGATGATCATAGTCAATGTACTTTATCCTCGCTATGTCTATCTTCTTCTGTTTCACAAATAAGCCAATCTCCTCTATCTTTCCCTCGTAGTATGTCAATTGAATCAATATACTTGATTTGGACTTCTTCAACTCGTAGCATCGAAGAAAATGAAAGACCAAACAAAAAATTAAGGAAGATGAATAACAGTGATGAAAATATAGCTATTAACGATTCAATTTCTACCGAAAAAAGTGAAAATAATGAAAATAAGAAAATAGAAGAAAATATATATAAAGAAGTACATTCAAAGATTCTTATAGAATAATTCAAATAATATAATTATAATTTATATATTTATTGAAACAATTATATTAAATATTTAAATAATATCTTTAACATTATTTACTCTACGTTAAATGAACAAACTTTCCTGCTTGTCTCCTTACTCACACACTCACACACACACTCTCTCTCACTCTCTCACTCTCTCACCCTCTCTTTTTTTTTTTTTTTTCTTTTTTACATTTTTGGTTTAATTTATTATGTATTGAAACACGTAAATTGTATTCTGATTGGAGCGAAAATAAAGTCAAAGCAAATAAGATGATAGGCAGAAGATACAATACTAAACATATATATCCTATATCCATATTTTTACTATATAATATATGGGACTATGAAATAATGTTCTTTTTACCTTTATTATTATTGTTATTATTTTATTATTTTTTCTTTATTTCTTTCTTTATTTTTTTTTCAGGAAACAAACAAGATAAAATGCCTAGCCCTATGACATTTTTTTCATTAGGAGCAGTTGGCGCTGCCGCAGTCTATGCTACCAACACTAATCGAAGAAGAAGAAGAAGAAGAGACTCTCAAATATCATCAGTTGATGAATTCTCAAATCCAAATACGCTTTCAGGAAGACAATCACATATGACCGTTCAACCTGATCATGAATGGGATTTTAGAAAGCAACCTGAATATGTTTGGCGTCGTAATAATGGAGTTAGCTTTAGCCATAATTCTGACCCAAAATTTCCCTTGAGTCAACAACAGAAGAAGAATATTGAACAAGACTCTTCTTTTTCCACTACCAAATAAATCATACTATTTTATGCAATTTTTTTTTTCCTTTTTATTAAATAAAATAAAGTCTGTATTAAAATCATTTTATGATCAGTATTATTATTAGTATTATAAATACATATACATATATATATATATATTTATATAAAATATATACAAGGCTTTTATTCACTATTTTTTATTTTTTTATTATTAAATATGTATTATAAATCAAAGACTCTAAGTGCAATTGTTTTTTTTTTTTTTTTTTTTTTGGTATTCTTTACTTTCTATTTGCGATTTTTTCTCTTCTTTACAGAATTAGGTGTAAATGACATTTCCATACCACCCAATGCAGTACGTGACACTTTATGTCCATCACTCTTACGGTGTCTCTGTTCTGATTGTAATCTAGATCCAAATGATTTTTTACTTTCATTTTTGCTTGTCATTCTACCACCTACTGTTGAACCTATACGCATTTCGGGCACACGACGTTTACCTGAACGAATGGATGTTGTTGCTTGTCTTTTGTCTCGAACTTGTAAACCTCTTTCTTTACGTATCTTGGAAACAATATCATCTTCACTTTCATTATCGCTTTCGTCATCGCTTTCATCCATTTCCATCGTATCTTCTTGTTGCTCTTCTTGTTCAACTTCTTCTTCTTCTTCTTCATCAGAATCATTCACTTTCTTTTTCTAATTAAATTAGGTTAGTGGTCTATCTTATATTGACTAGAGTGAATATCACATTTCTATATTACTTACAGATACTGTAGGATGCAATAATTGATATTCCTTTGAATTTTCATCCACTTGGAATTCAGGATCAGCAAACAAGTCAGCGAAACGACTATCATCAAGAAGACTACCGTCTTTCTTGTTGCTATTCATCAATTGCTTAGCAAGATCCTTATTCACACTAGGTAGTTGTTTAACAGCACGAATACGAGAGCCACGTTCCTTTTCAATCTTCTCTTTAACTGCACGTTCACGATATTCATCATAGGCAAAGGGATTAGCGATCAATCTTGCCTTTTCATACAAACGCAAATCGACAAAGAAACCATGCATATAAGCTTTGATAACGTTGGTACCCAAAAGATGCTCCAAACCCAATGCTGTTAACTCTTTACGAGTAATAAACTTATATTCATCGTAAATGTCTCTGTTAGGAGCTTCCTCCATTTCTTCAGTAAGATTTTCGAGGAAGGAAGCCCATCGTGGAGCGGGCCCTAACTGGGGAATGAAATAAGCGCCCATCTGAATACCTTCATTGGCTGTAAAGATCAAACCACTATCTTCGACTACTGTCATATCATTAATATCTGTTTCAGGTTCAATAGAAGTGAAATGTTTTCCCGTATTACGATCCCAAATCTTTATAATCTTATTGTCAGATACAATCACTTTATCACCACCTGTCTCTGAATCATTAGCATTACCCTTATGGAAATTTATAGATTTAATAGGGAATCCATATTGGTGATCTTTAACAATCGTAGGTACAGATGAACGTAAATCATATAATAATGTGTGGCCGGTGTTTGTACCAACACCCATTGTTAAACCATCTGAACGAAAACTAAGTGCTGATACTTCTAAAGGTGCGCTTTCGTCTCTTCCATAAGATGCAGGAACCTCCAGATTTGACAAGACACCCACCCTTGATTTAGATCGAGGATCCCATAATTCGACTGTACCACTTGTTGTTCCCATACCAAATAACTGGTGAGCAGGATTAATTTCAATACAATTAACACCATCCTCGGCATCAGTTTGAATCGAATTTAAAAATCGTCCTTGCTCAAGATTAAGACGATACACTTCAGAACCTGATGCAGTCAATAAGAGATCGCATGAAGGAAAATGATATGCAAGATCACGGCCGAATTTGGGAATACGTGTACGATAATGAATTCCACCTTGTGCATGAAGTTCAACGGATCGATCATTTTGTAAAAGTGCTACTTTGGTCCAATCATCAGATAAGATCTATAAGATCATATATGTATGTATGTGTGTGTGTGTGTGTAAATATTAAAATTTAAACGTTTGTTTAATGTACTTTTCTTTTCAAGTATTACCTCAAAATTGATTGTTTCAGCATCAGTATGGCGCTCAAACTTCATTGACATTTCAGAATATTCGAAAACTCTCATTTGAGGTTTGTATGTACCTGTAGCAACAATATATTTTCCATCTCGAGTTGTTTTTACACGATTAGAGGCTTCCGGAAATTCAAAGTCTTGAATGAGTTCAACTCTTGTACGATATTCTATTGTATATGATTAATTAAACTACGAAAAAAAAAAAAGATCTGTTTTAAACTACCAAAATCTTTCTTCAAGGCCTTCTTCTTCTTTCGTGCAAGCCAATCAGGAATTGATCTTGACCCAACGCCTCCTGAGACTGTATATACTTTGACGTTGTTGGCTGTTGTTACTTGTAAAACCATTTTAAAAAGCCTATTTTATATTATGTATTTATATAAAAAGCTATTAAAGCAGAATCCAATTTTTTTTTATTCAGATTTGAGGTTCATAAAAAACGCCACAACGGACCAGCTCAAAGAAATTCAGTCACAGTTGGAAGTCTTGCATTGAACATAGGCTACTTTTTTTTTTTTTTTACTTAACTTCATTCCATTTCATTCATTTGAAAAGGGAGCAAGTGGAAAACAAAAGTGAAGACAGACAATATACATATAAAGATATATATATATATGTATATATATAAATAAATACATTTTATTTCACAAAGCAATTGTTAGATCTATTACTTTTTTTTTTTTAAAAAATAAAAAAAACGAAACATAATGACCATGTTGATGACTGAAAACAACAGTAGATCACTTGAATATGAGTTAATATTATCCGAAAGTAAGAAACGTCGTTTTCAAGAAAATCGAGATAATAAAGAAGAAAATACAATAGCGTCAATTAAAATCAATCCAGCTACACAGCAGTTAAACAGATATAACATGGTTGCACCAGACTTCAATTGTACAGCTATTTTAAATAATGAAATTAATAGATTACAACTGTCAACTTTATTTGCTAAATATAAAGCTGTCGTCTTATTTTTTTATAACTATGATCTGTAAGTAATAAAATAAACGTATACAAGATGATATTAATTATTTGTTTATAGTACATCTATTGCTTGTAAAGATCTTACTCTTATCAAGTAAAGTATATACATTTATATAGAATGCAATAATAGCATGGTGACTTAATATTATTTTTGATTATTAGTCATTATTTCGAACGACTTCAATCGTTAAATACAATGCCATTAGCTATGTCAACTAACACAGAAATAACTCAATCTATATTAGATTTTATACCTTCATATCCTCTTGGTAAAAAAGAAAAAAATCAACTTATTCAATGTTATATAATAACACCCTATTTATTCATTCATTTATATCCCATTAGTTGCTGACATGACTTGCTCTGTTTCCCGTCATTTTAACGTACTGCATCCTGAAACAGGTCTCATACAAAGAGCTGCTTTCGTTATTGATAATACAAGACAAGTAAGATTTTCATTTTTACTTGATGATAATAGAATTTCGCATTCTATGGATACCATTTGTACTATAGTAAGTTGATATATTTACATATATAAGAAAAAAAAATCAAATCAAATATGGATTAAATTAAGCCTATTCTTTATGTAGCTTCGAACTTTTTAAATTATTAATACAATGATTACATAATAATATTATACTTGTTACATATTTAAATAATAAGAAATAAATAGCTTCTTTATTTTATTTTTTTAATCTACATTAATTAATTCTTCAATAACAATGCTACCTCTTAAAGATGTAACAATATTTGTCATAAATTCAATAGTAGAAGGTTCACGATGAGAATGTTTATCTAAATAAATAATCACCATCACTGTATGCTTATCTATACGCATTAAATAATAATTACTTCCAACTGTATTGTCAAAGAAATGAATAGGCCCTGATTTTGGATCACTTAGAAGCTTGTGATGCTTACTGCCTTGTTGAATGATAGAGATAATGTTCGGTAAATGCTTTGTCGGTATTTCATCTTTAGGGTAACAGAATATGAATGGAAACGAATGGATACCTTGAGGCGGTTCATATGGAGTCGATTCAGAAGAACAGACATATCCTTGAGGATAAAAGGGAGTATCATTTGTTACTTCATAGACTAAACTTATACTATAAGCACCAAATTTTCTTTTAAAAGTAGCAATTCTTATTTAAAAAAAAAAAAATTGAGTCCCTTGTTATTATACATAAACACACTTTCTATACTTTACTGTTCATAATAGTCGACCTTTAAACCTTTCCATAATGATTTTTCTGGGTCTTCTTCAGTGACTAGTCTTTCCTTTTCTAATAAAATTGTATAAAAAAACAAAGTCATTTTTGCAGTCAAGTTATGAAGTACTCTTGCGTGCCATCTTATTGTATTTGGCCATATATCGCCTTGTTTATGATGTAATTTTGACTATCATCATACTACTTGAGTGAGCTATATATGGATTTATATGCATCTTCCCTTACCTCTGACTGTCCAAACAAATGAAATCGCCAAGTCGATATTTCTTTAGCCTCATCTGGCTTAGAAGACGATTTCTAACATTATATACATATTTATAAATAGATTGATAGAGATATAGATGAGTGTATCACATATAAATATCTATTATAATCTACCTCAGGGTAATCTTGTTCTTGACAAATTCGTTTCCATTCATATAAATCTTGTTTTGTTTGAAATAAAGCAATACAAGCATCTTGAAATGCATAATTCGTTATAGCCAACCTCGCTCTTAAAATACAAGTCAATATACCTATTTCCTTTTCTATACCCAAACCTAATATATCCAAATCCTTTTGTAAATTCATTTCCATCATTTTTTCCTGCACTGATTCGAGCTCCTTCAAGATTTCGTCAAATTCGCCTTTCATGGATTGGGCTAAAATAGCTTGATAAAGATTAATCATTTCTCGTCGAAGTTGACAAAACTTAGTTAGGGCATCCATGATGATAATAAATTGACTTTTATCATCGTTGGATAATGAAGTGGTCGAAATCACATTAAGTATTTCTCTTGGTAATTCGTTTGCCAGATTAGTATACACAGTTTCTACCGCCTTATTTTTTTTTTTAAAAAAAAAGAAAAGAGTAAATAAATTAAAATTAGCAAATGTCATATATAGTATCAATTAATCTTACTATATCTTTTCTCATAACAAACCATCTTGAACGTAAGAATAATAGTTGAGTAAAAGAACTTTCACAGCTACATAACCTTGTAAAAATATAGCTAAAAGGTTGATAAATCTATGTATATCGGTTATTTTTTTTTTGTTTTTTTTATATAGAATAAGTTTAGTATTTCCTACTTTAGATAATTTCGCTATTAACTTTGTAGCAGCAGCATAATCGAAAGCACCTAAAGCTTTTAAAATGTGTTGACAATGATCATGTTCCATTTGTTAAGCACATCCTTAATATTATTGTTATTATTTTTTTTTTTTTGGTCTACCATTATGGAAAAAAAAATAAAAAATAAAAATATAAAACTCCCTTCGTACACCCTATCAATACTGATACCCTTTTTTTTTCTTTCTTTTCTTGGAATTTTTCACCTGAATTCATTAGATAATACTGTTAATTGCTGTGGTTGTACTAACTGTGGGTCAGAATTATCTTCTGCTATTCTCTACAGGTAACTGGCATACAAGCATACTATCCAATTCCCCCTTTTTACTACTCATATTTGAATTGTTATGTATATTTATCTTTAATAGTGTAAAAGGTGAACAAGTTACATTTCATTACTTTTTTACTATGAAATTTGTAATGTATGATTTGATATTTCAAGCAATATAAACCAATCTTGATGAAGTGTCTGAGTAGTAAATGAATAGGGCTACTCTTCTTAGTCTTTGTTCTTACTTGTAGTCACTTTTCATCATTTATTCTAGTTTTGGTTGATCTAATACTCATCATTTAAGTGTATACACTATTCTTTATTATGAATATACACACCAAAAGTCATATTTTGGGTTAAGTTTCTCTGTTATATCTTTAAATAGATACACAAAATGAGTATCCTATTCGTTCTTCTTTCATTGTAGCGGCGTCTAGTTAATACTAAAAGACATGTTTTTTTTAAAAAAAAAAAATTGTCTACTAAATATTAAATAGATGTGTATATAAAACTCTTAAATCAAGCTGATCAACGTCATTCAAAATGAAGAACTAGTGTATTTATAAGACATGAATAATTGACTAGTATATTAATAGACCAAGCTAAAGAGAAATCTTTTACAAATACATGTTAAAGTGTCATATAGATGTTTCGTTTGTTTAGAACTAATAAGTTATTTCCGGGGGGGTGTAATTATATTAAACAGTACAATTATAAAGAAATCAAGATAACGTTGCTATTAGACGCAATCAAAATTATGTGTATGTTACAGAACATACCTCTCCGTGTATTATGTATACATATATGTTTATGTCTAGAGTAAGAATGAGTCTAAATACTGGTTGCTAAGATATTTCTATGCTCTTCATACCATGCATGGTTACTTTGGAAAATTTTTCATTTTTTAAGACAGTTGCATAAAAGCTTATTGTTTTACCAATAATTTATAAATTTATAAGAAAAAAAAATCTAGTAATTATCTTTGTATATTCCTGTTATTACATAAAAAAATATATATGTATATATATTTATATTTATATGCTTGCAAAGGGCTGTAAATTCTGTCTTAATGAACGAAGGCTGCCAATTAAATTAGGAAGACCATAAAATTTAAAAACAAAAGGAAGTAACGTTGTTTCCTAAAAAGGTTAAAAAAAATCTTGAATGGTTCACTCTCCATAAGTAAAACAATAATGATTAATTGGGCACGTTTTTTATTTATTTTTTTTTTTTTTTATTTTTTATTTCTTAACTTGTTAAAATAGGCTTGTATTGAAGTTGAACTATAATGAAAAATGAAGAAAAAAAAAGAAATATGCATATACGTATATGAATATAGATGCATTTATAACTGACAACAATATCTTGTATAAAATAGAGACTAGTATCGGTCATGTGTGCGTACTGAAGAAAAAGAGTAGATTTACGCCCCCACATTCTAATGAGTCGTGTAACTTGCTTCAAAGCAAATAGTTCGTTTCATATGAAAATTTAATCTGATTGGTCTAAAAAACATTAAAAATTGTGGGTGGTCATGCAATAGCAATCTTTCTTCTTCAAATAAAACATTTTTTTTTTTATTATTATTATTTGAAAAAAATAAATAATATTTTTTACTTCTTTTTTTTTCCTTTATATATAATATTTAATGGATCAACTAATACCTAAAGACGATCAACAAACAGACATAAGATCTTGGTCAGATTTTGTTGTTTCTTCCCCAAAGCAACAACAAACACAACAACAGCCAGTGATTGATACTATTTTTACACAACTGCCATCAAGTCGTCGTCATTCAGTGACAGTTGGAGAAATGAATTTTCATTCCTTCGATCAAAATCGTGATATTTTTGGTACTTCACTTCCATCGTCATGGTCTTCTTCTTCAAGTTCATCTACAAGGCCTTCTCAGATTGATATTATTCCGCATCGTCGTGCTATGTCTCTTCGGTTAGATACACAGGTATTACATGATTTTCACCATCATTCAACTGCATCACCTACTACACCTGCTTTCTTTTCTCCAGGTTTTCTTGATGCATTAAATCAAGAAGACGATATCATGTTTGATGCATCAAATCAACAGCAACAACAGCAACAACAACAACGATATCATCATCATTTATTTTCTGATGATATCATTCATAATTTTATGATGAATAATAATACTGAACAAATAAATCCAAATCAATTAGTCACAATGTCAACTACGGTCGCTACTGCTGCTACTGCTGCTGCTGCTGCTACTACTACTGCAACTATCACTCCTTCTATCATAAGCAATGATACAAAGACATCAAATTGGTACTTTAAACTACCACCAAATGATAAAAGAAAATTATCTTCCTCATCAGCTAATACTAACACTAGTTCACCTCCTCATACAACTCCTTCTCCACCAACTTATTACCCTTCAATTCCAGAAGAAGAAGATGAAGATATGGATAACCAACAACGAAATAGTTTAATGCTTCAGGGTGCTAATGATATAGCCATCATAAAGCCATTAATTCAAACCTATCTTACTCATTTCGAAGGTGAACGTAAAATAACGATTCTAACGAGCAGAGTAGCACAAAAAAGTTATGGAACTGAAAAAAGGTTAGACATTTAGACTTCTATTGTATAATTATTATTATTATAAAGATACTAATCAGAAGTACGATAGGTTTTTATGTCCACCACCTTATACAATCCTTTCAGGAGCATCCTGGTTTACAACTTCAAAGCCTCCAAATATTGTAGTTCATATCACTGGTGAAAAGACAAGTCAAAATAGTGTAATTGAATGGCGTCAACATAATAATACACTCATGGATTCTACCTTATCAACCCTCTTGAATGATTCTACAAAAATGAACAATATAACTGGAAATTGTGTATCGAGGAATTTACATATCAATGATGCAGATGAGAAGAGGAAACGAGTAGAGGTCTTGGTCAAAATTACGTTAGGTAACGGTTCTTTACTTGGTACACTACCTTCTAAAAGTATAAAAGTGATCAGTAAACCTTCAAAGAAGAGACAAAGTGTAAAAAATATGGAACGTAAGTGTATACATCTATATAGTGTGTTTTTGCTTCTTTTTCTTTTTCTTCTCTCTCTCTTTATATATATATATATATATATTTTTATATACATAATTATATATATATATATATATCTATTTATATATACCGTGTTTAACTTGGACTTCATTTATAGTTTGTATTCATCATGGGTCAGCAGTAGCACTGTTTAATCGAATAAGATCACAAACAGTCTCAACCAAATATTTAGGTGTCTCTAGCACTGAAAATGATGCATCTACTTGTTTTGTAGCAAGAACAAACTCGTGGGATCCATTTATTGTTTGGATTGTTGATACAACACGATCACCAGATTCAATTCAACCACCTTTAGTTCATCATCCTGATGATCCTCAATTCCCTGCTCCCCCTGCTATTGCCATACAATATACAAAGTCACAACAACAACAACAACCGATTGCACTTCATTATAATCAACCTATAGTTTTACAATGCGTAACAACTGGCTTAGTCAGCCCAGTCATGGTCATTCGTCGTGTAGACAAAGGTAGCTGGGTTGTAGGTGGTAATCGACTTGATGATCTATCAGTGGAAACAGGAGGTGAATGTGGTGATGAAGCATTAGGTGACCCTGTCTCTCAACTTCACAAGGTCGCCTTTCAAATTGTTCATGATCCATCCATAGCTCATCATAATAAATCTCAATCAAATCCTCTCTTCAATTCACCTACTGAATGGACCTTGCCACAGGCAACTCAATCTGCAACCTACTTGGCCTGTTTAGATAATGTAGTTGGTATGCATAGGACAACATCAGAACGCAGGGTGATTGTACCACGACCAAATCCACCTCCTCCTCCAACCATGGACGCACTCTGGCCACAGGAGATGGTCGTAGACAACCACGAAGGTGGAGGTAAAATGATTCGCAAACGACGTGTTTCGTGTGATGTAACTGGTAAATCTACTAGTACCTTATTGAAAGGTCGACGTCGAGTGAATTCATTAACGATCGACAATAATAATAATAATGGGAAAGAAATGGGCGCGGGTCGTCGTATGTCGTCAGATCGTCGAAGTAGCTTAACAGGTGCAGATTCATATACCTTCAATGGTTCCTGTTGGACAGAGGATGTCTCAGATGCAGCAGTATGGACAATCGTAGGCACTGATTATGTTCAATATAAATTTTGGACACCACCGCCTATGATCTCAGATCTCAACTCTCCCTTTTCTGTCACAACCACCCGAAGTCCTATCACACCATTCCCAATTATCTCAACAATACAAACAAATCAAGAAGTATCAGGTATAACACAATTAATGCTTCATGGTCAAGGATTTACGCGTGATATCTCCGTTTGGTTTGGTGACATCAAGTCATCACATACAGATTACAAGTCGCGTGAATTTATTTCTTGTTTAGTGCCTGACATACAAGACATGTTAAACAGTAAAACAAAGATTAAAGTAGAAGATGAAAGTCAATCATCGCCAATTATGTATCAAATTCCTCTTTTATTTGTACGTTCTGATGGAATTGTTTATAACACAGATCGATTTTATATCTTTTAATAATATTGTAGTTCCCCTTCTCTCCCTTTTAAGTAAAAAAAAAAAAAAGAAAAAAAAAAAAGAAATGTATACATGTATATATTTATATATATAAGTATATATATTTATATACTTTTTCCTCATACATATTCATATAGTAGTTCTCTCTATCTCTTTCTTTTTCTCTCACATACATACACACACACATACTTTACTTTACTTTACTTTCTTGCTTTTCTTATAAATATATTAACTTTACTATACATGCATGGTTTAATTGTTTCGAAAGAAAAATTTGTATAATGTATATAAAACGAGAAAATATTACACAAAACAAGCAAAATTTATCTTTTATAGTAAACTAATAGATAAATTAATAATCTTTTATATATTATATTAAATTATTACATAATCAGAGTAATTTGATATAAATATAATAAATATGCATATATACTTTATAAATCAATCTAAATAAGAGGACTCTTCATTATAGCTTGATAGGTATAGTTTCTTGTTAAAGACTATTCTATATACTTGTTTAGTTCTTTTCTTAATCTATTCTTTTGATTTACTGTCTTGTATTTCGGGTATTTAGATTCTTACTACTTTATACTCCATCATAAATAATTAATAAACACTAATAAGTTTTGCATACCTTTATCTCTAAATAATATGTCTTACTAGCTTAATCAATGAATGTTGTATCTACTATGCTAAAAATACCGCCTCTCCCTTTTTTTTTTTTTTTTTTTTTTTTTTTTTTTTTTTTTTTTTGCTACACTCAACTTTCTTATCATTACTCCATTATTAACCAATGATTAAATTATAAATATTTAGACATTTCCAATGACAATTTTTATAAGATAATTCAAATAAGTATAAAACTGCCTCCCCACAAACAAATGTACACTTTTTCCTCTTTGCAAGTCTACTATATCAATATATATTCAATCCTATGATTACCAATGTCATTTATTGAACGCAGCCGATACATTGCGTTGGCTTCCGAACTGGTTACTCCATTTAATTGTTCTACGCATACATCCCAGTGTGTCTTACCAGGCAACATACCATAATATGCTTACAAATGCACCATCGATTGCAAGGTGCCTGGATCTAGAGCTAACTTCTTCCCCTCTCCTTCCTTTTAAAATCAACTTCCCAGTAAGAAGCCTCGCTCTGTACAAACTATCATCCCTTTGGAAAATACAATGGTCCTCCAAAAACTTGACCAGCTTCAACATAATAAGCCAATTGCTTCCCTCCCCTTTACGCCCTCACCTGGTCAACAACTCTTATATTAGTTCACATTTCCTCTCTTACAATTAGTATGATTCTTTACTTTGACCCATTTACTCTCCTCCTTTTTTTTTTCCCCCTTATTGCTCCTAAAGAGGTTATTTCGTTCATATATTCAATTAATCGATCCCACCCGAGCAGATATGATGTATTTAAAAAAAACATCTTGTGCTCATTGGAGTCATATACAAATGTTTATGTATATGCATATGTGTATATATTATAATTTTTCAAATTTATCAACAGAGTTTGTTCATAAATGATACGCATGCATGTATGTATGTAATGCAACTTTATCGATAAATATATTTGATCAGATATCAACATGTCATAGATATCACTTTATTTATAAACAATGTATTATATAATATGATTGTATATGTTTTAAGTCTATTTGTTGTGTTTGATAGCAATATAATATTTTAGTTACATGATAAATCATTTATGTATGTATCTAAACGACCTCTTTTTCTTTTTATATACACGTATTTCTTTAACAAGGACCAAGTTACATATTAGTCTTTTGTTAGCAGTCAACAAAACGACTATTTTTTTTTTTTTTTTTTTTTTTTTTAAAAAAAAAATTTAAAAGGGAATTCTTCTTTGAAGACCTTCCTCTTTTTTTTTTTCTTTCTTTCTTTCTTTCTTTCTTTATTTTTTCATGAATAAAGAAAAGAAAGAATAAGAATGAGAACAAAAGGAAATAATAGAAATATACAAAAGTAAATGCCATTCTAGTTATCTTACATACATTATCAATTCCTCTTTTAATAACTCTCTTTTTTTTTATTTGGTTTTCTTCTCCTCCTCTAAATAAAGAACTTCAAAACTGTTTTTGCCCATAGATAATAAAACTGAATTACAGACATCAACAAGTCTAGTTGAAAAACCTATTCGTAGATTTAAAACAATTCAACCTGATCCTAAAGGACTTGTAACAACAAAAGAAAATTGGAATGGTCATGTCTTTATTGCTTCTCCTTATGATCAGCCTACGACGACAACTGTCCATCCACCAATGAATAAAGCAATTAAAGTTGTCCGACAGACATTTACAACCAATAAATATAATGACAAAACTGAGGCTACAACAGAGAGACCTACGATGGGAGGTAAAACGATTTCAGCTATATCAGCTCCTCCTACTCATACACACATGTCCTCACAAGAATTAAAGTTGCTTAGTCGTCGAATTGATCCACATGAGCCCTTATCTTCTCCTCATGCATCACCTAAAAAGCCACCACTCCCTAATCTGAGTCGTAAAAGACCCCAGAACCGACAAGATGAACAAGCAAGGATGAAGAGAGTGAAGACAGCTTATGAAACTACGCTTAATAAAAGATATGTATGTGAGCCCTGCCATAAAGTCTATAAAACTAGAAATGGTCTCACCTATCATAAAGAAAAATGTAAATATCAAAAATATAATGAAACAGCATCAAAGACGATTATTCGTTGTATTTGTTCTTATCCTACTGAGAACAAAGGAACGATGATCGAATGCACACAATGTCATACCTGGCTTCATTCAAAATGTTCTGGTGACGTTACAAATGAAGAAAGTTATTGTTGTCCAAGATGTGATACAAGTCCTTTACTTGACACTACATGTACATCTGAAATAAATAAACAAATTGAAGAAGTGAAGCAACAGCAAGAGACAGATGATGGCCATTCTTTATATCAAGAGAGGGACATTCTTCAATCGAGGAATGAATCAGAGGAATCTACAATTCAAGAACAATTCGATTTTATTAATTTATTTTCTGATGATCTTTTAGATAATAGTAAAGATGGATTTATGATGACACTTGATTCTCTTTCTGCAGTACAAGAACCACTACTTGATAATGACAACAATAACCAATCTTTAGCTGAAGAGGACCCTTCCTGGGTCAATGAATTTTCTGTGGACTTGAATAGTTCTCATGATGACACTCCTTCCTTATTATTTTCAGATAATAATCCCTCTTCTTCTTCATTTCTGGATGATTTCTCTGCTGATATTCCTTCTTCACCTCAAGCGGACTGGCTCCATCTTGCTAATTTTGAGGTTGATTTCACTCCAGACTTTATCAATTTTTAGTAAATAAATAAATAAATAAATAATAATAAACACAAAGAATATCCCAAAAAGCATTATTGAGATTACTTTAAACAAGTCTCTTTAAGATTCAAAGATGAAGGAAGTGTGTGTGTCGGGAGGGGGGGGGAGAGGAAGAGGAGGAGAAAGTTAGCAAATATAAAACAAAAACGTTGACACTATTATTAGAGAGATAGAAGAGGAGAGTTCTGATGACAGCAATAAAAAGGCATGTATACTGACAAACAACGCGTTTAATAAAATAGGTACATGGTGAATGAGACAAGAAGCTATATTAAGAAAGGAATAGGAAAAGAATTATTTATTCATAGTTTTAAGCATAGTAAAACCTAATATAGTCTTTTTTTTCCAAATGTAAGGCGACAGGACCTGTTATCTCATTTTTGTATTAAGCAGTGCTTCATTAACAAAGATAGGTATTACATGACTACTCGGATAATTAAAACATTACTTTTTTTTTTTTTTTTATGTCAAGTTCAAGCATATGAATGGTATTCCTATTGTATCTGTTAAAGCTATAACTTTGATAATATATCGCTTAAAGGCATTTATGGTGTAAAATAAATCGTCATATGATATAGTTTGGGAGGTAATCACAGCTTGGCATCATATAAAATACTCTTATTAAAAAAAAAAGAACTGCTAACTTTCTTTTAGTGGATAGGTTGAATTGTATACAAAAATATATAGGAATGTCTATGGAGGAAATAAGCAGTTCATAACTTTATTTACTTACTACTGCTTCCCTAATAGACAATTATTCTTTTGTCAAACATCTATTAAAGTCTATGAAAGAGACAACACAATCGCATGCATAATACAGTAGTATCAGATTACCTGACCTGCATATTTTAAAATTAAAGAAGAAGCTTTCAGTCGCATACATCACTCTAACCATCCTTCCTTGATTTATTTTTTTTATTTACCTCTTTCACTATTAAAAACCTAACCTTTTTTTTTTCCTTTAACACCAAGTGCATCATACCTACACTTTTTGTTCTTTATATTTTCTCCTTTATTTCATTCTTTTTCTTTTCTTTTTTTTTTTTTTTTTTTTTTTTTTTTTTTTTTTGTAACGTAAAAGCTTTAATAGCAGCGTAGTTTTAAACGAATATACCAAAAACAAAAAAAAAAAAAAAAAGGACTAAGAAAGATAATACAAGACCTTTTTTTTTTTTTTTTTTTGTTTTTGTTTTTCATCCTTTATCCCTGATAAGTCTCAATGGCTGATTTTGGTAAGTAAAATGATTAAAATAAAACATGTTTCTTATTTTTAAATTTTAGACACCTTGTCAAAAAATAAGAATGATGAAAACGCAAAGTTGAAACAAGCTAGATTAACAAAACGGGCCAGACAGATTGAAGAAAAAGTGAAAAACAAAAAGGTCAAGTCCTTATTTGATACCGATGGTGATCTCAGTAGACATAATATCATTGAAGGGAGTAGACAAGCTAGGAAAAGAGCGTCAAGTTCTGATTCAAATCAAACACAACAAAAAAAAACAAAGAAGGAGACACTACGAAGAAAAACAACCACGAATCTCAAAAATGAATTGCTACCGGAACCAAAAACACCTATTCAAAGACTCAGAAATCAAGAAATGGGTAAAAAGCTGATTTGCATGCAAGAAGTGTGTCAACGCCATGATGCTTCAGTAAAGGAATTATACCATCTTGAATTATTTCAGAACATGCTTGATTATAATCCAAAAGCTTTTATTAATGATGTTCGTTATAATAAGGTAAGTTAGATAGATAGATAGATAAAGAATCTTCATATACGTTGCTAAATACTACTACTCTCTTTTTATTTTATTATTCAAGTATGTTCAAGATTATGACATGTGGCAGCATATAAAGTCTCAGGAATCATCTTTGCACGATTCTTCCATTATAAATTTACTTCAAGCAATTATTTATGAATCGGTTTATAATATACCCAATGAGATAACACAACAACAGTTATTTAATACCATTCATACCGGCACAGGTTTACGACGTCAAAATCGACAGTTTGCCACCTTGAACGATTATCTTGATTCATTTTATGCTGCTGATGAAGGCGCTGAGGATTGGACACCTGAAATGCGCGAACATTATATCAAAAAGGAACGAATTATTCGCAAACGTCTTTATGCACTTGAAAAACGCGGCGGATTTTCAACTCATTTACAAACTATCGCTAATCAAAGACCACATCATCATCATCATCATTCAAAGTCCTTGCATCATACTAATTTGTTAAATAACATCTCAACTGCATCCAAACAGTTTCAAGCTGTGCAACGTTATAAACGAAATGCAGCTCGAAAATGTGCAAAGGCTATTGACAGATATTGGGATAATATTCGTAATCATGATGAACGTATACGTCGTGAAGAAACAAAGAGGATGATTCGGTTAGCTAAATGGACATCTCAACAAGTGAAAAGGAAATGGAAATTAATAGAACGTATATGTGAAGCTCGCTTAAAGGAAATTTTGAAGGGAGAACAAGCAGAAGAAGGTCGTCGTCATCTGGAAATGATTTTAGAACATTCAGAGCAAATGTTGGGCGCTAGACAAGAAGAGTTAAGGGCGCATCAATGCATTGAAGAGGACGATAAGGTATGGGAGATAAATGAGGATGAAGATCTACAAGATCATATTATTGAAGAGGACGAAGAAAGTAGAGATGATGAAGAGGAATTGAAAGATTTAGAAGAGGATCAACATTTGTCTATAGAGGAATTGATGGAAAAATATAGATCCTTACGTGAAGCAAATGATTCTGATACGACTCAGTTAGAAGAAAATGATGATATACAATCTATGCAAAATAGTGATGAAGAATTTTCGATAGTTTCTGACAATGAAGATATACCGATTGAGGATGATGGTGAAAGTGAGGATGATAATGTAGAGTTAAATATTCTCCACGATGAAGCTAATTTAACGGTAGAGGAGTTATTACAAAAGTATAATTACAAGGTAGATGATGATGAGAATATGAATGCAAGCCAAAGATCTTCATCACCTGAATCTACTCCCACTGTAGATAGTTTATTATTATCAATGAATAAAGAAGAGGAAATACTAAAATATAGAAACCAAAATGATGATGATGACGACAATGACGACGACAACGACGAAAATAGGTCTTTCATTACTAATGATGTCTCAGCAATGATCGATAAAGATATGGATTCAAATATTCAACCTACAGGAAATACACTTGATACTACTAAAGTACGTACACCAGTCCCGTTCTTGATACGTGGTAAATTACGTGAATACCAGCATGTGGGACTTGACTGGCTTGCTAGCCTATACAATAATGGATTAAACGGTATCCTTGCTGATGAAATGGGTCTTGGCAAAACAATTCAGACAATTGCACTATTAGCTTACTTGGCTTGTGAAAAAGGTGTATGGGGCCCTCATCTAGTTGTTGTTCCTACTAGTGTCATTTTAAATTGGGAAATGGAATTTAAAAAATGGCTTCCAGGGTTTAAAATTATGACCTATTATGGATCTCCTAAAGAACGTAAAGAGAAGCGATCAGGATGGTCTAAAGACAATGCATTCCATGTCTGTATTACATCTTATCAACTCGTTTTACAGGACCAAAATGCGTTTCGTCGTAAGGCATGGCATTATCTTATCCTTGATGAAGCGCATCATATCAAGAACTTTCGCTCACAGCGATGGCAGATTCTTTTAAATTTTAACTCTAAGCATCGTTTATTACTCACAGGTACGCCATTACAGAATAATCTCATTGAGCTTTGGTCATTGCTGTACTTTTTGATGCCTAATACTGTTTCTCAAAGTATGCCTATTGGTTTTGCTAACCTGAAGGAATTTCAAGAATGGTTTGCGCATCCTGTTGATCGTATGATTGAAAATCATCAGCAACAAGGAATGGATGAGGAATCACGAGTTGCCATTCAAAAGCTTCATACCGTCCTTCGACCCTATTTATTGCGTCGTATTAAAGCTGATGTTGAAAAACAAATGCCTGAAAAGCATGAGCATATAGTGTATTGTCGTTTATCAAAGAGACAACGGTTTCTATATGATGATTTTATGAGTCGTGCCAAGACTAAGGAAACTTTAGCCAGTGGTCATTTCCTAAGTATCATCAACTGTTTAATGCAGCTTCGTAAAGTATGCAATCATCCAGATTTATTTGAAGAGCGACCGATCTTAACTAGCTTTGCGATGGATGATCAAGTGCAATATCTGGGTCAGTCCTTGGAGAAGTTAATACGACGACGATTAGTCTGGACTAAAAATGATCAACTCGAAGCTCATACAAAAATTAATTTTGAATTTTTGAATTTAATTCTTACAGATACAAGTAATAATCGTGTGATAAGTGCATCTGTAGCTCAGGACACTCTTCGACTCGAAGCAACAAAAGAAATTATGAGCGTAATAGCCAAATATCAAAAACGGATTATGATTGCTGAATCACGTGGAGTGACTTCAAGAGACTATCATGACCTTAAGAAATACGCAAAGTATCGAGAGATGCAGATGCATCTTGATACCGTTAGCCGATGGCAAATGATCAATTATGTAAACCACTATCGATGTGCTAAAAGACCCATTTATGATGCGAGTTTAATTGACTTGATTAGACCCTCTACCAGGGATGATTACATTTTTTCTCATAATCCACGCTTCTATTTACAAAATTGTGAATCTCTTTATAATGCTGTACAGAGCTATAAAGAGAGAATTGAAAACAACTCATATCTTATTGAGCAAGTTGCATTTGTAACACCCAAAATCGTAATTGCTCAAGACAAAAGAAGAGTATTTTCTTTAGAACATTTACCAGCTGACGTACAGGTACAATTACAGACAGCAACAAATGTTGAAAATGATATTCTTCATCCTATCAAATCTCGACTCTCAATTGCTTTCCCTGATAAACGACTTTTACAATATGATTGTGGTAAACTTCAAAAGCTAGATACGTTATTACGAAGCTTGGCAGCAGGAGGCCATCGTGCACTTATCTTTACACAAATGACAAAAGTTTTGGACATTTTAGAGACCTTTTTAAATATGCATGGGTATCGCTATCTAAGGCTTGATGGAGCAACCAAAGTAGAACAGCGTCAAGTTTTAACAGAATGTTTCAATAATGATAAGCGTATCCTGTGTTTTATTTTGTCATCTCGAAGTGGTGGTTTAGGTATTAATCTAACGGGTGCAGATACAGTTATTTTTTATGATTCGGACTGGAACCCATCTATGGTAAGTAAACTACATGTATATATATATGTATATATGCATACATACACACACATACACACACACATATATATATATATATATATATGTATACATATTAAAATGATAACGTCTTACATTCACCCAACTATCTTCTGCCCTCCCCTCCCCTCCCCCCTCATTCTTTATTTATTTTATTTTATTTTTTCAGGATAAACAATGCCAAGATAGAGCTCATCGTATTGGACAAACCCGTGATGTGCATATTTATCGATTTGTTACAGAGTTTACTATTGAAGAAAATATTTTTAAAAAAGCAAATCAAAAGAGGTAAATAAGTTAAGATATAACTAGATGAATGAATAATTTAACTAACTAATATTGTATGAAGAATGCTAGATAATATTGTTATTCAGGAAGGTGATTTCACTAATGACTACTTTAGTAAAAATGAATGGTGGAAAAACCTTCCAGAGGTTGTTGGTGCCCAAACTGATAATAACGCAAATAAGTTTATTGATTATGAACAGGCATTACTAGAAGCAGAAGACGAGAGCGATGCAGCAGCAGCTATTGAGGCACGGAAGGAGATGAATATGGATGAAAAAGAATTTGATGATCAAACCAGTACAAGTACAGCGACGCCTCATCGACAATTGAGTGAAGTGCCATCATCTCGACCCATGTCACCATCATCTGCCAGTCAAATTCAATCAAACGAGTATATTGTAAATGAAGATGACAATGAAAATGATGATATGCAATTAGATATAGGTCATGTAGACCAATACATGTTACAGTTTTGGGAGAGAGAAATGGTTGGAAGAAATCTGGGTTTTGGGGGCTTTGCCGTGGAAATTACAGAATAAAAATTTGTTCTTTATCTGCACACTTCAACTTTTTTTTTTTTTTTTTTTTTTTTGACTATAAATAAAGGCATTGTGTATTATTATAGAAACAAAATTAAGCTATATTGTACGACCATAGGTAAATGCATGGGTTACACAACGTATACAGATCTGTCAGTAAATTAAGAAAAGAGAGCTTTTATCACCCTGACAATAAAAAAAAAAAAAAAAAATAAAAAAATAAAACTATGTTGCTCTTTCTGTCTATTAAATAGGCTACACACACATACACACGTATGTATATGTAATTAGTGTACGGTCTAAATACTTAATAATAAAATTTTATTGCATATTTCTTATCAAGTTAAACTTTTTACAATATAACACATTTTATATATGCGACAAAAGTAAACAAAAGGTTTAATTTTTACTGTCTGTTCCTCTATTTATATTTATTTGAGTACAATGTATCACCATTAATTAAATAAATAAAAAAAAAAAAAAAAAAAAAAAAAAAAAAAAAAAAAAAAAAACGCATATTTTCATCAAAATTGGTTAAAGATCGATCGTACAAAAACACAGCAGGCAGTAATAAAGAAGTATATATATAATAGATATATACTTTCCCTTTCTCCTTTTTTTTTTCTTTTTACAGAAATCAATATAAATAGTATCATCTATATTATTTTTCAAGCTGTATTATTGCTAATACTCCATAACTAGGAACAATGGAATTGATTCATGCAGGCTTTTATTATCCTTATTATTAACAGTATTTTAAATGGGCTTAAAAAAAAATCAAACTTTCATTTCCAAATTGACCTTCTTCATTATTGACAAGTAGAGTGATTTAAATAAGGAGATATTTAAGAATACTTTAATTTTTATAACCTCAATTGTATTTAACTCATGCTACTTAATTAGATGAAGCCTCTTTGACATATATAAAGAGAGAGGCAGGTATATTAGTAGTTTGCTATTTTGATATGAATAAATATGTATTAACCCAAAAAAAAAAAAATAAAATAAAATAAAATAAAACAAGCTAAGTTTATTCTTATGCCACTAGCATTGACCTCGTAAAAAGAGGCATCTCTACTCATTATGTGTAACCTACTATCTTTCTTTTCTTTTCTTTGCACGATTATACATTGAGCTAATTTGGTTTATTCTGACACAAATGATTAATTTGATATATAACATATTTAACTTTTATACTTCAACAAGAATCGGCTTTATATTATACGTTAATAATAATAATAATAATAATAAAAAAAAAAAAAAAAAAAAAAAAAAAAAAAAAAAAACTCCTCTAGTAGGTCATACATTGTTCTTGGTCTATTTAGAAGATTCCAGAAAACCAAGCTCGATCAAATCAACTATTGCAGCAATATGATTTAAAAGACTAATGTAAATAGCAAGAAGAAAAAAAAATACTTACATATACAAATCACATACTGTTAAGGTAGTAGTAACAAGCACTAAGGATTGTTGATATAAGATAAAAACACACCTAAATTGGAGTTAAAATTCAAACACTTTTGTAAAACTCTTATCTTCTTGCCTTAAATATGTTCTTATTTTTGGTAATATTTGAGGTAATTTAATACTTGTAAGTTTAACATAACTAATATATATATATATAATACTTTGATTAAGAATAAAGAAATTATAACTACTATCACTTATGCTTTAGATGCTTGCCTAGTTTACTATATTAATATGGAATGCAAGAAATATCACAGGTAGATATTAAATCTTATTATATCAGCTTAACTCTATTTGATCGTATAGTTAAAATGTTTTTTAAAGTCTCTTGTCCCAAGAAAGAAAAAAAAAGGTCTTCCTCGATCAACTACACAAAAGTGTCTTATATTTATACATTATATTTATTACGAAAAGCAAACAAAGCTAATAAATTCTACAATGTTTTAACTAAAGGGATAAATCTTTCCGTTTCTGTAGTTTTGTGATAGAATTTAAATCAATATTTTAAGGCACCATTCGAATATCTACACCACCAAGGAATTTTACCCAGGCTTCAAGAAAAAAAAATAAAGTAAAATAATAACAATATTAAAAATAAAAACTAGTCTTTTAGGCTTAGCTAAAATATCCTTTGAAAATAAAAAGGGGTTTTTTTTTTACCATTATAATAACGTTTATTTTAATATTAAGTTACCATATAAAATCTATATATAGACACTTAAACATGCAATGAGACTTGAATGCATATATTTCAAATGAACATTTATACATATTTTTTTTTATTAGTCATACTCTTAGATATCAGTATATGTGCGAAAATGTAAATGTTGCATTCTTTAATGTAATAATTCATAACATACACATGCCCATACTAAAATACAGTTTATAATAGTAATTGTACATTACAACTTAAAGTAAGCATTTGTGATACTTCTATGGTGTTCTAATGTGCATATGTAACAGTAAGTACCCTTGTACATTTACATAATAATAACAATAATAATAATAAAAAATAAACATTCATATTACGTTAATATATGAGACTATAGAGAAAGAAAGAAAGAAAGAAAGAAAAAAAAAGAGAGAGAGAGAGACGCCAAATAGAAAGCATTTCAAATAAGTTGTTTAATTTTGAATAATACAATGATATCTTTGCTGATCAATTTATTGAAAATAGAATGGCTGTACTACAGTAAATAGATGTAAATTGATATCTCGTTCCTTCTCCCCCCCCAACTCCCCCTAAAATAATTATTTATACAGTGTGTATCGCACTAGCTTTTTTTGAGTCTTCATTATCCCCAAAGGAAAATAATATAAAAAGGAAATAGACATCCACTCCAGCCTTTCTCCCTCTCTCTCTCTTTTCTATTTTTTTTTATCTCTTTTCTACTATTGGTTTATATGCCTTCCGAAAAATTTAGGATCAATACGAATGGTCAATCATTACGAAATCCGAGTAATATATTTTTTGGTAAAAAAAAAGAAAAAAAACATGATCCCTTTTTTTTTTTTTTTTTTTTTTTTTGGCTGATGATTTACAATAAATATTAGATATGACGCTTTCGGCTAATTTGACATTGGACGAAAGGTGAGTGTAAACAAAATAAAGTTTTCTTTAACTAATGAAACACAAAGTGATGTATCAGCAAATAATGATAGAAGAAATGCTCATAATGCTTTAGAGCGTCAACGCCGAGAATTGCTCAATGTTAAGTTTCAGCAACTTGCACATGCACTTCCCTCCCTTCAAACAGTGCGTCGACCTAGTAAAACTATGATTGTTGCAAAGTCACTTGAATTTGGTAATATATATATACATATATATATATATACATATGCATATACATATACATGTATATAGATATATATCGTAGGAGCAATACTTTTATTTACATGTTTTAATAGTATCTTCAAGTATGAAACGAGAATCAAAATATACTTCAGAGATTCAAAAATTACGCTTAGAAAACGAAAAACTCAAAAGACAAGCTCAAGCTGCATCTAACCATTTAAAAGAGCAATTAGGTCAAGAAATTGAATCATCATCTACTTCTTTTGTATCGAAAACAAATAAGATATCATCTCTTAAAAGAAAAGCGGGTTCAGAAGAACAACCATCGTTTTCATCATCTACCCCTGAAAAATTTACGCGTGATACTGATCAAAATACTATTCATAAAAAAAAGAAGAAAACGCAAAAACAGCGAATAACTCCAGTAAAACAAAAGACTACTACTACAAAGTCTTCTTCCAGGCAATCTAATCTTGCTGCTTCTGATACTATGATACCTATTCCTATTACTACTTCGTTACTTGAGACACCTTGGCAGCAGTCTTTTTCGAATCAAACAACTATAAATTCATACCATGATAATACCCAACCTTCTTCTATTGCATACTTAGATATCGCAGTATCAACTCCTTATACCTCGTCAAGTGAAGCATCAAATGACAACCTGATGTTTATGCCATCTACTACGAATACTACGAATACTACAGCTACTACTACTACTACTTCTACTTCTACTAATTCATACAACCTTAACATCCAACATCAAACTAATTCTTCATTACTACCACTACCTATGAGAGAAAGATCGTTTCCTTTATCAACAGTAACACAGCCAAATAATATTCATCCTATGATTTTTACACCGTATTATATGTCACCTCCTGTTACTGGAGATAAAGGTAATAAAAGGATGAATTTTTGTATAATCATCATCAAACTAATACCCTTAATATATATGTATGTAGCTTCATATAATTCTGACACGTTTGAACATCAATGTCAACAAAATAGTAGTAGCAGTGATCATTTCTATTTGACCTAACTATTATTTGTTGTTTATTATTACTGGTATATGATAAATAACGAAAAAATCCAACAAGATCAAATTATAGTTCATCTTTTTTAATAAACTCTAAATGTACATAAATAATATGAACAAATCAAACAAATACCTAGTTAAAACGTTCTATAGAAGAATTTTTTTTTTTAATTATTATTTTTTAAAAAAAATAAATAAATGCGGGGTAATTTTTTTTTAAGACACATTTGAATGCCTGTAGAACCATACTGTACCCTTCGTCTCTCTCTCTCTCTCTTCCTCTCCCCCCAGATTTTTTTGTTAATTTCTATTCTAGGTAAGGAACCATAAGGTTTAGTTCGGTTTTCAGGATCTGAAAATTATTATCTAATTCCTGATCTTTATTACCTTTTTTTTTTCCATCTCTATCTTTACCTATTATTCTAATTTAGGGTCATTTTTTTTTCCAAATTAAAAGGATTCTTTTATGTACTACTAAATGATCATTGTTACTTGCACATCAGCAGAAAGAGAGAGAGAGAGAGAGAAATATCAGATTTTGTCTTTATATATATAAATATATATGACTGGAATACAATAAGCTGCAGAAAAAGTAAAACGACTGCATATTGTAAATACACATTTTATGTAATTACAGGTCGTGTGGTTGATACCTGCTCATATATGTATACATGTATATATTTCTAAAGCAATTTAATTTTTTAGGGATTTTTATTTTTATTTTTATTTTCGTATTAGATACTATCATATAACAGTTGATTCGGGTAGTCTATAATATTACATAATATATCCCCCTTCTTTTTTTTTTTTTTTTTTTTTTCTTTCTTCCTCTCTATTATATAATAAAAATTGAAATAGACATTGCATATACATATACATATATTTATTTATTTAGTCTACTTTAATACTAGCAAAAATCTTTTGCAAAAAGTACAAACAAGAAAGGTATCCAACAGAACCAGTAAAGACAGTTAACAAGATACTTATGACAGATGAGTATCCAAGATAAAGGACAGTACTTGTAAATGATTGAATATCAAGTTTTGTAAAGTAGTAAAGGATAGAATACATAAAGACATAAACACCAGCTGCCCCGGATGTCAAGAAAGAGCGCCATGACCAATGATAATCTTCACCACAAAGATGGAAATAGCACATTAAAATAGTGACTTCAGAGCAAGTCAAGATAAGGACAATAAAGACTAAGAAAAGGAAGCCAATACCATAATAGACACGGTGGAACCAAATAGAATTCATTATAAAGTAGAGTTCAATAAAGATAGCGCCAAAGGGCAAGATACCACCCATTAAGATAGAAGGAAGACTGCGCAAGTAAAGTGGTTGGTCTGGAATTTGACGAGGAATCTGATTTGTTCGAACAGGATGTTCGATGCGTGGTTGACGGAAACCAAAATATGAACCAGCTACACTTAAGGGGAAAGAAATGATAGCCCAAAGACCTAGTAAAGTGAACATGGTCCAAAATGGAACTGCACCAGAAGAATGGGAATTAATCAAAAAGAAATTCATCGCAAATAAAAAGCTCATAATACAACCAGGAACAAGTGAAGCAGTCAAAATAATATTTGCTTTCCAATTTTCACCCCCATTCATCTTATAAATACGTGCTGATACATAACCTGAAATACAACTAAAGACCATAAAGAAGATAATCATTACCGTACCTAATGCTCCACGATTCGAAGGTGATAAGAAACCGAGAACAGCAAAGACTGTGTATTCATATCATTAGTATTCATTTATATGGCTACCATTTTTACTCTTATTTTACCTAAAGTTAAACCAGTCATAACGACAATTTGAGCGCCACTACCAACCAAGATAGACAAAAGCATAGGACGTTGAGGAGGACGGAAGACATCACCATGAACTAATTTCCAACCATAATCCTCTTGAACATCTTCTTGAATATCTACAGCATTATAACGTGAAATATCCCTATGAAGAGTACGAATCAAGATCATAGCTACCATGCCGGTCAAGAAGAGAACAATGACGATTGAGTTAACAAGAGAAAACCAATGAATAGAAGGATCCATGACATGTAAATAATTATCCCAACGTGTAGCCCAAGGAGTATCAGATGGCTGATGATATTGTTAATTTCTCTTTTCCATTTATTTATTTATTTATTATATTAACTTACCTGCCAGTTAACACTATAAGAATATACAACTTGTTCCTCGCCCTTTAAAATGAGGGGTCCACCTGTAGCCACAACAACATTCTTTTCATTGACTCTCTGAGCTCTACTAACTGGAGTGACTAGTACGCCTACAACACGATATTTACCGTCTTCACGATGATGATAATTAATTGTAATGTCATAATGGTTATTTAACTCTGTCTGTCCATTTCTATTCGAACCAAGTGCGAAACCAATACTATAATACTCTTCATTTGTACGTTCATCGTTGCTGAGATGAGCAGCAGGAAGACCATCAACAACCCAGTTTAATGCATAATCGTCCCTGATGCATTCATTAATAAAATCAGCATCTTTCTTTGGAATAATGGTTGATGTACACAATAACTTGTCATTTTCTTCGTTTAATAAAGAAAGCTAATAGATAGATAGATAGATACATAAATACTTATGAACACAAGAACAAAGCCAATGTTATATGTTACCTTGAAAGCTGATGTAAAAATACGATCACCAAATAGAACAGAGCCTAAAGATTCAGCTTGCTTTTTAGCACCACCTTCAGGTGTACAGAAATGGAATCTTTCATCGTAAAAGTCGTATGATAAGACTGACTTTTGCTGGCTAGACATGGGTGATAATGAATTAACGAATAAAGGCACATCATCTCCTCTGTTGTAATCATTAGGTGCAACACCTGGAAGATATAAAGCCTGACTTAAGCCACAAAGAGCCAGTAGACCGACTAATATTTTAGTCATTTTTTTTATAAATATTTATATTTTTTGGAGAAAGAAAAAAGAAATGAATAATAATAATAAAAATGTATCTCTTTTTTTTTTTTTTTTTTTTTTTTTTTTTTTTTTTTTTTTTTTAATTGTCATACAATAATTCCACTACTCTTACTGAGCTTCTTAGCGGTTTATTTTTTATTTCAAACTAGGCAAGTTTATTTATAGTATATTATTATTTTAATTCTCACTATCTGACATTTGGTTCCATTTTATTTTAATTTTACTTGTAATAAATTTAAATATTATATACAATGTTCTACTATCTTACCCTTTACGTTTACTATGGATAGTATATTCTATGTATATTAATACGACATATTATCACTCTTTGCGTGGTTATAGTATGAAATGTTACCAACGAATTCTTTTTTTTAAAAAAAAAAAAAAAAAAAACAAAGTAAAAGAAAAAGAAATTATTCGGACCTTTAAATTATAAGATAGTAGCAATGTTCGAGAAAAAGTAAATAATACTACTAAATCTTTTTGAATCCTTTGTACGTCCCTTTTCTTCCATCCATCACTTAAAATGCTCTTGTACCGTGATATTATCTCTGGTAAATAATCATCATCATTCATCCATCATCTAAATATAGGATAACTAATAAATTTAATATAAAATAGACGACGAATTGTTCTCTGATGCTTATGTATGTATAAGGTCATATTTTAAGCATTACATTCGAATCTAATTTTTTTTTTCTTTATTTTTTTTTTAATTAATTAACAGCCCATCAAGGAAATTGATGATGTCGCTTTCGAAGTTGACTGTAAGATGATCACTATCTCTGATGGTGATATTGATATCGGTGCTAACCCTTCTGCTGAAGGAGGTGATGAAGATGTTGATACCGTCAGTGAAACTGTCAACAACGTTGTCTATTCTTTCCGTCTCTCCCCCACCAGTTTCGATAAGAAGTCCTACATGACCTACATTAAGGGTTACATGAAGGCTCTTAAGACTAAATTGACCGAAACCAACCCCGACCGTGTTCCCATTTTCGAAAAGAACGCCACTACTCTTGTCAAGAAGATCTTGGCTAACTTCAAGGATTATGAATTCTATGTTGGTGAATCCATGAACCCTGATGGTATGGTTGCTTTGTTGAACTACCGTGAAGATGGTATCACCCCCTACTTCACTTTCTTCAAGGATGGTCTTACTGAGCAAAAGCTTTAAATTGTGTGCTCGTAAATTTGTTTTTTTTTGTGCTAAATAAAAATAACAATTGTATAAAATATTCCTATTCATATGAGTTTATCCCTTTATGTATGTGTATATTGGGCGGTTGGAAGGGGAGGTATCCAAGGAGTAGTCATTTTATGAGTAGTAGATCAGTACCTTGTAAAACGCGATCAATTATATGCATGTATAAAACCAAATCTACCTATTATTATTATTTTAAATGATGAAAACGAGTACAAACCAGTTAATATTAAAGATCGGATCAAGTAGTACATAACCATGACACTTTATGTTTGGGCATTTGTATACAACGATAGGTAAAATAGGAAGATTAACACTCGAGCTATTTTAGCCTTAACTTTATATAGAGTTTAGCTCTTTCAATGTGTATGCATCTATAAAAATGATGGATACATACAATTTCTTAGAAATAAAATGACGATAATAAGCACTGCTATTTTTTTATCAAAGGATAACAATAAACTTATTACCAATAGTAATGGTTTTTAAGGTACTTTTAGCATTATAGATGTGTCGAACTAACCATCATATCAAAGTACGCTAAACAATCATGTTTTATTTAAATAATAGCTTATAAGAAAAGAATCGTGAATTATAGACTTTTCTCCTTTTTTGGAAATCATCAATACTGCTGCTCATCATTTACATTTTATTTGTCTCAATTGTTGCATATATTTAAATCTCCATTAGACGTCACATCCCAGATCCATTAATATTAAACAATTTTTTTTTTTTACAAGTCAACTCTTTTCTTTTTTTTCTTTTCTTTCCTTATAGCGTATTATTATATATATAATAGCTTTATATTTACTATAAAAGTTTATATATACATCTTTATATATATTCTAACACTCCTATTTATCTTCACTTTTATATATATATATAAATATATATAAAGCATGCCTTTATCATCAAGCTCTAAGATATCAAGGGATAGACCTTTAAAGCAAACGGCTATTAAAAATTATGTAAAGAGATTTGATCCTTTAACATCTCAGTCTACAATGAGATCTAAAATGCAACCAAAACAACAACAACAACAACAAAACTTTCCACAAAAATTACCACAAGCAAGAAAGGCTCAACCAGAATTTAAACGAAAAAGTTTAGATCCTAATATAAAAAAGGGAGTCTTAAATGGTGTCATTGCTTTTGTAGATGTTTGGTAATTATTTTTTCTTTCTTTCTTTAATACTTCAGTAAAAGAAAAAATAAAATAACAACAGCATTATTATTTTTTTTTCTCCTGGTAGGACTGATGATGATACTAATGTTTCAGAATGTTGTGAAAAGATTTTACAAGACTTGGGCGCAATGGTAATTTCAATTACAAATTTATCTTATTATTATTTTTTTTTCTTTCTTCTTTATGTTTAATGTTAATAATTACTATAATGTATAGGTTCGTAAAAGTTATACAGGTACATGAAGCTGTTTAATTCTTATATATGTACGCTTTTGATTGACTTCATTTTAGATACTATTACTCATTTAGTTTTCAAAAACGGTTCACCTACTACATTTAACAAAGCAAAGACTAAAGGCAAACATATAGTTAATTTACTATGGGTAACACATTGCCAGGAAAAAAATAAGAAAGTGCCTGAAGAAGAATATAAGGTCACTATTGCTCCCCAGAAATTAATTGGAAATAAAAGACGTAAATCATCTATGGAGCCCGGAAGAGTAAAAGCCTTGTTTGGACATGAAAGCTGTAAGGACATTCTTTTCTTTTTTCTTCTTTAATCTATATGTATATATAAATTGATTAAATGTGTGTATGTGTGTGTTTTTTTTAGCGCTTTCTGATAATATTGCATCAGACAATGAAGAAGTAAGGAGAAGAACAATTGTAACAACAGATTGGGTTGCAAAAAGTCTAGAAAGTAATAAAAGAGCCATATCTCGTGAACGTGAAATCCGAAAAAGATATATTGAAGAATTAGAAAAAGAAGAAGAGAGTGCTAAAAAAGAAGATCCATTAGCTAAATTAGACAAACCATCCTTACCACCAAGACTATCACTCCCTATTTGTGCTGAAACTATTGCAAATAGACATACAACTAAAAAGCGTAAATCCAACATGAATGAAATTATTCCTGTTGAACCACCCAGTAAAGAAGCACAAGAGCAAATCAAAGCAAGATTTTCTATAGGCGATAAGAATACCAAAAATAATATTACTGATACTAATGACAATAGCAACAATGATTCTACCATCACCATTCCTTCCTCCTCCTCCTCCTCTCATAGTCACAATAATAACTCATCTTCTAACAGCAAAAATCCATTAGCCACCAGTAACAATTCCTCTTTATCCAACTCTAAAAACAACAATAATAACAATAATAATAATAATAGCATTATTCCTGTGGAATTACCACAAATACCACAAATTAATAATAACAGTATTCGTAGACGTAAACTAAAAGTATATACCCAATCACCATCGTCTACAGATACTGTTAAACAGCCACTGGCACTTAAAGTGTCGATAGACCGTACGTCAAATACTAGTAGTAAAAATGTCAAATAAATAAAGAAAGAAAAAATTATACCTTTTTAGTGTATTTCATATAATAGTAGTACCGCCTATTTATTTATGTTATGTAACACAATAACCAGTCTGGTTATGTCAAGAAATAAACTCATTCTAGATAAATATATTATGCATCTGAGTAGTTTTTTTTTATCTTTAATGTATTATATTGTAGATAGGAATAGTGGCTTTTGGGGACTATGATATGTATATAATAAAAGGTAACAAAGAAAATGATGCATGCCCTGTTAATCATATTTCAAAGTCTTTTTCAGGTACTTTTTTGTGATAAAGACAATAATAATGCTTGTTATAGTCCATATTAGACCCACCATCAATTCAACAACTTGATGCGTTTTAGAGATGACAGAAAATATACGTACTGATGGATCATTCCAACTATATTTTTAATACAGAACACAGTGGTTTTAATATGATCAGTAATAACATATATACACACACACATATATATATATACATCTATATCTATATCTATATCTATATTCTCTTTTAATATAAATTCCACTTACGTGCTTTCTGTCCAAGTTCCTTTTGTTGGGTCAATCACTTTCACTTTGTTGGTAGATTCATCATATTGTAATCCTGTACCATATGCTTCATGATAGGTTGTAAATGAAGCTGTACATTTTTGTTTGATGCAATATTCTCCACTTTTACAATCTTGTATGCTATAACAATGTGCTGAACTTGATGATGATTTTCCTGTTACACCTGCAAGGAAATTAAATGCAAATCTTTGCAATAGATCAGGTTGAGGATTTGTAAATGAGTATACAGATGAATAATGTGAAATTCTCTCAACGGCAGTGACTAAGAATGTAGAATAGAACTAATAAATGAGTCATTCCCCCTTTTTTGAGTGTGTTTATATATGTATATAACTTGTTGTTTATACCATTAAAATACTCTTTCATCAACGGACACGAAAAATTATAAGTTAAACAATCAAGCAAAGATGAAATTAAGGTACAATTCGCTGAAATTTCTGCTTCTACTGTCGAATTAGATGCTAGTCTATAGATAGTATTTGCAGTTGAATTAACTAAATTACAGATATAATTTGTGGTGAATGATAAATCCAGAACACTATCCATATCACTATTATAATAACTAAATAGAGTTTTAAAATAAAGTTGTTTTTTAAGCATACTACTCATCTTTTATATATATTATATATACATATATATATTATTTTATTTCCTTATTACCTTCCGAGAATCTTTTGGTAATCACTAATAACAACTGCTTTTATGTCTCTTTTCTTTTGTAAAAAGCTCATGGCACTACTGGGTGGAAGTTTACGGTCAATACCATCTTCTGAAGCTAATTTAAGATGTTTACTATCTTTTAGAAGGGCAGATATTAAAGGTTGATTATGTAGAAGGTGATCCACATGAATAAAGGTATTGTTATTGTTATTTATGCCGGATACAGATTGGAATTCAAAGTAAGAGTCTATCTTTTCGAAATTAATTCTAGTAAAATACAGATTACGGACACAGGGGAATGTACAGGGTGCATTCGTATAAGGGCATTGAACGGCTCTAGTGGCATTTGTACATGTAAATGGTGATGATATATCTTTAACAAATCGTTGTGAGCCTGCAAACCCCCATGATTCAGCTGTAAATAATGTATATAAAACATGCTTTGATAAGCTATCTATCGGCTTTGGTGCCTAATGAACAAACAAAAGAGAATAGTATTGTATATATGTTATCTATAGAATGTAGTATATATATATTTACTCTGCTTAAAGCTTCTGCAATAGCTAGAACAGTAACTAATCCAGAAATATCATTTGATACACCTATTGTTAAATCATGGAATAGAGATCGACTATCGATACCAGCAGAAACTACAATAATTGGTTTATCATCATCATGTTGAATGTCTAATGAAGGAGAAGAAAACACAGATAAACCACCTACTACTTGACACCACTTTCTTCGAAGACAAGTTTCTGAATTGACAGCAGCCCACATAAACAAATCAAAATCCATTGCCTTTAAAGGATAATCTTTATAGTGTCTTTTTATATTATACGAAAGACTCTATATACGCGATTAGCTTGAATCTCTTCTTCCTTTACCTCTTTTTTTTTTTTTTTTTTTTTTTTTTTTTTTTTTTTTTTTTTTTTTCTTGTAAGGAATGCACATTTTATACCTCTGTTATATAATCATATACTTCTTGCGATACATCATCTTCAGGCCTTATGGCAAAAATAGGGAAATCAAAATTTTGTTCAATGAGATTTTGTGCTTCAGGATTCCATTCATATTGAACAGTGTCATTGGCGTAAAGACCAAATTGACAATTAGGACATGATGAATCAGGCGAGGATCTTGGCTGGTCATTTGACAATAAAAGAATGATTAATCCTGTAACTTTATTTGTAGTTGCTAATAAATCGAGATTGGCTTTTGTTAACAAAGAGAATGGCATGACAAGCACATGATCATTTGATGGATTAGCTGTAACAAAATCGGAAATGTCTTGTTGAGTATTAGTTTGGTATAATATGCCGCTTTTTTTGCTTAGAGCTAAAAAAAAAGGGGGGAGGGGGGAGGGAAAGGAGCAGAGAAAAGAAAGCAATGATATTAGAACATGTTTTATTTAGCCATTTATTAAATTTACAATGACATCCTATTGTTCCTGTTGCATTGAGTAATCGAACGCAAGGCCAGTTATTAAGGTTGGTGTAGATATAAGGGTAAAGTGTGGATGAAATATCTGCTAAAACTATTGTTTAAAGTTATTATACACCTTCTTTTATGTCATCTTTTTCATTTTATTTTATTTTACCCGATACCAATAGAGTGCTTGATAAAACATAATGAAGAAATATCTTTACAAGCTGCATATAAATAGCACCTAATTAAATGAAATAGACATTTTTCGTAATTGAAAAATAAATAAATAAATAAATAAAAAATTAAGGTCTGAACTTTGATTGGCCTGTCATGACTACTCGGATCAGGTCAAGAAATAAAATAATAAAATGTATTGATGATACTGTTGCTAAAAGATTAAAGAGGAACGACAATTAAGAAGCACTTGTGCATGTTGCAATAGCACTTAGAGTAGATTTGTAAGATGAATTGAATGCAGAGAAATTTAAAAAACGATATTATAATGTGAATACTCTTGATTTGTGATAAGCATATTTAAAAAAGAAAGGATGGAGACATTGCCAATTACTTTAGCCAAGTAAAATTGAATGGCGAAATAAAATATAGTAGATGGTACGATTGTTTTGTAAATACTTGCGTAAGATGCTTGGGACAGTAAGTCAACTGACCACTAAATTACCTTCCAATGTATCAAAAGTATTGAAAGACCAACAAGAAATACAATTTCTAGATAGATTCTTAAAAGAGCATTGAGTGGTTCTTATGTTGATTCTGGGGGGTTTTTTTTTGTTCTATTTTCGGGAAAGTATTTTCTATGGAGAACTATTGTTTAAAGAGGATTGAATGTACAAAGAAATAGTCAATAGATGATACTATTTAAGTAATCAGTTTCAAAGTGAAGACTAAGCTTAATATGAAGAGATCTTTGGTAATATTGTATCAAATGGTCTTCCATGAGCTGACTTATAGTGGTGTGTCTCTTGATTAAACAAGTAGACCATAAATACACGTTTAGTTTTTTTTTCCCCTGAAATTCCTGTGATTTATTTTAACAAAACATCCTACACCTCATTATCTATGATCTGTACTATTCAGTCGTAATTACCCTTACTCTGATTCATATCTTAACTTGGACATCCTGAAAGAAAAAAAAATTATCAATTTAAATTCATAAATAAAACTTTCGGCTTTAGAACTATTTGTATGGGCTTGTTAACATTTAATATCTTCTTGTTTTTATAATCTTTATCTTTATATAAGAAATATCACAGGGTTTAATTGCTGTGGATAAAGTAAAGAGAGAAGATAGAAAAAAAAGATATTTGTATGGCAATTTTTTAGGCTTGATTAGAATCAATCGATTTTCCAACCAATCTATTAACAGTAATTTTTATGAAAGGGTGAATATTTGCTCATATCATCGGTAACTACTGTTTTGCTAAAGCCGGTTTCTAAGTTTTTAATTTAACTTGCTTTCTAGGCTTCATAGTGACAGCATATTTTAGTTGTTTGCTTTTTGGACTTTATGTAATGGTTGAAATTTACACCATGAAAACGCCTAAAGATATCACTTAAATTGCTATTTATGAAGGCCCCATAAGTTTTTTTTTGTAAGTTATACGCATCAATAATTATTTATCATTTTAAAATTAAATATACATACAGATATGAGCAAAGATGTATTTTTAGAGATTATTCATAGAGTAAAATATATATTAATGTACTTATAAAATAGTTTTATTGTACTTTCTACCTTTTCTTTTGCAATAGATGTTTCATGATGCATCCTGATAATACGACCTATATGTGTCATAATAGGCTAATTTGGTCACTAATAAAAGGCTTATAAGTGAGGATATTCTCAACTTAATCGCCTGAATGCAATCCTATAGGATAATTCTGGTAAAGTTTTAAAAGAAGAATTAAACATAGTATAGTTGGTGATAAGAAAAAAAAGGGGGGGATTTCTATACAAAAGATTACAGATCTATACAATTATAAGTCTCTGAACATAATAAAAAATTTAATTAAGCATATTATTTGTGCCCTTTTTTTTTTTACTGTATTTAAATAAAGGACTTCTATTTTATTATTTTTTTTTTACTAAAATTGGATTTTAAAAATTCACAGTTTGAATTTTTCATATCCGACAATTTGATACTGTTCATATTGAATCCCTTTCGAATATTGCTTTTTATTCGTATTATTATATTCAGTAAGATGGAATCACTCCGAACAGTCATTTCTCGACTGTTTATTGATATACAAGATAACTCGTCGACTATAGTAAATCATACCATAATATAAAGCTAAACTATGAGTGACTTATATTCTTACTTACTTGTAGGATTGGTTGAACATAAAGAATAATTCACAATCATTTTATGGGTAATGAATATATTATAATAACATGTAGTCAGCTGCTAATAATTACTTGATAGACTATTTAATAAAAATCCTTCTAAAAGACGTCGATTACATTTACTTCACCCTGAAACATCTAACGAATCGCTTTATAATAATTTCGTTGTTAATCATATTACTTCCACTCATCGAATTAATTATGAGACTTTAGCTAGTGACTTTGTAAGAGCATGTCAAATGGGCGGTAATAATGTTGTAAGTGCACATGAGATCATGCATTAAACATTAACTAATTATATATTTATAAATATTTATATAAATTAAAAAAAATAGACTGAGCAACTTAAAGTTATATTATTAAAATATCGCGAACCACCTTTAACACTAGAGAAAAATTCTCGCTTAATAACATTTTTACATCATGTCTTGAAAATAATACCTATTATACCCACAAACAAAACCAGCTTCCCTTTAGGCTCACTTATAGAAGACTTGACGTTAACACTTTCAACTCAACAACCTCACATCTGGATTATAACAATACAATTCATGTTATCGTGCCTTCGAAGTGCGCCACAACAAACTATTTATCAGTCGGGTGTAACTACACCTGTCATTTTAAGCATCATTAAGCATATTTTATTAGAACTTACTCGTTTACCTTATATGGATATGACACCAATGCAAGAAAAATGCTTTTCAGTTGGTAAAGAATTATTAGATCTATTCCTGATTCGAGACAATAATAAAGATAATAAATTAATGATCGGCATTGGGACCATTTCATATTATGATGTTATTTATTCTGTAAGTTTAATATCAATAAATAATATATGTTTTCTTCTTGTTAGATTTATGTTTCTTTTTTCTTTTTTCTTTTTATTTCCTTTCTATCTTTTTACAAAAAAAAAAAAAAAAAAAAAAAAAAAAAAATAGTTCCCTGAATTATATGGCCACTTTTTGAATTCAACAACGCCTACCACAACCACAACATCACAGTCTCATCCTTTGATTGCAAATCACAACATTTGGTTAATGACACTTGATTACTTGATACTTTCAATCAAACAAGATGCTCGACTTTTGGACCGCATACCAACATCAATGGCTATCAATATTATTAAGCATATATTGCATGAAATCAATACTTTGCCTGCCAACTTGACAACATTGCAAGTAAATTGTTTGAATAAAGGAAAGGAGTTGATAAACCTCTTACTTTTGGGTCCTAGTGGAGATGGTGCCGGTGCAGTTTCTCATTATGACATTATTGTAGCCGTAAAGTATTATAAAAAAAAAAGTATTTATTATTGATGTTCATTCATGTCTATATTTATATCCACATACGCATATATTATATGTATGTATGTATGTATATGTATATGTATATAAATGCTTTTCTTTTTTCTTTCTCTTTTTATCAGTTACCTGATGTCTATGGTCATTTCCAGCATGGTACTTTTGCTCAAAGCGTACATTGGGCTATGGAAAAGTTTATTAATGAATTAGGTAAACGTCGTCGTCATTTAGCCTTTCTAATGATGCCTCCTGATGCCTCTTGGCCACTTATATCTCAGATGAGTAGAAGACATGAATATAATGATCTTACTACTAGAACAAGTTATCATATGTTTGAAGGTGATTTGGTAAATATTATCTTAAACATATGTATTTTTTTTTTTTGGATACATCTCTAACCATAACACACAAAAAGATTGAATTTGTTAAAGAAGGTAGCTCAACGAATATTGAAACTCATTTTCGTGATATGCTGTTTCAACGTGCATCCATGGATGAATTTAGACAGTTAGCTATGTCTCTCACTCAAACTGGTTTAGATACAACTTTGATTAGAAAAGCTATGGTTGCAAAAGTAAGAGATGTAATTCGATGTATTCAGCATTTTAGTCGAAATGAGAAAAGGGATGATACCTCAATCTCAGAGAGCGAATATGAGCATTCTGATAAAGGCGATATCAAAATGCTAATACCTGAGAATATAAATTTATGGGAATTAATGACTGAAACAGCTGATCAACTCTATAGTTTTGTTTCTGCAGAGTAAACTCTTCTTGTTTTTTTAAAAAAGAAAAGAAGAAAAAAATAGTTAACCATTTTATTTATTTACAATTTAATTTATTTAGCTTCTTTTCATATGAAGATATTCTACAAGACTTTTATGACCTTGTCTATCAACCCAATGGTGAACCCTTTTTACCGAATGCAAAGGATCATATTCCAAAAGATAATGGACTTGTTTGGTTATTATTACAATTATTTTATATTGAAAAAGTCTCTAAAGATGTTATACAAAAGGATTTTGAACAAGATGAAAGGTTGTTTGATAAACTTGTTCGATTATATAATGACCAACAAACAGAATCCAAAGATGCTTTCACTTTACGCGATTTAGCTTTGCAATGCGCAGTAAATCATCAAAAGGGCCATATAAAAGATGTGACTAATATCAAGTATCGACACCCTTTAATTGCAACTTCTTTACAACATGCTGGTCTCTGTTATCAAATTCAAGCTTATTTTAGTAGCTATTATCATAGCAATGTCCCCACCAATTCAACTTTATTTAGCAATTTAGATTTACAGGAAATGATCAAGATTGCTATGGAAAGTCAGCTAAGACAAGATGTTGTACCTTATACCCTTTATGTTTATCTTGTACCCACCAAGGCAGATATCGACACTTTGGGGCACCCTTCAACAACATATATCAAAGGCGGATCACTTAGTTACAAACTATTAGATTTGATTTGTATTAATGCAAAGCACCGATTATTACAGGTTATCTATAAGATGATGTTGGATAGTGAAACGGGTCCTCGATATCAATCTACCGGTACATCTCCTATTTCATGTGTGCCCCCTAATGTAATTGATGTTGTCTTCAAGTTACTCTACAGTGCACCTTGTTCAGCAGAACTTATGGTAAAAGAAATTTTTGATAAATTGAGACGCTGTGATAAAATGGTAAAAATGAAGCATACAGGAGAATCCAGTCATGGTGTCATTATTCAACAATTACCTGATCAAACAATGCGCTGGTTACAAACCATACTACAGTTAATGAATTATCGATTTATTCGTTTCTTAAAATGGTCATCTTTGTCATCTGGATTATTGCATTACATTCGATATTCCATTTCTTCTTTGGAAAATAGACAATGCTATCAAACTCTCGAATCATTTGCTATTAATATCATTGTAAGTGTAATTTTTATATATGTATATGTATATACATATATGCAATTATTTTTAAGAAGAGGAGCGAATAGGACTTATCAGTATTCCTTTCCCCTTTTTTTTTCTTTTTCTTTTTTTCTTTCGTTTTATAGCATATGCAAGTTGATGTTAAATTGTTACGTTCACTTGATGATCCTCATCGTGATAAACTCATTTGGTTTGCAGAATCTGAAATGCTTGCACGACATACTGTTTATACGATTAGCCGATTAATTAAAACGAGAGGCCAAGCAGATATTAAGACAGATCAAATCCATCGCGTTTTGTCAAACCTTTACGAATATAAAATTGAATGGTCTAATGAAGCTATTAGCTATTTTCCAACTGCTGTTCGATCATTTTATGAGACTGTGAATACAAGTACACCTTCACGACCCTCATTTACACCTCAACGCGTACAACAACTTATTTCATCCAACAAAGCTATAATGTCATATTTACTTCAAGGTATTCCAGAAGTAGAAGGCATGGTTGTTCACTTCTTTTCAACGTTAGAAAATCAGTCAAGTTTATTATGTGCTTTATGGGTCATCGTGATCACGAGAAATACTACAGACTGTTTTCATTTACCTTCTGTTCGTCGATTGCTCTTGTTAATACCACCTTCACGTATGGCTACAAATACCATTGATTTTATTGATTTTATTTTGAATGTTGAATATCCTCTTAATAGTTCAGAAGTGGTAAGGAAAAAAAAAGAAAATACAATGCTATATCAATATCTTAAATTATCAACTTTTTTTATTTTTTTATTTATTTATTTTTTTTTTTTTAGATTTACAAATTTTTGGATTCCTTTATCTGGAAATATCAATGGATCAATTTCAACCATGTCATATTTGCACTTGTAAAGGGAAGTGGGAGTTTAGAGAGGACAAATAAGGCTATGCACTTTTTACGTTATTTATTGTTTGAATCACCCGAATTTCAAAAACGTGTACAAAAATGGGATTCTCTTGGCTTTAGTCCACGCCCTTGGACAGAGGAAAAGTTTCATGAAAAGCTCATGAGTTATTTACGAGAGTACCCCGAATATTACGAATTTGAAGCCTTTGCTATGCGACAAAGCTATGAACCAGCCTTAGATCTACCTCATCAACAGACCAAACTACCCATCTATTTCAGCAATGTTGTAAACGACTTTATTGTATCAATGGAAACATTAATTATGCGATTGATTGAATACTCACAGAAGGAATTATTAATGAAGCTATTAGATACATATGGTCATTTGTTTTATCAACATCAGTGCCCGCTTTCATTTGTCACAAGTCTTTTGCTCTATTATCATTCGTCCGAGACATTACGCGATCCATTGATACTTAAAAGAATTTTGAGACTCTTAGATTTCAACCAATATACATTTGTACCTGAAGCAAAACATTATGCCCTGCATTATGAAGATGATGGAAGTAGATTTGATACCGAGTATTTTGAAAGAGTGATTTATAAACTTGCTGGAAGTAAATAGTGGATATATAAACTAATGAAGACTTTTTTTTTTTTTTTTTTTTTTTTACTAATTTTTTTTTCTTCTCTCTTTAAGATCTGAATCCACAAAAATGTGCTCCTAGAATGAATGCAGAGTTACCTGAAAGACATTTTCGAGAAATTGGAAGTCCAGCAGTAGAAGGGATATCTATAGCTACATTAGAGATCATGATGACCCCTGTTCCACCTTCTATTATTATTAGAAAATTATTGGATTTAGCTCTTTTAAGGGAATCACATCATGCTGGTGTTTCAGCTTTGAGACTACATGCTATTGGATTACTTGTTCCTTTACTTCCTCAAAAAGAGTTTGTACGTCCTATTTTCGAAGAATTAAACGAACTTATAGAAACAGATCCATATTTGTTAGAGATATCCGAACCTTGTAGATTGGTAAATTATCAAGTGTTTTATATATAGAGAGAGAAAAGAAAAGGCTAGCTAGATATATATTTATTTATTTATTTATTTAATAGATACGATGTGGTATACCAAAAAGTGTAAATGGAAAATATAAGATGACTCAGTCCTTACCTGATTTAACAACAGCAGCAGCTTTAAAGGATTCAATAAGTTCACGGCTTCGTAAAGCAATGATATATCCTTATATCTTTAATGACTATACATTCAATTTGCATAACTACGGTACAAACGTGCCCAACAGTTTCTTATGTTTATTCCATAGTATAGTGCATTACTCCAGTTTAGATATATTTTCCTTTTTATTAGAATATATACGAAAATTGCGTCAATCAGGTAAATTAAGAACGGATGTACAATTACTATATATATGTTTCTTGCTTGGACCTGCTCTTCATCGTATTGAAAAGTTAGATATTAGTGATGCTGGCGTAAGTTTTAAATTTTTTTTTGTATATATCTTGTGAAAAGAATACTAAAACTCTCTCTCTCTCTCTCATAGTTTTTAATTGAATTAATGTATATGGTCAAACAAGTGACTGTGTTGATGGATATGAAAGATGGATGGACTACACAGGCACTTGAGCAAGTGTATGACTTTTTATATCATATTCGAACAAGATTCGTAAAATCAAATGAACTTGCATCTCAAATAAGGGACATCATTCGTTCCATGAATCCACCCATTTCTCAAAGACTTTTAAGACTTGTCTTTGAGCAAAGCAAGTAGTAACAAGTCAATAAAATAATCCATGTTCTCCTCATTTCTGAGTATAAAATATTTAAAAAAGTATAATAGTAATAAAAAAAAAAAGAAAAATGTTGTTGTTATTGTTATAAAGTTTTTTTATTATTATTATTCACTCTCTAATGTTAACACAAAGAGGAAAGCGATCACTAAGAGATGCATTTAATGATGATGATGATGATTATAGTTTAGAAGGTAGCAGTAATAGTAGCAGCAGTCAGTTACCAACACAAAGGATAAAAGCATCAACTACAGATTGGGAAGAAGAAGTAAATCTAAATTGAAATCATATTGATTGGCATGAATTGATTGATCTTTTATATACATGTACAATAGGAACTACAACGTAAAGTAAAGGATGTCATTCGTTATGCACTATCTTGTGAATTTAAAAGAAAGACGATTAAGCGTGAAGATTTGAATAAAAGTAAGGAAGAAAGAAAGAAAGAGAGAGAGAGAGAGAGAGAGAGAGAGAGAGAGAGAGAGAGAGAGAGAGAGAGAGAGAGAGAGAGAGAGGGAGGGATCAAGATTGTTGTCTAGAGATTAAATCAAACTGTCCTACTTTTTTTTTTTCGTATAGTTATTGGAAAAAATAAATCCGTTACGACCAAAGTATTACTTAAAGCAAAAGAAAAACTAAAACACATATTCGGCTTTGAATTGATTGAATTACCTTCATTAAAAGAAAAATTTAATCTAACTCAAACACAACAAAGTAAATTCTATATTGCTTATACTACCATGTTGACTAAATGCTTCCCCTCCTTTTTTTTTTCTTTTTCTTTTTTTTTTTTTTTTTTTTGATAGGCACTCAACAATATGAATCAACACAATCAAAAGGACCAGCTACAGGCACTTTTATTATACGCTCAATTCTTAAAGATGAATATCGTACTCCAGAGATCATTACACGTTCAACAGCAGACTATAAACTGATGGGTGTTTTGTATGTGATATTAGGTTTGATCTTTCTTAATGGTCAAACGATGATTAGTTCTGAACTTTATGGACATTTGGATCGTTTAAAGATAACGAAAAATAATTCGGAATTTGATGATCGTGATAAATTACTTGATTCATTCATCAAGTCTGGTTATTTAAAAAAGACACAATTAAATAATGTAACAGAGAATGAAGAAATAGAATATAATTTTACTTGGGGACAAAGAGCGATTGTTGAACTAGGACCTGCAGGCGTAGTTTCATTTTTATCTAGCGTAAAAATCACAAATAGAGACATTATACTAGTTATTTATATTTATTTATACTATTCATGTAGTTTTACACGAACGATGATGAAGAAAAGGAATCGATTGAACGTAAAATATGGACCCAAGCAGGTTACCAATTTAGAGATTAAAAAGGAAAATCAAGTATTTATTATTCAAAGTAAACACGAAGTTCATCTGCTTCTTGCTTCATTTCTTCTAGTGAACGTGGTTGTCTATCTTCGTTATCTACACCCTTTTTCTTGTCTAAATCTTCATAAATATCGTCATTATTTGCCCAATCTCCTTTTTTACGTGGAATAATATGCATGTGAACATGAGGCACCTATACAAATACATTAAATAATGAGTATTATTATTATTATATATGTATAAAACTTTTTTCGTCGTTTTGCTTACTGTTTGTCCTGCTTGTGGTCCATCTTGTATGGTCATTGTTAAAGAAGAGCAACCATAATGCTTTTCCACTGCATTACCAATTTTTTGTGCAGATAGCATTAAATCTATTGCCTCATCTCCATTTAGATCTGCTAATCTTGGTGTATTTCTTTTAGGGATCACAAGTACATCTATTTCAAATAAATAATGTTAAGGATAAAAAGAAAAGAAAAAGAAAAAAAAAAGAGAGATAAATTCATACGTCCACTAAAATAAAAGTTAGAAAATAAAGGGGAGGGAGAAAGGAAAGAGGATTTGAAAGAACAGAAAAAGGGGTTGAACTTACGGAGCAATAGGCTTTAGATTGACTACACCAAGTGTTAATTTTGATTTAAAAAATATTTGACATTCATGAATAATATGAGGGCCAAATCTATAAATTGTCATGATTATGCTTAAAAAAAAAAAAGAAAAGGAAAGGAAAGGAAAGGTAGGAAAAATAGTAGAGTTCATTTAATACTAGCGGAGTAAAGGATTTGGCTCTTCTTTGTTATGATCATTGTGACTTCATAGAAAAGTAAAATTTCCTTATCCCTTTTTTTTTCTATTCTTTTTTTTTTTTTTTTTTTTTTTTTTAAGGCTTTGACAATCAATCATGACACGGTTTAATGGGTGTATTGATCTCCATCATGGAAAAGTAAAGCAGATTGTCGGTGGATCGTTATCAGATAAATCACCTGAGCAGTTAACTACAAACTTTGTATCAGAGTAATTAATTTATTACAAATAAAATGTTACTCTAAATTAACCTTTTTTTTTTTGACATGTTAGAGAATCACCTAGCTTTTATTCTAAACTTTATAAAGAACATCAAGTTACACGTTGTCATGTTATCAAGTTAGGACCTAATAATGATGATGCAGCCAAAGAAGCACTCAAAGCTTGGCCTGGTGGACTACAAATAGGTGGTGGGATCACCCTAGATAATGCACTGTATTGGTTATCTTTAGGTGCCTCCAAAGTAAATTTATATTAAAGGACAGAAATAACTGATTTATTTTAACTTGACTTCCAAAATAATAATGATAGGTTATTGTCACAAGTTATTTGTTTCCAGAAGCCAAATTTTCTTTAGAAAGATTACAAAGACTTTGTGAACTTGTTGGTAAAGACAAGTTAGTTGTTGATGTTAGGTAATTATAATATTATTCAACTCAAGTAATACATAAATAAAATAACAGCTTGCCATTATCGCCATAGTTGTCGCAAAAAGGATGATAAATGGATAGTTGCTATGAATAAATGGCAAACAATGACAGATATGGAAGTGAATAAAGGTATCTATACATGTATATGTTAAGCCGTATATCATCATATATACTTATCAAATTTCTTTTTAATTTAGATACTCTTAATATGCTTAGTCAGTATTGTAGGTAAAGAAATACATACATGCAGTATACAGGTATAAAGGGAAAACTTAATCAAGTTTTACTATAGTGAATTCTTGATCCATGCAGCAGATGTTGAAGGTCTCTGTAAAGGAATAGATGAAGAACTAGTTAAATGTAAGAGATTCTATTATAATATATGTCTATATTCATATATAAATTAGGCCTTGGCGATTGGACTCATATTCCTACAACCTATGCTGGAGGAGGAAGATGTAAAGTATATACACTTAGTATCATTATGACAGTCATCTTATATTTTATTTAGCTATAGAGGATTTGAAACTTGTTGAGAAATTATCAAATGGTAAAGTGGATTTGACTTTTGGAAGGTAAGAAGAAACTGTAGTCTTTTTTTTTTATTATTTTGTATTAATTCATAATTAAGCGCGTTGGATATCTTTGGTGGAAATGGAGTTGCTTTCCAAGAATGTGTAGAATGGAATATACAACATTCACAATAAAACGCATGTATATTTTTTTTATGACTATTTAAGAAATTTATTCCAATTCGAGTTCAAGAAAAAACCTCAGTTTTTGGTAAACTTTACATATGAAATAATCTAAAACCCCTTTAAGCACATAAAATACTTGATGTTTGTACAACTCAATGTGAACGATCGTTACTCCAGTAAATGGGACACAACTAAACTATCTAATTGAAACATGAATTCTGTCGTATCTTTTACTTGAAAGAATGTAGAAAGAAAATAAGCCATAGATTATGTTGTGGCAAACTATTGTTATACTTGAAGCCATCAGTTTTAACCTGACACATGGAATACATTAAAAAATAGGAGCTGGTTCTAAGTTTTTATTATTGTCTTTAACACGCTTTTTGGTGCATGTTATAATTGTTTTTTGTTTTTAGTATTTTATTTGTATCAGGGTCAGGTATTCATTCAATCATTTGTAGTACGTAATAAATTAAAAATGGAAATTTACCAAAAATTCTGTTTGTGTGTAATAAAACTTTAAATATTGAGCATGATTTGCATTACATGAGAAGATATACATATTTTTTTCCTCTGACATTTTGGTGTGTAATTGCGTATACAAAATCAATATTGATTACGATTAAATTCTGAACTTTATTATTATTATTATTTTGATTTTTTTTGGCAATGAGCATGTAGCGACGAAATAAATGCGCAATATTGCCCGAGCCAGTTATAGAGGGGAAATAAAGAATAAAAACCTTCCTAAAGGACAAGAAGGAAAAAGAAAAGAGCAGTTTTTTGGAATTAAGAGAAAATATAAGAAGGAAAAAGCGAAAAAGTGAGAAGAAACAATTTAAAAACAAATAAGACCAAAGTGACCAGGAAGACACACACTATTACTTGGACAACCAACTCAACAGCTTGAGACCAGGATCGACAGGATTCAGGAGGAAATTCATCATGGAAGTAGTAATCAGGTTCATGTAGAATTATACAAGAAATAGGCCATAAAGTATACCAGCTCTTACAATCAGAAGGATGACGAGGTTTATGTAGTGGAAGCAAGTTGAGGAGGAACGAGATGGGATCTTCGACTGAATTAGGCACGTAGATACGATGATGTATACGTAAGTACTCAATAGCATGTCGCTGGCTCCAATTATGATACGGATGAAAGATACATTCTTTAGGTTTACCACCAGGTAATCCAACCAAGTCTCCATCGGAGCACTCGGCTACGTTCTGAGATAGTCATTGGTAAGTAAAGGATGAGAATCCAATTCAAGAGTGGGGCGTGAGGAAGACAATAGGATGGAGTTAGTGTCTTGATAAGTTCGAAAGAGTTATTGCGCTTGGAGGACTGCAATACGGGTCTTCATGGATAGGAGGTTGACAAGATGGAGCATGACTTTCACCAAGGATTGCGAGTGACCACCAAAGACATGTCAAATGCACGAATTTTGAAAGGTATCCAGTTCTTTGGTAATTTTAGCAGAGAGAGGACTGATTGCAACTATTATTGTACCAATTTTTAGTCTTTTTATTTTTTGTACTAATTATTTTTCGATTTATAAGCCAAATTTATTTTTATTTTCGTATCTAATTTTTTCTAACCTTGATTCAATTTTTTTTTTACTTTTTGCGCCAATAATTTCGGGAAATAGTGTATAAAGTATTTGTGAAAGCTCTGTATTGTTTATTAAATGAAAATAATACAAAAATCGTACAAGGAAAAAATATCATGGAAAAATGTCAAACGAATACTGGCATGATAAAGCCTCTATGCACAAATATTGTCTCCGAATAATTCTGCATGCAGTATGCATTTTTCTCTTTGAGCTGTCGCTGTTATTAAAAATATACTCAATTATTATTTCCCGAGGGTAAGTAACGCGTTAATATTAGTTCACAATAAATATTCCGGCTATTTACATCATTCTACAAGAATTATCCGTCCTAAAAAATGAATCTGTTAGTAACATGTCATTTATAATTTTCACAACCATTTGTTCATTTACTTTTTTTTTATAATAGAGAACATGGTTGAAACAATAGCGGAACATGTATTCCCCCCCCACTATTAAAACCAAATGAATTCATTAAAAAACCCAGGATTACATTATTGTTGGGTATGTAAGAAAATCCCCGGATGATGAAAGTGAACAAACAAGAACACAACCTGCTTATACTTAGGGGTGCAATGCTTAAAAGAAAGATCCTTGCATGACAAAATCGTTGTATCTTCCTCTTGTTTTGCATCAAATGATCTTGCATCCAGTGATATGAGTGACAAAGTTGACTTGGCAAACAAATTAGAGGTAGCGGATGGGAATACGTAAAGTATATTAAATCGATAAATAAGTGTGCCAAGGTGCTATACCAGTTCTAATTTTGAGCCTTTTCTATAGTAATGATATCCTATCTGAATAGAATGTAGCAAAATGTTTGCCTTGTAGCTATAGATTTTTCGGGGCTATCAACCAATGTGAATGACCTTTAGACCTTTACCATGTAATTTATGTCTTGTGAAATTAACATTTCTTTATCAATTCTTATATTATTCTTATTCATATTAGGAACTATGAAAATGATAATAATTAACAATTTTCCTACAACTCATGAATTTTATGTTTTTTAAGCGAGATTTAATACTGAAAAATCTTTGAATCTTATCTTCTTTCAACTGCAGGCTTGGTCCAATTCAAAGATCCAAGATAATTTAAATATGTTTCCACATTATTCCCTTCATAAACGTTATGTCTTTTTTTTTTTTTCTTACTGCTTTATATTTGGTTCCAACACGCTGTTTTAAAATTAAATGTTATTTTATAAATTTACAAATTAATGTGCAGAATTGTTAACACATAAGCAACAAAGATGATCCCCTTAAGTTATCTTCTTTGGTATTGCATTCCCGTACACACATCGCTTGATTAAAAGACTTTTTACATCTTTGAAAGTGAAAGGTTGGATACAAATTTTTGCAAAAGAGAGTAGAACTGGTTTCCTCGTAATTAGTCTCGTAGCATACATCAAATGAGCTAAAATCATTCATCTTTTTATTTTATTTTTTTCGGAAGCTCTGCTACCTTTGTGTTATTCTATTCTTCAGAAAAGAACGTACAGATGGTCTGTTCGCGAGAAAATATTCATTTTAGACCCAAGGAAAGGGGTTACTGTCCATTTTTTTTTCTTTCAACATCGTGCTTTATTTTCCGGTTTGATACGCTACTAGTGTATATAGTACACCCGTTGGTTTATGACCAGATCACAGTTTGCACTATGTTTAAATCAATGAAAAAAATTGGTAATAATGAATCTGGACCCGATTCATCAAACTACAACAAGAACATTTTCTCAAGTAAAAAGTAAAAATTATAGTTAAGTCTGCACTACTAACTCGACCTTTTTTTTTTTTTTTTTTTGTATAAATGATACTTGTCAACCAAAAGTTTTAACAATTACACAAGACATATACTGGATTAAAACTTTGGTTGCACTAAAAATTATATTTTTACTTTCGGCAGTATATCAAATATATTTCTGATCATTTAATAAATAATACCTTAGGGGGGGAGGGCTACATCTTCCCCATCCCACCCCACCCCACCTCACCTCACCTCTCTCTCTCTCTCTCGCTCCAAATTTGTATTTTTTAACGTGTCGAATAGAGTTTTATCAAAAAATTATATGAGTTAAAATGTAAGATAGTTAAAGACTATTAATTAACATTAAAACAATGAAGAGTGTCGTTTATTATTAGCATCCATAATAATATAGAATCTAACTTGGAGTACAAATATAAAAGAGCAAATCAACAATAATTACACATGAAGGGACGTTTAGTTAAAGATTGGGCACTAAAGTAAAATAAAGTGTAACTTATGGAATTAAGTAAGTCTCCACAAGAAAGCTTTTTTGATAACAAATCATCTAATAATATATATTATTATCAGACAATTTGTCAATAAACAAACTAACCATGGAAAAAATAAATAAATAAAAGTAATACAAAGATGATTGTAAAAGTTCTAAATATAGGAATTAAATGAATCATAGAACGATCTTATATCTCATTCAAAAAGTGTCCCTACTAATGTGAATATGATACAAGTTTTGTTAACTGGCCCTTTAAAATATATTAGTTGTTAAACTGTCGAACTTGTTGTATCTAATTGGTTTTTAGGGCTTTTCAATACTTCGAAGGATCCCTTCTCTTTGCAAAAAAAAAAAAAAAAAAAAAAAAAAAAAAAAAAAAAAAAGAAGAAGAAGAAAAGGTATATAGTTCTAGTATCCGTCGATATAATATTCCTTCCTTATTTATTATTATTTAAGGGGCTGAAATACACTTTAGAAAAAAAAAGACCCTTTTTCTGGAAATCAATGCAACATACAACATGACCAATGATTATAGAAGAACTATTTTAGACATAAACCGACTTGTACACCCAAGATGAATCAGATATACAAATATATATTTTTAGGGCTCTTTTTTTCTTAATGAATAACACAAAAAAGAAGTAAAGCACTTGAAATATATATTTATATATAACATTAACTTTTAGGAACTGAAGGGTTGATTTTAATATAAAGAGATAGGCCTACTACTATCTCTCTTTTACGTTAGATTCTACTTTTTTTTTTATTATTTGCTTTGAATATCGTACGAGAAGATATACTGTTTCTTTATACATACACATTGAATAAATGAGTTGATCTTTTTTTATATCCAAATAAATAAATAAATAAATAAAAAATATCCTTTTATAGATAAATTCAATATAGGCTTATCCTATATGTCAGCTCATAAGACAATTCAATTATTATTAAAGAATTAAAATGATTGTATTTTACGATCTGTTATAATCGTGATTATATCCAGTATTGATGTCTGTGGCTTTTTTTTTTTTTTACCTTTTCAGTTAAACTTTATCTTTGTGTATTCTTCTAAAATGTGATTCAAAATCTTGTGTACATTCTAATGTTCATTTTTCAGTTATTACTTTTCTCTAAAAATTAGTCATAAATCAAGAAGAGAGAGAGAGAAGAAGGGGGAGTTTTTTTTTTGTTTTTTCTCTCTGTCTTTATTAAAAAAAAAAATTAGAATTCAATCGATGTTAATAGTTTATAAATTACGTGTAATCACATATAAAACCAAGTATAAAATAAGAATAATAATAATAACGGTGACACATAAATCCTGCTGCAAGCTTTTATATTTATTAGGTGCACAAAAATATTTTTTATTTTCTTTTTTTTTTTCTTTTGGGGGGGAGGAGGAGGAGGAAAAAAAAGATCTATTCGAGACGCAATATTTTCTTTTCCTGATATGTAAAAATGACCAATAATGCAATGAGAGAGAGAAAGAAAAAAAAAGGTATTAAAAGGGTGTTGTATAATTAATAATTTGTTTTAAGGTTAAGGATGATATGCTGTTATTAGGTTGTTGCTGTTGCTGTTGTTTTAACTGATTTGCTATTTGTCGTTCCTTTCGTGCAACTGATCGAGAATATCTTAATCCACACGCATTACAGAGCCTAAATAAAATAAAATAAAATAAATACTGTATTTGTGCACATTGATACAATTTTTTTTTTTTTTTTTTTTTTTTTTTTTTTTTTTTTTTTTACGTTTTATGGCCTGTAGGACCTCTTCTCCATTCAGGACTAGTCCTTGTTCCACAATTTTGACAATGATGTTTGTTATTGCTACTACGTTGTTTAAGGGGTAATGACACAACAGTATTTTCTACTATCTCATGTGTTTTGTTAGAAAATAATACTTCTGAGGCAGCATGTTTATGATGATGATTATTATTAAATGGTATATGGTAAGTTGGGTATTTGCTAAAATGGTAGTTTTTACTAAATATATATATATATATATATATATATATATATGTATGTTAATTCACCTATAGGCATCTATTTGACGCTATCTTTCTTTCTTTTACTTTACTTTTTCTTTTTAACACGCTCTAATACAAATGAGATGGAACCATAATCTATAATTAAACTGTTGACCTGTTGACCTAATAAATTAATTCGAGAAGGTTGTTCAATGCAGTGGAAGCAGGAAAATCCTGGTGATATAAGTCGGTGAATAAAATGGTTCCATTCTGTACAGCCTTCATCTGGCCACGATAAAAGCACTGATCTTGTACGATTATCTAGTATGTGAAAATGACGTGAATGATTAAAGTCGATTGATAAAGGAGATCGTTGGTATTGTTTAATTAGATTTTCTCTTAAATGTAGAATACAAATATCTTCTTTCTCTCCACAAATAGAAGTAGAAAGATGCTGATTATCTAAACAAATAAATGAGTCTAATCATACATAGAAATCCATTCTATCTTCTTTACCTTGATGATGAAAGAAAGCTAAAACCAGGTCATCAGTCACAACATACATGATAATATCTACAATTCTCCAAGACTTAAACTCTCTCTAATATAATCCAATTTTTTTTTTTGTTTTTAGTATAAATACATGTTTAAATAGACAGCAGTAAATCATCATTACATGAAGACTGGTTAAATCTCTTATTCGACATCTTTAGAGCAAAAATTGTAAATATACATTTTTTTTTTTTTTTTTAGTTTATCAAATAAATGCTCTATTTTACCTTGTAATGGACCCCTTTAAATATTGATTCGAATTTTTAATAAATTTTGATAAATCTTTTTTAGCCAACGATACTTCATCAGGATGAATCAATTGAAATAAAGAATGTTTGTTTAGATATCTTTCAAATGATGAACTATAAATGAATTCCAAGTCTTTTTTGATGGATAGTAAAGACCAAATACATTGCGATGTCATCGTATATGTATAATAATGATATTAGAAAGAAAGAAAGAAAGAAAGAAAAAGAAAAGATTCAAATGAAACGTTTAAATATCAATTTTGATTTCAGAAGTTTTTTTTTTTTTTTTTTCGTATTACATTGTTCAAAAAGAGCTTATTTCTCCTTTTCATAAAGATCCTTTCTTAGTCAGTGTCCTCATCTTTCACATGTAATATTGAATTGTATTATCTTATTTTTATTTTATATTTTCTTCTGCATTCAATGTTAAGCTTTACATAGACATGGTTGTGTCTTCTTCCATATTGGTATTGTTTTCATTATCTTCATTCGGTATGACTAAATCAGCTTTAACCCAGTTTTCAATTCGAGGATAAATCATTCTTTCATCCAGTTGTTTTTGACTCCAAGCTAACATTCTTATTAAATTAGGTAATTTTGGATCCTTTTCTTGTGACTGGCTCATCAAGATGGCTGCATTTAATTCACTCGCTGTCTTTTGTCTTTGACTGGGAAGTAGTAAATCTTGAACTGGTGAATCAATACTATCTTGAAAAGCTAATAAAGCCATCGTTTTTTCCAATTCTTCTAAAAATTCAGGATGCTCTTCTCCACGTGGTGCCATTTCTTCTGAAGCGAACTCTAAAGCTTCTTCAAACGATTTATTACGTATAAGTTCAATTAATCTTTGCTGTTGTAAATGAAAGAATAAATGAGGATTGGTATCTAAAATCTAATATTAAATGTTAATAAAAAACTATTTTAAATAAATAAATGAATAAAAAGTTCGTAAAGAGATGGGGGGAGGAGGAGAGGACAAAAGGTAATATTTATGTATATCTTTTTTTTTTTTTCTTCTAATTACTTCAGGATTCAAGTCATTAACTAGGTCAATAGCAGTATCGACATCGCCTGATTGAATAGCATGACGAATATCCATTCGTTCTTGAATTGATTGTAAATCAACAGTAGGTGCTAGTCCACTTTCTAAACTAAACTGTTCGGCAGCATCTTTATATCCTTCAACAACAAGATAATTCATGACAAGTTGATTAAGGTCCCTTTTTATATATATATATGTATAAAATATGAGTTTATAACTATTCATCTAATATTCATTATAAGCTGTACTTTACTGTTTGTTTACTTTTACTTTTGCTAATCGTTGTTCCCATTCATCTCTAGAAATAATTTTCTTGTTATTTGTAGAAGTATTTGTATTTGCGCTCATTTTTATGTATAGAAAAAATAGAAAAAATAAAATAAATAAAATAAAAATAAAATAAAATAAATAAATAAAAACTGCATTGAAATGACCCAATATTTTATTTTGCGAATAGTATCGGCCCTTAAATCGATAATCGTTTTTAATCCTTAAAAAAAAATGTAGTGTAGTGCTGCTTAGCACATATGTCATCATCATACACAACAAATAAAGGCCATTATCAAGTTAATGTTAGCAGAGCTACTATTGACTAGAATTAAGGATATTCTCTTTTATTTTATTTTTTCTAAAAAAAAAAAAAAAAAAAAAAAAAAAAAAAAAAAAAAATTCTAAACATGGAAAATAAAGAACAATAGAATGCTCTCTACAACACACAACTAAAACTTAAATGGTATTCTGTTAGGAAAACAACAGTAAAATGCATCTTTATTATAATACCACTTTTTAATGTAAAGAAATATACCAAAAAGAAAAAAAAAAAAAAGGGGAAGGGGAAATGAGACTGCTAAAATAAGTGGTGAGTGTATATAAAATTCGATTTTATTTTATTTTTATATTAAATCCCGTTCAATTCTAATTTTGACAAATGGAGGATGAGATTGGTAAATAACTATACAGATGGATCAACTTGGAATAAAACTCACTTCCTTTTTTTTTTAATCTGATTAGCTGAGATTGCCAACAAGTCATTTGTTTTATATACATTAACACCATTATTAAAATTTCATCTTGAGCCAATTTCGGATCGAGAATTACAACTAAAAATACATGTTTGCACACAATTAAAATTAAAAGATACAACTAGAATAACTAGAACAACTCCAGGCAAAAAAAATGAAGTTTACCTAGGTGATCTAGTTGATTTACACATTGAACCTCTTTATTTTGATAATGTAGCTAGTTATGATTCAACCATTTTACCGTTAAAGATCACAATTGAAATCATGCTTTATAAAGATAATCGTAACGTCACTCATACTTTCTTCATGTTACCTTCACCCTATATACCAATGTATGAAAAGAAGGCGGACGAAAAAACATTTTATCCATTAATACTGGTGAAGGCTACATCTCGTATCAAGTCTGCACTTTTCACTTGGTTTGAAAAACGTTATTTTGCACTATGTACACAGTTGTATATACCACCTATCGTTATGACAGACATGGTGAATATTTGGATTGAATCAATACATAACTTACCAGATGAAGATGCCTTTGAAGAAAGTAAGTAACTGACTGACTGACTGTATTTATTTTATTTTATTTACATGTATCGTATTTGTTTAGTACCTGATATGATGACTAGACCACCACTCATATTAGAATATAAAACAGATATAAATGATTTATCTGATATAAAAGTTTCAATAAATCAACAAGATGCTAAAGTGATATGCAAAAAAATTCAAGATAGAAGATTATTCTTGGAAGCATTTCAGGATCATATATTAAAAACGACAAGTGTTCGTTTAAGGAGTTTTACATTTCATCGTGTATCCAATTCACTTGCTACCTTGCGACAAGATGGTTCAGTAAAAGTAAAATAAGACGAGTAGACTCTTTTTTTTTTTTTTTTTTTTTTTTTTTTGAGCTAACAATTTTATGTATGTATTTATTTATTTATTAGATTAATGGTCATGCTTATAAAATATTTGCAGTTCAGTTACTTCAAAGTTGGATACATTTCGCAGCACAAAAAGTATATAAACGTTAAGAATTTACACAAAAGTGTTTCTATTTAGGTGTTAGTAGTGTAGAATAAAATGAGTATTTTTTTTTCTCCTAATAATAATGTCATTATGTGCTCTGTATCAAAGATCGAGAAGAGTCAAGACACAATATTTTACCTTGTCTTTAGGTAATACTTTATGCTTCATAACACCTTCTATAATTTTGTATTAAAATTATCCTGATCCGTCAATCAGAGTAAAATAAAATATTTTTATATTTTTGGAGATCGTAAACTACGTAAAAAAAAAAAAAAAAAAAATTCTCCCCATTGTAAAACATTAATAATGTGGAGGAGGTATGCAATATAAATATTTATTAACTGAGTTTTTTTTTCATTTTTTTTTTTTTATACATACTTATTTATTATTTTCTAATGACAAAAGAGTCAAACCAACCAAAGGCAGTGAACATCATTCGACCAAGTAGCAACACTAATTATGCTTTATTAAATAGTTATAGTACTAGTAGCAATAGTACCACAAGTAGCAATTCACAAAAACGTAATGGTTCTACTACTCGAAAACCAAGAGTAACTCCCTCATCAGTAGTAAAGTCCAATCTGGAAAAGCCAATTTTAAATCTATACCACCCACCTACTCGAAAGTCGTCTTGTGAGAAACCGTCCTTTTTTGTTACCAGTAGACCTCCTATAGAACTTTATAAAGCAAGGCAACAGAAATTACCAAAAACAGCACCATCTTCCAATGATCATAAAATATACAACAACAACAACAACAATAATAGTAAACCTGTCTCTTTTATAAAATACCCCTCACAGCAACCAACTCGATCTGTACTTGGCGTTATCAATACACCAGCCACTTTTGACAAAGCAGTAAATCAACCCGAAATGATATCCAATAATGGCTCCTTATCAGTAGATACCAAGTCGGCCACTACTGCTACTGCTACTGCTACTGCTACTGCTACTGCTACTGCTACTACAAATTATTTATTCACCGCCGAAAATTTATCAGAAGATACTACAAGTGATGCAGAAGATATATATAATAAGAATGAAGAGATAATAATAAAAGATGAAAATATAGAGGATACTGAAGAAGAAGATCTTATTAATGAAGCTCGAGTTAATAGAAAAGTAATATTCAAAAGAAAAATATTTTTTTTCTCCTTGTATTTAATTTCTATCTCTATCTATCTGTCTATCCTTTTTTTTTTTTTTTTTTTTTTTTTTTAGATCGCGGATTTAGAATTATCAATAAAATCATTACTTACAGTAAATGAAATGCTAGAAGCTACAGTTAGGAAACAAGCGTCACAGTTAAATCAAATAAAGAAACATCAACAATTAGAAAATCATATACATACTGATTCAATATTAGAACAACAGGCAATAGAGCCCTTGAAGGAAAATGTAAGTGTAGTGTATATTAGAAAAGAGAAGAAGAGTATAAACTAAAAAAAAAAAATTACTATATAGTCTTCTGATGATGAAGAAGAGGATTGGGAAAAGGATTTATTATTTCAAAAGCTAAGGAAAATAACAGAAAATATGATTGAACAAGGACAAAAATCAATTAACTTTGAATATAAAATCCTTGGTCGAGTTCTATCGAATTATACACCGCAAGAAGAAGAAGAAGAAGATATTGGTATATGATGATCGTAAGCATGTAAACACCAAAGTTAACTCTTATTTTAAAAGATACCAAAAGTAATAGCAGTCATTCCTAGTAACAAATCATCATCGATACCTATAAATACACAAGAGCATAGATATTTTTGTTTTTTTTTTTGTTTTTTTTTTTGCTGTATTCCTTATTTATTTGTTTATTTATTTATTTACTTTTAAAAAAAAAAAGAAAGAAAAAAAGTATTGGTAGGCTTATTATAAACACGGTATTGACTTTAAACACGTGTATGAAAGAAAAAAAAAAATACGCCTGCTGAACATGAATAAATTTTTAATTTTTTTTTTTTTTTTTTTTCTTTTCGTTGATCATGAGTCAATCCAGTAAGGGTGTTCATCCTTTTTTTTTACCGAAAAAGACAAAAGTAACTACACCCTCAGTATCAGAAGAGCAGTCTATAGTAGAATCACCAAAACAAACAGAACGTATAACTAGAAATAAAGCGAATCAAGCATCCGTTTCTATATCACGGAATGTCAATCATCAAGTTCCTGACACAAGGGAACATTTACTTCATGCTAATTCAAGTCAATGCACATGTAAAGGGGAAAGTTCAATAACCAACTATGTTCCTATCACTAAGCCTAAATTTCATTCTGATCATCAACAAGTTCAAAAATCCACTATTGCAAAGAAAAAACAGAATGTGAGTCACGAATTTGCTTGGCTAGATCGTAATGTCTTTGGTAACTGTCATATTACTGATAACATGTATGAATCAACCCATCAGACATCATCACTACCACCACTGCCTCCTCCTCCTCCTCCTCCTCGTCATCATGTTGATTTTAACAATCTAATCGCTCAACAGGCCAAATCTTTTCGATTAAGAAAGAGAGAATGTAAAAAGCGGGAACATCAACGTGATGTGACAATGCTACCTCCAATCACTAATCAAGCAGAGTTGGAAGCATTTTTAACAACTCATTTTCCAAATTGGCACATGTTTCCTTCTTGTGTTCTTTTATCACAATCATTATCAGCGCATCGCCAAAATACCAAACAATGGACGGATAAATATCGTCCCAAGACAATTGAGGGACTCATGGGCTCTAAACACAATTTTGTTTATCTTAGGGATTGGTTACATCAAATGAAGATTGAGCCATTATCTGCACCCTCATCCACAACAGCTGGCACTATAAAAAAGAGAAAGCGTACAAAGAAGCTGGTTATGCAGTATGATGATGATAATGAAGATGACAACGACGAAGCCTTTCTCCGAAGTTTATCGTTACAGGACAATGACAATGACGATGATTTTGTTTTAACACCTAGCCACAAAAAAAAATAAAAAAGGAGATAGTGAGATCGAACGTGATTTTGTTAGTGGGAGATCATGGTGTAGGCAAGACAGCAGCTGTCTATACAGCCGCGGAACAATTAGACTATGAGGTCTTTGAGATCAATGCAGGAACAAGGCGATCAGGAAAGGATATCATGTCATTAGTTGGAGAAATGACAAAGAGTCATTTAGTAGCTTTTGGCATAGCTCCTCCTTCATCAGCTTCAGGGTTATACGTAGATCATCCAAAATCTGCACCTAAAACAACAACAACAAAACGAAAAAAACTAAATCCTTGTTTTGCTCCTTCTACTACTAAAATACAAAAGAATGAAAGTAAATTATTGAAACATTTCTTGCGAAAAAAGGAATCTGCTAAAGTAGCATTGCCATTTACACCAGCTACAAAGCAAAGTTTAATTTTATTAGAAGAAGTGGACATATTATTTGAAGAAGATAAAGGGTTTTGGTCATCTGTGATAGAGTTATCACAAAAGAGTAAACGACCGATTATTATGACATGTAATGGTAAATTTTTTTTTTATTTTATTGTAAATGATGGGTACAAAACTCATTGACCCTCTATTTGGATTAGATCCTAACCAGATCCCATTTGAAAGTTTATGCATACAAATGGTACTCAATTTAAAGCCTCCATCAGAGAGTGAATTACTACCTTACTTGTGGTTAGTATGCTATGCTGAAGGATACGTGGTCGATCCAGTAGACCTTATCTGTCTTATGGCCTTTTTAGGAAGAAATATTCGACAGCTTTTACGAACATTAGAATTATATATTGGAGATCATATATTTGGACGTTATTTGGGTATTGAAAATGATATGGATAAAGTTGAAATAAAGTTGAAATCTGTACCATCCAAGTTAGCTATTGATACTTTTCGATTAGCACGTTATTATGAAGGAATTGAAGAATCACATAATAAAGAAGAAGAAGACGAAGAAGGAGACGATTTTGATTCAATTGTACAAGCATTAGAAAATAATGCATTTGTAGATACTTGGCTTGGATGGAAGGAGGACTCAAATTTGGTAATACATTGGCTATATTTTTTTTTTTAAAAAAAAAATGTTTACAATAATCGATACAATCTTCTAGATTCAAGAATCTGTTGAGGATCAATTAAACGGTTATACCAATTTATGTATAGAAAATGAAGGAGATATATCAAAAGCATTTATAGAAGAAATAGAATCATTACTAACGATCCTAAACAGTCAAACAATTAAATCCAATACATGGAGTAAAATAATATTAGATGAAGAAAGTCATTGGGAAGAAGTATGTGATGCTAGGTAAAAGAAAAAGAATATATATGCATACATATAAAATAAATAGGAATACTAATTTGAATCTATAGATCCATTAATTTAGAAGATTATAAAGAAGCTATAGAAAAATTACTTTCTCCACGTATGATATATCAGCCTAATGAATATAATTTGACCATGGATTATATACCCCATATTCAATTGATGTTAACTTTTAATCATGATATCCAAGGAAGATCAACACGTACTAAGCGGAAAAGATTACATTTACCCTTAAGTGAAGATTGCATTCATGTACTAAGTACATATAAACCTTTAGTAGATGAAGTAAGTTGCATAATAAACATTCAAGTATCCTTTTTTTTTTTAACATTTCATTTTTTTAACATTTTTTTTTTTTTTTCAAGACGGAATTCTGGACTAACAGACTTGATAAACTAAAAAAAGATTCTGTCTCCGACGCATAAATTATTAGTCGGAGATTCCATAAAAATGATTTCCAAATTAGGGATTTTCTGTAAAGGACATGTTTTAATTCGCTGTTGTTTCTGCTGTTGTTACTTCTTGGCTTGAAATCAATAAATGAGAAATAAAAAATTTACGTTGAATTCTTTTTGTTATCTTTTTCTTTTTCTTTTTTATTTTATTTCGTTTCATTTTATTTTATTTTATTTTTTCGTTTAGATAGTATTCATAGAATTGCCATGACAACACCAGAAGAAGAATTAGAATATTCAGAAAATATATGCCATAGCTGTCAAAAAATATGTAAACATGGTGACCCGTTATTAATAAAAGCCCTAGGAAATGTTTACCATCAAGAATGCTTTAAATGTGATGTAAGTGATCAGCCATTTACAACCTTTTTTTTTTCTTTAACAAGGCCTCTTCCTCTTTATTTGTTTCATGATTTTTTTTTGTTGTTGTTGTTGTTGTTATTCTTGTTGATTGAGTGAGTGGATCTTATATTTATCTATAAATATAAGCTATAATTCCAAAAAAAACAGGGACACAAAATATTTGATGTACATTTTTTTTTTTTTAAAGACACGAGGCTTTTATATTAATTTGAAATAAATTATTTATTTTTACTAATTTACATATTTAAAAATTAGTTTTGTCAAGTGTCTGTAATAGAGAAATTTTATTTACTTGAATTAGATAATAACTTGATTCATCATCAACATAATATCATTTTATGTGAGAAAGATTATTATAAGCATTCTCGGTTTAAATGTCGCCAATGCCATGAAGATATTAAAAACGACAATTTTCAAGTTATCGGCACTTATAGATATCATCAACATTGTTTACATTGTCCTGGTTGTACAGTTCTTAAAACGTTACCGATACATGTTAAAACAGGACGTGAGGAGCTGCCGATAAAGGAATATTTTGATTATAATGGACGACCTTATTGTCGATATCATTATTCGTTAATCAAAGGCACAGAATGCTTTGGATGTGGACAAGCTATTCTTCAATCGGAACTAAATCAGAAATGGCACCTAGAATGCTATAAAATTAAAAAGGTGAATAGTGTGGTTTATTTATATTATGTTATAAATATAAAAATACATGTATTTATATACAAATACTCATTCATATAACCAGTTTTGGAATATCCAATTAATAGATACTCTTAAGCCACTTCACCAATGTAAGCTTATATATACATATATATTCCATTTTATATATCGTCATTTATTTCTTTTATTTAGCCGCATACAAAAATGAAAAGCAATTAATAACTATTCAAAATGAAATTGAATCAAAGAGAGTTCGAATATGGAAGGAATTAAGCCAATTTGAAGAGAATATATCTAATTTGATTTCAACTATTGTTAAAAATAAACAACTAAGCAATCTTAAAGAAGAGTTTCAAGCTTGTCAATTCTTAGTAAAACAGATAAATGTCATCTTCACTGTTCTGGACTCATTATTCGAACATATTACACGTTAGTTGGAAAAAAGAGTAAAAAAAAAATCATAATTGTACTTTATTAACTCCCTTCTTCGTCATAGATCTATCATGTGATGCCTTAGTACAAAGATTAAGTGATCAACTTATCTCCTTCTTAGATATTTTATGTTCAAGTAATGAAATAGAAAATATGACAAAAATAGTTTCTGTTATCTCGGATTGTATTAGAGATCTAATTAAATTGAGTCTACAGCAAGCTATTATTTTGGTAAATTATATATATTAATAGAAATTATATATTATTATTATTATTTTTTATATAACTCCCTATAATTTCTATTTGTTAAAAAAAGGAACGGGATTTCGGAGAAGTGGCAAGATTTATTCATCATATGTTAAATATTCTTTCAAATAATCAGTACAAGATAACAATGGATATTCCCTACTTGGATCATCACTTTCAGTTAATTGATATGGCTATGATAAGGCTTAGCTTTGTATTAAATATAAGACCTCAAGGTAAGGTTGATTGTTGTGAGTATTCTATTGTTACACGTAATCAAACTATGAATTACTATAATTAGGTGGTAGCAAACGACCTGATCAGACTTTATTATTTAAGCCTTCTACAATAATTAGACCCAATTCTTCCTTTTCTTCCTCTACTAAGGAAATAAGTAACTTTCATCAAAGTAGTGTCGATATTCATCATTCAGAAAATATGTCTACTATCTTACAAAGATCAAAATCTACTTTAAAATCACAACATATGGAAGAAAAAAGTTCTACAGTCGGTCGTATGGAGTCGATTCGAAGAGCCCTTACAACCAGTCGTAGAAAGGACCCAAAACAAAATCAATTACAGTCCGCAGCTTATAGAGAACATCGTTCGTTTAGTCTTCAAGACACCTCTAAACCACTACTTCATATCTCATTACCAAATATTGAACAATTAAATCACACTACTCCACCTCTTTCTCCACCTACAACTCAACACACTTATCATCTACCTAATGCTTTACCAGAACTTACACAACAACAAGATCATCTTATTCGTCATATCGCTATTATTTTTATGGATTCATACCCAATAGAAGATGAAGACCTATTAGCCTTGTTAGATATTCATAAAAAATCATCTACGACTACGACTACTACGACAGCAGCTTCCCTTTGGGGGAAACTCAAAACACATATATTGACTCCGACAACGGAACCCATTCATGCACCATTGCCGTCACCTACTACAAGTGAAAAGAAAATTGGTGTTTCATTATCTAATTTGAGTCATGGTTCATTGAGTTTATCTAATCATCATCAGCCTTACAATAGAGTACCCGAGAATGCATTATTTGAAAAATGGAGATCCCTTTGTCCATCCATTGTTACCTGTTTTTCTTCTAATTCGCTTGTTCCTCATTTTCTTAGAGACTGTATTTTAGCTATGATTCAACAAGGTACATACATCATAACATAATGAAGAGTAAAAAAAAAAAAAAAAAAAAAAAAAAAAAAAAAAAAAAAAAAAAAAAAAAAAAAAAAAATTATTTGTGTACGTGTATGTGTATTTTTGTATATGATTATTAAAACGGTAAAAAAAAAAAAAAAAAAAAATTCTTTTTATGTAGATCTAAATACGGAAGGTATTTTTAGAAAGAACGGCAATATCCGAAGATTGAAAGAGATGTGTGAAACTCTTGATTCTCAGCCAAACCGTGAAGACTGGACGGACTTTTTCAATAAACAGCCAGTTGTGCAGTTAGCAGCCTTCATCAAACGATATTTACGTGAACTACCAGAGCCCTTACTGACATATAAACTTTATAAGCTATTCTTGATGTCAAATAAGGCAGCAAATCTGACAGAATCTTTAAGCATGCTTCATTACTCAATTTGCTTATTGCCAAAGCCCAATAGGGATATCTTGCTGTTGCTTTTATCTCTTTTGAATTGGGTAGCAAGACATGCAGAGACAAATAAGATGGATTTTGGAAATCTAGCTAGAGTGATTTCTCCTAATATATTATATGAATCTAAAAAACAAACAGGTTATGATATAAGTGATGTCTCGCTTTGTCATGGAGGCATAAACGTTATTTCCTTGATGATTGAACACTATGATACATTTATAAAGGTAAACCATATTAAGCAAGTAAGCTATCTAGAACAGTCATCTTTCTAACGCTGCTACCCTTAAATAGGTTCCAAATGAATTTAATCTATTCTTAGAACATCCAACTTTAACTGAATGTCTTTCTACAAATAATATTGATTTGATCTCTACAAGACAATTCACTCGATCTTTTAATAATTTATTAAAAGTAAAGAAAGAAATCATGACATCAAATCACTTTACCCTCCCTCCTTCACCTTCCATTTCATCAAAATACCTTTAAATCTTTCAGTTAAGTTTGCATACCCCTTCCACCACCTCCTCCCCCCTTTTCTGTATATTAATTTATTGTTATTATATGTAATTAGCTCTCCCTTACTATATATTCTATTCATTAAAATGACATGGTTTTTTTCTTTTTTTTCCTACTAATTTTCCATAGAGTCATATTTATTTTCACACATTGAAAACCAAGTAAAATGGTCGCTGCCTTCAACTTGTTGCTTTGCAATCTGGACTAATTTTTTAGACTGACTAATGTATTTTTTAACCTCTTCTTTCATTGTCATGGCATCTTCATCATAGATTTGTGACACTAATAAGTCAGTACCATCGACAAGTTGATTGGCAAGTTCATACACTTTATCCAGCCATTCTACAGAAGGATGAGTTTCGCGAATACAACGACGACTGATCTTTTCCATCACAAAGACAGCCATGTCTACTAATTTAGCACATTGCTTTGCGATCTCCAATTCTTCCTCGTTTAAGTCTGTTTCATCGTCCTCTCCTTCATTATCATCAAAGCCCTCTGATCGATCTTGACCAGAGGCGATATCATGTACCTCTGCTTTAGCATCCTTTAATGTATCTTCTAATGTCTTCCAGGCTGTCAAGACAGCTTCTTTATTGTTCTTGGGCAATTGCTCCATTTCTTTGCAAGTCTCCCAAAGAGCAGCTGTTGGCACCATGAAGGAGATGGTGTCGCGACGATTGTCCTCTGTCATAAAGCTACCGGAAAGACTAATGACACCGTGTAATAATTCACGAATAATAGTCTGGTAGGCTTTCTTGTACATGCTTCCTGACTTGGTAGGGACTGTATTATAGAACCCCATTATACGATAGAGAGTATTACTGATCTCGCTAATCATATGAATCGCATCCTTGGGTTTACGAGGTGGTTTACAAGAAATGGTAAACTTGGTGGCATTATGAGAAAGAATCTTTCCGAGATTGACTATGAGAAAGATCAATAAGTTTACATGTTTATTATTTTTTTTTTCTTCATTTATTTTTCTTTACCCATTGTCTCTTGAAATGAAGCAGTGTTAAAATCAGAAGTTTCTACATTTCTATCATTTTTCAAATCGTCGAGATAGACAAGGCACATTTTACAACATGCCTTTAACTTTTCTAAAAAAAAAAAATAAAAAAAATAAAAAAATAAAAGGTTAGAGCCATTTATCATGCTTGATGTATTTAGTACCTTGGAATTCTTCTTCTGTCGACATGGAATCTGTCTATTAATTATAGATCAATCAGGAAAATAAAAATTTTAAAAAAAAAAAAAAAAAAAAAAAATCAAACAGCTGGAAAATAAATAGGCGTTATTTTTGATTTATTTATTTTATTTTATTTTCCTATTAATTTCAGACTTACAAACTTTTATGTATTATTTTGAATTTCTTTAAATATTAAATAAAATGACTATAGTTAACTGTCTAAAGCATCTTATCCTTCATGAGAAGGACCGTATTTTTGTTTTTTGTTTTTTTTTTCAACTTCATTACCTTTTAATAAGGATATGTACAATATCTTTAGCGACATGCTTCACTAGTAAATTATAACAGTGATATTTTTTTTTATATTAAATGCTTTAGCAAGATATACCTCTCTTTAAATCTTTTCATAGTCTTCAATAGTAATCTTATTTGATAAAGCGAGAAAAAAAAAAGGGAGAGAGAGAGACAGAGAGAGATAGGTGACAGGACCTCTGACTATATATCCTTTCACATATTAATAAAAAACAAACAAAAACTGATGAAATAAATCAACAATTCTTGATAAACTTATGCTGTGTATTTACTTGGTGAAATTGAAGTAGTAAGAAGAAAAGTTACAATCTATTGGTGAGTGATGTATGATATATCACTTGTATAAAAATAATGCATCTAAAAGAGATACAATAAAGTAAAAGAGAATAAATACGTTAAATGAATTTCGAATAGAAAGTAAATGACTTGCAATGAATGAATGATATATTGCTGCAAGCATTTACATTTCATTTGATGATGTAAAAATACTTTTACTTGAATAGTGTATTACAAATATACGATACGACTAACTTTGAAGGCTTTTACTTTATGAGAATAAGCTTGTAATATCTTTTTTTTTCGAACAATCAAAGACTGTATACGAACATCTTTGAGACTTTAACATATTTTTTTTTCTTCTTAAAACTGACCGGTTCATCTATTTTATTTAATACTGCTGCTTATGATATCTAAAAAGAAAAAGTTTTATGTCTAATGTATGTCACTTAAGCTGATGTACATTTTGAAGATTACACAATATAGATGTATACAATATATATTTTAATGTCTTACAAATATAGAACTATTTTTTGTTTCTATTATTAGCCATTTTACCCTAAAATCTTATCAATCATAGAGCTATGGCGTCAATAGAGGGATATTTGATAGTAATATAAGAGCAGAAGTTGCTGTAAATTATAACTTATAAATAGAATTGATATACTAAAATGACTTTAATGTATAGTTGTTGTTGTTTTTGTAGGTATCACGAAAGGTACATTATCGGCATGTTTATTATACATCATCATTATTTTACACAGCCACTAGATGAATTATATGATACATTAAAAGCACTCATAATGACGAAATATATCATGTATACTTTACTTTAAACTTGCAAATTTGCATCTTGGCATTATATACATATAAATAATAAACTCCTTATTTGTACGTGTCATTGATAACATAATACTGAATTAAGCAGATAGTAGATCTATCCATTAAATATCATCTCCTCCTCCTCCCCGACCCGCCTAAAAATAGGTAAAATTCAATGAAGAAAAGAAAATCAATCATTTTTGTTGAGCACTTGTGCCATAAAATACAAATATTTATATCTATACAAATGTATTAAAAGAAGACAGATAGATTCATTCATTCATTCATTCTTCTACTTTGTCTTTAAATTATATTATTATTTTTACAACACAAATACCAGTTGCATTTTCCTACCCAAGAAAGAAAGAAAAATACACAAAGCAAAAACACTTTACCTTGTAGTAAGACACTATATCTTTCTAGAAAGTGTATTTTAGTGGACTATGTTTTACACAATATAAAATAACTAAAACTACGAAACTTTATTTAGCGATCTGATATTCAATGACGATCACTTTTTTTTTTTTTCCCCGGAAATCATAGAAAAAATTGGCGTATTTCTAATAAGAATTCTATGATTATACAAGATTGAAATAAGAAAGAGTAACCTTCTCTTTATCAATAAAGTTCAATCAACTTGCTTTATTTTAAGAACTGTATAACTAATAATAATAATAATACACACTAAAATGTTAATAATAGAAACAATAAAGATCTTCGCTCTTAATAACAAATAGACTAAATAATGTATGGATTACATATTTGTATTATGTATACAAACACTTATGAAGTACGTGTGTCTATAATTTAAAGTAGTTCAACGTGTACACACTCATGAACAAAATAGTAGGCTTCAGTGATAATAATTATTATTGGATGGTTGTACCACATGGCTATTTAAAAAAAAAACTATAGTAGGCAAAGAAGTTTCTATACTTTGTTGAAGAAAAACGAAACTTGACAAACCACCCCCCTCCAATTTTGTTTTTTTTTTATGAAATTTAATGAAACGAAGCAAGTAAAAAAATAAACAAAAAACAAAAATTAATCCAATAATGCTTCATGATTAAACCATGCTCCTGTAATATTTGAGACGAATGACTTTGTAGTGCTTATTTATACATGCAGAGTATGTAGAAAACTAAAACTGTTTATTATTTATGTACAAGAGTAATGTTGAAGTAAAAAAAAATGTAATAGAAAAATGAAAAAAAAAGAACAAAATGAAAGAAAATAGAGAGTGAAATCTATATATTATGGATATTATTTTTAATAAAGCATGGATTTAATTGATTTAATAACAGATGTACGCTTGTTTATTTGTTGAGGAACTTCGTCCATTTGTTTAGAATTAGTTTCTTCAAGTGAAATCCTTGGAGAAAGAGGTCGATTATTAGGATTTAAACTTGACTTGAAAAGTGCTTGTTGAATATAAGGGTGGTTCTGTGTAGCAATCAAGGCTTCTTTAAATGTAAACCATCTTCTCTCTCGTTTCTTCTTTTCTGGAAATTTTTTTGCAATTTCTTCAATATTCATTTCAAATATCCAATGATGTGCTTTTACGCCTTTCTTTTTCTTGTATTCTACAAAGATACCTAAACTCTTTGTAATCGTGCCTTTCACGCCTGCCTCTTCCCATGTTTCTCTTTGAGCAGCATGCTTTTGAGTTTCATCAGTTTCCCAGCCACCTTTAGGCTAATATATAAGTTTTAGCATCATTTTATATATATATCTAAATGTTCATCTTATTCTTACCAAAACCCAAGCATCCTCATTTTTTCTGCTGGAAATAAGTAGTACACGCTGATTATTCAAGTCTAGAGGTATACATCCAGCAACTTGTCTAATATTGTTTGTATCAACTACATCTTTTCCATGACCATGTCTTGATTTTTTCGTAAAAGCAGTGTATTCATCATTAATAGGAGGTGTTAAAGATCTAGACATTTCTATTTATTACGATATAAACAAAAGAAGAAGAAGAAAAAAAAAGAAAAGGAATTAAAACAAAAAAAAACAAAAAAATAAAAGAAAAGAAAAGAAAAGAAAAAAAAAGTAAATCATTAAATAAATATTTATATCACTTTAAACATGAATATTATGGCTACTAAGGGGTAGTAGAACAAAAACTGATTCTTAATTTTAGCCACATATTTTTAATAATTGAATCTCAGTATTGTCTTTGAGCTGCAGCACTCATTATTATCAAGTAAAACAATATGAGCGTATTGGCTTCATTAAAAAATAAAAATAAAAACTTTGTGTTAAAAAGAAACATAGCTAATTAATGAACTTTTGATTTATTTGCATAAGTTTATAAAATGTAGGCATAGTAATAAATATCTTTTATTAGCATGATTAATTACTATTCGCAATTGATATCAATCTGTCAAACAAGTTTACTTTTCATTCAAAAAGCCCTTTTTTTTTAACAAACATAAGAAAAGAAAATAAGCTCGAGGATTTTTTTTTCTTTTAATAATTGTATTTAATACAAAGGTTTATCCTATAATAAAGTTATTTATCATAGTCTTTTCTTTCCCTTAATCAAGAAAGATGACTGTGAATAACAGCTCATCCTAAAATAGTATGCCTCTTTAATAAATTTAAATGTGTTAACATTATTCTTGCTTTTACAAGAATAAGCAATATAGAATCGTTTGTTCACTACAGGGATTATTTACTCAAGAATCTCTTTAAGTTTTATGTAATATATAAAGATACATTATATTTTATATGCTTGAATGCTCATTACATGTAAAAATGATTGCCTCTTTTTTATTTTTATTTTTTCCCTCAATAAATTATAAATTATCATGATCGAAACTTGTCTTTTTTTTTTTCCAAGACTTTTTATTATCGAATAAATCAAGATTCTTCTTCCCAATTTATATGCTAGCTTCATCTCCAAGTAAGACATGTCGTTTACAGGCGCTGCATAATAATTCGAGTCTTACTTGTCGATATGTTGTAATCTTCTATTATTCGTATAGTAATACTGCTTCTATACTGCCGAGGGTCACATTGTATATGCATTTTACCTTATATCTAATTTTTTTTAAGCAGAATATTATCTATTACTTTTATCATATTTGAAATTTCTTCATCTAAGAAGGGGAAAAAATAAATCTAATATGGCATTCATATGTTTGTATATAAATATATATATATATGAATATTTGTTAGTTATGAAAAAGAATTGGAAGCTCCAAGTACCATTTTATTCTTTTTCATTCATCTATATTCCATTATTTTATGTTATAAAAAGTGAAGCTTCCTTCCAAATTTTTTCACATATTACGTAATATAAACAGGGTCTTTTATGAAAGTGTTTGTCCTTTGTTCTTTTTTCCTTTTTTTTTTTTTAAGTTGAAAAAAAAAATAAGGACTTCATAATATGACTGAATATCTCTCTTTTTTTTTAATGAATAAAAATTACACATTATAATTTCAGTTGCTGGCGGATAAATAAATTAGTCAACTGCATGCGTACAATTTTTTTTTTTTTTTTTTTTTTTTTTACTGTTGTTATATTTATTTATTTTTTAACCTATTACAGTTGTTGTTATATCTATTTATATACATTTATACACATACACATATTATTATTATTATTAGATATCAAACGCTATGAAATATGTTGAGGTGTGTAAAGTACTATATGACTATGAAGCTCGAACTGAAGATGAGCTTAGCATAAAAGAGGATAATATCTTGTATATTATTGAAAAAGAGGATGACGACTGGTGGAAAGCTGAATTAAAGCAAACAAATGGTGAATTACAAGGTCCTATAGGTTTAGTCCCTGCTAGTTATTTAGAAGAGGTAAAGTAAGCAAAATAATAATAATAATAAAAGAAGAAGAAGAAGAGGAATAAATATTTAAGAAACTTGGGTTAAATATATTTGTAAAAGATTACTGCTATAGGTCGAGTGCGTGCAGAATATGACTATACTGCCCAACAAGAAGAAGAACTTTCTTTTCAAGAAGGTGATGAAATGGATTTGTTAGAACAAGATGATCCAGATTGGTTTCTTGTTAAAATGAAGAATGGTGACATTGGTTTAGTACCTAGTAACTATGTTCAAAATGTGAATGAGCAATTTGAAGAAGCTCATCAACAACAACAACAACAACAACAACAACAACAACAACCAGAAATTCATACTCCAGTTTCATCTGTTGTATCACATCAGCCATCAATTCCTCCTCCTTCGGTTCAGCCTGTCTTATCACATACTGTAAGCTTTTTTTTTTTTTTTTTTTTTTTGTTATTATATATTATTCGCGAGAGTATATAATTTATTTATCTATTATTATTATTATTATTACTATTATTAGACTGGTTCAACTACAACAGTATCTCGAGAAGTGATTCTTGATAATGCCCAGTCATGGAATGTTCATGAATACGATCCAGCCAAGAAAAAAAGAAAGAAAGATAAAGGTAGTTTATTTATTGGTAATGGTATGATTTGTTATGGTAGTGAGACGGATAAATCGTTACCCGTTCAACAATACCCCATTTTGGATGTCACGAAATATCTTTATGATGGTAAAAACTTACATATTGAAGTGAATGGTGGTTCTAAGAATACAGTCTTTGATTTTCAAGCTTCTTCCAAGTCTGAGGCAAAAGCTATTTTGGCAAAGATTGCAGACTCTGCAAGGGCTGCTCAAATGTCTAATATACATATCACTCATACACCTGAGAGACAAATTGCTGCCCCTGCTTTTGCCATCACAACACCACCAGAACCAGTATCAGCGTCAGTGTCAGTGTCAGTGCCAGAGTCGGAGCCAGTGCCAGAGCTAGAGCCGGAGCCCGAGTCAGAGGAAGAATCCAATTGTGTCCCTAAATGGGGTATCTCTCTTTACTCATTTGAAGCTGAAGGTGCTGATGAGTTGACTGTAAAAGAGGATGAGCAACTTTATGTGTTGGATTATGAAAGAACAGACGGATGGTGGCGTGTACAAAAAGTGAGCGGAGAAACCGGTCTCGTTCCTTCCTCTTATATTCAATTCGAGGATGGAGAAGAACAAAAGGATAAAAATGTCACTTCCGTACCTGCTATTAGCTCTCTTCCTGAAAATGTAGAAGAAATGAGAAGAAAGCGTGAAGAAGAAGAACGTGCTCTGCAGGCAAAACGTATCGCTGAAGAGCAAGCTCGGGAAGAACAAAGACGTAAAGAGGAAGAAAGAAGGAGACAAGAAAAAGAAGAAGAAGAAAGACGTCGTCGAGAGGAAGAAGAAGAAGATCGTCGTCGTCGTCGTCAAGAAGAAGAACGGGAGAGACGTAGACAAGCTCACGAGGCAGCTAAACGTGCCGAAATGGCTCGTCAAAAGCAAATTGAAGAGGACTATCGTCGGAAAGAAGCAGAACGTAAAGCTGCTATTACCCGTTCGGCCTCTACATCTAAAGCTCGTCATCAAAATCTTCCTAAACCTGATTCTACAAAAATCAGAACTTGGACAGATCGCAGTGGTGCATTTAAAGTGGAAGCACAATTCATTGATCTTCATAATGGTAAATTGAGACTTCACAAGTTAAATGGCGTCAAGATTGATGTGCCGGTTGAAAAGATGTCTGCTGAAGATATGCGTTGGGTTGAGAACCACATGAAGCATCCTTCAAAACAAGAAAACGAAGAAGAAATAGCACCTACTATGCCACCTCGTCCTCAGCAATCGACTCAACAACAACAACAACCTCCACAAAAGAAATATAATGAAAGATGGGATTGGTTTGATTGGTTTATGCTGATTGGTATTCCTATGCAATCTTCGCTTCAATATGCATCTGCATTTAAAGCTGAAAAATTAGATGATAGTGATATACAGCATTTGACGCATAAACAAATGAAAACATTAGGTCTTAAAGAAGAACATGTCCGACGTATTGAAAGATTCATTGAGACTGGTAAACCTGAAGATTTAACAGAGGAAGAAGAAGAAAGAAAGAGAAAGGAACAGGAGCAATTAGAAAAAGATGCAGAATTAGCTAGAAAGCTACAAAAAGAATGGAACAGCACTACAGAATCAATGAATAGTAGTAAAAGTAAATATATAAATATATATGTGTGTGTGTTTGTTTGTATTAATAATTTGGGGGTTTATATATATATGTATTTATATAGATGCTTCCTCTAATGTAAGACCTAAGCCGGCTGTTTCTGCACCTAAAGATGTTCATCCTGATTTATTAGACCTTATTGGCTCTCAATTGAGTAGTGATAGTAAGGGAAAGGAACCTGAAAAGGCTAAAAGTGATTTGCTCGGCTTTGGTGATGATGCATGGACACCTCGTTCAAGTAACAGTGTTATAGCTAATTTATCTCCGTTAAAACCTACACCTACTGCGTCTACTGAAATGAAAGCCCTAGCACCTCCTGCACCTACTGGACCTACACCTGAAGAAATTAAGGCTGCTGAAGCTGAACGTAAACGTATTCAAGAGGAAGAACAAATTCAAAAAATCAAATTAATGAACTTGCAAAGACAAGCTAAAGAACAACAAGAACAGCTTGAGCAATTGCAGAAGTTGACTCAACAACAGCTGGAACTTCAAAAGCAATTAGCTATGCAAACAGGTACTCAACAACATCAAGCTCAGCAGCAATTGATGCAAATTCAAGCTCAACAACACCAGCTTCAGCAACAACTTGCACAACAACCGCCTCAACTTCAACCCTCATTTGCCCCTCAACCTACTGGTTTTGGCTCTCAACCTACAGGCTATAGCGCTTCTCAGCCAACAGGCTTTACTTCCCAACCTACAGGTTTTGCTTCTCCAACGACTTCAGCTGCTCGTTCAAGACCTGTGCCTAAGAATAACCTTTTCTCAGATCCTACGCTTAATCAATGGCAGCCTAATCAGTCACAACCACAACCACAACCACAGCCACAGCCACAGCCACAGCCACAGCCACAGCCACAGCCACAGCCACAGCCACAGCCAACAGGATTACAATCACAACCAGGTGGTTTGTTAATCAACCATGGACAGCCACAACAAAATGCATGGCAAACACTTCAACCTCAAATGACGGGTTTCCCAACATCTAATATGCCTATGCTAGGAGGTTATCAACAACAAGTATCAGTTTCCTCGGTTCTCCCTCAACCTTTGACACCTTCTTCCGCTGCAGGACAGCAGGGTGAGTTTAATCAATTTGGAGGAGGTCTTCAAAGAGCAAATACAATTGGAGTTCAACCTACAGGTAGACATTGGAATAGTGCAAGTAAGTAATAAAAAAAAAATGAAAAGATTTAAAATTAAACTTTTTATTAAACTTTTTATTTTTCCAGCTCCTGATAATCCTTTTGGCTCTCCTTCTATTTCACCATTACAAGCACAAATGACAGGTGCACAATTCTCTACTCCTAATCCACACATATTCAATCAAAGTCCTTTGCAACCTCAGGCACAACCGACTAATTATATGCAACCTCAAATGACAGGCATCCAACCTCAAGGAAATAGTATCTTTACTCCACAGGGATCTAGTCAATGTAAGCATGTAAAATAGTTATACATCATACAACGATAACTAATAAATTTAATATATATAGATGCTCAGTCTGCCTTTCCTAACAATCAACGCCCATGGTAAACTCTAATAATTACAATGCTAATCTTTTACCCTTTAACTTTCCTTTTTTTTTTTCTTTTGGATAATTTATAACTTTTTTTTACTACTTTCCTTTTATTTTTGAAAAAAAAGAAAAAAAAAAAAAAAAAAAAAAAGTAACTCCTTATGTCTTACAATATATAAAATGCTTTTTATTATTATATATATGCGTGTATACAAGATACATTTTTTATTTATTCTATAATACATAAGCCTTTTCAATATACAAGTTACGCCCTTATTAATTCTTCTTATCTTTCATAAAATTCATAGCCTTAATGGCATCTCTATTTTGTTTTCTATGATATTGACGGTTAGTAGGTTTAGCTGTCTTTTGTTTTTGTTTCTTTTCATCTAACAAGTCCCATAACCAGTCAGGATATTCAGAATCATCTAATGCCATTAGATCAGGTTTATCTTTTAAGTATTGAATTCCTTTTAAAACTGTTCCTTTTGGTACTGAAGAAGGGGCTCTTGTTTGTGTAGTAGTTGTATCTAATGTAGAATCTATTATTTTTTTTTTAAAAAAAAAAATAAAACATCAATGGCTAATGTCAAAATATTGGAACATGGGGTAATGAAAAAATAATTTCTTTTTTTTTTTTTTTTTACCTGTTGCATTTTTAATGATAGATGCAGAATGTATATAGCTGGCATGTTGTATTTTTTGAAGAAATAAAGGTCGAGAATTACGTATAATGTTGCTTAACATTATGATAGCCAGCCTAAAATAGTAGGAAAAATAAAAAGGTCGGGGTAAGGGTTGACTGAACAAGTTCTCTCTCTCTTGTTATTTTTTTTTTTTTTTTTTTTTTGTTACGATTAAATTCTGAGTTTTATTATTATTATTTTGATTTTTTTTTTGGCAATGAGCATGTAGCGACGAAATAAATGCGCAATACTGCCCGAACCAGTTATAGAGGGGAAATAAGACTAAAAACCTTGCTAAAGGACAAGAAAGGAAAAAAAAAAAGAAAAGAGCAGTATTTTGGAATTAAGAGAAAATATAATGAGGACAAATCGAAAAAAAAGTGAGTAGAAACAAGTTAAATATAAACCAGACCAAAGTGACCGGGAAGACACACATTATTACTTGGACAACCAACTCAACAGCTTGAGACCAGGATCGACAGGATTCAGGAGGAAATTCATCATGTAAGTAGTAATCAGGTTCATGTAGAATTATACAAGGAATAGGCCATAAAGTATACCAGCTCTTACAATCAGAAGGATGACGAGGTTTATGTAGTGGAAGCA